AAAACTTTGTAATCCCTCAGCCTCAGGACATAAGGGTAATCTGAATGGGGCAATCCAATTATGGCAATCCACAGTTATGAATGAGTTACACACAGGTAATGTGAGTTCATGGACTGAAGAGGTGAGAAGACGCTGGACCTAATGAATCCCAGCAAAAGCACGACTGATTTTGTGAGAGAAGACTAATACAACATAAAGTGATTCATTATTTATACAGCTTAAATTGTGTAGTCTGAAATTTGAATTTTTTCATTGGTTTATGTTTTATTTGTGAATGAGGATTCTTGTTGTTGTTGTGAGTCAGTGTGCTGGCTTGTTTGTGTCTCCTGAGTGATGTGGTCTTAAATATGAACCCCCTGAGGAAGCCTAATCACCTGTGTTTTCCTCCACGTAGACTTAAGTGCAGACTGCTCAAGAATAGCTGCCACATATACCATAAAGATTCGAAGAAATAAATAGATCTTCAAATCTCTCCTGATAACTACGGGTATTTAGTGCTATAGTTACCCTGAGGCATCAATTATACCAGAGAGACGTATTTGTGATTGTATGGAATGTTTTAGCTATGTGTAAGAGGACATTTCTCTTTACAGACGTCGGATTGGTATAATATAAGAGCACCTTTGTTTGTCCCATAGTGAAAACATGCCTATGTTCAGAACAGTGTGATTTAAAAGAAACCCTCAAAACAAGATACAGTAAATTAAATAGAAACAAGATGGATAGCTGTGATATTTAGATAATAATGATAAGAAATCTGATCTAAGCAAATACGACAAGGCCTCACTTGGCGGTATAACTTTGGAAAAAGTGTTAATCCCTAAATTTTACTCTTCCTTTTATGACACTTATTTTAATATTATTCAGATTGGATCAGATTTTTGGTTAGTTTGGTAAAAAGACAATATAGACTCTCTTACGGTAAATACATCATGAACCTGTCCAGGGACTGAGAATGAAAACAAGCTATTTTGCTAAAATATGGCACATTGAAAATGGTATTTTTTATAAGACTAATGTTTATTGTGTATTGTGCTTGATCAGATAAATACATAATTCAATTCATAGCTGTTTTATCTTGTACTGTTTGATCTGTGAACCTGAAGAGTAATACATCATTGTTGCTGCCATGAGTGTTGGTTTGACCGGTTTGCTGTACATGTGCATGACTGTGGCTTTTGGGAAAACTCACAAAGCACTATCTCCATGCATAGTTATTAGGACTACAGTGTTTTTCAGGTAACTCCAGTTTACAACAGTTTACAATCATGTGAACAGCACCAGATTGTGCAGATTATAATGTAGATATCAATCATCTTTGTTAGAGCAAAAGAACTGATATATTTTCTTTTTATACACTTTCTTTCAAGACCATTTATTTGGTCATGCCTTTTTTGTGCTGTTTTTATATTTAGAATTCTTTCTTGTGAGATGTTAAAGGAAAGAAGCATGTGCTCAGTGTTAATGTGCAGATAAACGCACCATGGATGTTTGTGTGAAGTGAGATGTTTTACAGCCGTTTGCCCAGAGTCGTGGCGACAGCCTGCCCCGCCCCCGCCGGGTCAGTTACAGACAAAAACCCAAGTCGAATCAGCGTGGCTTATAATGTGTCTGCATATTACTGACATGACACTAAAGACAGTTTCTTGCAAGGGAGACTATAGACATGTATTCTGATGTATGTGTAATGTATGACTTAGGGCTGCAGGATTTTAGCTAAATATCTAATGACATTATTTCTGACCAACATACAAATACAAAAATAAAACAACTACAACAAAGATTAAACTACTAACCACATTTGAAATAACTATATAACCAGAAGAAAGTTATACTTGCTTGTTCTATTGACAAATATTCAAATGTTTTTCAAGTGTTTTTTGTTTATATTTAGTTCCTTTTTGTTTGCAAAGAACATTAAAAAATGCAGTATTTAATATTTGCTAATTATTCTCAGGCACTAGCTTCCTCTGGCTCAGAGAAAAGTCTTGTGTACAAGTCTCCACAGTTGGTCTCTCCATGGCCTCGTACCAAAGTAGATCTCAGACTCTGAGGGGCTGACCTCCTGCTGATGCCCAGAGCCAGGACTTAAAATGGGGATGCAGCATTTCAGATGTATGTAGCTAAAATCTGGAACAGTCTTCCTGATAATGCGAGACAGGCTTCTACTCTGGCAATGTTCAAATCCAGGTTGAAACAATTCTGTTTAGATGTGAAGACGCCTGAAGGATTATATCTTCACTCCTTTTTTAATGTAGTGTTATGATTTTATTGACTTTGAGTTTAATAATCAAATAAACTTGCCTTTCCTAATTGCAACCACAAACTTTCCTGTTTGATTTGATGGCTGTCAATCATGCAGCCCTAGTATGTATGACAGATTAATGAGTGAATGAATGAATGAATTTGTTTAATTGATCAAACATCAACAAGGACTTATTATAACAAAATAGACCATGGGCACTTCCTTTTCCTTTTTCTTTTCATTAATAACACATGGGCGATGTTAACCTTTTAGAAGCCAGCATCAGTCTTCAACCCCTTACGTTTCTGCCTGCAGCACATCCCTGACAATGGTTGCAACTATAGCCTGTTACTGGATCATAAATACTGGGTCAACACTACGGCTGTGCAATATGTATTTATTTTGTATTGTATTTGTTTATTTAGATGAGACAGTGTGTATTCATGAAGAGCAGGAGCTATACAGTAAATACACCAGATTGCAACTATAGTATGTCAATAATTTGCATAGTAGTCCCACAGTCACACTCATAAACACACATTCATTCAACCCTCACTTATTGTACAGGAGAAACCAGAGTACCCGGAGGAAACCTACGCAGACACAGGGCAAACATACAAACATACAAACATGCGAGGTGGGATCGAACCCTCTGCTATCCACTGAACCACTGAGCCAATATTGGAGATAAGTGCAATATGCGATAGTGGTGTCGAGGACTGCCATAGCAATATATTGTGATTCTAACCTTGCCCAAAAAATTCAGTATGCATGTAGGAACTGCAATGATTTTGTGAATGAAGTTGCTCTCATTTAAATTTTTCTGCCATTTTCTGTTTTGTTCTTCCGGCTCGAGCAAAAAATGGTTTATGCATGAAAATCCACGTGATTTATACAGTACAAATAAATGTTGCCCATCTTTTCCATGGACATTTTTGCACTTGCTGTAAATGATGCACTTATCTATATTTATATAACAAATAATCAATACTAGCTACTTTACACTTTTTCATTATTATAAGAACCTTCTAACCCTTAGATAACAATAATTATTTAATAATGTGTTCAGCTTTAGTTAAAAGTTCTCATTGTGGCTGGTCCTCAGAGGGTCAGATGAAACCAAAGTATTCATGAAGACATATGTATTATTCCTTTGAGACTTCAACATTGTGTTTGTTGTGATTCTATGCAGTGAAAGTATGGGGTTGGTTGGTCAACATTCTTGCTAAAGAGAGTGCTGCTTAAATGCAAGTATTGTGTTACAGTAGATGTTCATATTGAGTAAACAAAGACAAATTAGTACAAACAAATTGATTGAACCATTATGTCTGAATTGAAAATGTCTGGATATGACTCACTGACTTGGCCTAGACTGCTTTGTCCATATTATCTAGGCTGTACAGAAATAGCCTGAGAAGAAGAGTGATAAGCCGTTTTTTTCTTTTCATATTCCTCCCTGAGCAATGGGCATGTACTGGGTCTTGGATTATTCCAGGCAAGTGCAGAAAGGGCATCCATAGTGATACAAAATATAGCTGGATGTTGTAAGAATGTATGCTTTAAGTCTCAATAAAAGTGAAATTTGAACTGCTCTTATTTAAACACAACCCACAATTTCAGTGCATGTTTAGGTCAAGGGTTAGTGAGAGTTCAAGCCCATGGAGACCCCACTCTGCAACATTACACTCCTGTGCTGCAACATTACACTCTCAGTGAACAAGGGCTTCCATTTTGGAGGTGATCCGAATCACAGTGCTATGTCCAGACGGTAATGGAACTGCGCCTCTAGGTGGAGGCCTCTGCTCAATGAGCGCTTGTCTTCTTCCTAATTAAAATAACCAAATAAATGTAACTATAAATAGATTTAAATACAAATGAATTAATAGATCTAAAGTGTGAAAAAAAAAATTATGTTTGTTTTGCACTTGAGTGATAAGTTATAAGTCACAATTATCTTCTTTGACTGCACAGTTGCATTGTCTTTTCCGGACTGCAACAGATTTCAGATAAAGTGAACCAGAGTCTGTGTGGTTTTCTCTGTTCAAAGATGTGTGAGGTGAAAGGAGAGGAGGGTGTCAGCCTCATGACTCAAAAGCACTGGGTGCTCCTTGCCTGAGGCCCATAGCTGCTGACTTAAACATATGAAACTAACAGTTAACATGTCATTCTTGTGAAAGACCAAGTACACCTTTGTTAGCTACATGATTTTTTTCAAGAGAGATTATATGTAAGCTTCTCATGTCAAGTCATCATTAAATGGCCCTAATACGTCAAAACCAGGATTTCTATTGGGACCTTTCTGAAAAAGGTGTTGGTTATAGATGTGTTGCTGACAAAACTCTTGTCTATTCAGTTATTATTATCATGTGCCCAGCTGGATTTGTCTGCATATCTGGCAACCTGAGTCAGGGAGAGTGGGACAGATTTCAGTTCCACTTTTGGCCAGATTTTTTCATACGGCTCCTTTAACTTGACAATGAGTTGTGTGTATAATCCATGTGTTTGATCAATAATGCTTCCTACGCCATGAACTGTGGTTGTTCTGGTTTTATGAAGCTCATTAGAGAAGTGATGACGCAATGATAATAAAAGTTTGCGCAGCAGCTGAGCCAGCCGTATGCTGTTTCTCCTTTGCACACACGCTCGTCTAAGTAAACATGGCTCTGAGCTGTCTGAGTAAACAGTGGTGTGTAGCCTGCGGCATGATGCAAAATAATTAGAGCTGATTCAGTCTCCTCTGTGTGTTTGTGAACAGGTGAGGCAAAAAACATCCCTCCATACCCTGGGCCCAACAAGATGAGGGACTGTTACTGCACCGTCAACCTGGACCAAGAAGAGGTCTTCAGGACCAAGATTGTCGAGAAGTCACTTTGGTGAGTGCACATTTTCAGCAGTTTCACACATTTAGGAGGAATAGATTGTCAGCAATGGTCGTAATTGAAGCAGTGGAGGAAATTACGCAAGACAAAATATTCAGCAGGGGCTTTTTTATTTCAGGAAACTGTTTGTTATTATTATTAATAATAATAATAATAACAATACATTTTATTTAAAAGCGCCTTTCAAAACACCCAAGGACACTGTACAGGCATAATAAAAACATTAAAAACAGAAGCAACAGAATAAAACAGTAAAGTACAATATGGAATGGTGGGTGCGTGTGTGATTAGGTGGGGTAGGACAGTCTGAACAGATGGGTTTTGAGTCTGGATTTGAAGAGTGGAAGAGAGTCAATGGTACGGAGGTCAGGGGGAGAGAGTTCCAGAGCTGAGGGGCAGAGTGGCTGAAGGCTCTGTGTCCCACGGTGATGAGTCTGGCTGGAGGGGACGGAGAGTGTGAGAGTGGAGGAGGAGCGGAGTGTGTAGGCAGGAGTGGCAGGGTGGAGGATGTCAGATAAGTACGGAGGGGCCAGGTTGTGAAGTGCTTTGAAAGTGGTGAGGAGTATTCTGAAGTTAATGCGTTGTTTGACAGGAAGCCAGTGGAGTTGTTGTAGTACGGGGGTAATGTGGTCAGCTGTAGGGGTCCTGGTGATGATGCGAGCTGCAGAGTTTTGGAGGAGCTGGAGGGATTGGTTGGGGAGGCCGAAGAGAAGTGAGTTGCAGTAGTCAATCCTAGAGGTGACGAGGCTGTGGACGAGGATGGCGGTGGTGTGAGGGGTGAGAGAGGGGCGGAGACGAGAGATATTGCGCAGGTGGAAGTAGGCAGACCGAGTGATGTTATTGATGTGAGATTGGAAGGAGAGTGAACTGTCGAGGATGACACCCAGACTCTTGACCTGAGGGGAGGGGAGGACAGGTGTGTTATGGATGGAGATAGAGAAGCTGTTAGATTTGGAGAGAGTGGAGGGGGGGCCTATGAGAAGGACTTCAGTTTTAGAGCTGTTGAGTTTGAGAAAGTTGGAAGAGAACCAGGAATGAATTTCTTCTAGACAGAGGGTGAGGGAGGATGGAGGGAGAGAGGAAGATGGTTTAGTGGAGAGGTAGAGCTGGATGTCATCTGCGTAATAGTGGAAGTGAATGTTGTGACGGCGGAGGATGTGACCGGGTGGGAGAATATAGATGATGAAGAGGAGGGGCCCCAGGACAGAGCCCTGGGGCACACCAGCGGAGACAGGAAAAGTGCTGGATTTGTGGGATTTGAGATTAAAGTATTGTTAAAATACATTAAATCATACTATACCACTTAATAAGCTGGAATTTAATGGAATAAGGGGAGTTGCCCATACTGGATCAAGAGTTATCTAACAGACAGGATGCAGTTTGTGAAAATGGGAAACATTGGGAAATATTGTAAATACTTATAATAATACTTTTATTATATATTATAATGAATGTATCATTTCTGCTTGAATTAATAACCTCAATCAATCAATTAATCAATCAGCTGAGTTAATTATCTATTATATAAGAAAATATAAACCTTTTTGATCTCACAATGGAGAAATTTACATATGCACTATTCATACTGCCTTTTGACAATTCCTAACAGTCACTTCGTCAGCGATTGATGGAGACAGTAATGACTGTGAGTATCTCTGATCTGTTGTTTAGCGAATCAACAGCTTTGTAAAGTCCTCCGAGATGATAAGGGTTAAAAAAAATATTTAATTGAATTGTATGGGGACGCAAAAAGACACACAGCCCACTGCCACTGCCACTTTGAGAGACGAGAGAGATAAAAGAGCAGGTGTCTCCATAGTTACGCAGTACAAGGAACTATACTGCAGCCTCTAAAATATGTTTTGATATTGTTTGTTATTCATATTTTATATCGAATCGGCCCAATCCATTCAATTCTTTTCAACATATTTTTGTACAGCCTTAAATCACAACAGTAGTCATCTTGGGGGACTTTACAAATGATTGATTCTTGATTCGCCGTTATCAGAGAAGAAAACCAAACAGTTCGAACACAGGAAATGCAGTAATAAAAACACATAGAAGCCAAGTCTTTAAATGTCCCGTATCAAATATATAGAGAAAATGTATGTACATAATAAATACATAAACAAATCTCTTTGTGCATAATATAAATGCTTTAACTGTTGTAAATTCTTTCTTTAGTCTTATTTAAGAAAATGTGTTATTATTTTTCACAAATGACTATTATTTTATATATTTGCAACAAAAGCAGTTACTGAGTGTTTGGCCTGTGGAGGGATGCATATTTCATCACAGTGACTCACCGTCCATGGATAGCCGAGTTGAATATGAATTTTTTTTAGTTGTTTGAGTTGAGTTTAAGTTCACAGTTCAAGTTGTGTGTACGTTGCATTCCAAAGCTCCTTTACTCTGGATATTTTTGAATTGCAACATCAAATAATTAGTAAGTAATAAGTAATGAGTCATATGTTTGATACCGTTTTCAATACTCCAGAGCTCAATTATGAACACTACATGCCGAGCTCCAATCCCCTACATGCAGTACACATAATTGGATATTCTCTGTAAATCTATGGAGTTCAATTGTTGTTAGTAAGAGAGGAAGTCGGTAATGAGCGTCTTGAGAGGCACAACTCATGACACCCTCATTTACGGCTGTTCATTTTATACTCACTGAAAACATATTCAAAAAACGTTTTCAGCATTTTTAATTTCAGATAACATTTAAAGATTTGACCATGTTTTTTCATACCACAAATGTCTAAATGCAGAGAATGTTTTACAACTGGCTTTCCTTATATCATCACCAGCAACAGCACTTGTCGTTATTAATGGTTGTGTTCTTTTGTCTTGCAGTCCGTTTTATGGAGAGGACTTTTATTGTGAGATCCCACGCAGCTTTAGACATCTCTCCTTCTACATATTTGACAGGGATGTCTTCAGGAGGGACTCCAGCATTGGTGTGTACATTATTGTTTTGTGATATTTTTTATTGATATATGTCTATTCTTTTTTGTCAACTTCTTTACAATGTATGTTAATATTTTTCAGAAAATTATTGGAGCCAATATGTTACCATGCAGTAAAAACTAAATATTGCTGTATTTCTCCCTTGTTGGCTAGTTTGAAGACATATTTACTTAAGAGATAATTAAAGAGGTCTGCAAATTGATGTGATATCTCATATTTGTGGATCAAACTAAATGTCAAATTGTGAAGAAAGAGAAAGAAATCCTATAAAATACATGCCATTGGTCGAACTATTCTTCTCCTGGAAATCTCACTAACCATGGTTTTGCCAAAAATAGGGAATGTGAATACTATTGGATACATTACTTTTGAAATACAGTATATTACATTTCCATGATACCATGGGGTCAAAAGGCCAAAAATAGGCATTCTTTTAATAAAAATGATCTAATGGAAGGTGCTGACATCAACTGTAAACTGGAGTCTACTAACTTAAATAGAATAACTGTTCTATAATTCAAGTGTCTAGCTTTCAAAACAGTTTGGTTTCTATCACTATCCTGTATTTAAGGCCTCTGTCCCATCTTTAGAGTAGCTTTTCCTGAGAAAAGAGAGGACCACCATCACTCAGCCAATCAGCTCAGTATGTAAAATGTTTTCTTATATAGTTCGTGGATAAAGACAGCATGGAGAGGTCTGCATGGAGTGGTCACAAAATGCTTAAACCTCATTGGTCAAAATAATGTGAAAAGAAAATAGTGTGAGGAGATTAGAAAGACTTTATGCACTTTTTGATGTTCTACACTACACACTTTGATGAGAATGATTTTGACAGAGTTTCAGCTGGTAGTGTTTATGTGATGGTTCTCAATAAAAAGTTTTGCCACAGCTCAAAATGACTTAAACAAGACTCTTTCTCTTGGAGCAAACGCAATGTCTCCATGAAACACAACACAATCTAGATACTCCAGCTTTAAGTGTTTTTTTATTTTTATTTTTATTATTGAACATTACAGTGAAATGACCAAAACATAAAAGTAATAGGAAAGATACCACAATATGTCACAGTAAATCCTCTAAAAACAGCCATCTCATTCATTGGGATAATCTATGAACTGTTTTATCTGTCGCAAAACAAAAAGTCAATTTCTTGTGATTCATTTAAAATCTCATCATAATACACCCACCTCTGTTCTGGTAACAATGTAAATGCTGTTGTGGTTAAATGGGTGTTGTGGTTTGTTGGGTGTTTATTTGCCATTTGTTTGTTGTGTATTTGATTCTGTTGACCACAAACTGAAAACTTTCCTTAACACCCATCTCAGATCCTGCTTGTGGTTCTGCTGTAAACACTTTTGAACTGACAGGGTCGATCTGGGGCCACGGTTCTACTCAGTTTTTCCTTTGTATTTTCTCCCCCCTGGTGTTTATTGACATTGGCAAACTAGCACTTGATTTGACGTGTGAGCGTGTGCAGACACTGCTTTTTAGGAAGCCTTGTCCACACCATGAGCGTCTGTGTTTGTGCGCGTAGGTAAAGTTGCAGTGAAGAAAGAGGATCTGCAGAAGTACCATGGGAAAGACACCTGGTTCCCGCTTCAGCCTGTCAGCGCCGACTCCGAAGTTCAGGTCAGTACACCGCACCACACAAACTGTCTTCAGCTTGGCTACAATTATCGGATCATTTTCCAAACCAAGAGATGTTGTTTTGAGCATTTGATCTGCACCCAGACAGAATAGTCATCACAACCATTACATTTCTCAATACAATGAAGAAAATCACTGGAACTAGTCTGAAAAGGTCAAATTTTGAAAGTTTTGTGTTAAATACATGTAACTTAAAATCATAAAAAGTGTGTTAGTAAGTTCGTGATTCTTGTAATATTTCGGAAAACTGATTTTAAAATTGGGATAACTTTAGTCATCTTCATTTATGAGAAACAGTGACCACATTGAAAAGATAAATTGCAGATGTGTGTTAAAGGTTTAATAAATTCTTGTGCTACATTTTGAACAGTTCTCAGGTCAATGTCATGTATATCACGTGATTTTCTTTATTATTACACTTCCCTCTCGTCAGTGGGAACCAGGAACATTAAACTAGAATTGATCCCAATCTTTTCATTGGTTCTTTGTTTGTTGGGTTAATACAAACAAACAAAGCTGAGAGCCATAGTAAACTCAAATAAACAAAAGGTTGAGGATGGAAGGAGGGGCATTTATTTATGTAGCCCATTTCATAGATGAACTGCAACTCAATGTGATTGACAGAGACAATGCAGCTAAAGAAGACAATGGCATCTCTAAGAGTATACAGACAAGACAATAGGGTCTTTAGTAAACTCTTGAATGAGCACTTTTGATATCACTAGACTGAGCGTTCCATTCACAAGGAGCATATGGAAGAAAGCTGCTTCTGCTACATTCAGTTTTACAGTACATGAAGTTGAAGTCTTGTTTCCTAGACTGCATACCCTTTTGTGGAGAAGCAAACCTTCAATTACAGTTAGAAAAATACAGCATTAAAGGATCTGGGTAAGTCAACAGCAATAGAAAACAATGGAGTCAATATCTCACCTTTTGGTATTTCCCTGAAACCCTATCAGTGCATAAACAATGCATTTGTTTTTGGGTGTATTATATGAACAGTGATTGAATTACCTCTAGACAAAGGGAACACAAAAAACAAATGATAATTGAAATGTTGACTTGTTCAATGATAAACCAGTCCTGCAAGATCCAATTGTTTTAAAAGTTGAAAATGTACTCCCATTATTTTTCACAACAAACATTACTTTTTCTATCTTGAGTTAATATTTAAAGTAAAGGCTTTGTCTGTTTTGTATCATGTGTGACACGTGTGGATCATCCATATACATTTGTGCATTTTAAATAAAAATATTGTTTTAAATAAAAATAAATGAGCCTGCTGACTTCCCGACTTCTTTTAGCAACACAAAAAAACGTTTCAATTTGTTTAAAAAACATCTGTGTAATGTCGATCCATGAGAATAATAATACAGGAAAATGCCTTGCCACATTGTAATTTCTCGGGTATGAGATCAATAAAGTATATCTTATCTTATGTTACCTTATGCTTTCAGTATAAACACTGTCATATTTTCATAGGTATTCTGAAAAAAGGCTCAGGGTCATAAGCTCTAAATAGGTGAATAATAAAAATGTGATGAATGCATTTAGGGTAGTTGAACCAATTAGCTGGTTAGCATGACTCCATCATGCATTCAAATTCTTGATATTTAGATTTTTTTAAACTCCAATGGGGAATGGGGATTATAATTCTAGGAGCAGCTTGGACTTGAAAGTGGGTGGGACATCCCCAGCTAAATTGAGATTACACAAACATCTATCTATCCATTTTCTTCCACTTGATCTGTAGCCGGGTCACGGAGGCATTACACAAACATGCTTGAATACATTTAAGTGAGTAAATCAGGAGAGGAAACGATTAGAGCACGGATAATAGCTTCTAAAATGTCACACAACACGTCCCCTTTAAGTTGTTCAACATGCATTCTTATGAGGCCCCTTCTCCCACACTTGTTCACTGCAGCTCTATATATCTCCCAACTGTCTGTCTCTCTCCTCCCCCCTGGTCCCCCACATGCTGCTCACACGGACACGACCGGCGAACTGTAACATCTGCAGACAGAGGGGCGTGTGTGGCCCCGGAGCTGTGGCCAAAAACAGAGACACATTCATGCTACAACTCACACAGGAAGGATGTGATGGAGAGGGAGAGACAGTGAGGATCAAGTGAAGTCGAAAGATAGAGTGTCTCTGTAGTCGCCTCAATAGTGGACACACTGTTTGGCTCCAGTGCGCGGTTGTAAAGGCGTTTGTGATGGAGGCTGCCTGCGTTTGCATACTGACCATCTTAATTAATAGAGGTTTACTCGACAGCTGTGCCGCTTTCACTGTCATTATGTCATTATTGCGATCATTTAAGAGGGAAATAGCTTCAGCGTGACCGGTATCAAGTCCTTGTTTTCACATTGATGCCAAGTGGTGGACAAAATCCTCCTTTATAAATAATGCAGAAGTAAACAAACGAACAGACTATACGTGCAAGGGAAGCCAAGTCTTTGACAGCAATACAATACTGCCATGAATGTCAAAATTGCACTATATCAATTAATTTGAAAGATTCAAGATTAAATTCTTAAATGCTAATAACATTTCAAGTGTTTGTGTGTATCAATCCATCAAGATGTTTTGCTAAGGGGCCGGACAAAGCCGCCAGGTTAAACTTAATTATGGCAGGGCTTTTCAAACTGATATATTTTGGGTGGTCCGCCATATTTATATGGTAAAATAAATGTAAAAAGGCTTAACTATTGCTCTGCCAAACCAATACCAAACCAGGATTAAACAACGACTGGGCTATTACCAATTAGCCTTAAACCACAATTAACCCAGAATTAAACAAGTAGACAGCATCAGCCAGTTCTAAACCGAGATTGACCCAGATGTAATGTAGTAAACAATGAAAAACTGCATGTTGATAAAATGTATATATAAAATAACAGTACAGATGGCTACGGCTTGTCCAGTCTGGTTGTGGTGGAAAAGCATTGGGAAGCATCTCTGTAAGATCCCTTTAGTTCTTGATGTGCCACAAGTCTGCAGTGACTGACCTTGTGAACTGTGTTTTCTGCAGGGTAAAGTGCACCTGGAGCTGCGTCTGAGTGAGGTCATCACAGACAGTGGAGTCATCAACCACAAACTGGCCACACGGTGAGACAGCGGCTCACACAAGCTCATGTGCACATTTACACAGGTCTTTTGTTGTTTAATGATGCATTCTGTGGTGCTAAAGATAACATCACCAGCTCTGGTTTATGAACCTGCAAATGTGTCTTCAGTGATATCACCGGTTTTAGAGCGATGTGATAATCATATGACAGCCGACTAAACTAAAGACTTTAGAATATAATGAAAAATTAATCCAACAGGTAAGCCACGTCCTGGCCCAGCAGTGTTGCCTGAGGGGTCTAGAGGTGAATGTGGATGAACGAGTGTATGATCGAAGCTTCTTCCTGTTGTCAACCACCCTCCTAGGATGAAATGGTTTTCAGCTATTGATAGATAGATAGATAGCGATAAAGTATTTATAGATAATGTGTCCATGCGTCTGCCTGTGGTATACCGTATTTCACTGTCAGATCGAACAAAGCTTTTAAATGTGGATTTGCATGGCACAAATGGTCTTCATCCTTTATTCTGCGTGATTCATTTTCCAAATTTGTATTGTGAAATTTTGCGTGCAATCAACGTGCTTTATGGGCACCGCACTAATATTTTATTTTAGAAACTAAACGGTCAATAACATTAAACTTTTTATCCCCCATTTTTACGAGCTAAACTTGTTCAATAATGACATGCTTTTCAGAAAGGTCTCAACTGTGGGTGAGCAGCCTTTGAGGCTATCAAAATTGAAAGTTGTAAGATTAATCTTTTGATGTAACCATTTGACACTGATACACATACCGTTATTTGAGTTTGTATGTGCCATTTATGCTAAAAATAGTACTTCTCAGAAATCCTTTCAAATCAAAATACACTACATGCACTACACTTCAAAGGAACTTCATATTCTGAAGAACCTTTACAAACATAATTTTTTTCTCAATATCACATATAGATAAATAAACTTCACTCTATTAAAGCTGGGTTACCTAACTTTTTTTATTTAAAAAAAAAAATAATGCCTGTCTTGACATGACAAATCCTGTTACAAAACTTGTCATCTTTTGCATACTTGTTTACTTCTATTTAACATTTTGGACTAATGGAGGGTGGCCCTCTCTTTTCCACTTCTCTAAAAAAAGCTGATCTAAAGATGTGAGGCCAAAATACATCATGTGCAAGTGAAAACTAGCTTAATGTGTTGGTTTGAAAGTTAAGTACCCCAGCTTTAAATTCCCCAAAAAGCAATGTAATGCAGACAATTAAAAGACATACATCAGATTCATTGAAGAGAACAATTCTGCAGATAAAATAAACTAAAAGAAGGTACTCATAGCAAAAAATTTTCAGGGTTTTAAACCAAACATTGTAGAAATAGCAGTGTGTTTACTGGAAACAAAGCCCCCAAACATGCCTCTGTTCCCCTGTGTGAGCTATATCTCCTCAGAGTGATGCGCTTATGCATGGATTATTCTGCAATTGTGTTTGTTTGCCTTCTCCCTGTGTAACACGCAGTGGTGGAGGCTGATAAATGTGATCTGATGAGCCAGTGGCTGCGTTCCCACCGCTCTCTGCAGATAAGGAGCTTACAGAGCCCAGAGCAGGAGGTCAACTCGTCAGATCTCTCTAGAAAGACACGTGTATGAAGGAGAGCGGCTCCATTCAGCCACCGCAGAGGCTGAATGAGGCTCCCACACACCTGTGCACAAGGATTACGGCAAAACATGATTAGATACGGCTTCGAGACCAGAGGCTAAAGCAAATATTTATTTCAGAAAATGTCATTTGGATGTAAATGTTTTTATCATATTTTAGCAATGGGGGATTAGCAATGTATCAGTCCCAATTAGTCCCATCATTACATATTTCAACAAAAATTATAATCATTGTAGATGATTCTTTACTGACCTGTCCAAAACAAGGTATTTGCTTCTTAAGCATTAAGATTTAATTATGTTATTGTTGTGTTTAATAGGTCCATAATTAAACTAATCACTGCAAATATTACAATCATAAGTAAAAAGAAGCAAGGGTTCATGCCACTAGTGTGCATGCGGGAGCAGAATAAGGATATGGGCAGAATAAATACAAGTGAAACTCAAAAAATTAGATTGTACAAAAGTAAATTTACTGATATTTACTGATATAGATTTACTGATTCAATTCATAATGTAAATTACACACAAAGTGAGATAAATCAAGCCATTATTTGGTATATTGTTGATAATTGGCTGACAGCTTCAAACACCAAAATAAAACCTCTCAGAAAGTTTGAATTTTTTGAAAAATTGTGTTGACCATATTCGTAAACAGTAATAATAATGTATAACAAGGCTTGGCATGTCTCTTCATATACATTGTGTCTAAATCCTTAATTGGTTTCACATGTTAATGTTAATGTTAGTGTTGAATTACAGAAATAAATCACATATTCTAATGTTCCAAGTTTCACATGCATTTGAGCAAGTAATGTATTTTCAACACGGTTTTCTGATGGCATATTTTGGATTCGTAATCATTAGTCTGCCTGCGTTCTGTTTAGTGTTTTGTGGGTTGAGTTGAGTTCTGTGGTCGATTTTATAGCTTTTAGAGTGCCCTACAAATAAATGTGGATTATTCGCAATTGTGCAAATAAAAGTCTCCAACCGCAGCTGCTTTGGGGCTGACTACATAAGTCGTGGGTGTCATTCTGCGATTATTGTCTTAAACAGACATAAACGCATTCATCCATTCAAGGATTGGAGCAGTTATGTTCTTTTGTTTCAAATGATGGTGACAGACTTCTATGTTATGTTTATATTTCATGGAGACATTGAGTCATATGTCTCAACATAAACTGACTAGTCTGAATCTCATTTAGTACAATGCCCCGTAGTCAGATCCTGGGGCTGTGATGTAACTTGCCAACTTTTATTCCTGTGAGCAACACTATTTTTAACGGGATACATGGGTGCTGAAAGAATCAGTTCGCCTAATATGAGTAATGTTGACAAAAGCAAATAAGTCCAGCAATCAAGTAGGAGAGGTGGGGCAGAGCTAACGAGGAAGAGTGTAGCAGGCCGAGCAGGGGTTATATAAACAAGCTTATTGGACAGGAAGTGCTGGCATTACTGACGCTTAACCCATCCCTCTCCTTGTCCCTTATTAGGAGCCTATCTACTGTTGCGTGAGTGCGGCGGAGCTTCAGACGTGGCCAGAGCGGCGGTGATTTGGTGTGACTAGTTGTGCATCACTGTGACACACAGGAAGTGATCTATCCCGCTGGGTGTCCTCTCTTGTTGGGTACTAATCCCCTTACAGCATGATGTCATCTGGGAACAGGATGGGGAGGCTGGAGGCTGGACATGTTCTGACAGGAAGTTACATACAGCATCAGATGAGGCGCATGCAGAGACCGAGGAATCTGTGCCATGTCATTCCAAATGTACTGTATGTGATGATATCGTTGCTTTCTAGTTGCATTCATGTAATTCATTGAATGCATCTTCTCTCACTTCTTTGACAATAGAAGTGTTACTGTTCATAATATATTCCATATGTTTTCGGATGATACAGTTTATTTACAATATCAATGAACCAACATTTATTTGAATGGCACAGTTCATATATACTAAAGTGCTTTACAAGACTAGATTGATCTGTGCATAACCCTGATTTCTGCTATTTTATTATACAGCCATAATAATCAAAAACAAGCGCAAAACTCAATCTACTTTGTTTCCAATTCCAAGTGACTTCAGGTACATTCCATCTGTAGAAAGTAGAATCTACCTGTACCTTTTCCTTCTTTATTTAAAAAAGTATGGAAATCGCTAAATTTCTATTTTGTGAAGTGCACTAGTTGTATATAGAAGAAAGTTTAAGGAATATTATGAAACTTTTTTAAGCCTTTTTACTCTGTTTACTCTTACTTGATTACACCAAAGTAAATTAGTTGTTTGTGAGTGCCTGTTATTTACAATGTAAGTAAGTAAGTAAGTAAGTAAAGTTTATTTATATAGGGCCTTTCAAAGACCAGGATCACAAAGTGCTTCAAATTTACAAACATACTGAGAAACAGTACACTTAAAAGTCAGTTCAAATAACAAATATACAGAATAGTCACACTTCAAACAGGAATAAACAGGATTCTGAATGGTGAATCAACCAATTATGATTGAGAAACAGATAACTCATAATAGTGCTACTGCATTTCACAACATTTGATAGAGGGGCACTGGTAAATTACATTTCTGCTACTATTTCTTCTTATTATTTTATTCCCATTATAAATTCCAAAAGGAGCTGTAGTAAAATGGTTTTGTCCTGAATTTACCATCACCCAAAGGAGGTACAGTTGAGGTTTCTGGGGTGAAGAGTTTACAATACTATCTATGCAAGTGTGCTTCGTGAAACAATGATGTCGAAGGTTGTCCCTCTTCCTTCTGTGAACCGTGACAGGAAAAGTGCTAGAGAGCAAGTGAATGAATAAATCAGCATTTGTCCCAATTCCATAGCACTGTTCTCTTATAGCAATCCAACCTCAGAAGGGAAGTAGAATTATTAACTAAAAAATGTCAAATTTGCGGTAAAGTTTAAAAGAGAAGAAAATGAAATGCGTTTTTTTAATGTTGTTTAATGTTGTTTACTACTACTGTATGTCACGTTGCAGTTTATCTTTGCCCCAAAAGGCAGAAGATCAATGCTGGAGATTGAAAAGTTCCAAATGTATTATAATGATCCACTGGTGTCATTACCACTTCATCTAATTCACATTAAGGCTGGTGCTATTTTAGCTTTTTTTTCTCACGGTGCTGGCTCAAAGGAGACACGAGCATTTTGTGAACTTGTCTTGTACAATAGAATTACTTATAAGCTTTGGGTCATGATGGAATGGACATGATCGAGCTGGCCTGGGAATGCCTCGGGATGAGAGAGATGCCTCCTCTCCAGATGTACGTGGAGAGAAGTCCAGGCTCTGCCCAGACTTCCTCTACGATCAGGGCTCAGATAAAGCAAACGGAAAATGTATGCATACAGAAGTGGTGAAACTCAGGAAAAAGAAAAGTTAATTTTCAAAATGTATTCTGTAATTCAACTTAAAATGAGAAACCGTTATCACATAGACTCATATAATGGTCTATGTCATGTAATGGTCATTGTAGTGTTACAGACTTGTTACAATCAGAATATTTTATTGTTTATTGTATGTTTTGTTTGGACTTTTCTTACAACATTTGTCTTGGTATTGTAAGTGGAAGTATATACTGTAAATATAAGATATGATATTTAATCTTTTATTGACTAAAGAGATTTAAAGAGAAATTTGTCTTGGGACAGGGGTTTACTTGCTTTACACACACACACCACATACATTTACACAAACCACAGTAGACATGTAATAGACCAAAATAGACACAGGTAAGAACACTATCAGAGACTTCTTGGACCATAGAAAACCCCTAAAGTGAAATAATTCATTGCGCTTGCCCTAACCCTAAAGTCTTTATTGCACTTACCCTGCGTCTAGATTGCAGTTTTTGTTGCACCTGTAAAACATGGACTTTTGAACAATATTATAATTTTCTTATTTCACTTGTATAGTTTAAATTAGTGTGTAGCTTTGTGTACAGATATCATTAGTATTTTTGACAACTTTGGCTTCCATCTGTTGATTTAAATTGCTCAAACGTCCTTGCTTGTGGCTTCCAGGCTATAAACTCACATCTACCTTGTAAACTTGGATGCAGAAGAGCAGAAGAATAAATAATCTTGCAGACATAGTGATATTGTGTTGATTTTGGCTGCGCTGTCACTGGGAGCCTTTTGCAGGGTTTGGAGTCAGTGCGTGGGAGGGCCAGATGTTGGGAGTCAGCGGGAGGGGAAGACTTCCGAATGACTTTGCTTTTGTTTCGACACTGTCACGGGCTAAAGATTGACAACATCAAGATCATTGTTTTAGTTAGAATTGTCAAGGAGCAAAGTCGCAGCTTGTTTACAAATTATACAAAACAACATTGCCCTAAATTCATAAAGAATATAGAGGTTTACTATATATTATTTCATGTAACTTATAATTTAAACAACATTCATTATATTTTTTTACTTTCATTTGAAGCTAATTGTCATATCTCTGTAATAATAATGCAGTTTTGTGCGAAAACAAAGGAAAGAATTTAGGTTCAATATTTCAAAATGTTTTCTTGTGAGTGAGTAATATGCACAGCGGTTTTCCATGTGAGTGTACTTTGTCTGAGGGGCCCCAACCTTTTTTTCATGAATAATAGTACATTGTCAGAATGTGTGTCTATTGTGTAAGAAAGATCCCTGTAAATCACTCTTTGATGCTTTGAGCTTATTGGCTGAGTCAGGGTGGTCCTCTCTTTTTAACTTTTCTGTCTTAAAAAGCTGATCTAAAGATGGCCTCCAGCATTTGTAAACTTGGTATAGAATCAAACTGTTCTGAGAGCAAGGAAGTAACAAGAGGTCTGTGTGTCTGCAGAGTCCTGGAGTGCCAAGGGCTTCCCATCGTCAACGGCCAGTGTGACCCCTACGCTGCGGTGTCACTGCTAGGACCCTCCAGGTAACGCTCACGATGCCAAATCATTCTGTATGTGTTTGTGATATGTAGAATTTAATAACTCTTCTCGTTTTCAGGTCAGAGGCCAAAAAGACCAAAGTGAAAAGAAAAAACAACAACCCACAATTTGATGAGGTTTTTTACTTTGAGGTAAGCGTTTTCACATTCAAAGGAAGGTTTTGAGTTGACAAGCTCTAATGCTAAAAAAGACTGCCATACATTATTGAAATATTTCAAAAGTACATCAATTATATTATGAAATGTCAGTGTTGCATCACCAGTTGCAGAACAGTAGGAATGAGAAGCACACAGATATATGACTTCCTATAAGAACCCTTACACACAATCCAATGTGGTTTTACTGCAAATGGCAAATAAATGAATCTGAATCTGTAACATTATTAACTGGAACTAATATTATCAATGATATGCAACAAAGTAATACGGTTTTTTGACAACATTTATTGCAGTGTGCATTGATGTTGTTCCCTTCATAGATATGTGTTGCATAACTTGACAAGAACAGAGTTTAAAATACTGTATCATATGCATTTATATCATGTTCCTCTTCACACAGAGCTAATTACTGCATTAAAGCGCACACATGCTTCTTCTGACTATGTCCTCTTTAACCCCGGAGTGCCCACTGCTCCCCCCTCACTGAAGACGACAGCACAAGAGTATGATTGATTCAGACTGACCACCAAACAATCCCTCCCATTGATTTCTATTGAACAAAAACATCCTATTCCCCACGACCACATAAACAGGCCATCATGTCCCACTGCAGCCTGTGATCACCACACGTTATCCATCAGGCTTTGGCCAATTTCTTTTTTAAATGGCACCTTAATTCTGTTGTGGCATGGCATCTCGATTCTAAGAATTTCCTAATGACATATCCATGATATGCATTACATCCAATTGGCTGAAATTAAAGGCTGTTTCAACTCCGCTCATGTGCTTTTAATTTTATTATTGCATTTTCTTGTTATGTTGTTGCCTTTACAAAACCAGCAGAAATATTGTTTTGGTTTGTTTCCAGGTTACGCGGCCGTTAAGCCACACTAAGCGGCATTTTGATGTAGAAGAAGAGGATGTAGATAAATTAGCAATAAGGTATAAACCCAAACACACATTATTCAAATCTGCTCAGAGCTTTCTTGTAAATTCTGTTCCCATTGTTTGTTTTCAGGGTGGATCTGTGGAACGCCAGTAACCTGAAGTTTGGAGATGAGTTTTTGGGAGGTGTTCGTGTTCCCCTCAGGGTCTTGGGACAAGCAGGAGTCCATGATGCATGGTGAGGAAGAAGAGCCACATTGGCACTGTGTATTGTTGACAGTAATGTAACATTGTTTGATCGCATCTGCACTAAAATACATTTGTTAAAAAACCTTGAAACCTTAAGTATAATTAAGTTATTTGGACATTGAGCCAGCTCACAGTAGGAGTTTTTCTACCTTGATTATAAAAATATATGAAATAATGCTCTAGCCCATTCCCATTACATAGAAAGCTACTACTTAGAACCCAAGCATAATTTTACTTACCATACTCCTCATATTTAAAGCATTTGCAAAGCGTGACAATCTCTAATGCTCTTCTGCGGTTGTTGCATAGGTACTTCCTGCTGCCTCGAGAAAACGGGGGGAAGACGGTGAAAGTGGAGGAGCTGGGATCTCTGCGTTTGAACATTGTTTACACTGAAGACCACGTATTTCCCTCAGAGCACTACACTCCGCTCAGAGACCTGCTGCTGCACTCGGCCAATGTGGAGGTGTGTCGTGGAGCACGCTATTTAGCACAAATCAAATCAATGCATTCAAAATCACATTAACATGAGTCTCAATGGAATGTTTCACATCATTTTAAATGAAATTTTCTCAAGAAAACAACCACACCAATCTGCATTCTAAACATTTCGAATCTAAAACACAATTTATTTAAATAATAATAATTTGTCTATTCGTGTGCAATATCTTTTGGTGCAGTTTAGCTTCAGTCAAACATAAACTAATTTTGTTTAGAAAAATATAAAGCTCATCTAAAAAATCCAACATAATATGAACAAATACTCTTTGTTATGAAATAATGAAAATAGGAGTTATTAATTTCCCTAAAGAAAACGATGGAGACTTTGGTGTAAGAGTACAAATAAAAACAGACCCTGGACCAGAATCAGTTTGATCCCTGGGGTATTTGAAACACTTTTCCCCTCATATACCCGTGTACTGGTGCCCTGTCTACGCTGGCCAGGGGGTACACAGGGAAAAAATCTTGAGAACCACTGCTCTAGAGGTCAAAACTACATTGATTGATAAGAATATTGGATGCACTAAACAAATGCAGAACTATTATGGCTAAAGACATTATGTTTTGTTTTAATTATAATTTAGCTAATATATGATGTCTCTTTTGTTGCAGCCTGTGTCTTCGTCCACTGCTCATACCTTGGGGGAGGTTTGTCGAGAGAAGCAGGAAGCTGCGATTCCTTTAGTGCGACTTTTTCTTCACTACGGAAAGATCGTGCCTTTCATCAGCGCCATCGCCCACGCTGAAGTCAACAGAACACAGTGCGCACAATTCCTTTAAGCTGATATTTCCTCCCCTTGCATTTTTTTTATTTAATTTTATTCCTTGTTTCCTTATAGGGATCCTAACACAATTTTCCGAGGAAATTCTCTGACATCGAAGTGCATTGATGAAACCATGAAGCTTGCAGGAATGCACTATCTCCAGGTTACGCTTAAACCGATCATAGATGAGGTATGTAATTAACATTCGCTGGCTTTCCCACGGTTATCGCTTGATATCATTTATGTCAAATGTATCTGCGGAAAAACATTTTAATCATATATTTTGTTCCAATCTTTACAGATCTGTTCAGAACATAAACCTTGTGAAATCGACCCGGTCAAGCTGAAGGAGTCTGAGAATCTGGACACAAACAGGGTAAAGATTTTTTTTTTCATATCACATTTGTGCATTTAGGTTTTTAAAAAATGTTTTTAAGTTGTCTTACTACAGCTAACGCTAACCATTTGGCCTCCATAATTATCGTATACAGTATTTTCACTCTCTATGATCAATATAAATACTTCTAATTTGTGTTCTATTTTATGTTGAGTTACAAGGACCGTTTCTGGCCTAGAATGTTTCAGTGTGACAATGAACTTAAAAAAATTGTGTCAAATTTGACTTATAATATCAAATATTATAAGACATTTTAGGTACCGTACATGGCAAATAAAAAAACCTCACGTCTTGCCCTCTTCCCACCTCCAGTTCGCCATGTAAGGACGAGCAAAGTTTATGAATGAGATTTACATAAACACAAATTTGTGTGTGAGAGTTGTGGGTCAAACCTGAAAAACGACATGATCGAAGCTCCTTGGAACATTCTGATCCACACTTTTTCACATCAAGTTTTTCTCTTATAGATTACAGACTTTGCGGCTCTATTTAGAAAGTTTGTGAGCTCTATGAATGTGACCCCTGATCTTTAGGAAGGCTGCTGTTGATAATAACTCAAATACATGTTTTGGTGTCGTTTGTGTAGAGCCCAAAATCATAACAGTCGCCTCCGGACGATTTTTGTATACAATTATGTAATTGGAAAATCAAAGAATGAAAACGGTCATGGGCCAATAAAGATTAACCAATGTTGGCAGGAATACACTGCAGCAAGAACTCAACAACTGTCTCCAGTGTCCGCACTCTCCTTCAAGGAAAAACTCCAAAAACCCAGGGGGATTTTTCGGAGGTTTTCCAGCAAAGGAAATACACATCATGAAGAAACAACAAATAGATGATGATTAATAGATATGATTTAAATGTGTTATAATAGCTTCACATTCTGGCTTCCCATCAGTTCGGCTCTGATGCAGCCTTTTGTATTTCAGGAAAACCTTCGCCAGTACGTGGACAGAATCTTCAATGTGATCACCACTTCAGGCGTGCGCTGCCCCACAGTCATGTGCGACATCTTCTTTTCTCTGAGGGAGTCAGCTGCCACGCGTTTTCAAGGTAACTCCACAAAACATCGGAAGCAGCGCAAGTCATCAAGCAGCTCATAATGGAGAGGAAGCGGGAGGAAAGAAATGTTCAGGATGTGTACGCAGCCCAAGGACACTTCTCTTTATTCATGGAGCGTCTCTGAAAAGCTTTTTGTGCTCAGCTATTTGTGTCAGACCTGAAACTACTTAGGCCTTAAGGCAGCATGCTTGCTCACAGTGTGCATGATACAGTGTGTTCTGGATTTGAATGCTGCGCTGCCCTCTGTTGGTCATCATATAGCACTGCACACAAATACATAAACGTTCAGATTAACATTTATCATAACACAGCATGTTACATTGGTGCTGCTGGTACCAATTTATGTCCAATATCATGCTTTCCTGTCCCATCACAACATTCCAAAGAGTGTGCAGTGGTGATAATATGGAAAAAAACATATGCATGATGTTAGCCAGTAGAAAGGACTTCCAGACATAAGAGTAATGGCGGGTTTCTGAATACAATCACTATCAAATAATGATCTGGGGAATAATTTTCTTTTTCAAAATTTATTGAAAAATTCCTTCTTTATACAACAACCATAGTGTCTTGTCTTTTCATTTTCAGTGGATCAAGATGTGCGATACACAGCAGTTAGCAGTTTCATCTTCCTCCGTTTCTTTGCACCAGCCATTCTCTCCCCAAATCTGTTCCAGCTACGACCACACCATCCAGTGAGTCTGCACAACGACACAAAGAATAGCAATATCGGACTCCAAATCATCTAATACATTGTTTATTCTTTCTTTCCTTTTGTGTAGGACCCGGCCACATCCCGAACACTCACTCTGATCTCCAAAACCATCCAAACTCTTGGAAGTCTCGCCAAATCCAAATCAGTGAGTTTAAAAGATACATACTTATTTTATTTTCATGTCCAATTCCTAACATCTGCTCCGCACTGGTCTTCCCTTTCAGGCCAATTTCAAAGAGTCCTACATGGCAGCGTTTTACGACTACTTTAATGAGCAGAAATATGCAGACGCTGTGAAAAATGTAAGCGAACAGAACGGTTCTTGTGGTTTTGAAAGTATGTTAGCAATGCATAACTAGTGACTTTATAGTTTTTAGATCTGATCTCGACATCAGGAAAATGGGACCAGAAAAGTATTGAAACACCCATCATGCTAAAAGAGGGGTAAGCTCGCCATTACGCAACATTATTTCAATAATAAAGCTAATATTTATTTGTAGTAAAACTTTTTCTTATGGTAACTTCTTTCACTTGCTTGTTCCATTATTATTGCTTAGACTGAAGTTCCACATTAAACACATCTATGCATGTTTTACTAGTTGTCATTAAAGCTAGGGTATCTAACTTTTTTCTCATAGATAATACATTTTGTTTATCCCAACAGAAAGAGTCTTGTAAAAGTGAAACGTGAACTAATCAGACCACAATGTACTGTTTTCAGCTTATTAGAAAACATGATCTATTTTGCATACTTCTAAGAAAGAGCCATGATTGGCTGGATAAGAGTGGTCCTCTCTTTTTCCCTTTTTCAAAAAAATATGATCTAATTGATTGAAACTGTTTTGAGAGCGAGGAACTAGTTTATGGGTTTATTTCATAGTTTTGTGAATTTAAAGTTGGTTACCCTAGCTTCAATGTATTATGCCTACCTTAGTAATTGGATCAGTCCAGGCTAAGCAATATCATCTCAATCAGGTGGTGGAAACATAGAAACACCTACTTTAACTGTAACTGGACTGACTTAATAGAGCATCTTCCATGTGGCTTTTTGAAGACATGTTATTTCGCCTTTTTAGCATAACAAATGCTAAATATTTTTGGCTAAATACAACTATAACTCTATTTCACTTTGACAGTTTAGTTATGTACATCCCCACCTTCTTCTGTTAATGCTGTCGTTCTAAAGGAGTGTAAAACTCACAATAAAGAGGGTTGATGGGAAAGGGTCAAAACACAGCAGTAAGGGCAGGTAAGAGCGTCCGTGAATCCGGCTTTGCCCCGTGTCCCCCCTGTGTCCCTCCGACCCAAACCAACCTGCATTAGGAGCCGCTGTAGATGCTATAGCTCTTTGCTTTAGTGTCTGCTATAGATATGCAAGGCCTGATAGTATGCATTATCCCTTTAGGTGCCAGAATGTTTAAAAAAATATTATAGACATAAAACTCACAAAAGGTGGAGCCCTCAAACTTAATAAAATATAAAGAGCTTCTAAAATCAATAACAGAAATGAATACATTGAAGATATGTAAGAAGAGATAGGCATAGATTGTATACTGTATATGGACAATGGGGTACGTTATGCTCTGGCGCCTATTGACATACATTGGAATGTAAACTCTCCGAGATCTGGAACTGTTCGTGTTACACTCAACATATTGCGTTTACAAATATATGGTTTAACACTCTGTATGATCCCGGTCTTTTAGTTTAATATTGTCCTTGTAAATCCAGATACGCAGCCATACACCGGCGCCATCTTGCTGTTGACAGACCAATCAGATGCATTAATTTGAGTTTGCAACAAGTTTACATCTGCCCCTACTACGGCACGTCGGACAATCTGTCGTAAAAAAAATCTCTCAAATAATGAATTTGGCTCTAAACTTGCCATTAGAAGTCTTGCGATCTTCTACTCGGCTTCTTCGACCTTCAGCAAACACTTTCAGTTGCTCCACTCTTTCTACCGTCAGGTCACTGTATCAAAAGTATCCTTTTGATTCAGGTGATCATGGAGAATGTTTTGCTACTTTGGAGCCTAAAGGGTTAATATGAATTTTTGATCACAATTTTGTTTACATTAGAGCTTGTTGGATTATAGAGAAAGTATCACCTTGCTGACATCAGAGAGAGATTACAAGGAATGTGGCAAAGTTAAAGTTGTAAGTTAAGTCATCCATGAAAAGCAAAGAAGGTGTTAATAATGCTTGGTGTGTCATAGTTCTAGCTGGAGTGAACACTTCCATTTTACGGTTTTAAATATGCATCAAAATGTTGGGTATCAATTGCGTGGGAGGACAAGGAACCGCCCAAAAATACATCTGTAGAAAACAATCCCACCCAACTTGCATAAACAGCTTTCGTCAAACAAATGGGTGCTGAACATGCAAGTTATCGATGTGGTAATCCTTTCTACTCATATACCGTGTAGTATGCTCATCTGACTGACTGTGGCGGTTTTTCTCAGTGTAGATAGTGTCAAAGAAAATGTATCTCCCTGTGATGTTTTGTGCAAATGCTCCAGCTTAGTGCAAATGTAAGGCATGATTTAGATTTTGGGTATCGCATTGTTTTATGAGACTATTCATGAGGAGCCCAGAGTTTCCTTATATCAAATCTGAAACACGGCTTCTCCTTGTGGTTTCTTTCCTCGAACAAACTGATGATTGTGTCCCGTATACTTCCCCTTTATCAGCACTCCACACTAGAGACTGTAAGCATGCTCCTCTTGTAACTGCAGGCTGCTGATTGAGGCATGCAAAGGAAAGCTTGCTTATAACATTAATATAATATTGGTGGTTTTAGTCAATGTTACATATAGTCGGGCTGCACGATTTTGGAAATGATCGATCATAATTCAATACACAAAGTGATTAACTGATAGAAGAGGTCTAAGAAATATGAACGGATGCACTGCACATTATGATGGAATATGACTTGATAAATAGTGAATTAAATGTATCACCTAAGTAATTTCATAACTGATATATTCCAAATAGTCCCTCCTCGTCACGAGTACAATTTGCGGACGAGAAAAGTTAAACCAAGGGGAGCGACCTCAACTCTATCAGAGATTTTAATTAATTGCTTCCAATCAGGAACCTTTAGGGGCGGGGCTAACTGACGCTTACGTACGAAAAATGTATCTGACTCTCACTTTAAGTATAATCTTATTTTATTTTATTATTTGGCTTAAGATTTACCAACAAATATCTACTTCAAAATATGACTAAGAAACACGATTTATCACTTGAAAGGTACGTCTAAGATGCCATAAAAAAGTTGAGAAATGATTGTTATTTTTGACTTTCTTTGCAGTTTCATTGTTCGCAAAGGTCTTGAATAATTGCATTTCTTTGCGTTTTGCTAAATGCGACCACTAAAACTGTGATTTTGATTTGATTGCTGTTAATCTTGCAGCCCACAGTATATATACAATAGTCTTCACAGATTTGAATAAAAAACGTACCAGACACACCAATCCACCAAATTGCTATTGATACTTCCAAACCGTAGAAAGGATTTTGTAATAATATGTATATTCTCATTAGCCCAACCATAAACATTATTACAGCTTCAGCAGTGGCCAGTTCATTTTGCTAATTAATTGCAACCAATCAATTTCCTAAACCACAAATCAATACAGCAGTTTTCATTTTGTTTATTGTTAGACTGATTGCTGGTGCATCTGTGGAAAAAAAACACACACACACACACAACTAATTGGAGGTCTTTGCCCATTTCTTTTCAGATTTATGATAAAGCGAGCCCAGGGTAGAAATCGTTTTGGAATGAAGAACTTCAAGAAGAGATGGTTTCGCCTCACTAACCACGAGTTCACCTACCACAAAACCAAAGGTGTGTTTGGGGCTCTGTGGGGTTTGTGTCTGACTGTGTGGAGGAGTGTGAGAAACAATAGAGGAAAGTGCTGAGTTTACACTTGGCTCATGTGAAGATCCTGTTACAGGCGTTAAATCTGCTGCATCTACTGCATCGCACTACACACACACAACGCCAACAACTCCCACACAGACTCAGCAATGTGGTCATGTGAAAACCAGCCGGCGCAATTAATCACATTTATCATTATTGCTTTAATAATTGCTTAACCGCCTCTGACATTTGCTCGGCTTGAATATGCTTTGAAACTCTTCTTACTTTGTAACCGATTGTGTCACATTTATCATTCTGGGCTTAAAAGTCTGTGGTTTGAGGCACAATGTTTCTCAACTGGTGGGTCGGAACCCAGTGTGGATTTTATAAGTGTGTGTGTGTGTTTGTGTGTGTGTGTCTGTGTGTGTGTGTGTGTGTGTGTGTGTGTCTTATTTAGGACAACAATTATCAATTATTTTGATTAGTCGGCCAATTATTCTTTCAAATAATCTAAATTTCTTTCTACATTTGATTAATTCATGAATTAATTTTCATTGTAGAGAACTTAAATGGTTCAGACGTCGTTATTTATTGAGTTTAGCACAAATATGTTTTCTGACAAATGTTGCTTTTTGTCTGACTATACTGTAATTGTGACTGATTCATTACTCATTTCATGTCCCTCTTTTTCTTCCAGGAGAGGGCGCTCTTTGCAGCATTCCCATAGAGAACATCCTGGCAGTGGAGCGCCTGGAGGAGGAGTCTTTCAAAATGAAAAATGTAAGGCCCACACAGAGAGACTTTGCTCAGGCCTCTGGGATTTCAAACTTCCAATAAAAACCTTTTCACACTTTTCCCATAATTGAGTATTTTTTTTGTTTTTCAGATGTTCCAGGTCATTCAGCCAGAGAGGGCGCTGTACATTCAAGCCAATAACTGCGTGGAGGCCCGAGACTGGATAGATATTCTGACCAAAGTGAGCCAGTGTAACCGCAAACGCCTCAGCACGTACCACCCCTCAGCTTACCTCAACGGACACTGGCTTTGCTGCAAGCTGTCTGCAGACACTGCTCCCGGCTGCACGCCCTGCACCGGGTATGTTTAAGCACTTTATGACATCTGACTTTTACTTATTCAACTTCTATTCAATACATTTTTTTATATCCCTAAATCACAACAGCAGTTGTCTCAGAGGACTTTACAAAGTTGTTGATTCACCAACAACAGATCAGTTATTCAAAAAGTTAGACTAGGAAATTCAATAATAGCAAACACATAGAGAGCGGGATGACCAATGCCCATAAATGTTAATACAAGTCCTGCTAAATTTAAAGAAGTATTAATTTGAAGTGTCTAGACATGCCACATCCATATAGTATTACTTATATGGGTCATTCATTTATGTCACAATTTCAGTTAAATTATTGTGGTTGGTAAGTAATGGATGAAATACAGTGAAAAGCCTGCACTGTGGGTCCCAGTGCCCCCTATGAAAACCATTGACTTATACTTGTCTTTTGCAGGGGTCTTCCAGCAAATATACAACTAGATGTTGATGGAGATCGAGAAACGGAGAGGATTTACTCCCTGTTCAGTACATACATGACCAAACTTATCAAGATGCAAGGTCAGATTTTATTACTCAAAACTCCCTATTAAAAGAAATCGAAAAACTGGAGTAGTTATGGCTCAATATTCAATTAAAAAATGATGATTCTAACATTATCATCCATCCATCGAGGGGGCAGTAGTCTAAGCAGTGATGCAGTGATGCCTAGATTTCTCTATCCATTCTCTCCAGCTCATGCCTCGAGGAATCCGGAGGCATTCCCAGGCCAGCTGAGAGACTCAGTCCCTCCAGCATGTCTTGGGTCTCCCCCGGGGGCCTCCTTCCTGTAGGACATGCCTGGAACAACTCCCCTCCAGGAGGAATCCAAAACAGAGGCCCATGAAACTGGGCAAGAGCTGCAGTTTGATCTATACTTCACACATTTTTACAAAAAAATTTCAAATCAGTGATACTGCAAATGTGTTCTATTTCATCCCTCCTGACCGCCAGAGGGCGGTGCATAGCACTGAATGTTCCCTGCGCATGAGAACATTCAGTGCTATGCACCGCCCTCTGCCGGTTATCCGGGATTCATAGAGCTGTGGTTACAGACGTAACCTTTGTTTTAGTGCTAACATCTCACACACTATAATGCTGTATTATTGATAAAAGCACTATTGTCCCTCTTCTCTCTTTTTTAACCTTGCTGATGTATTATTCTATATGTAATTGCTCTAACATAATGTATTCCTTCAAACAGAGGCGTGTGGCAGTAAGTCAGTGTACGACGGCCCGGAGCAGGAGGAATACTCAAGTTTTGTGATTGACGATCCACAGGAAACGTACAAAACCCTGAAGCTCATAGTGTCTGCAGTGCAGACACTGGAGCAGCAGCACACCAAGTACAAACGGGACAAGTTCAAGAAGACCAAGATCGGCAGTCAGTGAGTACCAGCCAACCAATCAAGACTTTGAATTTCTTAGAATTGGGAAAATTATTACATTATACAGAATGTTGTATAGTGTATAGATGAAAATCCTCCCAACATGCTATTTTTAAAATGTATTATTCACTTACAATACACTTGAGAGTGCTGCTTCTGAAAAAACCTAAGTCTTCTCTCGCCTACTGGCGGAAACAACAAGTAATACAACAAACACAAACATCGATGCCACACCGTCCTACTTAAGATACATGTTCTATGCAGTGGGAGCCTTTTTCACTTGTTCTGTTAAATAAACATATTCTTCATGCATTGAATAAAGTTAAGTGTTGGACTTTGTATTATTAACAATTTCAACGCATGTATATTTTCACTTTTGCAGCAAATTGATGCTGGCTATTTATATCTTCGATTATCAACCTCTTTGACTCTACTCTGGATCCAAAACCATCAACTTCAGTCTTGAAAATGATGATGAATGTCTATTGTCCTACATATTGCTAATGGGTGCTTGGGATTATAAGAGTTAGTAATAAAAAAAGATCATTCTAACTTAAAGATTCTAAATTAAAAAAATAAATAAAAGCCCTTCGAGTAGCACAACCAAAAAAATAAAAAATATGTATTAAAAAAAACAATCAATTTTCCACATTTTTTCCACAAAAGTAAATGATCTAAAATACCCCTGACATTTCTTGTTCTGTTTCCAGGGAGCATCCTATCGGAGACAAGAGCTTCCAGTGCTACATCCGGCAGCAGTCCGAGAGCTCCACATACTCCATTTAAGTGTGTTTGAACAGCGTTGTGAAACCAGCAAACCCTTCTGCTCCGTCTGCAGGAGCACTCGGCTACAGCCACACGTCCAGATGTGCCAAACGCCGTCTGTTTTGGAGTTTTGGCAGACAAGAAGCATGTCGGCGGACAGTCCCTGCTTACTGGACAGCCTACTATGTTTTTGGGATCCTATATAAGCTGTTTTGAGGAGCATTTCACTCAGAGACAAACCTTGGATTTCAACAAGGCAATGAAGAACCAGTGGAGGAAATGGAGAATGAAGTTTTGAACAAAATCCAATCACTGGACAATTTTGACAGTGGCGCACTTTACACATGCCCAATGTATGGATGAACAAGCAGCACACCTTGAGCTTTTTGTTTTTTTCATTCGTTGTGCTTTGGGCAGACCAAATTTAAGAAGACAGTCTAGTTTCTTACCATTTTTGAGTGGTGCTGTGCCCAAATTGTTTTACTGTTTAGCTCCAAATGTCCTCAGGAAGGCTGTGAGGGTCGAGGGCACACAAGGGACCAGCCGCAGCCCAAAGCATTTTACACTCAAAATATATTGTTTTAAAATCATGCTTGAAGATTATAATGTTCCATTCCCACATTTCAAAGCCAGCCTTGTTACTGCCCTATATGTAACTGGTACAACGGTTAATGGTTTTAAAAAGCGTTTTTAACACTTTTTTTGTTAATTTGCATTTTGGCCAAATCATATAATAATAGCAATGCCATCTGCTCTCCAATGTTATGTTTGAAAACTTTTACATTACTTTTTATGGGCAAATTTGAACTAATTTTATACTAAAACATACTATATCCTGCCAATAAGTGAACAGTCAGATATTGTCATGTATCTACACCGAAAAGGCAGAGAATCTTAAGGTATTTTAATACATTTAATACATATTTGATTTTTCATTCATGTAATTAGGCAGGTTTTTCACCTTTGATTTGGCAGATGTCCAATGAAAATACCACTGATTATTTTTCTGTAAGTCATATAACTTGTTGAATGATGTTGTTGATATATTGCCCTGTTGGCTGCCTATACAAAACTCCCTGGAATTTTGCTAGAAGTTTCCTCTCTGATCTACCACTATACCAAAACCTTAATTTTTACACATTCCTGTTTGAACTACCTGCTGTTTGCTGATTGTTACTTGCCTGTCCAGCCAAGAATGCACTATATGAGTTTGAAGGAATCAGATAAATGCATGACTAACTGTATCATCTCAAAACAATGATCGTGGCTTATTATTAACATCCATCCATTTTCTTCCCCTTAATCCATTTCTGGGTCGGGGGGTGGCAGTCAGAGATGCCACCCAAGTCACACTTATTATTAACAAAACCTTAATAATAGATGATATTTATTGATTCATGTCAAATCTGTATACGCGCATAAATAAAAAAAGTTTGAAAAGGGAAAAGTGGTTGGATGAAGCGGCCATCACAAGAATGTGATATTCACAAACCATGTCCCTATCCCAATCGTGGAGGAATAAGATTATGTTGTAGGAATTTCTAACTTGTGGCAATATCTCAGATCTCTTATGGCTCATATCAGGATTTACAAAAACATGTAAAAACATAAACTCTGGGATCATAGAGGGAGTGAACCACAGACTATTTTAAAACCCAAAATGTGACACAAACGGTTACTGAACTCATATCGACATTAATTTTGTAAGGTCAATAAAAAATGTCAATAGTAGCCAGAGTGAGTAGGAGCAAAACTTCCGTATTGGGTTTCGTGAGTTTGGGGGTTAGCGTTGTCCATCTTTATACAGTCTGTGCTGTGTTGGGAGTAATGTATTACAAAAGTAAAGTAATTACTGTTATGTATTACTTTTTGCTTCTAGAGAAGCTCGCTGCCATTTTTGTCTCAAGAAAGTCTCTCCGGGTGGTTGGAAGTTGGAGACCCCTATTATATTTAGTGGAATAATTGTAAAAATAAGAATGAAGAGTTATACATTTCACAGAAAACTCTAGATGTTTGCCACATTTGAGAGACTTGTTTGAAAAAAAAGTAGTACTGGCTGGACACGCAACCCAGGTTTTTGTACATTTCACTTTGATTGCCACTTATTCTCTTCTGCATGTACCCGTAGTTTCTTGAGGTCTTAGTTATGGCACCCATCTTCAACACCTGCAGTTGTTTTTTTACTGCAAACCCGTGTGTACATTATGCAGTTTCCTTTCCCAATGCAAATCATGTCCATAACAGTGCCAGAAGTCATCACTATAAACAAAAAAATCATGATGGAAAGTAATTGTCTAGATATGTTTTTACATCACAATTCCAGTACTGTTTTCCAATTGCATTATTTTGCTATATATTGTTCTCATGTTTTTTGTCATACAGAAATGCCATGTAATTGAAAGTGTGTTTGTGTATGAGAGAGAGAGTGACGCATCATGAGTTGCATTGCCAATTGATCTAACCCAGTGTTACCAGTGGCCAAAGGTAGAACCACAAATTGTACAAAGATTCCACTGCCTGATGATAGTCGTATTAGCCTATTTTTCTTGTCTAAAACTACTTTTTCACGTATGCTCAACTTGCTAATAGACTTTTTAAATGTTCTTTCAACCCTAACTCCTCCATTTCTTTTCCCAAAATCCCTTCAGATAAGCCTAACATTACTCATACTGTTCTCTAAAGGAAATCATGGGATTTATTATATTTGTATTATAGATTCAGACTACCTTATTCATCCCAGCAGGGGCAGTTTGTGGGATAAATACAGTAGTTTGAATCTGTAATAAACTATGATAAATCCCTCAATATTTGGGGGTTTAATATTTTACATTCTTCACATGCTACAAGTTTCAGATCAAATTGATTACTTTTTGCTTTCCTCCAATGTCAGTTGTTAATAATGTCATATATAGCTGTTAATGGGTGGGCTCTAGAACAGACAAAAGTATGTTTTCTTTCTCACACATTCCTTATTATTGTTTGTACAATACCAGTTTGTAATGTGCTGTAAACTAAGATACTAGATACAGAACCAATCCAAGGCAACAACACACGGCTCCACCATTGCATTTCCCTTTTTGTGGTGGCTCGAAGAATAGTATGAATAATGTTGGGCTCACATTGTTTGTCATTTTTGGCTGCATATATTTGTATCATTTCAAGCTCTCCTTCCCGAACATCGACCCATTTCTTAATAACCAAAAGTTACAGTATGAATCCTCCTCTTGTTGCCCTGAAGCCAGCAAAGACATGACTTATGCAATAAGTTTCTATGCATGTAATAAGGATAGAAAATCACTCAATGTGCCACTTCCCTTTTCCAGAAACAACAAGCGCACATCTGCTGACCGATAGCCTAATCTGCATAACATGTTATAAAGGGAGAACAGTGTATTTTGTACAAATATTTTAAAAGTATTAAAACAAGCCTCTTAATATGTGTATATACAATGTTGAATGAATGGTGAAAATGTGATGTGTTTTTTCCCTGAATATTCTAAAGAGACCAATATTAATGTAAAACTTGTGTCTTTGTCTTTTGTTGCATCTTCGTCACCTTTGACCAGCCACTTTTGAAAAGTATATTTTAGTTATTGTTATTATCATTATTATATGTTGGCTTAGCCTTTGTGGATGTATAGATGGAATGTGCCAAACAGTGTTGAATCAGCTTGTACATCAATTCATCGCAGTTTTAATAGGAAAAATAAATTCATTTTAAGGTCTAATGCCTTCTTCAATGCAGGTCGATCTATATTAATAAAACTATAATATTAAAATGGAATTTAAAAACAAAAGTTTGTCTCTCTGAAATGACGGACAAACATGTCTGATCTGAAGAGTATATTGATAGTTTCTAATAAAGTCCTGAACTCTTGGTGTCACGTGCTCCATTGTTTTGACAAAGTTGCACAAACAGTTCTCAGCAGTGGTCCCAGAGGGAGACAGCGCTCTCTGCTGCCCCTAGCCCTGGTATCACCCCCTCCCTCCTGCACCACTGACCGCTCCACTGAAAACACTTTCGGGAAGAATAAAGTGCTGCTGCCTCGCTGCGCTCAGAGGCGCTCCGGAGCCGTGTTCTAGAGAAACGCCTGGATATGTTGAGACCCGGTGCGCTCGGGTCTTTGGCCTGCGCCCTGCTCCTGGCGTCTGTGGCTGAGACGGATCACTGTGAGTATGTGAGGGTCGTGCTTTCTGATCAGGAGGAACCGCAACACTTCATGGAGCTAGCTTCGGCTGCACTGCTCCACTTCATACTGGAGCTAGTGCTGGCTCTGGTCTGAGGCAGATGTACAAACTGTAACTACTGACAGAAGATACTCTCTGCATGATTCAAGCTGAAACAATACCCGGCCACTAGAGCTGCTCCACTAAACAGGTCATTTCTGGGAAACAATGTTTCGCAATGAGTCTTTTCAGGTCAATTCAAAGAAGCACAATTGGTGAAGCCCAGCTGGTCCATGCCCCATCAGCCATCTGTCAGACAGACCAAGAGTTGTTCAGGTTCATCATGCAGGCTATATATCAGTTCAATAACTTATAAACTCTGATTGTATGCGTCATAAGGGCTTAAAGTGCATTAACACATAATACTGTTATAAAGCTCTACAAAGTTCTCCCTCTGTACGATTCCCAGTCCTGAGCCGGAGAAGTGCCTCACAGTTCCTCCTCCGTCGGCGCAGAGCCAACTCTCTGTTTGAGGAGAGCAAGAAGGGAAACCTGGAGCGGGAGTGCATTGAAGAGCTGTGCAACAAGGAGGAGGCGCGGGAGATCTTTGAGAACCAGCCTGAAACGGTACCATTATACACCCACTTTTCTTTGAACTAGGGCTGCAGACACTGGACATCTTCCAATCCTGACTCTGCATTTATAAAAGTATGTTTTTTCCCTTTTAGGAATACTTCTATCCCAAATATGTTGGTAAGTTTTCTGACCAGTTGCATTAAATGCTTTGTAAAGCTTATTCATGAGTGTACTTTGCCCACAGTTTGCCTTGGATCACACAGAGTTGGCATTAATAATCAGAGCCCAGATTCAGCCATCCCTTCAAACCTTCGTACATGCGTCAATGGTGAGATTCACACAAACACAGCTGAAGATCAGCTAATGTTTGTAAAATAATGTTTTATGTTTGACAGAGATCAGTAACCAGTGCAGCCCGTACCCCTGTTATAAAGAAGGCTCTGAGCGCTGTGAGGATGGACAGGCCGCCTTCACCTGTGTCTGTAAACCTGGCTGGAAGGGCCTCCGCTGTGAAGACGGTAGCTACACAGCTACACATTAGTGTTTCCATATAGTCTTATATGTCATGATAATTAAAGTAAATACATTTGTAATTTTTAGTTAATCAATTATATGCAATTCTGTAATAGGTTAATTGTTTTTTTGAACCTCATATAGACTGAAACATGGACTGAAAATAAAAATTCTATAGTGACTGCAGAATAAAGAGAAAATGTTTTTACAAATATTTGTTATCAAAAACCCAATGTTTAACAAGTCATCTTTATGAAGCACCTGAGCTTTGTTATGGTCATATGTATATAAATAAAAATCAAGTTCACGTTCGGGTTGTAAACAACTACTCAATTGATCAAAAGAATAATTGTTCAACTAATGAAATATCAAAAGAACCGTTACTTACAGCCATAGTTTGTTCACTCAAAGATAATTCAATTGTCATTGTAATATGATCACCTCCGACTCCTATCCAACATGAAGATTGCAAATGATCTTTAACCATGGTAGCCTGCTAATAATTAAAACAGAACCAAAATTGTTTTTTCTTTATAAAAAACATATATTATTTGTTTCTCTTGTTTTGACCGTTATGCTGCATATCTTGTGTCCTTACAGACATTGATGAGTGCACAGATCCTGACCATCCCGTCGGCTGTAACCAGAAATGCTACAACTTCCCCGGGAGTTTCCGCTGCATGTGTGAAGAGGGATTCTTTATCAGCGATAGGGTCAACTGTGAGGGTGAGACTTTAAGTCAATCATATGAATATGGTGCAAGGGGAGGTTCATTAAAACCCAGCATGTGCTGTATAATAGAATTACTGTTTGCCTTTAGTACAGGGCCTTAATGTCCTGCAGCTGAGTGTTTAAGTTCACTCTGTACATGGTTCTTTTGTAGCAGCTGGACAAACTTGTTTATGGGGTCTGTGAACTCCATCAAACTTTCTCCAGCTGTTTCCCCGCGTCCATATGTCTTTATGGCTCTGACCAGAGCTGACCTCTTGTGTAACATGTATGAGCTTATGGTTTCTTTGGTTTCTATGGTTTGCCATAGTAATGAACATGTTGATGGTTATTTTAAACAGAAGAAATTATATTATACTGTATGTCATGACCAAGCTGGTGGTAAAAGAAACACATCAATAGTGTGTCAGAAAATCAAACATGTTTACCCAAAAACAGAGTAGAGATTCACCAAGGAGCAGATGAATCAATCTGGCACTGACTACCTGTAGAGCTGTGTCTTTGTCGTCTGCCTGATGATCATCTCCTCCCAGGTGAGCTCAGCAGGATCCACCCCTGATCACACGCAGGGAAATGAGGGGGAGGAGAGTATGGGAACCGGTGTCACAGAAGGGAGTCTCAACAAAAGCCAGCTGGCACGAAAAAAAAGTTACCAAATAAATCCAAAATCAAAACGAGTGCTTCTTAACCCGTGCGCTGACACTCTTGCAATCTCACTCCTAGCCGGTGGGGGTGGACCCGGAAACAGAATTACCCAATGCTTTTGTATGCCGCCTTCTTTCCTCTCGAAATCCGCTTTACAGGATGGTCCAAAAGTTGGCCCTTTGCCCAACACTAGTTCCAGATGTGTGTCAATGCTGAGGGGAGTATTTTTTTTGGACCAGTCTAGTTTTGCCGTTGTGGACTTTTGATTGAACTCGTTAAATGAAAGGGGCCCTTGTCGGCTTACGCATGCTCAAATGTGCTTTTTCACATTCTCCTGTGGGAGGGGCTACCCATGGCCATTTTGAAAAAGTCACAATCCATCCATCAATCAATCAATCAATATTTGTATTTGTAAAGCACATATAAAAACGGCCTAGGCTTACCAAAGTGAAAAACAGCAACAACAAAATTGTATTCATACAAATTAAAAAAACAAACACTCTTCTTAAGCAGGGATTTAAAGTTCTCGAGCAATTGCACAATTCTAATGGGCAAAGGTAACACAAACACAGAAAACTCAGTCAGAGGGCCATAACATTATATTGTACGACATGTAAGGTTTTTTTGTTAGTGAAATTATCCAATTATTAAACAATGTAAACTATGTAAATGTAAATATTTGCTGCTAATATTGATTTATTTGTCCTCAGATATTGATGAATGCCGGATGTATCCTCGTATCTGTGAAAAACCGGCCAAATGTGTCAACACACCCGGAATGTACGAGTGTGAATGTCCCACAGGATTCAAGTACAATTTTATATCGAGAACTTGCGACGGTGAGACCCCCCCCCCCTCTTTTTTTTTCAGGAACTGACCGTGATAAGGGAACATTACATATATAAATTCTAAGGCCGCATTAAAAATCCAAACTTTATGAACGCTGTAGGTTCTCTGTCAGCTAAGGTCGAGCTGTTAGTTTACATTGAGTTATATGGGTAACATTTCTGGGTAGTTCATGTGAATTTAGTCTGCAGTACCACGGGGGCCCCCTGTGCCCATGGGTGGGACAGCTGTAAGTTTGTAATACCCTACCCAGATATTAGTATAGATCCATGTTCATGACAAAGGGACATGCTCTGACCCCAGGAGGCATTCAAAACAGATTCCTGCCTGATGCCGGCTCTGCTCCAAGCTCCTCCATTGTGACCGTAGACTGTAAACCCACCTAGTTCAATGAAGCCCATTGGGAAGCTTATCGGGGTAGTTTCGCTCGAACTCGCTACAACTCCTAATAACTTACATTATAAACGCCTCTAGTTTAGTGACAGACTGTATCACGCGCAACAATTTTGGTTTACTACTGTTTATGATCATGGGGTTTTTATTATGATAATCTTTATAGTGCCGTCCTTTGTGAGGTAAACTTTAGCTTGCCTTAGCAACAGTCTGCCTCTGTTATGACACGAAGCTATCCCCGTCGGAACAAATGCACAAATAAGTATTGGCTCCAGCTAGCCCCAGCACTCGGTCAGTCCATTTCTACTGTAGTATACAGTCTATGGTTGTGCAACTCCCCCACCCCATAACATATTATATTGTAACTTTCAAATAATCTACAAAATATAATCTGACTCATTTTTTGTGTTCCAGATGTGGACGAGTGTGCTCTAAACGTGTGTGATGACAATTGCATAAACACTGTGGGCAGTTACTCCTGTTACTGTGATGGAAGAGCAGGTCTGCGTCTGGCGTCTGATCAGATCCACTGCGACCCCATCCCCGTGTGTGTGGAGCTGTACGACCACAAACACCCAGAGATGCTCTACCTGGGGGAGCAGTTCGCCACACTCCCTGTGATCTACCTGCGCTTCAGACTGCCAGAAAACACCAAGTATGGACATAATCAAAATATTCCTATTATACCGCAAAATTAAAAAAACATAGAAGAGCTGGAATGTAAATGTTGATTTGAGTATATTTTTGAGTCAAAACAACCAGTGTTTTAGGGCTGTTCCAAGTTTTGTAGCAAATATTGGATTATTGAAATCGTTGCTGAAAAACTAATTTACTCATTTAGTAATTGTTGAATCCTTTCTTAAACCATATGCAGATTTTAAAATGTTGTGAACAGTTTCATTTGAGTTGTAATCACTGCACAATGTAATAGAAATGTATTCTCAAAAAGTATTCTTAATTCAAAAAAAATTCTCAATGAAGTTTTTATTGAGTGGCATTTGGGGTTACTTTTGAGTAACCCCACATTTGAGTTTTGATCTAAACAACTAATCAAGTAATAAATGGAGGTATAGGCAAACTAATGACAAACATGGTTGTTAATTACATTGTTATAGTGTTATTTAAAGTAAAAATAGATGACAACTTTTACTGATTCTAGAGGCTTTGTTAGTAATTGTTTTATGTTCATTGATTAAAAAGACGTAACATGATAGAAGTATATAATACACCTGTTAATACGCTGGTTGATCCAGCGCGGACCTTGGTGCGGTACGTTTCAAATATGTGGACTTAATCAAAAGAATATGGGTAATTTGAGCTTCTATGTTTCTAAAAAGATAAAAACATACATTCAAGCCAAAAGTATAACAATATCAACCAACACGCTTTGCAATCCCATCCTCTTTTCTGCACATTACTAACTTTACCCCACACTTGTTTCCAGGTTTGCAGCAGAGTTTGACTTCCGCACATTCGACCCAGAGGGAGTGGTTCTGTACGCGGAGTCTTCCCATGACTCGTGGTTCATGCTGGGGCTGAGGGCCGGCCGCATCGAGGTGCAGTTCAAAAACCAACACACCTTCAAAGTCACCAGTGGAGGCAAAGCAATCAACGATGGACAATGGCACGTGGTGAGAGGAAAAAGCCAGCGCTGCTTATCTTTGATTCCTAAGTGCAATGAATGAATAATTCAAAGACATGATATGGCTGATGTGGATACAGGGCCGGATAATGGATCTATAAATGAAGTGTGCTTGTTTGTCAGATCTCAGTGGATGAATTGGAGAGCAGCATCAGTGTGAAGATAAGTAAAGAGGCGGTGATGAGCATCAACAGTCCTGAGAGTCTGTTCACATCCGTCAATGGGAAACTGGAGACCAAAGTGTACATCGCTGGAATGCCCAACAGAACCGACAACGTCATCAAACCGGTCAGTAGAGAAATGCTTTTAATGCTGTTAGGCCTGTCACAATAACTCATGATGATGGACGATGTATTGCTTTTGGAAATGATTGTGATAAATGATAATATTTAAAGGCAGGTTTATTTTTATACCACAGTTCATACACAAGGCAACTCAAAATGCCCAACAAAACAAGATACAAACAGTCACACAAGGCATTAACATAATAAATAATCACTGTACATTAAAAAGAGTGAAGATACAATCAATCAGTTGTATGCACGGCTACAGAGTTGTTTTCGACCTGGATTGGGCGGCACGGTGGCTGAGTGGATAGCACTCTTGCCTCTCAGCAAGAAGGTCTTGGGTTTGAATCCCGGTCGGACCAGGGCGTTTCTGAGTGGAGTTTGCATGTTCTCCCTGTGTCTGCGTAGGTTTCCACTGGGTACTCCGGTTTCCCCTACCACTAAAAATATGTACAATAGGTCTGGCATGCGCCTCCTGTACTGGCGACCCCGCTTCCATCTCTCTGTGGAGTGAGTGGACCAATGCCCAAGAATAACAATTGTAAACCGCTTTGTGACTCTGGTCTGTGAAAGGCGGTATATAAATAAAGATTACTTACTTACTGGATTTGAATATTATCAAGGTAGAAGCCTGTTTCACATTGTCTGTCACATTATACTGCATACCATTTCACATTGTTAACTATTTGTCCTCAGATTAATCCACGACTGGACGGTTGCATTCGTGGTTGGAACCTCATGAACCAGGGCGCGTCCGGAGTGAAGGAGGTCATTCAGGAGAAAAAGAGCAAACACTGTTACGTTCATGTGGAGAGAGGCTCCTTCTTCAGCGGCGCAGGACTCGCTCACTTCAACATTGACTACAGTGAGTAAGTTCAGTTGGACCTTTTTATATTTGGCTTCACTAACGACGGACACCTCCTTGTAACGGATATGTCAGTTGTGGCAGAGGGCAGTAGCACTCTAACCATCCAGCTGAGAGGCAGTGAGTTATGGCTCATTGAAGGAGAATCTGCTTTGGATTTTTGTGTCTAAAATAGTGATATTTCTGCCCAACATTACAATTTTTGTTGAGTAAAATGTTTAATTTTGTGTCAAGAGACACACGAAGAAATGACCGAATACATGATTTCCACACCTTTCAGATTTCTGACTTTAAAAGATTAACTGCAAAAAATATATATAAATGCTTGTCACACTTATGGTGTGCAACACACACAGTATATAAATGTATAGTAAGTATGAAAACGATGAGATGTTTCATTTGGATAGTCAATAGTCAAAAAGTCTCTAGTCAATGAAAACCATGATGAAATGATCATAAACATTTCTCACACACCCTATAAAAAGAGAGAGGGTGAATGAGAAGGGTTGTACTTTCAGTATAACAGTACTTAAAGCTGTTTTTTTCTCATAAATAATGTATTTTTCATAAGAGACCCCAAGGACCATAGAAAACAGTTAGTAAGAGGACGACAAAACAGAGCACCTTGCATCTTGCACTTCAGAGCCTAATCTTACCCAAAGCCTAAAGTGCAGTGTTTTCTTGCACTTGCAAATCAACATTTGCAAGTGCAATAAGTACTTTATCATAATACATATTATTTTGCATCAAAAACACGTTCTCATAACTTGTTGTGGCTTTTTTCTAGTATGTAAGATCCTGGACATGTTTGAGGAGATGCTAAAGTTAAACTAAATAGTGTTACAATCACTTTTCTGCATGGTGCGTCTGTTTTCACAGACACCTCATTTTCTCAGCTTTTTGTCTGAGAATGGTGATTTCTGTCACACTTCCCTCTTTTTAACTGGAGATTACAGGAGAACGAAACAAGCAAGAAATAAACTTATTTTTGCTGCTGAGAGTAGACTGTCCAGTCTTTCAGAATCTTTAATGTATCACATAATCATAGCACACAATATCCTGTGGGTCTTGAAAATCGGTAAAATCATCAAAAATGGCTGGCAGTCAAAGAGCTACAGTGAGGTGCAAGAGCTCTAGTCAAAAAGTAAATAATCCTATACAATTCTGAAACACATTCTAAACGTGTCTCTCTGTTGTGTGGCTGCAGCTGATGAGGACCAATGGAACATTGACGTCCAGTTGAGTATCCGTCCCTCTGGGAGCACAGGAGTGCTCTTTGCTTTAGTCCAAAACAACACTGTCCCGCTATCGCTAGCCGTGCTCACAAAAGATGAAGAGGATGCTGTAAGTTCAAACAGTCAAATAAAACTGTTAACGCCAGTGGTAATGTATTTACCAACATGTTTACTTGTTTTTCAGAACTTGCAGGTGTTTTTGGATGGCATATCTGTGGCAACACTGGACACTATGATGTTGTGCTATCCGGATCGAGTGATGGTGCGACTCAATGTGACGTCAACAGACATCTACATCACAGCAAACTCCTCGTCTGTGTCCTACATTGCTTCTGCTGAACTAAAGAGAGCTCTGCAGACTCTCAATCACACCATGCAGAGTCCTGTCAGCACCTACATTGGGGGAATACCGGGTAAGTGTGAGGCTGATGATGGGAATATCCAAAATAGAAATATGCATAATGTCATTACTGTATTTACTGAAGTATTCTCTTTATTATTATCTTTGTTTCAGATGAGGTCCCATTGCCCTTAACTCCTGTTACAGCGTTTTACCACGGCTGTTTAGAAATCGCTGTGAACGGGCGAAGTTTGGACTTTGATGAGGCTCTGAGTAAACACAACAGCATCAAGTCCCACTCCTGCCCCCCTGTGTCTGTCCCCGAGACTCAACCTGACGCAGCAGCTCCTCATGGAGAGTGACTCATTCACAGTCGTCATTTATAATAAAACATTTGTTCTATTGAAAAAGAAAAAGGTCAGGTTGAGAGAATGATGGGGATAAGCAGATATCACTGGAAAATGTGTCTCGAGGAGCGTCATGTCTGCTTAGTGTCATTATATAATGACGAAATTGTAGCTGTTGTTGCAATGATTTATAAAGATGAAGAGCTGAGCTCTGACGCATGCACAAATATATTTGTTTAGAAAAACAAATTGTCAGTGTTGACAAGGCTCTAAGAGCTGTTTTTTTTTAAAGTGTTTGTTATTGCACTGTGCAGAAGAGGTCACTGTTGATTCATGTTCGATCATTTCGACTGTTGTAGCCTAGTGCACCTGAAACAGACTTGTACATCAGGTCAAGGATGATGTTGTGACGTTTCTAAAATGTATTTAATTGTTTTTACTTAAGGCTCGTGTATTACATAGAAAATAGTGTGTCTACAAAAAATACAAGTTTTGACAAGAGTTTGAAATGTGTTATGCTATTGCAAAAAAGAGAATTCTTCCTATTTTGCTCACTAACGAACAACCCCCGATGAAAACATAGCCCCCTTGTGGTAAAAGAATAGGTATGAACACACTTGTGCGCACGTGAGTATGATTTCTCTTTTGAAGTCGTGCACGCAGTGTGCGCGCGGACACACGCATTGCGCTCGCACGCGCAGAGGGAGGAGGATGTGAGGATGTCTGCATCAACACCAAACTCTGCTGCACTTTTCACAGCGACTCCCCCTGAACAGCAGCTCGCACGCTGCCCTCTGCCTGGTGCACTCGTACACGGGGCTGGAACACGGGAGAGGGGCTCTGGATAAACTTATGTGGCCATGGGCAGCAGCTGAAGAGGCCGTCTCAAAGCGCCTGAATGTGAGCGATATGCGGGGGGAGCCTGCGGAGACCAGCACAGATTTAACACCAGCGCTACCTGGAAACTTGCAGTGTTTGAAGAAACATTAGCTCCAAACCAGCTCCGAGCGGCTGTGACATTGACGGAGGCTGAAAGCAGACACGGGCTGCAGACGGAGCAGAGAAAGTTTGGAGTCTGGTGCAGACACCGCGGTTCAACAATGCGGCTGACCCCAGTCCTCTCCTGCGCTGCCCCACTAATCCTCCTGGCGGCTGTGCGATTGTCCAACACCAGTAAGTAAACAATTGCATGCTAGGTGGCTAAGCTAGCGCGCTAAACCCTTTGACATTTGTGTTGTGAATGAGACATGCTTCACTTTGCACCGTCAGTGTTTCGCAACCTTTGGACTTCAAAGAACAACACAACGCGGCGGTTTGATCCGCTGTTTAATTGAGAAACACAGATTTATTAAGTGTCCCCTTCTTTGTTTTAGTATCCCTGTCCCCCCAAGAGGCAAACCAGTTTCTAAGCAGACACAGAAGAGCGAATCAAGTTTTTGAAGAGACGAAACAAGGGCACTTGGAGAGAGAGTGCGTAGAAGAGAGGTGCTCCAAAGAGGAGGCGAGAGAAGTGTTTGAAAATGACCCAGAGACCGTAAGTCAATGTTATCCATATGTTCACTATAGGCTTGCCTCTATTCTAGTTCCCCTTGTATTGTTTTCAAACTTCAATGTAAGTTTTCTCATCGTTTATAAGCATTATAACTGTATAAGGTTGTTACATGCAGCCTCATCTCTCATGACAGTTGCATGTTTTCATCCCCTACATATTGACTGTCTAACATTGACCCTGATGTCTGTGAGTCACTGTCTGACTGGTTTGTGCTTAAGTAAGTCTATTCTCTGATTAGTGTCAGACACGCATAATAACTCTTCTAATCTACTTTGTTTTCCTCTTTGACAAAAGTGAGTCACTGTGAGTGGGTCAATCTTCTCTCAAAACAAACTAAAAGATAACTCTAATTTGTCCCATCCCACATTGGTAATTTTTTATAGTAGATTTGTGGATTAGGTGTTTGTGAAATTGCTTCAGATTAGAACTGTATTGTGTAAAGTCCTATTGCTCAACACATGGTGTAGTTATATGTTTGTTAGAATTAATACAAAGGAAACAGTTAAATGTGGGTGTATCTGCTCAGACTGCTTTCTTCGCAACCAGGCCCCAGATAAAGAGGAAATTGTATAGATGGATACAAATGGATAATAAATCACTGCCTATTAGCACAGTTGGAAATCATGCTACAGTATAGTTGACTGAAGGTATACACCAGGGAACCTCATTTTAACTGTCTTTCCCATTGACAGTACCAACAATGTTAATGTCAGGAGCAAGAATCAAAGTGTTATAACGATTCAAAACATATGCAAAATCAATTCACAATTCACTCTAGCTTTCTCATTCCATTTTATTTGGTTGGATCCCAAAACTACTTTTTCTGATTATTGGGCTGTGTATTTACTGAGGCACCATTGCAGACCTTTTCAACTTTCCTTCAAGCAGTCTGATCTATGACATATGGTTCTTGAACTAGTATTTGTTCACTAGTTAATTCCTGTGTTTTTGTTTTTAATCCTGCTTTTCTTTTAACCAGGTTAAGGGTACATTCGTTTTTTGCCTGTTTTTCCCCTCAAAAACATAGCAATATTTATTGAAACTGATCTAGTGTGTGGGATTTTTTGTGATGCTAAATTGTGCTAATAGTGACGGCCTTTGTCCATCTACAATTGTTGTAACATTTAACACGTGTGGATTAAGTGCTAAATCACATTTGACCGGAAACTATTTCTGAGCGATCCTTCTTATAGATCACGTTTCATACAAAGTGAATGAGGCAATCAATCTCGGATTACGAGTGAGATTAACATAGCAACAGGCTGTGTACATAAATCTGGACTATGGAGTTTCTCAGGGATGGCCCAAGCAGTTCCTTAGGGCCTCAAATCCACAAGAGGCCAAGCAACACTGCCTTAAATGTTGATGCAAATTGTGCCATACATTTTTCCGCAACAAAAACAGGGAATAAACATTTACTTCACCTTAGAATGTATATTTAACCTTTTGATTACAGCCACATGTTGTTGTAAAATCATCAATATTACATAGAAATGGCTCCTGCAGTTTCTAAAAAAAGATGGAATTGCTTATTATCCAGGGCAGACTAATTTTAGACTGAAGATAAGGGTGCTATTATAATGGTACATGTTATTCATAACTACATCTGGCGACGGTAGCTCAGTTGGTAGAGCATTGGCCTTTGAGCTAAAGGGTCGTGGGTTCGAGTCCGACTCCCACTGTCTGTTGTCGTTGTGTCCTTGGCAAGACACTTAACCTCTGGGAACACCTGATGGGTGTGGGGCGGCTGCGGTTGAAAAGTGCCAAACTGCCGTTGTCATAGGCAAGACACTTTACCCCATTTGCCTAGAATGAGTCTGGTGTGTGTGAATGGTTGGTGGTGGTCGGAGGGGCCGATGGCACATACTGGTTGCCTCGCTTCTGTCAGTGTGCCCCAGGGCAGCTGTGGCTCCAGTAGTAGTTTATCACAACCGTGTATGGAGTGAAAGAATAATGACATGTAAAGCATCTTTGAGTGTCCAAAAAAGCGCTATATAAAACCAATGCATTATTATTATTATTATTACATCAGGACATTAATAAAGTGTTCCACCCACAACCTGTGAGTGCTATAATTTTTTCTCCTCCTCCAACATTTTTACAAACAAACCTGTGATATATCATGCTGTCAGACAGTTAAGAGTAAAACGCAGTCTCATTCATGAATACATTATTAATTCGGTGCACAACTCTGACTCTGCATTTCCTCTGCTGCAACTGCAACTTCTGCCTGGCAACACATTTTCAGTTTTCTGCACAACCAGTTAATTCTTTCCTCTTGTCTCTTGTATTTAACTCAATTGTATCCATTTGTCTGCGCACAACATATTGTAAATGTACTGAGTTCTATTGTTGTACTATTGTTACCGAGAAAGATGGAAAATACATTTAAATCAATAACCCTTTTTGTAGGCCAGTAATGACTTTCAGCATATCAAACCAATATTTGGACCAGTGCTTGAGTAGTATTTGAACCAAGGTCTAAGAGAGATATATGCATGAGACATTTCTACAAGAGGTCTCTATGGAGTCATTAAGTGTTCAATGCAAATGTATATTATTTGGGAAGTGCCGCTCTAAAACGATAAGATTAAAGGCTAAACACTTTTCAGTGGAGGGAATCTGAAGGCATCTGCTGCATCCATCGCTGCATTAATAATCTAATGATAAAGACTCATGTTGTGACCTACATCTATTCAGCAATGTGGCAGGGCTGCTACTCCTGCTGCTGCTGTTAGTGTTGCAGAGAAGTCAAACCCAGCCCTTGGCCGTTAGCTCCAGGTCAATAACTTTAAGATGAGTTTGCGTCCCAATACACAGGAATTGGGTGAAAGTGAAACCAAAGCCTTCATTTAGTAGAAATTCCCCTTTTTCCCAGATATAGTTCATTATTAGTTTTGGTTTTTGAAGACCTCGGTCTGTGGAATGTGCTGTATAAATAAAGATTGCTGACTTCATTTCTTACTTACTTACATTCTTGTATTATGGTGTGATTTTCATGCGTTAACTCCCTGTTTCTGATCTTGGTAACGTAGGATTACTTCTGGCCAAAATATGTAGGTAAGTATCTTTTCGTAGCATAATACTTTTTGTTGTTAATTATTTTGCTAATGTATTATACTATTTTTGTCTACAGCTTGCGTGGATAAGTTCGGGGATTCTGAGAAGAAGAAACAGGATCTGATCACTTGTGTTCACAGTAAGTTTGACAATGTTTATGGAGAGTTTCACTTTCAGTTCTGTCAGAGTTGCATTTTTGTGATAACAAATGTGAAGATGAAAATTTGAACCTTGAGATTCTACAGACCACACGGAAACGGCATTTTATGTCTGTTGAGACAAAAGTTTATTTTCCCTTATTAATTGTTGGACACACTAGACAATCGAGTAGATAACTTTATGGGCTGGACAGCTTAATCAAATCTTAACAAAAAACGTCAAAATTCTTGATTTGCATTTTATTTCTGAATTTTAAGTTCAGACCTCCCTGGTTTAAGTCGAGGGTGTCCAAACCTTTTAGTGAGAAGGCCACTTGAGTTCAGCAAAACTGTCCAGTGGCCGACGATACGGATGAACTGCATTCAGGCTGTTTTGAGCTTACTTTTTACGCACCAGCTACATTAGTGCTATACGTTCAAAAACAAATATGATTATACGACACGGTATAACCTGTTTATGTTGCTAGAGCTGAAGTTGGCTGGATGACAACTTATTTATGACTATTAGCAAGGCAGTGGGCCATATAAAGTTACACAGAGGGCTGGAATTGGCCCGCAGGCTTTCTGAGTGGAGTTTGCATGTTCTCCCCGTGTCTGCGTAGGTTTCCTCCGGCTACTCCGGTTTCCCCTACCACTAAAAATATGTACAATAGATCTGGCATGCGCCTCCTGTTCGGCGACCCCGCTCTATCTCTGTGTGGAGTGAGAGGACAAATGCCCAAAAAAATAATAACAATTGTAAACCGCTTTGTGACTTTTGTCTGTGAAAGGCGGTATATAAATAAACATTACTTACTTACTTACTTACTACTAGTTTGGACATGTCTGGTTTAAGTAGTCAGGCTGGGCTCAAAATAGTAATACTGAAGAGAAGAGTCAAAACAAGAAGCTGTTGTGATTCTGATGAACTTTACATACACTCATTTCTCTATCTTATCAATCTGGTGAGCTAAAACTTTTGTCCTATTGTATTGTAAAACATATATTTAGACATGTACCTGAATACCTACAAACTGGACAATGAACAATGATGTGTGTGTGTGGAACTATGGACTTGTGCAAACTGGACGGTTTTCTTCTGCTTCATAAATCAATTGCTGTGGGTTTTTCCCACAGAGGTTTCTTAGTTGTAGTGTGGCTTGTGCTGCACTGCAGTATCAGCCCTGCATCATATTGAAGCTTAAGACACAAAGTAGAAGAAAAAGAACAAATCTAAACCAATTCTCCAGTTCAACAGTGATATGCTTTGAAAAAATACCAACAACAGTTTGACTTTCAGACCATCCTCTGCTTTTATTTTAGTGTTTTTTATTAATAGTTTTAGAGCTGTTTCGGTAGTGATGCTGCTTATTGGTGAATGGGGACACACCTCTTTGGAGAGCTTCTGCTGCAGCCGGTGTGCGTGACTGAGTGACGTGAAACATTTGTGACGTGCTCGGTGTATTTTGCTGCATCAGAGGACACACTCGGCTTCACTGCGATTGGCTGCAAACCTCGTGGCTCGACTCATGACTCAGCTGCAGCATTGTCTCTTAAAGGAGCTTCAGTTCACCTCTGTCAGCAACACTCATCACTGTTTAATCTCTTTATGTCCAAATATCTGCCCATCTGTGTCCTGCCGCATTGAATCAGGAGTTTGTGGTGAGCTGGACTGATAATGGCCTTCCCCTCATTACTTCTGTGGAACTGTGGACATTGTGCTGAATCAGGTGGAATAATTCTATGCAACGCAATAGTCACACATTGTCCTTTGAAAAGTCTTATTGCTCAAACCTCGGCGATGTAGAAATATGTTTATCAGAAGGGTTTGTATTCATAAAAAAGGAAAGGGTTACAGAATGGTGGGCGTATCTGCTCAGACTGCTGCCTTTGTAACCAGGCCCCAGATAAAGCAGAAATCAGATAGATGGATACATTTATGGATTATAAAAAGTATTGATTCATGCTTTATATGTTTAAATAAAATACAAGATAAGATACAGTGAAAAGTGAAAAGACATGTACCAGAAATTATTTTTTTCTCCTTTATATGAATTTTAAGGTACTGGTGATGTGTTAAAATGCATTGACCAAGCTAAATGTTCAAACTAAACCTTTTCCAGAAAATCAGGACACCCTCAAAACGTTATTATGAAATGTGCTTTCTAAAAATAGAAGTCATTTTGACGTGCCTGGCTGTAGCAGAAGTTCATGTTGTCTATCTAAGCCCGTGCAAAACTGCTGAGATTACAGAGAGGACCTCAGACTATATTAAATGAAAGACACCTGTAGAATACATCAAACACGGACCTATATTTAGCGCATATTACAGGACACTGTTCATGGAGGAGAAAAACATGTCACTTCTGCATTGAGGGGCCCAAGGCTGATGCAGTGATGCTTAAGTGAAATTATCTACTTTGATCTGTCACATTGTGTCTGTCATTTGTACAAGCTGCTCTGAGACAAGTCCAGACACGTCCCCATCCTCCTGCGAACTCCTGCTCGGAAAAGGCAAACAAAACTAGATACAAAACAGTATGAGCAATGTTGCAATACTTTTGGTTCACACACTTGTGGCGGGAAGTCACTAATCAACATCACACTTTATTTGGAAAGGCCATATTATGTCGAGTTTACATCTGATCTATTAACCATATCATAACAATGTCCCCTCATTTTATTTTTTCAAACTGGTATTTTGATTTATATAGGCAGTTATCCTGTATTCTCCTATTCCCAAGGCTGTAGTGTTTTTACTTCACCCGTCCCACCAACTTTTCTACTTCTGGAATGATAAAATACAAATGTTATTAACTTTTTATAACCTTTTAATAACATGTCTTTCGTGTTACAAAATGGGATATTCCACCCGATTTGCGGCTTGTTATGGTGACTATGGTAACTAGTTTTCAAGTAAGAGTTAATAAACATGTGGTACTGGTTCACAAAAACATTATGTGGCAATGGGAGGCATGATGAGTCGATAGCTCTCTTGCTTCTCTGCAAGAAGGTTATGGGTTTATATTCCCAGACGGAACAGGGCCTTTCTGAGTGGAGTTTGCATGTTCTTCGGGTGCTGTGGTGTCCCCTTCCACTAAAATCATTTACAGTTATTCAGAGTGAATGAGTGCTTGTAAGTGAGGATGTGGGATAACGGATGCAAATTAACCCGAGGCTACAATCCAGTGAGGTGTGTTCTTTAACATGTACTGTCCCAACCAAATATGTAATAAATAAAATACAAATTAAAAGTAAAAGGATTAAATCACAGAAAATGGCAACAAAAGGCCGTAATAGATCCCATGATGCATTTGTTTTGTCAAAAATCCTGTATTTGTCTAAATTCTCTCAGTGGTGGACAGAAGTAGGGCACGTCAGGCTGCAGCTTAGACAGCATTAGGCTATTTATACTGAAGGCTGCTCTATGAAACACAAGAGATGACCTTTCTATAAAGTCATACCAATAAACCCTTTTGTACAGGTTCATGTGACATTACAACATTGTACATTCTAGAATACCTATATTTCTAAATTGAGTCATTTGAGCATTCTACCACAGATCTGAGATTTTAACTGAAATTGTAGATTTGTCCTAGTTATGGTTCATGTATGTGTGTGATTACTATTTCTGTTATGGCGGCACCTGCTGCACGTGAAAGCCAGATCTCGCCAGACTTCTGACACTAAGCAGGGCAGCACCTGGTTAGTACTGTGATGGGTGACCACAGGGAACACCAGTCTGGTGTCTGCGTGTGTCTCTAATTAAGAAGTAATCTCTTCTTCTTAATTCATAAATAATAATAATCTGTCTTTTTAAAATTTCCCCAGACATCCCAGACCAGTGCTCGCCGTCGCCGTGTAACCCCAGCGGTTCGGTGCGCTGTGAGGACAAAAAGGGCGACTTCCTGTGCCACTGCTTCACAGGCTGGACCGGGGCCAGATGTGAGGAAGGTACTGTCATTGTTGTTCCTCAGACTATAGTTGGATCGCTGACCGTTTGGGAAAGGGTACATTTCTACAGGCGTATCCGGTGACAATGTGAAAGTACAATCTTTGTAACATTAGACAATCCTGTTGTTTCCCGTCTGCTGATAAAACGCTATTAATTACATTATATATATTGTGTACATTTTCATTTTCGACCTGACAGGCGACCCTGGACCTTTTATAAAGCCTGGTCCACGCCTGCGTCATACTGCTCTGATGAAGAATCAAACATGTGTAAATATATAATGATCATTCAACTGGACGTGCCTCAGGACACAATAGAAACTTGTCTATTTCATCTTTTATGCTTAATTGCACATAATTGCAGATAACTCTGTCTATTGTATTGTATTGTGTATTGTAATACAATTATTACATAAGGACCTTCTCCTATCTTCTTTTCAGTTCAATACAACCAAACTATTAGTATGAAGAATTTGATAGACCCTACACCCATAGCTCATTTATTTTTACATATTTAGCATAATTGAATATCTTAAGATCATGTATAAAAATAATTTGTCCCATCGTATCGTACTGCACTCCTGGAAACATGGTCACATTAGAGGCCCTGCACGCTCAATTAAATTTTACAAGTTCAGTCCCCTTTAAAGTATAAATGTTGTGGTTAGTTTTAAGCTGTTGAGCCAACAAACTTCCAGCTGTTATTAGTATACAAAAGATATCTGTGAACTGCATGAACTGTGAAAGGCCTTTGGGAATAAATGTCTCTTTTGGAGGTCAAAAGTTTGCTACTGTGTGTAAAGACATGAGAAAAGTGGATATTTACTAAGAAGTCCTTGTACAGCAGGAAGGGCTTTTGTTTGGGCAAAGGTTGCAGCAATTTGTTAACTTCAGAAGAGGAAAATTCTGTGATGATTTTTTGCGGCAAACAGTTTTCAACACATTTCCACTATGACTCATTCTGCAACCAAACTGTGAAAGAGACCAAAGTGCTTCAGTTTGGACTCGATCTTTTCCTCCCAGTGACTTCATAGAACTCAGACAGACAGTGCGCCAATGCAGAAACTTGAGAGAGAATTGTAGTAGATCGCAATGGTTGCAATTCAGTAGATTGTTCACAAAAAAGTTTTGTTCTTGTTTTAAAGTACACATTATTCAACATGTATATATCTATATAATTTTTTGTTCAACCCTCATCAAAAACACCCATAGCGTTGTATTCACATATAACTTAGACATATAAATCAATTTCCTTTCTTTTTTGTTGTTGAAAAAAGCTCATCTGGTCTTCAAAGCTAGGGTACCTAACCTTTTCTATTCCCAGATAACTCATTGAGCTTGTCCCAACAGAAAGAATTGTGTAAGACTAAAATGTCAGACCACATTTTTTATCTTATAATGAAAGATTGAATCTTTTGCATCTTTTTGCTGAGTGAGACTGGTCCTCTCTTATTCACTTTTCTTTCTAAAAAAGCTCCTCTAAAGATCTTAGATAAGCCAAATAAGACATGAACGTGACAACTGGTGATGGAATCTTTTTGGTAATTTTTTTTTGTGGTTTTAAAGTCAGGTACCCCACCTCATATATTTCTTAAATATCAGCCCCACACCAATGCATAGCAGTATGACGATTATATGGGCAGATATTGATACTGATTATGTTATTTAAAGTTAAATTGATCTCCATGTGATTTGTTTTCAGATGTTGACGAATGCGACACGAGGAATGGCGGCTGCGACCACGAGTGTAACAACACGATGGGCAGTTACCGCTGCTCCTGTCACCATGGATACACACTGTCAGGGCGACACTTGTGCAACGGTACGGCACAGTTGAAATATATTGTGCTTTAAAATGTGTGTTTTTGCCAGACCATGCTAAAGAGATTACTTGCTGTATTAGTAGGAAACGAGTCACGACTGATTTGGATTTGGATTATTTTGCAAGGCACTTGAAAGAAAATGTATGGACACAAACATTTTGATTTTATATTTGGTTGAGGTGAAGTTGCCTGAATAATGATTGCTGATTTTATTCAATATATAATGAAGTGTAGAGTTTCTAAGCTTTAAAATGACATGTCTGCAGTCATCAATAGATATGTGAGGGAATGTTGCACCCTCTTTAACATTAGTTTTAACATCTCTAAATGGGCGGAGATAAAAGTTGAGGCTAAAAGATTGCGTTCACATTCCTGTCACTTAAGTGAAATGTGATAGTAATTCCATTTAAGCCATCTTAGTCTTATATGCATGTGTTGTTTTTAACCCTAATTTTCATGTCTTTTAGATGTGGATGAGTGTGAAGACCCGGCGGTTTGTGGAACAGCTGAGTGTTTGAACACAGAGGGCAGTTTTGATTGTCTGTGTGAACCTGGCTTTGTTTACGACAATGAGACCAAGAGCTGCGTGGGTAAGTCTCTAAACTCACTCTGGGCCCGCGCAGCTGTGTTTTTGTGTCACATACTTTGATTATGACAACTACTAAAGGAATGTGCTGACAAATGGGTAACAGGTCACTCTTATGTTCTGCACCAAATTGTATTTCAGCTATAAGCAGTTAAAAATAGAATGAAGAATTGATTTACCTCTTCCAAGGTTACATATTAAGCAAACTGATTTTACAAGTTTTAAATCATTTTCCTCCCTTTCCATTCGCTCTCCCATTGGTCAGATTGGTGAGTGATGCATGTATGGCACAGTTCATACACAAGACAACTCAAAGTGCTGAGCAAAACCGGGTAGAAACCATCATACAAGGTATTCAATGTGAAATAATCACAGTACATTCCACAAGAGTGAAGATACAGAGAGATCATTCAGTTGCATGCACAGCTAAACAGAACTGTTTTCAACCTGGATTTGAACATTGAGTAGAACCCTGTTTCACATTTTCAGGAAGACTGTTACCCATTTTTAGTCCTGACTCTGCACCAGCTGGAGGCCCGTCCCTGTGCTCCTCAGAGTCTGAGTTGATTCATATGACATTTGATACTATCATCTTTAACAATTATGTAGTAAAGAAAACTATACTCAGTCAGACCTTTTGATTCTGTTTGAGCTAAAACATGAAATAACTCACAGTAATTGAAATGATTCAATTATTTATCTCAAAATCTCAAATCTGTTAAATGTACTTTTTTGGACATTGCGCATTATCAAACTGTTTATGCTGCAGTGAAACCTAGACACAACTGTCAGGGACTATCTCTGTGTTGTGTTGAGTCTTGTCCATGTACGGTTAAGCACAGAGGCTGCTCCATTCCATTCGTTTGTTGACATAAAAGTTCATGTTTTACTCAAATTCTTACAATGATGAGAATTTGGCTCGCTTTTCTTTTATGTAACCACAGATTGTCAAGGTTTAAATAACAGGCATAATGTTCCCTTTTTTTGGGTACACATTTATTTTTGTATTGATAAGATCAGATAAGATAGACTTTATTGATCTCACACTGGAGAAATATTGTACAATATTGGCTTCACAAGCATCGTGAAGTTCAAATGAGAGAAACAATGGATAATTCAAAACATCAACATTAAAACAATGATCATTTATTTCTCTTTTGCTGCAGATGTTGACGAGTGCGAGTCCGGCGTGTGCGCGGACGAATGCCTGAACGTACCTGGAAGTTTTCGGTGTTTCTGTGACGGACGTCAGGGCATGAAGCTCGCGCAGGACCTCAGGAGCTGTAAGGTGAAACACATATATGTACTTCTGTATTAAGTACCAAGACATAGAACATTAAGGCTGAATAATAATAATGATGATAATGATGATGATGATGATATTATTAATAAGCCAGGCTGAAAAACCAATCTAACCCTGAGTCTAATTGAGTAGATTTCTGTTAAAAACTATAGTTGTAATTTATAACTTAAAGAATTGCTTAAGTATATCCCTATTTTTAATTTGTTTCAGCCCATTACTGCGTGTATTTCACCGTCTTTGAAGAGGAACTCCCGTGCTTTGTATCTGGGTCGTATGTTCAGTGGAGTTCCAGTCGTGAGGCTTCGGTTTCGCAGAAAATTCCAAACCGGGTAAGAAAAGGTTTTTATCAGATTTCACATCATCCTTATCTGTGTTTCATGTGGTTTTCTTTTATGTCCTGGTGCTGTGTGTGTGTTTTGTTTTTGAAAATACATTAAAAAAGGCAGCAACAACAAAATAATTTCACGACATCGTCTGGTCAGTCGCCATATATCAGATCCAACTTATTTTCATTATTATTGAACAAACAATAAGGATATGTTTTGGTTCTGAAATTCCGAACATTTATCAGAGGAGGGACATAGTTTATCCAAACCAATCACTTCATGTTTTGGGGCCGCTTGTAAGAAATGTAGCTTCCTGGGATTTCCCATTAACAAAGAACTTACAAATCATGAAAATAATAAATTGTACAGAATTGTATGAATGTTTTGTAAATAAATAGAATTTAGCAACATTATATTTATTATTTTATTCTTTTTATTTTACTCTTTTTTTGTAAAGCACTTTGAGCTTCCTTCTGCTTGTTTTGGAATTGTGCTGTTCAAAGAAACGTTCTCTCCCTAGTAAAACGAAAGTTTTTTGTAACAGATTTTCTGCAGAGTTTGATTTCCGCACCTACGACTCTGAGGGAGTGATATTTTTTGCCGGAGGTCATTTGAACAGCAGCTGGATCGTTCTCGCAATGAATGATGGGAAACTGGAGCTGCAGCTAAAGTACGCTGCAGTGAGCAGAGTCACCAGCAGCGGCGCTGTCGTCAACGATGGACAGTGGAGAAAGGTTTACACCATCTTTTTTTAATCTATTGTTGAACTACTAAGACCATAGACAGTAATTATTATACGGTAAATATTTATGACTTACAATATTAAAGCTGGGATATATAACTTTTATACCCTCAACATTGTAACTATGTCCCACTCTCTATACAGTTTGCTTCACGAGTTTTCACTTGCACGTATTTGGGGTCTCTGTTACATCTTTAGATCAGCATTTTCATATATAAAAGTCAAAAAGAGAGGACCACCCTTACTTTGGGCGGCACGGTGGCTGAGTGGATAGCACTCTCGCCTCTCAGCAAGAAGGTCCTGGGTTCGAATCCCGGTCGGACCAGGGCCTTTCTGAGTGGAGTTTGCATGTTCTCCCCGTGTCTGCGTAGGTTTCCTCCGGGTACTCCGGTTTCCCCTACCACTAAAAATATGTACAATAGGTCTGGCATATGCCTCGTGCACTGGCCCCTCCCATCTCTGTGTGGAGTGAGTGACAAATGCCCAAAAAATTAACAATTGTAAACCGCTTTGAGTCAGATTTGCAGTGAAAAGGCGGTATATAAATAAAGATTACTTACTTACTTACTTACTTACTTTAACCAATCATTTCTCAGCACAAAGTGTTAAACAGTGACTCACAGGGCTCTTTCTTACAAGTACTTTATGTGAAATATCATAAAAAAATTTCAAACAACATACTATTTATGAAAAAGTTGGGTACCCCAGCTTTAATGAATCAGGCCTAGTATCTTTTATTATCATATGTCATTGAATATATATTCAGATGTGAAGATCATCAACTTCTAAATAAAAAAGCTAAACTACAATGTCTACTGTTATATTCACCTGTTATTTTCTCAATCCTTTCAGTCATGCTCTTGCTTTTATTTAGTATTTCTATCATGTTTATTTCAATCGTCGTCTTTCCTGTAGATCTCGGTGGAGGAGCAAGGCCGGAGTCTCGTGATAAAGATCGACAGAGAAGCCGTGATGAAAATAGCGGTTAATGGAGACCTGTTCACTCTGAAGAAAGGCATGCACGAGCTGAACCTGACCGTGGGAGGAGTGCCTTTCAAAGAAGACGGCCTGGTCAATAAAGTAAGTGCTACTACTACAAAATGCACTAGTATTGAGTAGGCTGATGTTAATTGATTAGTTTTGTGAATATCAGATTCTTGATGGGGAATATTTACACTTTTTTTGTGTAATTAGAATAAGTAATAAAACCTTTTTTCAGCTCATCACCTGTATTTGTGCCAGTTTATAGTTATTAAATGAAAGTAGTTTACAATTACTTCAATATTGATTAGTTGTGAATAATCAATTACTAAAGAAGTCTGGGCGTCACTGTTTGAGACTGGACAGCAGACCCGGTTATTGATAAAGCAAAAGAAAATGGTTTGATGAATAATCAATTAATTTGGTATAGCCCCACTGTAGTGCTCTAATGATTTGTAACGTAAGTCTTGGTCAACTAAAGACAACTAAGGACAAAATTCAATAGATGTGGCTACTTAAAGGGCGTGTGGTAAAAGCTTTTTAAGATGGGTTAGAAATAGAAATTATTGACAACTAAGAGTGACACTGTCAATCAATCGATCAACCACACAACTAAAGACTGAGAGCCTAGTCTTTTAGTATATGCACAAAACTGCCACATTTGAAGGAACACCTCACAATGTCTTGTTTATCATCAATTTCCCTTGTGTTCCAGCTGAACCCTCGCCTGGACGGCTGTATGAAGGACTGGCGTTGGTTGACAGGAGAAGACTCGTCGATTCAGGAGACGATTCAGTCCAATGAGAACATGCAGTGTTTCAGCACAGAGAACCCCGGGGCCTTTTTCACCGGCTCTGGATTCGCCTTTTTCAATACAAGCTTCTCAGGTACAGCACTGATATGAAGCTTTGTCTGGAAATAAACCAGCCCTCTGTAGAGGGATGTCACAATGAAAATGTCAATGTTACTATTAATGAGAGTTTGTGTGTTCTTGTTTTCTTTAGATTCACTAAACCTCAGTGTCCACTTGAGTCTGAGGGCCACCTCAGGCATCGGGGTCCTGTTTGCTCTGATTTACCAGGACAAAGTTCCTCTGTCGCTTTCTTTAGCCGACTACCATCCGGGGACGGACGAGTGGAGAGATGTGAGTGCAGTTACATATAATATGTGTATTATTCAAAACAATATCTCAGAAGTTATTGTCAAGGGGGCAGTAGTGTTAGTGTTAGTGTAGCTGTATAGCCCTATCGTCCTTGTCTCTCTGTATATAATCTGTAGTGTGTCTGTATGAGGGGCTGGTGCTATGTGTACTGGGTGCAGCTCTGACTGCCACCCCCCCGACCCAGAAATGGATTAAGGGGAAGAAAATGGATGGATGGATGGTGTCTGGTGTTACACACAAGTTATTAAAAACATACAATCTGCCAGGGGGTCTGCTGATGGAAATTAGCCTAAGGCTATAATCTGCAATATTTGGTAAACAAACAATCAGAGAATCAAACCGTTCGAACACAGAAAATGCAGTGCTAGCAAACACATAAGGGCCATTGGTCTATACAGGAAGTGGGATGACCAATGTCCATAAATTACCTTAAATGTCCCCGATCAAAAAGATGAGAAACCTCTGGGAAGCCCACATTGAGAGGGATTTGCTCCCACGGACGGACAAGTTATAGATCCAGGACTAAGGCTGTGTTGTCACAATACTACATTTGGAACTCTATTTTATTACAAAAAAATATACTGGATACTAACTTTAATGGGGCGACAGTGGCTCAGTTGGTAGAGCATTGGCCATTTCAGAACATTTTGATGTTTTGAAAATGGACTGTAATAATCATCAAATTATAACAAACAAAGCTTTGGCACATGTCTCTTTGCATGTAATGAGGCTATATCATATATTGGTTTCACTTTTTAAGTTGAATTTCAGAAATAAAATCATTTTTGAACCATAATCACGCATACATGTTTACAATTACCATCAGTCGTGATAAAAAGATTTAAAATATTAAAGTATTAACATGAAAGTATCCTCTCCTCACAGTTTGTCCTGGTGACGTCTGGTGATGAGATCGTGGCCAGTTCTCCCAGTCCTCTGTGTGACGGTGACGCTCATGTGATCGAGGTGACCATTTCGGCCAATCACACGCTGCTGCTGATCGACGGCCAGCCGGGACGCAGCCACTCCGCCACGCTGCCCCTCGAGCTCCTGCCACGCTCCAGCACCTTCATCGGAGGACTACCAGGTCTGTACAAGTCTGCTGGGAAGTTTTCAACAATTGCCTTAAAGCTCAGTTTTGGTTTTAAAAATGAGCTTTAAGGCGATTGTTGAAAACAAAAAAATGCTGTTAAAATCCTATAAAATCCATATAGCTTGTTCCTCATTCTCAAAACAGTTTGGTTAGTTCCAATATTTAGTGACAGAAATGGAAAAATAAACGGATAGATAATACAGACAAATTGGATTTTTCATCAAAACATACACAATTTGTAGCTCCAGGTGTGTTTTTTCAATAAAATGTCTGTGATGAATGTGAACTTTATGCCCAGACCTTTCTAAACAGTTTAGATTTAAATCAGCAGTGTTAGTGACGGATTCAGCATGTGACCTGTTGAAAACAAAATGCTTTTATTCTGTATACGTCACAGTTTATGACATTTACAAACATTCCTTCAACTTCTTACGGGGAATTTACACAGTAGGCGTAAACAGCGCGTACGCGTTTACTGCGCGCTCTCTGCGCGTAACATTTTTTTGGAGTATCTACACTGACCGTGCGCGCAGGTCCGGGGCTTCTGATGCTCTCCTTGTGTAGTCTATGGAGCAGTGTAGAGGACAGTACAGAGGACTGATGTAGAGCAACACAAATCACATGCATGTGTTTGTCTTCATGGTCTCTGTGCGCTGGTTTGGCCAAACGCGAGACTTTATGAAAGAAAAAAACCGATGTCCAGAATCACTGTAAAACATGCTGCTCCTCCTGCTGATGTTTAGACACAAGTGCTGTGTGTGTGCAGATGTGATCTAAACCCAAGGACCGCTAGAAAAATCATGTTTTACATGAGATTTCAATGGGAGACGCGTTGGTGCGCGCACAAAATTAGAAATCCATCCTAAATTAGAGCGCAGCTTCGCGTCACATGTCCGTCATACGCGCGTATAACGCTAGAAGTGTAAATATCATCATAGGTTAACATGGAAAAAAGTTACGCGCGTCTGCTGCGCGTATAACGCGTACGTGCTGTAACGCGTGATGTGTAAATTAGCAGTTAGTGATTAGATCCTCTTAAGAGAAAAGGCCACGCTCCTGCTAACAACAGACCACCTGCACATTTTTATAATTGTTATAATTATAACACAATTGGGTTGAAAGCACAAACTTTTAAAAACTGCGAACCCTTCATATGTTAGAATCAGCTCCTCTCTAAAACAGATTCTCATGGCTGCTTTTTATTTGACATACAAAGTGACATACATCAGTACAACAAATTAAACAGCACAAGAAAATATTGCAAAACGAATCAGAATTGGGAAATGTGTCAAAACGCAAAATTAGACAAAAGATAATTTATCAAAAAATGTTACATATCACAATAAATGTTTTGAAGAATGTAAAATGTAAATATGGTAACAGAAATCACTAAGAATGAAATTGTGTAATCTTTTTTTTTTTAAGATACAGTTGTAATTCCTTCTTTCTTTGTTTTGTGATCTTAACCAACGTTTTAGAAGTATATTTTATAATTTGTTTCATTACTTACCATATTTTTTTTTTTTATACCATATTTTCTGAACCCAACATCCCTCAATTACATCAAAGAACCTCCTTTTGTCTTGCAATGGGAAATTTCAGTGTTGCATTGCACCTTACCGAAAAGCAGGAATAGAGTAAGTAAAAACAAAATAAACACAATAAAAAACTGAATATTTGAAGAATTACGGTAGGCAATAATGGAACTACTAATAACATACAACTCATAACATTTTAGTTATACTAGTTTCACATGCAAGTATTTATGGCCTCTGTCACATACAGATTCTGATTCAGGGCTCACTCAGCCCTGAATCAGAATCTGCTCTCACCCCAAAGTGTGAAATGGTGACTTCATAGTGGGCTCTCACAAATATGCAAAAGAACATGTTTTTTAGTAAGATGAAGACAGCATGTTGTGGTCTGATTTGTTTTCATCATTCTACTTCACGTGACTCTTCCTGTAGCAACATTTTTGGTACCCCAGCTTTAGGAATCTTACCTGAAAAAGGTTTAATTGACAAAATGATTTGCTCATTACATGTTTTTCTCCTCTCCCCTCTAGACGTCCCCCTGGTGTCCACCCTGGTCTCTGCGTCCTACAGCGGCTGCATGGAGGTCAGTGTGAATGGACAGCCGCTGGATTTGGACCAAGCCACCTACAAACACAACGACATCCGCTCTCACTCCTGCCCCCTACTGGACTCCCACCAGTGACGCGCACAAGAGAAACCGTATTTATTAAAGTTTGCAAATATGGACTGAAATTGAAAGTCTAATAACCAGGTCGCGTGGTCCAGCTGGTGCTTAGATCATTGTTTAGAGACACTGTTGCTTTAAGGCATTTCCTGGGCTTTTTCGTTTGTTTGAAATGGCACATATTAGCAGAAGAGGCAATAAGTGCTGGACGAGACTGTCTTTACACTGCCCAACTTGTATTAAGCCTTGTTACTAGCCCCATAAGAACATGCTGGGCCTTTTAAAATGGGGTCAATGCTATTTTTGGCATATGGGGGAAAGTAGTCATTTACTTCGACATACTTGGACTTGAGCAAAAGAAGAAACATGTTTTCATTTACTCGAGTGTTGTTTTGTTTTGGATCCCAGTGGTGAATCTTGCAGTTTGTTTTATCATTCTATTTATATTTCACAGTTTTGTTGATAACTTACTGACTTATAATTTACCGTTTGTATATTTTATACATCACTGTACATTGGGTGACCATCTGTCCTTCTTTGGGGTTTCCTTCAGTTGTTAAGGTATTTTCTCCATCAGTTCAGGAGCCTTTTGATTGAATTATGTGAATTACTTGGCTAAGAATCTGAATCTTTTTGAAGAAATTGGTAATTAATTTATAAAAGTATGAATTCGAAGCAGCCTAAAAATATGTACAATAGGTCTGGCATGTGCCTCCTGTACTGGCACCCCCACTCCCAAAAAAAAACCAATTGTAAACCGCTTTGAGACTCCGATGTGGAGTGAAAAGGCGGTATATAAATAAAGATTACTTACTAATTACTTACTTAAATATGAAAAATAGCTTTAAGGGGATATGACAGCTATAATTTGCTTGTCCCAAATATACTTGGGCCAAACACTTCAAATCACTTCTATTGAACAGAACCACTGTCCTAGAAGCCTATTACCTCCAGCCAAACTCCATCACTTTGAAGCGGTCACCCGATCTGCACTGGTATATTTCTTTAGCCAAGTCTTTCACTGCAAATTTACCCATATATTTTGTTTTATTTCAAAAACATTTCTTGTTGCTTTCAGTCCAATCGTGACCCATAGCGGCAAAACCAGCAGAGGACCATTATAACCTACAGGTGCTCTCACTGTGACTTGTCATTCTGGTCACGCCCTAAGCTGCTTTCTGTGAACTATGTATAAACTTGCACATCGCTGCAGATGGATTTGGACCACGCAGTGAAGCCATTTGTGCCTCAATAAAGGTCCGTGTCTCTCTGCAGCGGCAAACAAACCATGTGCCTCAAAAAGAACCCAACGTAGACCTGTGGCCGAGGTGCAACTCGGGTAAATACAAATATCCAAAAAAAACACAAGACCAGATGAAAAGTTTGTCATTTTCATTTCATTCAACTTTCAGTGGTGTAAAAGTGCGTACAATTGTCTCAAAGCTAAAGCTCAACAAGTAGAGCTGATAATGACAAGGATGGGTACATTTTATATTTTTAAATGACAGTATTCAATTCAATATTTATTTTTGTCCATCCCAAAATCACAACAGCAGTGGTCTCTGAGGACTTTACAGAGTTGTCAATTCACCAACACAGATCAGAGACTCAAACACAGGAAATGCAATAATAACAAACACATAGGACCAATAACCAATGTCCTAAATGTGAAAAAATGTCCTCAAAAGTCCCGGATCATCGCCACTGTCCTTAGACCCTTCTTCAGCGGCAAGGAACAAATCATTATTACAGATGGCAAAGAATTGAGGTTAACATAAGCAAATTAATTATTATTTTTTTCTTTTCTCTTATGATTGTGACATCAATAAGCCATTTCAGCAGGCCTCAAGCCATAATAAAGCAATATTTCAAGTATAGTAGAATAGAAAGTACAGATTTCTTTCAAATAGCGAGTTATACGGTGATAGGTGAAATACAAATGCTTTCACTGATGTTCTGTCTTTCCAGCCCCAGAGTTTAAGTCGTATTACTATGGTATATAAGACTAAAACAGTGTATGTATTAAAGCTTGTACAACTGCTTTGGTAGAAATATACACCTTAAGTTACTTTTGTTTCACAGCCCAAAACATGAACATTAAGTTAGTTGATTCAAAAAGGGTGTAATCCGCCACACATAATGATCTTCAATGACTTAAAGTGGAACAATAATTTGAGTGCTTCTGTAAATTTTTCCTCCTCAGTCAGTTCACTTGTTTTGAATAAGATATTTCTCCTGAGGTGAACAGTCTTTCACTAACCCAGTCTAGTTAAAGGAGACGTATGATGCAAAATTCCTTGGTCAAAAACAGACCTATTTTTTTTTAGATCCGAGCTAACATCAGGAACGTATGGCACAAACAAGTAACTCCGCCCCTTTTATCTTAAAGCTCCTATAATGGTATGATGTCATTGTACCACTATGACATGACGCTAAGAGCCTTTTCTGTCCTTTAAAAAATAAGGCCGAAAACCCCCTAATTGGTTTTGCAATTTCAAGTGAAATAAACAATCTTGAATCTTGATGACATGTCTGTGATTGCAGCTGGTCATGTTCAAATTTGACATAAGAAACGACAACAAATAAAAACTTTCCCCCTCCCTCTAGTGGAATAATAAGGAGTTGCATAGTATTGTTAACCCTTTATACTTGTTAACGATATATTTTCTACTTAAGATTGTCATTTCATGTTTTAGGATGGGAAATACAAAGCAAAAATGATCATCATATAATAGCCATAAAAATCATCATATTTCTACTTTAATTCCAAATGTCGATATTTGGGGAAGTATAATTGCACCATCACATTTCCTGTCTTTTTTTCACCCAAACTCTTCCTCACACTTCCTCACTGTCCCGTCGTGAACAATCCAACTTTTGCCTCTAAAAGCACAGGGCACCGCGAGCTACTGAGAGTCTGTAAGATAATGTGTAAATATTTGACGTATCGCTTTGTAGAGAAAACACAACACTACCTTTTGCTGCGCTCGGACATTGATACAAAGTGTTGCAACATCATAAACGGGGCCGATTCTAAGGTCATATAAATGTGGTAGTAATTGGTGTTAGACTTAAGTTTAAGGACCACATATTAAAGCTGGGGTACATGTGTGAAAGGGGCTAAATCATAGATGAATGTTAAAACTAGTGATGGAACCAAAAGTTAGATGGTATTAATTAATTCGGTAAATGTGGTACTTCAGCTTTAAAGACTGTCAAACGTATAGTGAGTTTTAGTTAGTATTTTTAAGTTATGGTATTGAACATGATTTACTGGACTTGTTATGAAAACCACATTGGTTTGTGTCAGAAGTCACTTTTCTTCAACTCCATCTCTTTTCTTATATAGTGGATTAATTTACTCTCCTGTTTATAAACCTGTTTTTAATACATATTTGAACACACAATCGGGAAAATCTTATCAATTGTCAAACATGGTCAATACATAACAGCCATTACATACAAACACAAATCAAATTAACCACTTGTATCATTTGTACAAGTTAGCCTTTAGTTTGTCCATAACATTTATTTTCAGATATTTTTATATTTAATTTTTTGCTTTCGGACACAACTTTTATTAGCAAGTTAGATTATTAGTTATTGTATTGCTGATTCCTTTTAATGGGGCCCTTGTTGTGAAGTTGCACCTCAAGTCTTTGTTCCTGTTTGAATGAAAAACTGCATGATGTTAGAAGAATGGATAACAAAAAAATAAAGTTTTTGTTTTCTCTCATTATAAATTCATTGTAGGTGCTTTAACATTTCAAACGAAGATTGTAGAAGTTTGCCAAAGGGCTCTCACTTTCCCCTTGTTTAATGTACTTAAGTATAAGTTTTGATGAATAAATGCCAAAATGTAGAGCTTGACTTTGTGATCACTTTGTTGTGTGTTGAAACCATATTTTTTTACATTTTACTTTTCACTTTTACTGCCTTGTGTATGTGTACGAGCTCGAGTGATGTTTGCTTTTTGTTTTTGTTTTCCTCGACTGGTAAAAAAATATTTAAAACTAAATAAAGCAGTAAACTGGATTTTGAAAAAAAAGGTTTGGATTTTTTATTGTCAAAGTGAAGCTCAGTGACTTTTCAGATTGTGACGACGGAGAGAAGTCAGACATATGTGTTCTTTAAATGAGCAATGACACCAGGCCAGTACAAATGTAACATTTATTTATTACACAACATGAAGCCCTTAACGAGTGACTGCTGTAAATACAGAGCAGTTCTCCACTACTTTGTACATGATCATTTCCATAGTTACGGAGGATAAAACATGTTCTTGACAATTAGCTGAACACACACAGAACCTGAAGCTCGCTACAGAAGACCAGGCCGCTCAGAGCTGGATAATCCTTGAACTGGGACAAATCTGACTGACATTAGAGCATGTGTGGACAACGATTAACTTGATAAAGAGGCCAGAATTACTTGTTTTCTCTTTGTAGCTATGGAAACGATCACGTCATGATAGTGTGTAGTGTAATATATGCAGGCAATATGGTTAAAAAGCTGATGCTGCAACAATCAAACAGTCATTATCACAGTAACTATCACTATGACTTAACATTTTGACTCGACAAAGGTAAAAACATGGTGATTGGATGTTTCTATATTGAGTAATAACTATAACATTTCTTTGCTCTAGCCTCCTAGCTCATCTAAGGGAATCCTGAGGTGTTCCCAGGCCATCCAAATGAGTATCCATCCGTCCATTTTCTACCCCTTAATCCATTTCTGGGTCGGGTCGGGTCGGGGGGTATATTCTTTTTAATTCAATGCTGCTTTCTTTTCAAAATGTCTCACAAAAATATAATAGTCTGTAAAATCCAGATTGTGAGGATCAAAATACAAATGCAAATAATTAAATTAGTTGATAACCCACAATTAGTTCATTGGTAGTTCGACCGTAGTTTGACCATAGTTCAGGTTTTTCCACACAGCGTCAAAATCCTTTCACATTTCACCAAAAGCCCTTTTGATAATCGCTGTTAATCACCATCTTCTGCATCTTTTCACACAAAGTTGCCATATGCTGTTGCTGTATTTCAACACGCTCAAGAAGTCATACAAAAAGTCTAAATAGTAATAAGTGCTCAGTGGATGCATTCAAAGGCCCAAATAACACAAAAGTAATGCATACATACTGTAAATTATCAAGCTATGAAAAAAGACTTCTCAAAAGGATGTTGCTTTAAAGGCCTGGATAAAATAGACAGTTCATGTAAAATATATAGTTAACACATCTCTATAATAACATTGTTTTAACTTTCCTTGTGCATATACAGTATATTCATATCTTCAAACAAACTGGCACAAACTCATGTCTTTCCTCTCAGAATAATTTTTTTTGATATATTTCACTAAAGCTTTAGAGAGTTCTGCCCGTCAATCCCAAAGACCATTCCAGAGTTCCTCCCTCCTTCATGATGAGTTTTGACAAAGTGAATGCATGTTCACACAGCTCAGTCTTCTTACCTGACATTGTTCAGTCTATGGGTCATACTCTTTGTAGAAGAGTATGCGTAGGTTTCCTCCGGGTACTCTGGTTTCCCCTACCACTAAAAATATGTACAATAGGTCTGGCATGCGCCTCCTGTTCGGCGACCCCGCTCCCATCTCTGTGTGGAGTGAGAGGACAAGTGCCCAAAAAATAACAATTGTAAACCGCTTTGTGACTCTGGTCTGTGAAAGGCGGTATATAAATAAAGCTTACTTACTTACTTACTTAGAAGATACAACTCTCTGAAACCATAAAGGGTCCATTGGTGATAAAGTCAATGGAATGATTTATTATAATGAGCTGTTTTAGAATAATGTTACAGCTTACATTATTGTGCAGGGAACTGTTGGCTTCTGTTTGTGCTAAGTATTGGATGATGACTAAAGTTAATACAATCTAATATACCTTTATGTTATGTGGATCAGATCACACTAAAGCGTATTGTTTAATAAATAATACATTTTTCTTGTCATAATAAAAAAGAGCTTTGTAAAAGTAACAGTTTGAGAACACATTTGAACACATGCTATTGTCATTTTGTTATAACAAGTTGTATATTTTGTATAATTGTAAGAAAGAGCCCTGTGAGTCACTGATCATTTGACCAGGTTATTCTTGAAAACAGATTGTTCACCCTCTGTTATCAAAAATAACAACGTGCTCACAGCATACTCTTCGAAAAGGTTTCTGTCTACACAAATCTGCATGAATAAGTAAGTATTTCTTGCCTTATAGATTAGTAGGAAAATTGTTTGTTGGTATTACTGGTATAATTAATGAGTGTGGTCTCTCTCATTCATTTTGTTTGAAAAAACGAATCAAACTGTTAGAATAAAGTTAGATACTGCAGCTTTAACAGTTTTGATGCTTAATGAGGGACACTTCTTGTTTATAACACGATAAACATAAAGTACATTATTCATATTTGTTCCTAATACTAAATCATATGACTCACAAATCTCACTCAGTAACTTTCAGTAAGCATAAGGAGGAGGTTTCTCTAACGCTCCGTAGGCATCTCCGTAAAGTGCTGGAGCATTAGGGGCATTGGGGGTCAGGTACCCCCCTGTCTCCTGGGTGCTGCCTTGCTGGTGGAGGTGTGCAGCTGGGTGTGGGTGTCCCATAGGCTGAGGGGGCATCTGGGGGTGCGAGACTGGTCCTGACGGAGGAGGAGGCGGCTGGCTCTGTGGAGGGTCACACGGATGAGCGTTGGAGGGACAGCCTCCTTCAGGAATGGGCTGAGGTGTGGAAGGACCAATGTACCCGGAGTTGGGCTGTAATTATTAGAAAGAAAAATTAGAGATTTGTAAAAGTTGGAGGTGATTATACTCAAAGACGCTTCAGATGACAGTCCCTTAGTCCTCAATCCCTGTCCTACAGCCAGAGTCCTGGGTCTATAGCCTGTCCATCCGTGGCAGCAGATCCCTCTCAATGTGGGCCTCCCTGAGATTACTCACTCTTTCTCCAATTGGTTTTTGAGTCGTTCCTTGCCAATGCAGGAGGGTCTAAGTACAGTGAAATCCGGGACATTTAAAGACATCCATTAGACGTTTATTAACATTATTGAACATTAGTCATCCGCCCCTAACGGTTCCTAGTTTGATTCTCTGAACTCTTGTTGAGGAATCAAGAACTTTTGAAAAGTCTTCCAAGACTACTTCTGTTGTGATTTAGGGCTGTACAAAAATAAGTTGAATGGAATCCATACATCGTGGTGGTAAACTACTGTTGTACTAGCCACAGCTGCCATGGTGGTGGTACAGCCTCAGTTGTCCCATTGTGGAACCTGCTGTTCTCAGAGGTCTCCCATCACCAAAGCTGACCAAGCCTTGCCTTGCTTAGCTTCTAAGATCTGATGGGAAACGACTTTCCCATGCAGGTGGTGCTTCATGCATATTTTAATCTAATAATGACCTGAATGAAAGTTGAGACACAGGGGAAGTCAAACGAAACACTCTTGTCCTTAACCTAGACCCTTTCGCCTTGTATGAGTCTGGTGAGTGAGGGACTGGAGGCTGGAGGAGCCAATGGCACAGATTAGCTGCCTTGCTTCTGTCAGTCTGCTTCAGGGCAGCTGTGACTGTAGTAGTAGCCTGTCACCACTGTCCACGGAGTGAATGAATGATGCCGTGTGAAGCATCTTTGCTCCTGTCAGACATCTGATGCTAAGGAGGGCAAGGCCTGGTTAGTACTGTGATGGGAGAACTCTGGGGACACCAGGTGCCACAGTGGGGCGGCTCCACCTATAAAGTGCCAAATTGTTGTTGTGTCCTTAGGCAAGACACTTCACTCACATTGCCTAGAATGAGTTTGGTGTGTGCGTGAATGATTGGTGGTGGTTGGAGAGGCTGATGGCACATACTAGTTGCCTCGCTTCTGTCCTCCAGGGCAGCTGTGGTTACTATAGTAGTTTATCACCAATGTGTATGAGAAGTGTCTTTGAGTGTCCTGAAAAGCGCTGTAAAACCAATGCCTTACTATGATTATTATAATTATATAGGGTAGGGCCAGTAACTCACAGGCATGGGTGTGGGGTAGTTGGGTATAGGTCTTGCTACTCACCGGCATTGGGATGGGGTAGTTGGGGTAGGCGGGCAGGGCTTGCGGGGGGCAGAAGCTGGCATAGGTGAGGATGTGCTGGTTGGGGTTGTACATGATGTGAGGCGGAGGCGCTGGACTCGGGGGGATGCAACGAGTCGGCTTCTGCTGCAAGGGAGAGGATCAGTGTAAAAAGTGCTGTTGTCATAGAGCTCCATACGAGTGAAAAATCTGTTTTAAAACTTGATTCTGGGATAGCTACTTTTTAAAACACAAATAAATGTAACTATGTAAAATAATCTGCTTCACTACTAAAAACCGGGGTATATGTACCCTAGCTTTAATGTAAAACCTGTTGACCAACCTGATTCACTACTGATGAATACAACTTCATGGACTTTGCAGGGTGATATCAAAATCTAATTTTTTTAAATAGAAATAATGTATACATACTATACACAAATGAGGTGAGCGCATTTGTGACTTAATTTTTGGGAGTACAAATATAACAATTCTATTCCTAGAGATCCTACCAAGTCCTTGTAGGCTCCGAGCAGCGCAGCGTTGATGATTCCCAGGAACATGGTGACCACGTTGAGGACCACAGAGGCCCAGAGCAGGCGGTGCAGGTGGATCACATCCCAGCAGCTGCTCACTCCAGTGAACTTGTAGTAGTGCGTGTGGTACTCGCTGAACACACGTAATGTGGATTTAGAAATGCGATATTTGAACACAAAAACAATAATGGACATGGGAGGAAACAGACCTCTCACAGTTGTAGAGGTAGCAGCAGTAGCAGGTGTGACTTTCCATTTTGAGGTTGCAGGCTTTGTTTGAAGCTCGGCACGTGACCTGAATCATCAAAAGATTAAGATTAAGAGATCCTTTATTTCAGAAATGTCAAAGTTAGCTTTAGTGAAACAACATTTAGAGCTGTTGTTTATGCTTATTTGAACATAGCATAAATATAAAAAAACAATAAGAACAAAAACAAAAACCAAAGCATAACAAATGACAAAAAAACAAGACAAAAACAAAAAAGAAAGGAAAGAAAAACAAACAATCATTATGAAAACGAATTGAATGTGATTTTTTTATCTCAGTTTGACCAATAAGTTGAAGAAAAGCCACCATATGACTTCCTCTCAGATATAGAGATATACAACATACAATTTCTGATTATTTTTTTCATATACTACTCTGTACACATGATTTTTGACCATTAAAAACATTAACAAGACTTTTTGGACTGTCTATGTTTTAGATTGTGAAATAATATGAAAATATATGACAAAACAAGTCTCAAGGGTAAATAAATGGTATGCTAAGTCGCTATGCTACCACCCGAGGGAGGAGTTGAGTTTTTTCAAAATGTTTTAAATGACAGGCCAAAAGCATCATTAATATTGCCATTTTACTTGTCAAGTGCTACACGAGCAAAGAAAAAAGAGAAAAGAACATGAAATACACACAAATACTTTTTTAGAAGTCAAAAAACTGCTTTCTGTGTGACATAACAGTCGTATAATAACATCATAACGTTGATACCAGATTTTCCAGATAATTGCGTGGATGAACTCTAGAACAGTTTCTGATAAGGTGTAACTTGGTTAAAAGCTTGTAAACGTTGAGTAAAATCACTGCATGTTCATGTTTTGGAGCAGTTACAGATTAATCTATTACTAAATCAGGATAAGGGTTCTTGTTCTTTGTTGTGATCAATAATTATTAGTTTGGAGCTCTAGAAACAGTTTAGACCTATGACAGGCCCATACCACAAGGTGTCAGTAGAGTCTCCGTATATTCTATTACTGTTTTCTCTGGTTATTCTCAATATATCAATGTTTAAATGTCAGTTCAATGTACAGAAAAGCAAACTGAATATCCACAAACATAATGAAATGCTGTTGTAGAACCTCGGTGTAGTAGTTGTCGTAGGCGTATCCAGAAACACTTCCGTAGTAGTCACACATGTCCTCCTCTAGTGGCCTGATGTCCTGTGAAGAAGAAAAGTACATAACAATATTCAGATCAGGGCGAAAACAAGACACCAACAGTTGAATAAAAACATGTGAAACCACTGCACGCTCTTTGCATTGAATTATTGAAGTATTTTATCTCTTGTAAACGCAGAAATAAGACCCCAAAGATTTGTTTCCTTACTCACTTACTCATATAATCATATTCAGGCAACATGTTTTGTAATAAGATTAAGGCAGCATGGTGTGGTTTCATTTGTTCACAACATTTTACTTTTCTGTAGACTCTTTCTATTGGGACAAACATGTGTTATTTATGAAGGGGAAAAAGGTGGTACTTTAATGTGACATCATCACCAGTGTCACTGTCAGAAGATAGTTTCTTTCAAGGATCTTCAACTTCACGAATCGTTTTCTACAATACATACATTTGTGTATCTTTTCAGTTGGTCATTTAAGATAATACCGGTTTTAAAGGTTAAAAGTCAAATTCATATAAAGAATGTAATTCATGTGAATTTTTATCTTTATGTGTTACATGGTTTTATTTTGACTTCAGTTCTCTTCTGGTTTGCTGTATTTCCCGCTCCTGTGTCTCTGTCTATATCAGAGGTTTCCACATATTTTAGTAAGAGCCACTCCAGTTAACCAGACTTGTCTAGGGGCCGACAACATGGATTAAAAAAAGTTAAAGTGGGGTTTGATGTCCATATTGAGTCATACTGAATACAAAGGTAGGGCTTCAGTTGGCTGGATGACACTGTGAAAGTACCTCAATGGCTACTTTGTGGCCTGGGTCTGGACACCCCTGGTAAATATGTACAGGGGCACATCAGGCCCATTTGTTGCAGGTTGACATGTCAACGTCTTTCTGTGTTTTTGTCCCAGTTCCTTTGTTTTTAGGTTTTTTGAGTTTTTCAACTTGAACTTAATTTGCATTTTGAATTTTTGTTTATTATTTTAATTTGCATTTCTACGTTTTGTTCACACTGTGTCAGTACGTACGATGAGCTGTGACGCAATGATCCCGTCCACAATGGCACAGAGGAAGGCTGCGATAACTCCCAAACTGATGAAGATGATGGAGGCGATCAGCTGCAAACAAGAAATTACAAAACACAAATGGTTCCAACATGGGCACTGATGGAAAGACATTATTATTATTGCAAGGTGCATAGGGCATATATTTATTTTGTATATATAGATGTATTTATAAATTATTAGTTTTTTTACATTATAATGTGTTATAGTCCGCCTCAGGCCAGTGTTTGGTAGACCAGCTGGATGATCACAGATGTCTGACCATAATATTCTTTTATCACTTTGAGTTTTACGGCTGTTTCACTTTCCCTTAGGAACAAACCGTCTGGACTCCAACACAGAAATTAAAAACTTTCCTGGTTCCGGAGCTAAATGATGCCGTGTACATAATTTGTACATTATTTACAACCTCTCCAATCTGGTCATCTAAAGTCATTCTATTTGCCAAAATAAGTTTCTTGTCACTAAATGCATTACTTCTACTACCGCCACTACCACCCCCACTCCTACTACTCCTACTGCTACTACTGCTACTACTCAATTATTAAAATAAATAAATACAAAAATAAATGTATTTTTGTGTAGCTCTAAGAAAATAATTAATCTTTATTTATATAGCGCCTTTCATAGACCAGAGCACTTTACATTTGTTGTGGGCATTTGTCTCTCACTCCACACAGAGATGGGAGCGAGCTCTCCTGTACAGGTGTCGCATGCCAGAAGAGGTAGGGGAAACCAGAGCACCTGGAGGAAGCCTACGCAGACACGGGGAGAAAATGCAAACTCCACTCAGAAAGGTCTTTGTTGTTATTCCGACCAGGATTTAAACCCAAGACCTTCTTGCTGAGAAGTGAGAGTGCTCTCCGCTCAGCCACTGTGTCGCCCAAAAGCAGTTGCCTTGGAGGACAAAGTCAGAGACTACTACTATCAACAATACTACTACGACTAACACCACTTAATTATTCTACCAATAATCCTACTACTATTGTATCCATACAATAGATAATATGTGAAGTGACAACCTCAATGATACTGTTCTGCACTTTGTATAAACACTAACTTTTATTTGTTGAAGTAAACCGGCACAAACTTTTGAACCTAACGAAGTAATGACAAAACCTGGCTGGCTTTTATGGACTAACCTTGTTTTGTGAATACAGACCATGATTTCTTAAAACACAAGACATTAAAATGATCTATAATGAACTGTAATTGTAAAATGGGAATAGGTTGTTGTTAAAAATCAATATCAAGACCTGCTTATCTTCACAATGGCCCCAGAGAAAAGCTGTCTTTCACAATAGAACCGTTCAGATTGCATTTTAACTTTGTCTTTAAGAGAGGTAAACTTGAATATATATGACGTCCTACAATATAAGTTGAAAAAGCAATATTTTTTTCAATAGAGGTTTATCTGCCAGCCACAGGCCAGACTTTCTACTTCATTAACGCTCTAAACGACTTTGGTTTTATGGGCAGTGGAGACTCGAAAGCATTACATCACATTTCCACATTTTTCCATCAGAAAAACCAAACGTGACACAGGTGATCAAAGAGCGTGAAGGATTTAAGATCACCATTGTTCGTCACTTTCCCTCATGAAATATATTGAAACTCCTTTGATTTCAAGTAAGTAATCTTTATTTATATACTGCCTTTCACAGACCAGAGTCACAAAGCGGTTTTACAATTGTTATTTTTTGGGCACTTGTCCTCTCACTCCACACAGAGATGGGAGCGGGGTCGCCAGTACATGAGGCGCATGCCAGACCTATTGTACATATTTTTAGTGGTAGGAGAAACCGGAGTACCCCGAGGAAACCTACGCAGACATGGGGAGAACATGCAAACTCCACTCAGAAAGGCCCTGGTACGACCGGGATTCTAACCCATGACCTTCTTGCTGAAAGGCAAGAGTGCTATCCCCTCAGCCACCGTGCCGCCCGCATGGTTTCCATCCATCTTCCTTTGCTTTTTCCGTTGCAGGGTTGTGGGGGCAGCAGTCAAAGCAGAAAAGCCCAGACTTCCCTATCCACTCATGCTTCCTCCAGCTCATCCGGGGGAATCTTGAGGCGTTCCTGGGCCAGCTGGGAGACATAGACCCTCCAGCGTTTCTTGGGTCTTCCCCTACTTTCCTCCAGGTGGGAAGTGCCCGGATAACCATAAGGAGGCGTCTATGAGGCGTTCTATACAGATACCCGATCCACCTCAACTGCCTCCTCTCCACGCGGAGAAGCAGCGGCTCTACTCCGAGCTTCTCTTGTGTGACTGAGCTCCCCACTCCATCCTTCGCAGCAGTCAAAGAGGAAACTAATTTTGGCGGCTTGTTTTTGCCATCTCATTCTTTTGGTCATTTCATGAAACTCATGACCATAGGTGAGGGAGGGAACGAAGATTGACGCTGATCCCTCTTCACTTAACGGTCCGATACAGCGCTGCATCGATCCATATTTCAATCTCACGCTCCATCCTTCCCTGACTGTGAACAAGACCCCGGAATACTTGAACTGCTCCACTTAAGGAAGGACCTCTCCACCATCATGAGGGTTAAGATTTTTTCATTTTCAAACAAGGCTTAATATAAATTATCATTTTAAATTATCAGTTGCTTAGTTTCTCCAGTTTTTTCACTTTATGCTGTTACATAATATAAAATGTCCATTTATTGTTTTAAAACCTATTTTAATTGATTTAACTTAAATAGGGGAAGATAAGTAGGATGTTATTTATCTATCTTCTCTAAATGATATATGGTCAAAAGGGACAAATCATTTCATTTAACTTTTTCTGAACAAAAGTTTAGTTTTGAACATTTTGAAAAATAAAAATAAATAAATAAAGTTCATCATTTATATTTATAAACATCTTCAGCCAATTATCCAATCAGAGAGCAAAATAAGGCTTCCTTTTGGGTTGCCAGTTTTCCAGGTAAAATTCAGCATATTTAATTTACATGGGCCAAACTATGTAGACCAAAATGAGACATATTAATAATAATAATAATAATGCATCGGTTTTATAGAGCGCTTTTTTTTAGATCCAACAGTACTCATCACTCACACTCAAGAGAACAAACCCTGTTTCAAAAGATTTGAATACATTTAAAAATAGCTTATACATATAAAACCATTACACGTTATCCTGGTTTGAACTACAAAGTACATTTTATACCAACAGAATAGACCTTTGTAGCACTGTGACCTGCACCACACTTTGAGAACCCTTCAATTTAACCAATTTCACAGTTAATTTAGTTTAGCGACTACATGGTCTACTTTATAGCTCTGGGTCAAGCTCTCTATTGGGTTACACAACTGAAGCTGCGACGGCGACTGCTCAATGATCCAACAACGAATCAGGAGCAGTAATAAGTGTCCACTGTCTGAACAAGGAAAATAAAACCATTTAGGACTCTCAAGGTTACAGCGAGGGAAGAAGAAGAGATACAGGGGCAGTAAAGGACAGAGCATTTGAAGCGTTGAGTCGTAAAGAAAAGAAAAGACATATAGGCAGAGGACATGAAGTTTTACCACTGGAGACATGGACGGGCAAGATAAGAGGAGAGAAGAGAGCAAAGTCATTTTTACATCTAATTCCTGAATAGTTTTAGTGAAGTAATGTGACCTACGTCTTTGAGCGATAGATAAAGGTAATTGTATTGTTCCACATATAATGAAAGGAGACATCAGGGACGTTGGCAGTAACCAGACATGACTGGTAAATACATAATTGCTACAGGGCTGAGAGTATTGTAGAGTTGGCTGATATGATATGTACCACAATACAGGTCCAATGCAATACGATTATGTTAAAAAGAAAGGCTTGGGAAGTTTATTTGTATAGCACAGTTCCTATAAAGATTTTAAGAGTCAATAATTTATAGTCATTGTCACAAAAAGATTATCACCGGGATAAGCGTACAAAGGGCAGAAGTTGGCAGGATGTAAACAGCACAGGGCAGAGGTAGATTAGAGGATGTAAGTGAGTATGTAGCCGCAACAATGCACCACCAGTTCACAGTTATGGCAGATATGTAAAAGTGGAGGATTATGGGGGTCCGGGGGGGTGAGAAGGGGGGCAGTGTTCATTGACCAGTCTGACAGCCTGGGGGTAAAGGCTGTTGTCCATTCTGCTGGTTCGGGCACGGAGTGACCGGTACCAGCAGGCTGCAGCAGGCTGGAGTAAGAAGCTCCAACTATGCTCTGGACACAATGTTTTTAATTCTGGCACAGTTCTTGATATACTGAAAAGCTGCTAATGTTACTGATTTTATGTGGTTTAAAAAAAATAAAATAATCTTATCCTTAGATTTCTGGACTGATTGAAGCTTTTGAAAAAATCTATTTATTGTTTTATCTATTTTATCGTTTATTTGGTTGGAACACAGCATGTGAATGAACGCTCCAATCCAGTGTTGCCTTGGACTAATTTGCATCTGTTGTCTCACATTTGCACTCACAATCACACACTTTTTAGAGGTAGGGTAAACCGGAGCACCCGGAGGAAACCGGAGCAGGGGAGAACATGCAAACTGTTCACAGAAAGGCTTATATTGTAATCTGTCCTATTTTCAAAAGGAAAAAACTCAAAAATCAGGACTGCTAAAAAAGTTATTTCATAAAAGAAACCCTAACCCAAAAACTAAATTCAGAGCAAAAAATATAACACGTAACCAAACAAAGAGACATGGCTCAATCTCTGAGCGAGCCACTATGCATTCTGGGTAGATAACTCCTTTTGACCGCTTGGATCCGCAACATTATCCTTTCGGTCATTACACAAAACTCATGACCAGAGATGACTGCTTAGATTGACCGGTGAATCGAGAGCTTTCGGCTGAGCTCCATCAATCTTGAAATACTTTACCTCCATTTGGGAAAGGACCTCTGCACCCACCAAAGAAAAAGACCACTTTCTCCGGCAGAACAATTTACTAATCAAAAGATTTATTACACACGATCTAATACAGGGGTGTCAAACTCATTTTTGTCGGGGGCCAAGTTTAAAAACATAAGAGCTGTTGGAAGAACACTTTTACATATTTTTGTCTGTTTTAATTACATTTTACACAAGTTTGGATATCAACCACAACTGGTCAAATATCAAGAAAAGATGTATTTGAAGAAATCTCATTATTCATTATGTGTATTTACTTAACTATAACCACTACTTACATTTCAACTTTTAGAACAGAATCAATGATATGGTTGTTGAGATAATAGGCCGTATTATCCCATTACCATCAATGCTGTAATAAAGTTAATTGAAAATGATTTCAGGGGGCACTAAAAACGGTCTTGCGGCCCGGATTTGGCCCACGGGCTTGAGTTTAACATGCCTAAGCTATAGTATTTCAAATGCTTTTGTCATTGTTTGTTTTCTTTTACATGGAAATAGCTTTTTGGCTGCCACTGTCTGTAAATCGCTTAAATAAATGCGTTCTCCCTTGGCGCTGCAGCTGGGTGGTATAATGGGGCAGTGGTGTGGAGCTGCAGGAAGCACTCAGGTGTCCGAATGTCTTTGGTTCAGTCTGTTGTTCTTTAATGAGTCTTGCTTTTGATCGACTCAAGTTTCAGCGAGTGCAGAAGGAGACACCTGTTCACCTCCTTCTCTGCATTAAAGATTCAACTGAAGGACCCTGTGGCTATGAAATCACACAGAGACCAAAACATGTCTTCAAAGAACTTCCTCTGTCTGTTTTTTTTCGGCCCCCAGCGACTACATGATAATTGTGATGATAATTGCTGTGTTGTCTTAATGTGATACATTAAGATACTAGAAATATACTGAGACAGACATTATAAAGCAAACACTAGATTTGAGCCAATTTTGATTAGAAAAAGAAAGAAACATAATTGTGTAAAATCATAAAACTTCTAATTTGAGTTGAATGAATGAAAGTGATGAAATTATTAGTTTGAGAAAAGATGCAGAATGTAAATCAAAGCATTCATTGTAGAGCTAATGCCTTTGATCTGAACTTTACAAGTTACTAAAACGATGTAGACTTTTGTCAATGAGAATGAGATGCTTAGTTTTCTTATCAAACCGCTATACTTAATATTCACTTATCTTATCTTTTGTTGTGTGCTCCTCATTCCTACTGTTCTGTAACCTGTGATGTAGCCCTGAAGTTTCCCGAAATGTCCCTACTGTGGAATGAATAAAATGTCTCTGAATCTTAATCTTGACATACAAAATAAATAGGGGTAAATTGATTGTTGGCAGAACAGATATAGTGACACAACTAAACATTTATTTTTTTGTTATTAGTCAATTCAATGATAAAACTGTCAACAAAGCTCTGTCTGATTAGTCTAGTGTTGTTTGGTTTATTTCTGTCAAAATGAACTGATTTGACATTTGAATCATTTGGATAAAATCACATAGATACAAGCACCTGTTTTTGATAAACTTCGGGGTTAAGGATTATGAACCAGGAAGTACGACCATATTAGTCTAGTTCTCAGGTCTCTGCACTGGCTTGCTGGGGCTCAGGGAATAGACTTTAAAACAAGCTTCTGTTCAAATGTTCAAATCCAGGTTTTAAAAAGTTCCGTTCTTTACTATTTTTAATGTACTGTGATTTTTCATGATTTTATTGTCTTATATGATTGTTTTGATCTTGTTTTGTTAAGCTATTTGAGTTGCCTTGTATGAACTGGGCTTGCCTTGCCTTGCCTATATCAATTGTCTCCTTGACTACAAATTATCTGTATCCAACCTAAAAAAAAAACATATTGGCCGACCCCCCTTGAAATGAGCATTGTATCCATCAGCTCAGGGCAGTCGTCAGCGGTAACACAAGCCGCTGTGACCTGAGATCCACAGCAACATGAAAAATTCACTACGCACAAAGACTCAAGTAGCAACAGTATCAAGGGAACAGACCGGCTCACACACGGTGATCAGACAAACTAGAGCCACGCAAGGAGGTCAAATAAATACATTGAATTATTATGTTATACCTATTATACAAGCAGCAAAACACTGAAAAAGTAAGTTATAGTTATAGCTTAATTTGAATGTATGCTTGACTGACTCGCATAAACTCAAATTCTCAATGGAAAAAAAGCATATAATATTGTATCTTGTTGTACTGTAACTTTCGGGGGTCCAACACAAGCTTGTTGCCACGGAGATGCTACGGCTTGACTTGGAATGAACCTCATTGTATTGAATATACCTCTCCACATTAATGACTCGCAACAAAAACACATGTGCTTGGAATAAGGCTAAAACTTTTGGCTAACCTCAGTTGTAGAACTGACTGATAAATGTGTGTGTGTGTGTGTGTGTGTGTGAGTGTGTGCTAAATATATTCAGATATCAAACCTAAATCTCACCATAAACTTAGTCTGAATTAAATGATTGCTCTGACTGTGCTGACTCACTGTTACGCTGCTACAATTTCAATCAGGTAAAAAGATTCCTATATTCCTTGTTTAGGCCCACTTTTATAACTTTGATGCGTCCATATGCTGTTGTCTTTTTCTGACCTCTCTCACTCTCCCTTTCTCAGTTCTATTGACCATTTTAAGCCAGATTTGTCTCAAAACCAATATCATAATTACATTTGTTGTGCTGCTGAAGGCCTGGGCCACTCCTGCTCAAACCACAGATCCAGGTCATGTGTCCACAAAACTCTCTGTAGGTTCAATAAAGACTTTTACCCTTGATCATAACAGGCCGTCGTCCTCAGTAATGTAATAATACAATAAACAGAAAAGTTACCAGCAACAATTACACATACATCGTCAATCTTAATAAAGACAAAGATCAGGCAGGATAATAGACTTCTCTACTATAAACACCGGGTGTGTTTTGAAGGGAGAAAGAAACAATCAGTGATCCATATGTAAAGTCTATCTTATAAATAGAAAGTAAGCAATATTCTGTTGCTGCTCCGGCTTGTTTGTATGTATTTTACCGTTTCCAAAACAGACACCCCCCTTTAGTCTTTGCCAGTTTGGGTCTGTCGGAGCTGCTGAGCTTGTTGGTGATTTAAACACATATTTGACACCATTATATAGATTAAGAATTAACCAAAACAATATGAACAACTTTGCAGTGAAATTACACGAATGTTTGAGTAAAGCTAATTTTCATACAACAAATGACAGACATTTTCCGACTCAAAAACCCCTGTCTCGAAGGTCAGTGTTGCACTCACCATTGGTCGACGGTTTTCTACAAGATGAAGGGCGACCACGCCAAGAAACGCTCCAAAGCTCATCTGTGAGAAAATATTTTGGATCAGCAATTATTTTATAAAGTAGCATTCTTATTTTGTGTTCTAATACATATATATATCTTGACAAAAATTGGCTGTCAATTCAATTTGTATAGCCCTAAATCACAACAATAGTCATCTCGGAGGACTATACAAAGTTGTTGATTCGGTTGTCTTTGACTGAAGTCGATTTTTTTAAATTAACAGCCGATTCTAAAGACTAAGTGAATACAATGATGCATGTATTGAAACAGAACTGGACCAAAGATTATTATTTTTAGTTTAGTTTAGGTAAAGAAGGCTGAGCACTGATGTGAATTATTACTCACGGTGTTTTGGGTTGATTGATGAGAGTAAATTGTGGGTTGGTTTCCTGAGAAAATGAGCTTTAAAACGGCCATGGGAGCATATTGGCCGGATGGGGATGGAATTCCCAATGTTTACAAAATGTATAAAAAATTTCCAATTTGCACTGCCTATTCAAGTCAATTCATTTTATTTTTGTATGGCCATAAATCCCAACAGTAGTTATCTCGGCGGACTTTACAAGCCGTCGACTAGTCCAGTTATGTTGACAAAGATAAATATGAGGTGTTCCCCACAGTCCAAAAAGTACGGAAATAATAACATAAATAAATAAATAAATACAAACAACTATGTGGGCATCAGACTAATGTGAAAATAGGTCCAAAGTTGTAAAGGTGATAGGCCATAAATACAAAGTTATGCTTCTAAACAACTTGCCTGCACTGAAACTTTAGTTTATATGTTTGTAAGTCAGATAAGATAAACGTTATTGATCTAACAATGGAGAAATGTAGATGTCACATTTGGCACAGCACAGCCCCCGTCATTATCTGGGTTTCATAATGAGTTGTTTTTGTGACGCACCGTGATGCCGGAGTAGAAGCCGGCCACGCCCACATTGGAGGTGCGAGTGGCGGCGATGAACCCGATGGTGAGCACGGTGAGGGCCAGGACCAGCAGAATCACGGTGACCCACAGAGCTGTCCGGCCGCGGCGGTAATACTGCACTACAGGAGCAGAGGGCAAGTCTCATCAGAGGAAAGTACACGGAACACAGACAGGATGAAGTGAATGAATCTTAACCACTCAAGCTACATTTCAGCCTGAAGGGATATCATGTTCATGTGACAGTTAAACATGCGGTACCTCACTTTGCAATCATTTAGTTATTTCTGAGTATTCTGTGAATTACATAGGAATGCACCAATATTCAAATTGTTGGATTGGATTTCATTGGAGATTGGAGATTCTGACACACCGGCTGTGTGGCAGTATTCCTTCTGTCATCACTGGAGTGAAAAGGAGAAAAAAGGACCATGATCACTTTTTGTGACTGGTCTGTAAAATGTGCCACAAAAATTAAGATTTATTTTTGTTACTTGGTGATTAGGGGGAATGTTAGTGCTGTAATCTACAGTCAATCCTGATAAAATCACATGGACAAAAGACATAGTTCAGGCATTCTTTTACTTGGTTGAAGTGAATTTTAGCATACAGTATATAATTTAGCCTCATAGGATTTACTAAAATGATAATTTAATGGCATTCTATTGTCAGGGAAACATCTAACAGTTCCCTAACAAAAATGCAAAGCATATGGATTTATTAAATAGATTTGTGCATCCCTAATTCTAAATGCAGATCTTTGTGACAGGTTTTCATGTTTTTAGATTATCCACATCTAAACTATATTATTCCATTCCATTTGGGAAGAAGAGCCGTGTGAGTAACCTTATGCAGCTTTGGGCGAAGAGCTGATTGGCCGTTGTGGGTGATCCACTCTGAGAAAAAGCTGATATGGTTGATTAAATAAATCATGAATATGAAGATTGCGTGTGACAAAGAGAAGGACAAGTTAGATGGATCTAAATACATGCTACCCCAGCTTTAAGCTTAGTGACAAACTCTTACCAGTATACGCCACAACATGGCATGGGCATCACTTCAAAAGAGGCTCCACACTAAGTCACAATCATAGACTGTAAGTCACAATACAACGTGCTTTTGTTCTCAAGAAGAATGCATCTTTATCTAGTTATCTATTATAGTTTTAACAAATGTGTAATAAAAGTGGTAAACAGCAGGAGCTTGCAATGACATCATAATGGTAGGTCCAGAGAAGTTACACGTTACACCTTTAAAAGACTGTAGAAGTTATTTTCTTTTGAGGATGTTAGCTTCAAATATGTTTATAGTATTTGTTTATATATTTAGACTATATGACTCAGTGCTCTTGTGTATTCCAAGAACCTTTAAAGAAGTTTCTCTTCTAGATCATCTGCTGGTTAGTGGCATGATTAGACTTCATCACAGATAATCACACACAGACATTTATCCTATTTGACTTGAACAAAGCAGGTGTCTTCTTACCAGTGGTATCCGCGGGTGCATTCTGCTGAGGCGCATGTTGAGTTGGAGCAGTTTCTTGTTGAGGCATTTTGTACAAAAAAAGCTCGGCAAACACAGTACAAATCGCGGCTGTGTTTTTTCCCCACAGTAATCACTCAGGAGCCATCCTCACTGACTTTTACATGAACTCAAAATGTAAGGACAGTTTGATTGTGGAAGTGCCCCGAGTCCAGCGATGTGATGAAGTTTGTGAGGAAGGAGGAGAGAGAGCAGCCAATCAGCGCAGTGTTCACCGGGACATCAATTATTACTGCAGCTTCTGAGCCATGTGTTGTGTCTAATGTTACACTTCAATAATGATTCAAACACAGGATAATGAAACTGTATTTGTCTTTATATGATTATAGCCTCGTCCCTTTTCAAACCATGCAGTTATTTATGTATTTTTTGTGTGAATAATAGTTTGCATATCTTTTGCATGTTTGAAATAAATAAAGAAACGAAAGATAATAAAGTATGTTTTTGAAGTAAATAATCTGGGATTAAGTCGAAATGTTTAGTCAGTAATTGTTAGTTAGAAATACAGTGAATAAACCTACAATTACTTAAGTGTCACAATAGTTTGACGACATGAACTTGAACGTAATGGGATATGTGCTTGAGGATACGTCATGTCTCACAGTCTATGGTCATGTCTAAGGACGCCCTCTACAGGACAAAATCCTCGAGATCACACAGCCATGGATTCCAGAGACTTGTTGTTCCTCAGGTTTTATTCCAAAGTTAGAGTGTTCACAAAATGGTTTCACAGAGTGACAAGTAAATCTCAGTATTAAATTACTATGTACATGTTCCATTATTATTTACATACGATGTGAGAAATGTATAGAACGCAATCAGTAGAGTCCAATAAATTACTTTCTAAACACGGATACCAGTGTTTCTAAATCTTGTACACAAAACAACAACAATATTAAGCATTTCCTCTTTTTCCTGGGTTATGTAAAAAAAAACAATATATCAAAGAGATGTCCAATTTCTGGTTTTAAGAATGAAAAAAAAGGACCATTGCGATGACAAACAATTAAAAAAATAAATATTATATCTATTGAACAAATTTTGAAATATGAAATACATTAATAGGAACTCGAGTATTGGATAAAAATAGTATTACGAAGAGGTTGCTATGAGAGAATGGCTCCAAATTCCTGACCATGGGATGAAACAAATGTGTAGTTTATAACAATAAAAATGTGTTCAATAATAATAACTGTTATGATAAACATAATACATACAAATATAAAAAACACTTTCTTTCAGGAGTGGGCAATTATTTTATTTTGGGGCCACATTGGGATATTGCCCTATTGTGGAGGGGCCTGTTTTTTCTTGGTTAATTTTTAGTTTAATTTTGCAAAAAGTCCTTCAATATTTATTCATGAAGATATCCCGTCTTTGTGTGTTTGTGGGAATTTATTTTTGGATTTAGAAAATTATAACTAATACAATCTGTTTTGGTACTAGATTGGTAGTTTTTTAGAGTGTACTGCAGAATAAGTGTTTGTACCAGGACATTGTATAATTGAAGATGTGTGTATATTTGTGTATTTAGTCTACTTTTATATACAACACATACACACACTGTACTATGTAGTGTAAAACTACATGCAAACCATTTTGGATAAAAAATAGATATTTTTTAGATCTGAACCAGTTCTTTGTCTGTATAAAATTCTGTTTGAGGTGGACTAATGACAAAATAAATTAAAACGTTAGAAATACATTTTATATACCCCAAAAAAGCTTATTTCCTTGAAAAAACACTTCAGACATGAAAGAAAGCGCTATAGTTCTTTCTAATTTGGTATGTGAGGGCGTGTGCGTGTGTGTGTGTGTGTCCATGTGTGTGCATGTGTGTGTGTGCTCATGACAGGCTGCAGGTGGAGGACTTGGGCTGCTCCAGGATAGATTCTCGCCGCAGGTCGTTGGGCAGTGCACCCCCCGGACCCCAGACCGTGAGCTCGCCGTAGATCCCAGTCTCGATCATCTCCTCCTGCCACGGGATGGCAATGTTCCCAGAAGAAAACTCATCAAAGAAGTCGTTATCCTTGTTGTCCAGCTGAACTCCTTTGACAGTAGAAAACGCCCCAACATCGTCGAGGTCTTTGGCATAAACAGTTTTGGAGTCTGGCACAAAAGGAGGAGGAAGGATCCCTGGATAGAGACATAAGAGGTTATTCTTTAGATATTGCATTGGTCTGTGAGACAGACTTCATGATGAATATTTATTTGGGCTGTAACTAATGCTTAAAAAATGATAATTGGCCGGTAACTCTTTCAATGAATCAACTGGTCATTTACAATCCAAATTCCAGGTTTTTTTTCATGCATTTCACCAAAACAAAGCTTACTTTTTTGCTTTCTTTGTCTAAAATTTCCTGAAAATATGAGACAGGCCTCCTCTCTGACAATGTTTAAATCCAGGTTAAAACAGTTCTGTTTAGCTGTGCATACAACTGAGGGATTTTATATTTTTACCTTTCTTTTTAATGTACTGGGATTATTTATGATTTTAATGCTATTTTGTGTATCAATTGTGCTATACAAATAAACTTGCCTTGCCTTGCTTGTATCATTAATTAGTGCTAAAAAACAAATTATTTAGTCTTTCTTCTCAGATTCAGATTCAGATTCAGATTCAGTTTATTTGCCATTTGCAGTAAAAAAAAAACCCCCATTGGAATACATTAGCAAAAAGTCACCAGTGTGCACAGAAAAATACAGACATACAGTAACACAACATTAAAAGTTCTGTTTTTCCAATGCAAGAGCGAGAGGCAACAGAATTGAATCATTTACAATTACAAGCTCCGTTCTCCACTGTTTGGAGCCCACCTGCATTAAGTTTCCTCCAGTTGATGCTGCTGAAGAAAGGATGCGCTCGCAGCTCATCACACGACTGGTTCCTGAAGCCCAGACGTTTGTCCACCTCTCTTTGCAGCAGACCCTCACAGACCGACCGGGCGTCTGCACTGAACTTCTCTGGATAAACCACGGCCTCCTCCAAAACACGCTTCTTCAACTCCTTGTTCTCCACCTTCAAATCAAAGAAACATATTTGAGAAAAAATCTAAAAGTTCACATGATAACAGGTGCGGAAGAGAAAATGTTCATAGTTGATTGGAACAAAAATTAATCTTGCACCAGATAAAATCCAGCAAATAATAATCCTGTAGCAAGCTTTATGTCATAGTCACTCACTAGAGACATAAGTATCTATAAAGTATCTATTTTAAGTCATTTTTGAGTAAAATCTGATTAAGAGTTTGAAAGAAGCAACGTTTCTAAACATACCCTGTTAAAGCATTAATTTGTAAGTATTTATTCTTGTGCAGGTCATGGTTTAACAAAGTCATATTGATAAAAAGTATTAGTTCAGTTAGTTGATCTTACATTTTGTGAGGGACCCTGTGATAACCAGCCCAAGTCTGTTTATGAGGTTTCAAAAGTGAATACAATAAAGTTCTGAAAACAACTAAAACTTAAACATTAAGCATGAAACCTGCCATGTTTGAAAACGTAGTGATGACATGTTTATCTGGCTACTTGAGACACTCATTGATAATGCATGGAACCTTTATTTTGAATGCTTATCTACTTCTGCTACCATTATAACAATACATACTTGTAACTGGCCCTGGACTATAGTGTATGTCATGAGGAAGAATGACGTAATTATTGGTAATTGCAAGTATATGATATGTGTGTAGGTTTTGTGGTCCACAGTCTGAGTGTAAAGCCGTCGGCAGAGAAGATCACAGACCTTCTCTCCGCGGCTCCTGTAGGGTCCTTTAGCTGCCATGAACTCGTACAGAGTCACTCCCAAAGTAAAGTAGTCCACAGAGTAATCATACTCCTCTCCTTTGAGCAGCTCCGGCGCCATGAAACCTAACAACAGAATAACATAAGTACTATCACAGTTACATGTCAGAACTGTTGAGGAGAAAATGTGATCACTGTTTAAAGGAGTTTACAAAAGAGTAATCACCCGTATGCTGTCGCACACAGTGGTGTGTTTTAATGATTATGAGTAACAAAAATAACTACTAATAACGGACTAATAACTAATAACTACTAATAACGGATTCTGTCTCCCCCTCCGCTCGGAAGCACTGCGTTGATCAGCTCGCCCCGGTGTTTACCAACATCTTTAACACCTCGCTGGAGCTTGGTCAGGTCCCCGCATGCTTCAAGGCCTCTACCATCATTCCCGTCCCCAAGAAGGCTAAGGTCACAGGCCTAAATGACTACAGACCTGTCGCCCTGACGTCTGTGGTCATGAAGGTCCTGGAGCGCCTTGTCCTGGCCCATCTGAAGCGAATCACTGATCCTGTGCTGGACCCGCTGCAGTTCGCGTACAGAGCCAATCGCTCCACGGAGGACGCCATGAACATGGCTCTGTGACATCTGGACACTGCCGGCTGCTATGCCAGGATCCTGTTCGTTGACTTCAGTTCGGCTTTTAATACCATCCTTCCACCCATCCTAGAGCACCAGCTGTCCCTGCTGCAAGTTCCTGCCCCCATGCGCAGATGGATTACGGACTTCTTGACAAACAGGTCCCAGCGGGTGAAGCTGGGGAAGAGCATTTCCAGCTCTAGGATCACCAACACCGGTTCCCCGCAGGGCTGTGTCCTGTCCCCACTACTGTTTTCCCTGTACACCAACAGCTGTGTCTCTCTCCACCCGTCGGTCAAGCTCCTCAAGTTTGCCGACGACACCACCTTGGTGGGCCTCATCTCCAAGGGGGATGAGTCGGCCTACAGGAGGGAGATCGAGCGGCTGCGTAACTGGTGCAGCAACAACAACTTGGAGCTGAATGCTCTGAAGACAGTGGAGATGGTGGTGGACTTTAGGAGGGACCCAACCCCGCCTCCTCCTGTCATGCTGGGCGGCACTCAGGTGGAATCTGTACAGTCCTGCAAGTTCCTGGGGATAATTATCTCCAGAGAGCTCAAGTGGGAATCCAAAATCACAGCCCTCCTGAGAAAAGCCCAGCAGAGGATGTACTTCCTTCGTCAGCTGCGGAAATACAGACTGTCGAGGGCCATGATGACCCAGTTTTACTCGGCCATCATAGAGTCTATCCTCACTCACTCCATCATCACCTGGTTCCCCGCTGCAGCTGCGAAAGACCTGGTCAAGCTGCAGCGGGTGATACGCTCTGCGGAGAGGGTGATTGGCCATCCCCTGCCCTCCCTTAAGTCCCTGCACGACTCCAGGGCACTGAGGAGGGCGAGAAAGATCATGGCTGACCCCTCCCACCCTGGTCACAGCCTCCTCACCCTGCTCCCCTCTGGGAGGAGGATGCAGCACCTGGGGGCTAAGACAGAGCGCTACAAAAACAGTTTTTTCCCCTCAGCGGCCAGGCTGCTCACTGACGCTGGTTTCCCTTCTTCCCTTGCCCCCTAGGAACAAGGACTGAACACTATGGCACTTTAATACACTATTCTATTTATATCTCTTGCACTTTTTGTTAAATTATATGTGAAAAAAAAAAAAAAAAAAAAAAAAGAAAATAATGAATGCACACTGTCATGTTGCCAAGTCAAATTCCTATGTGTTTTGCACAATGGTAAATAAAGTAATCTGAATCTGAATCTGAATCTGTATAAAATCCAACACCTGGGTATGGCCAATACATTGTAAACATATCAAACGCATTTTAAATAAATGTTCTAGTGGTTGTAAATACACTTAATGCTTTTAACATATTTCTTTTGTATTTTGAAATATGATTTCTTAACTTGTACAAATTAATTTTGTTTTGTACAAATATATACATTTGAATATATACAAATATATTTTATTGTATATAAACAGTATATTTGATTTGTGATTTTTTTATGCTGTGATTAAAAATAAAATGGTTTTCTCCTAAATGGAATGTTCCATTTGTGCTCAAAACAAAGTGTATTTGCAAAATGAAACATTTGTGAAATACGTTTGATGTTCTTACGATGTTTTGGCAGGTATATGGCCCCATACCTGGAATTACAATCACATAAAGTATATAAAACTAAACATTTATGTAACATGTGTCATACCTGGAGTCCCAGCATAGCCCTTAGTTTTGGTCTGGTCATCCGCCAGCTCCACAGCCAAACCCAGGTCCGAAATACGAACGTGACCTAAAATCAAACGGACAATCACCAAATACAAAAACCAAAGTACAATAAATGTATTTGAAATATAGATATATATATCTATATAAAGACACTGTATATGATGCCCTTCCCTCTTCCCAGAAACGGTGAACACTTGGTATACTTCGGAAGTTTTGAACATAAATAATTTACACTGACCATTTGAGGGAGCAAAACCTGGATGCCAACCCCGCAGTCATCAATCAGTGCCAGCAATGGTGCAGCAGTGACTGGGGTACTTTCTATGAGCCCATAGAGGCCTTGCAGGCGCGTCACTGTGCAGGGTATTCTGCCAGTTCGTAGAGGGCCCTGCTAACTGCAAGCGGTATCATAGACTCTAGAGAAAGCCACAAGGGGGCTCTGGATAAAAAGGGTTGATTTATGGGTTGCTCGGTTGCTCCTGGGACACAGGTCAGGCCTGATCAGCCATGTCCAGGTCACCTGGGAAAGGGAGTCTGTGAGACCCGCAACACCCTATAACCCTCAACAGTGATGTCCCAGTGCATCAGACTGTGCAAACAGTATATACTACAGAGATGTCGTACCTTGGTTGTCGAGCAGCACGTTCTCTGGTTTGAGGTCTCTGTAGACAATCCTCTTCTGGTGCAGGTGCTCAAGGCCCTGGATAATCTGAGCTGCGTAATAACAGGATCTGGACTCATCAAAACCTGGGTTATCCTCGTCCACGTTATAGATGTGATACCTAGAGATATGATAGATGAAAAGTCAGACAGATGGATGTATATTATTAACTTTGAAGGACATATAAGACACATAGTTGAGAAGTACATTTAAGACAAATGACCTTAGGTGGCCACATCAAAGGTATACATTTTCACATTTGCCAGGAGAACTGCCTGAATTGTTAATGTGGTAAAGATGTAAATGCTGCAGGACGCACCAGGGGCAGGTGGTAGTGTATTGTGAACTCTGACCTGAGGTCTCCTCCGTTCATGATGGTCATCACTAAACACAGCTCTGTTTTGGACTGAAAGGCATAAGCCAAAGACACGATGAACCTGCTGTGCACGCGGGCCAGGACCCTCTTCTCCACCATCGCCCCCTACAGGATAGCACGGGTAATGTAACAAGAAAAAAAAGTCAGAACTAAAAATACATATACAAAATGTAGACTTACATGAAGTGTAATTTCAATAACATGCATGTGTTAATAACAATACCTATTCAGGCTAAGTACTGAATGTTAAAACAAAAAACTGTTTCCTTATGTACGCTTTAACTATGTGCAGACTTTTTGTGGTTCTTTGCATCACACTAGGAATGTTTAAATGAACAGGAATGAATGTAAAATAATATTGTTCGTCCATGTGTTCATGTGTGTGAGAATCGATATTATTATATGTCCACGGTGAGAATCCATCAGACATAATTATTTTTTTTTTTTTGCTTATCTTGCCCTATATGAGAAAGAATCTTGCTATTGCCAACAGGATATTGCTTTTATCATGGTGTGCATTGTCCATATCCAGTGTATTCCTACCTCATAGCCTTTCCTCTTCTTGAGTCTCTTCTTGTTGAGTTTCTTGCAGGCGTACAGTTTACCCGTGGCCTTCATTTGACACGCTGACACCTCTCCAAAGCCCCCTTTCCCCAAGACTCTGAAGTCTAAAAACCATTCCTCGTTCACGGGCTGCATCTCAAGCCACTTCCATTGCAGGAACCTCTTCAGAAACAGGCTCTCCAAGAAGAAGGTGTACGGCACTTCCTTCAAAAAGTCCATTACACTTTCCATGGTCTCAGTGAACAGGTCGTCTCCTGCCTCTTGATGCTTTTCTTTGACTTTTGTGATATCATTTTCAGGTAAAAATGGGCAGAAATACTTAGCACCTGGTTCCATGTAACGTGACAAGATCTTGATGGCTTTCTGCAAACGTTCGTCATCTTCTGCTGAGTTGTACTCCTCTATATCTTTCCACAGGCGACATGGGCCCTTGTACTCCGGAGCCGAGTCCAAGAACTCCTGGAAAAGCTTCTTTCCTATAGGTTGATCCACGCAGACTGTTTGAAAACCCAGGTCCAGGGTCTCTCTTAGACCTTCGCAAACTGTGATGTGGGGAAGCTTGAGGCGCGAGTGGTACCTCTTGTCCCGGTTTGCAGCAGGGTTGGCAGTACCATCAAAACTCCCACGGGCTGAAATGTAAGCAGAGTTGGCCACCACTGTAGTTAGGCCACCAATATCCATGTTGACTCAGTGGCACGCAAGTCTAGAAATTAATACAAGTTTGTAAACGCTCATGTGCATAGATCCTCAAACAGACCTTAGAGCTGTCTGTGGTTCAAAGATGCATTTCTGCCTCTCTCATCACCTTTACCCACAAGGACTTATCCCATGTCCCTCTGCAAAGCTGATCCGGTGCAGCTCACCTGTGTGATGATGCGCGGAAAGTGTAAGCGTGTGGCTTAATGAAGTCTTAACACAATGGCAGAGCATAGAGCCAATAGGGAAGTCTTTCATTTTAGCAGATATTTAGCCGCTTGATTGTTGTAGAGGGTTGGCAGTACATTGCAATGAGCACAAGTTATAGTGATTTCATGGTAAGTGAATGAATGTCTTTTGTTATAGCTCACAAATCTAGTCACAATTTGGTACCTTCTTCATTTGCTCTACATGTAGTGGTAGATGATTTTCAATTGCAACCACAACTGCCCTGGGGTATACTTATGGAATCAAGGCAGCCAATCTCCCCCTCCAATCATGTCACCATAAACTATTCTCACACATGTATATTAATCAGCAGAAGTCATTTGTGAAGTTTCTTGCCAATAGACACAACAACAATTCCCACCCCCTTTCTCCCATCCGAGCACTAACCGGGCCTCTTGCTGCTTAGCTACTGATCAGCCTTCAACCAGCATACAAATGTTTTTGTTTTTATTTGTGCAGGTAATTTTTACTTTTCGGAATATGTTGAAATGGTTCAAAACAAGGGATAAAAAATACCTGGGGAAATCTTTCTTCTCTGTGGTTAAATCAAGTGGTTTGTGAAGTCACTATTCATGCTTAGACAACAAACATAAACAAAGTCACATACAAATAAATGAGTAGTTTGGGCTTGGATATACATTAATTTAATAAAATATTATGGTTTCATGCTCATCCATTCCATTAATTCCAATGACAACAATTGCACATATTGGTTTAGTATGGCTGCACTAGATGAAGTTTGGTTATATTTTTTTCATACTTATTAAAATTATGATGAAAACATGAACGTCTGTGAGAATAATTGTGAGTGGATTGTGCCCCAGAGTGAATCAGTGCTCTATAATAGGATGAGGTTCACAAGAATGTGCTGAGAGAACAGTTTGTGGTTGATCAGCTTAAACAGTTCAGCTCCAGTGTGAATGGGCACATGGCACCTGGGAAATGATATCCTAATTGGTGACATAAAGGACCAGGCCTCTTCTAAACATTGATTTGTTCAATAGTTAGATGCCAGAGTAACACACCATTCCATTTAGTTTGTTGTATGATACTAATGTACACAAGGCTTTGTCTAAAATAGCTCTAAACCTCTGCTCTAATAACAAAAAATACACCATCAAATACAGGACTGCCTTTCAGTGTTTCTCAACATGTGGAATGTGTACCATTACTAAATATTTTGGTTGTAAAATGTATTTATTACAACTTTTTAAGTTTTGGTTTTCTTTTATTGGCACTACTTTAGACCTAGCCTGGCCCTAAACTCCGGTCAATTATTTTTTCCCTATGAAATGCAAGACCAGGCTGCTTTAGACCTAGAGAAGTCCCCTTTTAGTCCTGGTTTTAATGTGATGGTACTTGGGAGGCACAATAGTTTTAGATGGTGCCACCTGCATGTCAAAGCCTGATCCTATAAGACTGCTGAAACTAAGCAGGGTAGGACTTGGCTAGTACTATGATGGGAGACCTCTGATTACCAGCGGTGACTGCCAGTGGCTGTAAAGTGTCAAACTGTTGTGTCCTCAGGAAAGACACTTTGACACCGACATTGTGTAGTATGAGTCTGGTGAATGGTTGGAGGGGCTGAAAGCACATACTGGTTACCACACTTCTGTCAGTATGCCCCAGGGACAGCTGCGGCTACAGAGCTAGATTATCAAAAGTTTATGCGGTGAATGAATAATGCCATGTGAGTGTCCAAAAATAGCTACAGTATATAAAACTGAGGCAGAATTATTATTATTATTATTAGTTAATGAAGTTTGAGAACCACTCAGGCCCAATCTGAAAAAAAAAAAGGATTTCTGTAGCTTTATTAAAAAATATTTCTACATTTAACACACATTTTGTATAAAGCGTATGTAATGAATTCCCCTTTTACAATCACTCTTTAACAGTGCAGGAAAAACCAACTGAAGAAACAAACAAATGCAAACCACAGACTGGCAGCAGAATAACATGTATACAATTGTTTCACAAATATATGTATTAATGAATAAATATTTTTTATTCAGTGTAAGCAATCACTGTGTCATAAATGACCTAGTCAGTCGTACAGTATATTCACCTGTTATATTAAGCATTTTCCCTACAAACTGAAATACACAACAAATATCAAGAATCATTATTGCAACTGGTGTGCGTAAAGTGCGAATCGACTAAAAGAGAAGAAAAGATTCAGTAAACAACAGTTTGGTCCATGACTAAATAAATAAATAAATCAGTAAATCCCAAATAAATAAGTCACTAATGAATGAGCAAGGGCCTACACCTGAAAATAATATCCTTTACTGCAGACAAGACATACAGAAAAGTGACTGAATATTTTTGCCAATCCTTTTTAAAGGGCTTTGTATCAAGTCACTGGTGGCTGATTGTGAAAACAATGGATCAAGATCAGAACGAGAAGTGAACTGTGTGGGAACAATTACGGTTTTAGAGATTTAAAACTTTTCAGTTCCTTATCTTGTATTAATTACTTTTTATCAAAAAAGAACGATATACACATTTTTTGGAGGAAAAACATAGATTTTCAAGTCAAATTGCTCTGTAAGTCTCCACAGTGCCCAACAGACCCTTTTTGTTTGGTTTTGTACCAGTGCCCATAAAAAGGGACAAAGACTTGTTCCACATTGTTCAATATCAGGCTCTTCAAGCCTTTAAATCTACACTGAAAACAGTCTAAAATATGATAAAATAATACAAATCTATATATAAAACAAGGCATTTAAGTGTCTATATCCGAGGCACAGAAAAATTCTAAATGGAAAGATTCATTCAAAGAATTGTATATTTCTTGGAACGTATATTTTTCTGGAGCGACTGAACAGTCCCTTGTCACGCCCTTCACAAAGTTGGTGTTCAAGAAGGTTCCCTCTGCATCTTCACTGGACAGTGGACAGGATAAGCGTGTCCCTTTTCCAGGTATTTCCCAGAATTTGATTCAGTTCTTTCAAAATACCTTTATATTTTATGCAAATAGAATGTAGAGAGGATGTCTGTGATTGAGGATAAATGTGCATATGTGACATTTTGTTCCTGGCACGTTTATGGGACTGTTGCTGAATCGTGTTTGGAATGAGCTTGCGTTTTGTCGTCACGTGACCATCCTGCGCTCAGCCTGTATGACCCAGCGATGCATGGAGACTCTCCAGAGGACGGGGGCCAGCAGCTGGCTGAGAGTAGTCACACTCAGGACAAGCAGGTAAATCTGAGAACAGAGAGAAATAAGTCCGCTCCTTTAGACAATTACATTTTTTGTTATTATTCTTGGTCCTTATTCATGACTAAGCTATGTATGCATTCAATGATACTTGATTACTGGCAACAGATCCTCTCCTAAGCCATGAAAATATAACCATGGAATCCTATGTCTCATAATTATTGAAATACTGTTAAGAAGCTTGTGTTTCCATACACCCTGAAAAGGCACTGTACAACAATTTGCACTGATTGGATACTTTCACTGTAATGTAATGTATAATTATATATTTAATATAAGTCGTATAATATGACCAATGTGGTTTATTTATTTATTTTGGATAAAATAAATAAATTTTGGATTTATTTGTATGGAGGTTAAAAAGACTATCGTTGTCAAAAGGATCTGCCTCATTTCTCTGTATCTAACTCTGTATCCATGTTCAAATCCAGGTTAAGAAAAGTTCTGTTTAACAGTGTATACAACTGAGGGATTTTATCTTCATTCTTTTAAAAGTAGTTGTATTGTTTATATTTGGTTTTGTTAAGCACTTTTACTGTAGTTCCCCTGTCTATGTATAACTTGCCTTGCCTTGCCTACCCCACTCAATACAAAAGACCAATGATTCATGAGCAGGGTCAAGTGGAAATGTTGAAATTCCTCACTAGATCCTAAATGTTTCCTTGTTGATGGGAAAAAGCTAAAATAAAATGATATATTTCAGCTACAGACCTCTCTGGAGATGATGCCCGTTCGTCTGGCACGGCTGCTCAGGACAAAGGAGAACTCGCTGACTTGGGCCAAACCGGCGGAAACTACCCAACGGATGTGACGGGAGCCAGGAGGCAGGATGGTCGAAAGAACCAACACTGCCATGACAAACTGAACAAGAAGAAATTCCCAATAAGTATATTATTTATTTGTGCATATGTTGACAGATGATAAGAATTATGGTACCTTCATAATCACCAGGGACAGTGTAAGCACCAGTAGTATCGTCAGCTCATACAGCACAAACGTTGGGAATACATGGAGACCTAAAAATATATATAAAAAAACAATTGAGTTTGCGTCAGACACTGCATAAATGGCACGTTGATTTTTCTAACGATGACCAGCTCTAACTCACTCTCATTGACCTCTGTAACAGACTCCGATTTATATTTGATATATCATTCTGCCTTTTCTTTTTATTTCACTTTAATTCACTGTTGTTTTGAGTCTTTTAACTCTGTAAAATATCTAAATAAATATACTGAATTATTATAAAATGGATAAATCGTATTTCAGCAATCTGTCGGCTGTTAATAAAGATATCCTCAATTGATTAATGGGAGCTGCAGTAATGGTAAAAATCCTGATATGGATAAAATAGTTTTCAAATGCATGAATTTTAAGCCTTTCCCTTTAAATCAGTTTTTCACCCCATCAGCTCTCAGTATTCAAAAGATAAAATAGTTTCTCATAAGTTGGGGCCTTTCTGTACAATCATAAATAATGTACGTTTGTGGTTTAACAAAAACACAAATGACCATATACAGTTAATCTATGAATGAAAGTAGATTAAAGATATGTTCGTGTGTAGAAGTTTAACATTAAACAACAAACCAATGGATGCAAAGAAGATGATAGCGAGGAAGTCCCTGATTGGCTCGATGCAGCCCATGACCTCCGCTGTGGCCATGTGACCCTGACTGGACAGCAGCGCTCCGGCCAGGAAACAACCCAGCTCCATGGAAACACCCAGGAACTCAGTCACCTGCAGCGGACACAGAGCATTTAATCACAAACTAATAGATGACGACACAGAAGCTTTGTTCAAGGGTGAAAGCCACAGCCGGGACATTTATATTGTTGTTTAAAGAATGACTTTTATTTCATTTAGCAAAAACAGTAAAATCACAGGTTGATGTGATGTTTTTTATAACTGTTATTATCAGTTCTGCAGTTTTAAGCAGAAAGCCTATAAATTGATATAACTAAACCATTTCAGATAAATATCAAGGCCAAGCGCAAAGATTATATTACAGTTATTGATGACTCAGTTTAACATTTAAAAATTGCAAAACATAAAATCTAAAACCTGATGATTTCTAGCATGATTTTGATAATAAATAATAGATTAGATCGCTAACTCTGTCAAGTTTTTAATCACTGTCTAGTCTAGAAATAAAGGTTCCTTTTATGGAACCAGAGTTTAACTCAAGTTCTGAAATAGATTTAAATATTTTGTATGTAAAAATGTCAATGTTTGCCTTGATACTGGCTCAAATCAGTATCTAGTTTTGATACTTGTCATCAGGGTTTGTTAGTTAGCAATCAATATTATTATTACTTTCAAATTGTACAGATAGAAAATCGGAGCTCTATGAATACTTTTCTAGTTTCACTATTGATTAAAATCAAATGTTGATACTTTTAACAACCCAGAATGCTACAGGTCAATCCTGTTTAAATGAGAGATTACTGCCAAGCCCCAGCAATGAAAACTACAGACATTATATACAATATTATAATTACCGTGAGCATAAAAAATACAAAAGCAGCCACTCCCAGGACCAGGATCTCCTTGTTGCCTTTTCCTTCATGATGCAGTTTCTTGTAAAAAGGTCCGATGATGAAGGATTTAAGAAGGAGACACAGCAGTAAGACCGCAGCCAGAGACAAGACGACTTGAGCCAAGAGGTAGAGCACATGCAGCCCACCAAGGAGAAAACTACACAAAGAACAACGAGTCAGTTCTACGTACTTCTTTAGGCCGTACAAAAATCTTTTTACAGAACACATCAAAATACTGGTCATAACAGCTGCAATGAAACATTCAAACATTTTATGATTCATTTCTAGCATCTTGATGATCTTTGTGTTGGCTTGTCATGTTTTAGAACTTGAAACATCATCTGTGTATGAGAAACACTTAATATTCTGATGTTGCAGTGACATCTACTGGCGGAAGTGGGAAGAAAAAAACAGCCTGTGCGAGACTGTTACTGTAATAACTTTCAGAATGTTGCTTTAGAATGTCTAAATAGTAGTAGTAAGATAATAACATATTAAAATAAAAAATAATGGCAGCTTAATCACAGAGTTTTTGGGGAGAATATTGTAATAGGAATATTGTGACTAACATTAATGAAGCAACATATAAACATAAGCACTGATTTTAAAGTCTCAACAATGTTTTATTATGAGTTTTGCATATCATGTCTTTTAAGCATAAGGGTGTATGTATTTTCTTAAAAACAAATGAACTGACCTGTCTCCACTCTGGGCCTGGATTAAGGTGGGCATGACGGCAATAAAGAGGCCGAGCTGAACGTCCTGCATCACCAACATGCCCAGAAGAACACTGCTGTAATCCAAGTCACCTTCAATAAAGCACAGAAGTGTGCACATAAATATCACTGTCACTGAACAACAAAAGACCAATTATACTTTTTATTTCGTAAATGACTAAAAAATAGATAAGACAAACATTTCCTCTGTATATTAACAGTCCGCGTGACATCTGTTATGTTTTCCTTTTTATCGCCTGGTTTTGGGCATTTCCTTTTTGTTCAGGTTTTGTTTTGTAGGATTGGTTTTGTGTGGACTACATTTTTGTTAATGATTTTGACCATATTTTTGTAACCTGTATTTTGTCTGGGTGCACTCCCCCTCTCTTCTCTGAGCCTCCGTTTGCGGCCTCCTCAAGTGCCACATGGTTTGGTTATTTTAGCCGTTTGTTAACCTTTTTCCCTGGCCTTAGTTTTTGTTTGATCTCGTGAGGTGGGAGGTTTGGTGGTGAGAGTGTAGACATTTGGGATTTTGTTTATTCTTCAGGTAGGGTGCCGGCATCAGATCCTTACGGCCCTTTATAGGGTTGGTTTGGTGTTGGCCAATTCTGTTTGTTTTGGCAGGCCCAAAACAAACTTTCAGACAGTATGGCATTCTATTAGAACATTTTCTCTTTCAAAAATGTTTTATTTCCCATAGATGTATTGGAACCTGAGTTGTATTTCAACTGAAAGACTCCTAACTGAAACTCCATGAACACAACCCATAGAACCAATTAGATAATCACCTATAAGAGAAACGTATAAGTACAAGTTGGTGCTCTTTGCCATGTTAATGTCAAATAATTAAATAATAGAAATTCAAATGATCATGTAAAAAAAAAACAGTACAAACTAGTGGCTATGATTTGGATGTCCAGACCTTCTTTGTCTCCTCTGGCCCCTCCTAAGAAGCGGGACACTAGCGGGGTGCTGGAGAGCGACAAACAGGCTGAAATGAAGACCGTCTGAGTGGTCCGAATCTTTAGGACTTGACCCCACAACAAACCTGACCCTACCATCAGCAGAGTCAAGTAACAAGAACCCTGAACTGAGGTCTTCCACACCTACACACACGAAACATGGTAAAAGAAAATAGTATATTGATTATACCGTAATAACAATTAATGGGAGAACATTTTAAAAGTCTCAGTTGCAACCTGGATTCTAACCCCGGACTTGTTAACAACCCTACCACCATGCCTCCAACTTTTAATGTTCAGCGCCTAAGTTAAGTTACCTTTCGAAGTCTTTCAGGGGAGAACTCTAATCCCACAACAAAGAGAGTGAAAAATACACCAAGTTCTCCCAAAGTCTCCACTTGGACCATGGACTAAAACACAGTAAAAACATGCAACACATTATGAGTATGTTGTCATTATATTTAGATAATAATAACAGTCACCTTGATACTGTTGAGGCCTGATGGACCCAGCAAAACTCCACATATAATATATCCAAACATTGAAGGGAGACTGATCCAAGTGCAGAACCACCCACAGGGCAACGACAACATCACCACAGATACAAGGTCCTAAAATGTGTCAAATTAAAGTGCGACTTAAGTAATGCAATAGGACCGTAGTTGTATGATATGTATGAACAAAAAAATCTGACCCTAATAAAGTGATGATCGGCCCGGGGCATGGTGGAATCTCGTGGTTTGGTGAGGACATACTGGTTGTTTTGAGAGTCTATGAGCATGCTCAGTCCCAGATCGTCCTCCACATCTTTTTTATTGGATTTGTTTTTTCTCTTTCCACCATTCTCTTCATCTTCTTCAACTCTGAGCACAGCCTCAATGTTGACTCCTTCCACCTAAAGATAAATCAATTAGTCAATAGGTTAGACATGAAGAGTCAAATGAATCCTTATGGACTGACCCGTTTGTTGTTATCAAATGCATGTTCTTCAATATCTTCCTCAAGTCTGTCAGCAGCCTTTCTCACATCTTCGAGGATTTCGTCTAAAATAGACAAAGTTTTGTTTTGGGACAAAGCAATCTTCATAGCTTCTTGCTGGTGCTTCTCTGCAGCCACAAGCTCCACATACTCCTGCTCCTCCTGCAACAAACCAAAAGTCATAAATGGATATATTTCTAATGCTAATTTGTAGTTGTTTTGGATTTGTAATGCCTCCAGTCTCACCTTCATAGCCGCCTCTCTGAGTGCCTCCAGCCTCAGTCTACTGCTTTCCTTCATATTCACCACATCTTTGATGTCGCCCTGCAGCGCCCTCTGCAGACTGTGCACAGCCTGGTACACAAAGTGTTCACTTTCATTGAGCTCCTTTTGGAAAACTTCCAATGTATGAACCTGTGATGAGAAGGTTTCCATTGTGAATCTGGTTAGTGTAGGTGTCAGTGCTTGGAAAAGTCATAAAATACACAACATGCAGAAGATAACAATGATGGCTTTACTCTGAAGTGCCTTTCATCCTCTGAGAGAGTCTGGTCTTGTGCAACCACTTTTCCTGCAGCAGACAGTTTTTTCACCGCCACGGTCTTCTGATGCAGGAGGCCAACCAGGCGTTTACAGTTGTTGGCCACCCAGCTTTGGCCCTGCAGGCCCCCATTAGTTCGATACAGTTTAAGAACATGCTTGGCCACCTGGTTTTGAGAAAGGACATGTTTGGCCACCAGGTCTTTGGGTTTTAGAGGCAGAGCCTTTGCCAAGCCAAGGCAAAGCAGCAAACACGCAAACTGCATCCGAAACTTCAACCTGATAACATCAGAGGCGGTGGTTTTAAACACTGTTGAAACAACAACACACATAAAATGATGGTGACATTTTTAAAATATGTAAACGTGTCTCACAATAGGTGTGTCGTTTAGTTGGGTGTGGTTGCAAAAATCTTTTGAGCAATTTCGTGTCTAAATTTCTAGGAATATAATGACGTTTTGAGTTATCCTCTCTTTAGTTTGCGTTCTGTTCTGAGAGTCTAGATATAATGCGTTGATGAAACAACAAATGCCTTACATTTCTACCTTTTCAGCCAAGAACATGAAGCAATCACAGTGATGTAGTTTCCATACATCTCAGTTCCGCTGTTTCTCTTGGGACTGGGCACACTGTTGCAGAAATCAATAGCAGCTCTGTGGAGCCTGTCATCTGAAGAGCACAGAAAAACTTAAGCCGACAAGTTTTAATTTTAATTTTAAGGCAGATGAAAGATATAATGAACATGAAAACGATTCATGATTTTTTTTACTGCAGCACAAGCGTGCATTTTAGAGTTAGTTTACATTACCATGCATTATGACAAAACAAGACTTCGTAAAACTTGAGTAGGTGAATATATAATTCTCACAGTAGCCTATACATGCTATGTAGCCGACCTTATTGAGTTATAAAACATCGCAGGAATGATTGTGTCATTCAAGAGCAAGGCACATACGATCTACATTATTATTATCCAAAACGATACTTGCCTGACAAATATTTAAGCCGTCCTGGGTTTGTACTCTTCTCCACATTTGCGGACAGGAACAATTAGGCTGTTGTACACTTGTAGCTACACGGACACCCCTCCTCCCCTGCCACATAGCTCAGACAACAGACAGTAGTCGACTTTCTCAGCTACCAACTTCATGTTTAGACCAGACCCACCTTAGACATACCTCTGATTACAATTAGCAAGCAGGAGATATCATCGGCTCCTTTTTCGGGTATGTGATTAGAACACGTGCTGAACTGTTTAGGCTTATCATCCTTAACGCCAGTGTTATAGAGTATTGCTAGAGTTTAAAGCTAGCATTGAAATGTAGGAAAGAGCTGTCAGTCAGACCAGCTACAACCAGTCCACGCTCTGTGCTAGCGAAACCGAAGCTACAGTAATAAATTACAATGTGTTGTTGATGTAGTTGTTGGTGTAGTTGTAGTATACGAAAACTGTTGTATTGAGAATTTTCTTGGTTTTAAAAATAGAACACTCCGTCAGACAATCTGATATAACTTTCTTATCGCTTACAGTTACTACTTCCGAAACATCTTAACCAAAACGCTAAGATATGGGAGTTGTAGTTTTTAATATGCTATGTGGCTAGCTTGTTCTTAATTCAGTCTCTTCCTCCCCTTTTTCAATACTCTGCATTAAGTTAGGTAACATGTAGCGTTACACCAGTCCTGATTGACAGTGGAATCACGTGTACAGGTTTTTATAGCCCTCTTATGTGAACTTGTTTGGTTTTATGTTTTGCTTTGTTATTAAAAAAAACATTGGAACGAAATATAGCATTCAGTGTATAAATACGAACATCTTCCTTCGCACTTGTATAGGACCCCCCAAATATGTTTAACGGTACAAAATGATCTATTTTATCTGAAGGCAAGCGTTAGAAAAGTAAACAAAAAAGGCCCTATTGCTTTGCTTAAAAACTACAACTCCCACTTCATTTCAATCCCGTTAGAGCGACGCATGCGCATTGACTGTCTTAACACAATCAACTTGGTCAAGCCAATACAGCCTTTAAAATGGTAGGTAAAACTCAAACTTAGTAACGACTATAAACATCACAAATACTAATGAAGAAGTTATCAATCCTATAGGATCAACTTTGACTACTATGTTTGTTCTAGTAGCAGAAAATACAATAAAATGTGATGTCGTTTGCCGGGTGTCACATTGTCAAGCTAATGTATGTCTCAAAGTGTTGTGCAAAGTGAGATAGGCTCACAATAACAGCGGTTAGCTCGTGTATATTTTGAGCTCGGAAAGTCTCACGGGATCGCGTACTTCTCCCCTTTTGGTATCTAGCCTGTGATCCACCGGGTCACACTGGAGTCTCGAATCAAATCTGGGTCACCTCACTGCACTGAGCTTAGTGGAACCACCTGTCCTACAGCAATGTAGACCCCTCTGAGAAGTTCCACTTATTTTGAGAATATGTCACTATTGCATGGATACAGTATGGATTGTTCCATATTTAATTCTTGTATTGTTTGAGGTAAAATATGGGTTTCAGTTGTACATTTGAGAACTCGTATACTCTGCTGTTTATACTTCTCACAGTTGAGGATGCATGCCAAGTTTGCATTGATGTGTGATAGTTTGTCCAATTAACTATATAACTAATTTTTAAATAGAATGAAAACTCAAATACTGGTGATGTTGCTGTGCTTTCCCTAAATGAACATGCATTGTCCCCACAGCAAAAATTGAAGTCCTCACACAAAGACAAAGTGCGGCAGTTCATGTCCTTCACACAGGCGGGGGAGAGGACAGCAGTCTACTGCCTGACACAGAACGACTGGAAACTTGAACTCGCCACTGACAACTACTTCCAAAACCCAGACCTGTTCAACAAAGAATACATGAAAACCTCAGTTGACCGCAAGAAGCTGGAGCAGCTTTACAGCAGATACAAGGGTACGATAATTTTTAGTAACAGTAACTTTTGGTCTAGCTTGGAATGAGATGTTTGCTCTCATATTGAATTGGTTATTTGGATTCTTTTTGTATTCACATATGAATAGAGGCCTTTCTGGTGAGGCCGCAGCGATGTGTATTACAACTATTGACATATTATCAATATTTCTGCTCATCTGCAATTTTGTTTAAACACAAACTTTAAAGCAACAAATTACGTGATGAACAATGTGAATATGAATTTGCCAGTCTGTGAGAATCGCCATTCATCCAGAAACGGCCTTTCCGCTGTTACCTCTGACTTCTGCACAGATGAGCTGAATCCAAACTTGTGTCTGCAGATTCCAGTAAAACCAACTCTCATTTCTATTTGCTGCATTAATGCATGACCCAAGAGTGAAACCACTTTTGTTCATATCCAGTGCTTGTTCTGTCTGTGTATCAAATCCATCCTCTTTCCTCCTCAACTAAAATGTTGCTACTGTTATTTTCACTTATTTTCGTTCCTTTTTCATTCCATTTTCACTTCATCAAACTGAATCTTAAGCACTTTGAGTTTTTAAATGTTTATAAATAACATCAGTATATTATGCCGTTCGCATGAGGCACTTTTGTGGGAGACTCATTTGTCTGTCACGGTAGGCCGAGCCTGCCCTGCTTTTACGTAGGCCCTGGGTAGGCCCTGGGGTGTAGTGTGAAGGCGTGCAAACTGGGCAGAGCCGTGCGGTGGCAAACCCATGAGAAAACATTTAAAGCGTTTAATTGTACAATTCCAAAACAAAAAACACAATTTTAGAAATTGGGTCAAACAACACCATTACTAAAGTGACTGAAATAATACTATAAAGAATTTTTAAAGCATGTTTTGATTTTTCATAATATTTTGTACTTCAGGTCAGGTTCACTTTAACAGCCAATTTCACTTTTGGCAAAAAGTATTATTTGTGGACGTTGAAAACAAACACGTGTCCACTTGTCACTTAAGTCAATGTACATCTTTTGAAATGGATAGAAAAGAACCAGTAAAAGACTAATAAGTGAACGCTCTCTTGGACAAACTTTAATAAAACATTTAGGGAAATGTAATTTTTTTTATTAAGGACCCGGATACAAGCACATGATCTGTAGCTAAGACTGATGAAAGAAAAGTTAAAAAGAGCAGTGTTAAAAACATGCATAATAATCATAAATTCACACAGTTACAGCAGGTCTCACATACAAAGAAGCATGCTAGTGACTCCAAAATTGTACACAATATCAAGCATAAGTAGATTAAAGACACATTAAATGTATCAAATGTTTTTTTTTTTTACAATTGGTATTTTGTTATTACTGAAAAGTTTGAGAATCTCTGCTCGGTCATAATCTGTCATTTTGTCGTGTCCTGTCCCCACAGACCCTCAAGATGAAAATAAAATAGGCGTGGATGGGATCCAGCAGTTCTGTGACGACCTCTTACTGGATCCGGCGAGTCTGAGCATCCTAGTTGTGGCCTGGAAGTTCAGAGCAGCCACACAGTGCGAGTTCAGTAAGAAGGAGTTTCTAGACGGCATGACTGAGCTGGGGTGAGCTTACAACAATACTAAGAACAAAAGCACAAAAGCATTATTCACAGCTTATTGCTGCATATTAGAAACGGTGAACTAAACGGAATAATATGCGTGGGTTTCAAACTTCTGGTTATATCTGAATTTTGAGAAGTTATTACTCTCTAAAAGAAAGCACTTTTTTAAAGCTGTAAATTCATTCTGAAACCTGTGAATACATCTTGGAATTAAAAGACAGAATCTTACTGGCAGATTTGTTATTTGTCCATAGACATCCATTAACCAGGAAAAACACATAACCGGTAGAGCAGTAAACCCGCTTGAGTTGCTGGGTCACAACTGATAAATATAATCATCACTTCCTATTACAAAAAGTGTTATTCTCCCTACTTGGCATTCATAAATCCTAATATAAAATCTACAACAACGCCCTTTTTTGCGCGCTTTTCTATATATATTGTCAGTTTCAATTGTCAAAATGGGTAAATAAAAATGTTAGAGAAAAATATGAACCACAGTGTTTGTTATAATGGCAATCCAAGACATATAATCAAATGGGATACAATTGAGACAGTAAGAGACTTAAATTAAGTTGAGGGCACTATAGTATCTGAAAATGACCGTTATTTGAATACAGTACTTGCTGGACTCTTGGGCACACCTGTATATAAACCACACCAGCTACATTTGAAAAGAAAGTACATTTTGCCCACATATACACCGCAGGTTTTCATATAATGTAACACTTTAACCAACAGCTAATAGAGCATGACAAAGCTGATAGAGAACTGTTCTAACTGTACACCACATGATTTAAGGAGCACACTGTTGACCTGTTCTGGCCAAAGAAAAAGATGAATAAAACAATAACATCTGAGGAGGCAGAAACATTCTTTTAGTTGACATGCTTATCTTAAATGTAAGCTTCCATAACTAAATTAACAATCTAGTTTGACAATAGACATGCATCTTATAGATACTAAAACTTGGAGTCAAAATAGTAAGTCCATAATACTCTGCTCTGACAACATTCTAACTCTACAACAATAAAAATGCATACATTGGCCACATCGCTGTATAGGCCGCCGGGTCCAAAGAAATTGAAAAAAGTTGCAGCCGGTAATTATAGTAGTTACAAATGACACTGTTAATTTCATTCTTAAACTATATGTGTTACCTTCTCTTGTAATTAAAAAGTTGTGTTTTCTTTTTTTTTTTTAGCTGCGACAGTCCTGAAAAAGTCAGAGCTATTCTTCCAAGACTAGAGCAAGAGCTGAAAGACCCTGGGAAGTTTAAAGATTTTTACCAGTTCACTTTTAATTTTGCCAAGAATCCCGGACAGAAAGGATTAGGTATGAAGTGAGGTATCTTGTGCCATTGTGAACACCATGAACACCAATATTTTCTCTTTCTTTTAGATCTGGAGATGGCTCTTGCGTACTGGAAATTGGTTTTGACTGGTCGCTTTAAGTTTCTTGATCTCTGGAATAAATTTCTTACTGTACGAATGGTTCTATCTGATGTATTTGTATATTGTACAAGCCTAAACAAGTAGGTTTTGTTTTCAGGAACATCACAAGCGTTCTATACCTAAAGACACATGGAACCTTCTTTTGGACTTTGGCAACATGATCGCAGACGACATGTCAAACTACGACGAGGAAGGTAAGTCATCCGGTATTCACTATTTGATCGTTTACACACTACTCATTGTTTTGGGAGATTATGAGCGACGAGACGCACGCCTTTTTCCACTCTCAAATGAAAGTGGTTTGGTAAAGCCATTTATCTTCAAATATCGTCATTTATTGTTTGTTTTTAAAATTATAATCCCAAATGTGCAGTTTATACAAGAATCTGACCTCAACGAACCCCGGAATTTACAGGGCCAAAAAAAACATTAACTTCCAAAATGAAACTTCAGAATAGTTCCTAATAAAGCACATCTAAAATGGGAATAATAATATTTAGACCAATCATAATTTGTGTTCCTTTTGCTCTAGGGGCGTGGCCTGTCCTGATCGATGACTTTGTGGAGTTTGCGCGGCCATTTGTGGGCGGAACCAAACGTGTCATGACATAATGTTGGTTCGTCTTTTATGCAATGAATGGATTTTATGGTTCCTACAAGTTTTGTACCAGATTTTTATATGAAATGAGCCAAAAAGAGACTTTCATCGGGCCCGGCTGCAGCGTGGACATGTGCATGTTTTGCCTTGAAGCAGAAAAGTGCTCACGGAGCTTCTGGACTTATTGTGGAAGTGAGCGGCCCATGAACCCGCCTCAGGTAGGGATGCTCAGCTCAGCAACAATGGACAAGATGAGGTGAGGGAGCAACGCATTCTGAATGTGCTCTTTCAATCATCACTCGGAAAGCAAAGAAACAAGATGCTGGTCTTTTTGTGTGTGGGTTCAGTTAGAATTTGTCTGTTTGAAGAGACGTGTTTATTCTGGAGAGCAGCACCAGCAGTTACTGGTACAAGTTTTACACTAAGTGTACTCATAGGAAAGGTTTATTTATGACAATAACAGTGACATTCACGGTGATACATAGATCATATCCTGATTTTAATGCTACTGGGTTACATGTAACTGACTGTTCGCTGTTTTTCAGCTGATTATTTGCCAACTACAAATCGCACTGAGTAACACTTTCTGTTTTTAGGTTTTTACAATTTTACAGGGCATACTGCACAAGCCATGGGGGTATTTAGTTTTCATGTGAACACACCTCTTTTGTTATAGCTTTACACAAGCTCTCACTTTGCCACATGGAAGATTGTTAACTCTTAATTGAGCAGCAGAGGACGGAAGGTATTCATGCGATTATAATATGTGCCGCTTTGGTCAAATGTGTGTCATAAATATTTTGTAGATTGTTCACACAAAGACCTACTCGCCCACAATAGAAAGCATATATTCTTCTAAGGCAAAACCTGCATCAGTACGAGCATGAGACGTTTGGGTAACACATGTAACAAGGCAACAATTGCAAAAGCAGCAATTATTAAGTGCCATTGTGAATTTGTGTGTATATTATTATATATATATATATATAATACACACACACACACACACACACACACACACACACACACACACACACACACACACACACACAAAAACTATAAGATCCACATTTCATATTCGTTATCTGAACATACTGATGCAGGGTTTTGCTTGTTGTGCACACGGTTCAGATACACTGCGAATGCTGCATTTTGCCATTTGTTCAAACTTTCAACAACAGTATTAATTTGGTTTGCAAAGAAAGCTGAACCTTTTTAAAAGAAAATATGCCAATAAAGCATGTTGATTTGAAGTATTTCGTTATCCTTGATTTAGTTGCCCCTCAGTCAGTGCAACCTTCTTCTAAGATTCAAAAGTTAGAAGAAGGTTGGAAAATAATAATAATATATATTATAAATATAATATTCATAGAATGTATTGCATCATCCATCCATTTTCTTCCTCTTAATCCATTTCTGGGTTGGGGGCGCTTTGTGAGCTGCACCCAGTTCAGAGCACCAGCCCCTCACTGATACCCCTGCAGGTGGTGGGTCCACAGTTGGATGGCTGCTCTTGTCAGTGAGAGCATCACCTTGATCTTTCAGCTGGCGCTTCAGGCAAAGTGGGGTTAGGTGTCTTGCCCAAGGACACAACGACAGCAGACATCAGTGGGAGTCTGTGTAGAAGGTCTTGTGGTGGGCTCAAACCCACGACCTTCAGGCTCAAAGGCTCTACCAACTGAGCCACTGTCGTCCCTTTTGTATTTTAAGATATGTATTGCACCGATGTCTTATTTCCAAAGGCTTTTCTCATAAACTTGACCATGAGATTGTGTTTCTTTAGAAACCTTTTGCAGGATTTTGAAACATTCAATTTGAACTGGCTGCATTGTCTAATCACGGCTGAATGCTTGGGAACAGCCACTTATCAGGTTGCATTCCTTCAACTTGACATCACCACATAATGCTTTTGAGGACTTATACAGTCATGACAGACAAGTACAATACGCACTTTGTATATTTAGACATAAGGGTCATATTTGATTAAACCGTTAAGTGTTGATTATGTCAAATACCAAACATCATTTTGACATCCATCATTAACTTGCAGTAGAAATATAGCTCACTAACTAACAAGACATTGTGTATATTTCAGCTTTTTAAATTAACTTTGGATCAAAGTAAGTCAAGTTAGTCATTCAGCAATTAGAAAAATTCTGAAATAAATTTCATAATTAATCAATTGTTTTGCATACTTGTAAGAATGAGTCCTGTGAGTCATTCATTATTTGATGCTTTGGGCTGAAAACTAATTGGAGTAATGGTGGTTCTTTCTCTTTTCTGTTTGAAAAAGATCGAAGACCAAAAAATAATGTGAAATCTAGATAGAACTAGTTGCATTCATTTTTATTACGTAATGCATGTTTTAGTTTTTATTTTGAGAATATAGCTGATTTGAAGAGGGGATGGCGATGAGAGAAGGGGAGATTAATTCTAGATGATGCTCCATTCTTGTCCTGTTCCCAAAGGGTGGGCCATCATGGGGGTCCCGTACCAGCTGCAAGCCAAACCCACGCATCACATCAGCCCCTCACCAAAACACTGCCCAGTCCCAAACCACTCCACCAGGCGCCAAAGAGCTCCTTCTGCCTGGAGCCTGGGGGATTGCCTTTTTAGGAGCACCCTGACAACTTCCCCTCTCAACAAAACCGCAGCAGATAATGGCCAGCTTTTGTGTCTAATAGGCTTCATTATAGACATTTTGTTTACCAGTAGTTTTGTTTGTATCGGAGCGCATCATGGACAAGTTCAAAGCGGGTATGGTTCTGGCGGCAGTGGGGGATGCCTTGGGGTACAAGAAGGGCCGCTGGGAAGGCTGTACGTCAGGGAAGAAGATTCAGGAGGAGCTGGTGACTCTGGGCGGACTGGGGGCCCTCCAACTGGACCTGGACAACTGGCCCCTGAGTGATGCCACACTGATGCTCATGACCACAGCAGAGGCCCTCATCACAGGTACGACACACTGGGAAAACCAAAAGTAAAAGTTACAAATTGGTTAATTCATAATTGTATGATGGAAATGTGGCATTTTTTATTTGCCGAAAGTGCCAAAATAAACTAACATAGCAGTCTGGTGCATGTATCATGGTGATTAGAAAAAAAAACATCCATGGAGACCATTTCTTAACCTCACACTCATTTAAAACAAGTTTTTATTTTTGCCAATATAAGCAGACTTAAGTGGAGTCTGCCTACAATACAGTTATTTAACATGACAATGTTTTTTTGGTTTTTTTTCCATTGTGAAATTGTATTTTATGACGATCATACTATATTTGGACAATATTTTCAAATAATTAGAGAAATAATAATTCTGAAACATGTCCAGAAAATGATCAATTGTTGCTACAAATAACCTCCTTGCTCTAAGTAGTAATAACTCTGACAAAACATAAAAGGAACCTTTTTTGGCGACCTATTAGTCTGTGAACAAGAAAAGGAAAAACATTAAACTCTCGGGCAAATGTATTCATTCATCAATGAATTAATCCATTTTGTTGTCTTGACCATATCACAAAAGCACATTACTCAAGATGCAATACTTCAATCTTGACCTATTCTCGTATATGATGAATGACAGGGATGTGCAAAGGCATTTAAAAACATATGCATAATGTTTAACGCTCTACATATTAAAACAAAGCAATAGCTTAGAGGACCTGGAGTCATGGACACTAATAGGAGCTGACGGAAGCGGTTAATCTACCGGCAGGACATTTCCATATGACAAAGCCTTCTTGCACTATAAAAGATCACAAGACAATTTATCAAACTACAAATCACAGAGTAAACCCTGTGTCCAAATGCCATGTGACACAGGACAGAAGTTTCCAGGACAGAGGAGTCTGAAATAGACTTCTTTGGAAAAGTTGATCCCAGGTTCTCGTCTGTGGAGGAACAATGGCTGTAAAGACTCTGGTGGTCTCTGCTCGGTGCATGTGTCACAAAGGCAGTGGCAGTAGTTTATTAAAATGGCGATGATGTTTTGGGAGATTAGGCCAGCTCTATTTAGCCACAATGAAGCAAGCAACAGCAGCAGCAGCAGAGCGGAGGGAGAGCACTTTTAGAAATCTAATCAGAGTGGATTATTGCCTGTCACAAATGTTACTTCAGCGCAGTAATTTCATAAGGAATCAATTTGGCAAGGACGCACAAATGTTATCATCTCAATTTGGATGGTTGTGCAGAGTCAGTATTTCTGCCAACTTCAACTACTTCACTGCTAAGAATGATAAAATTTGAGGTCATAAATGCTTGAATTAAGGGTTTTTTGAGTGTAGTATGGCTGTCTTAAATAGGATTTGCCAATAGGACAAGAAGTTTAGTCTTATTTCAAGTGCAATTACAACATGATTTCTCTTTCTAAAGGAAAACTGTTTCACTATTTTGCAGTAAATTACAGTAAATTGTTGGAATGAAGACTTGAGTCGCTCATACTTATTTAATTTTATACTAGTTTTATTGTAATTGTTGTCAGGAGGTTCATTCATTTAGATTGTTACTTGGCTCTTGAGCTGTTTTAACCCGTTTTGCATCCACACAAACAGACTGTCGTGGTGTAAGCAGCTCGAAGGATCCCAGCTGACCTCAGTGTTTGGAGCGTCCACTCGGAGCGTCCAAAGGCACGCTGGCCCTAATCTGTACCAGGCTAAACTTAGCCCACTATAGCACCGCTGTCAGCACACTTCATGAATGACTCCTGTCTAGGAAGAACATGTAATGAAAACAGGCTTAAATTCAATACAAATAATAGACCACTTTTATTATTATTTTTCAACAAACTACACTGCAACTTTAAATACCATACAATAGTTGTGTTCATTTAAGTCACTTAAACATGCAGGGTGAGCATTTCTTTTTGCATTTCAGTTTTTTTTTTTATGTGACCATTTTGAAAAAACAGGATTAATGAAGTAAGAGTAGATTAGAATGCACCAACACTGTTTTCTAGTGGAAAAAAGGGGAAATTGCATTCTGTTGTTTTTACATTTAAGTCAATCATGCTGTGGTCTAATTGGAGGCCTTCTGTTGTGTACAATGCAGCTTGCCAGCTGAAATTCACAAAACCTTTTCGGAGGCAAGCAGAAGACTGCTCTGTCCTATGTTTATGCTTTTGTGTGATTTCAAATTGACCGTTTAACGACATAAGGCAGTTTCAGGTTTGGACAAGTTCAGTTTAACACGTTTTTAAGATGTTTTTGATGCCACTCAGCTCACAATTTCCACCACAAAGATCAATAAAAAGAGAGTAGGAAAGATGAGGAAGGATGTGTTTTTAATTCATTCAGATGCAGCCATAGTCTGAGGATTTGTCATGGCATTCAAAGAAGCATTTGGACAAAAGGGAAGGGTAGCCGATTTCTTCCTGATATTAGTGTGGATGGAGATCAAAGATTTTTAAAACGGGATCGACATGAAATGTTGTTAGTACTGACTTTTGCATAGCACAGGTGAAACTCATTTATTTCTGTAATTCAACTTAAAATGTGAAAGCAATACATGACACTCCGAACATGCTAAGCTTTTGTTTGTTTACACTTTGATGACTTTAATGTTGTTTACAGTTCATTATTTACAGACCCTGCTCCCATCTCTGCGTGGAGTGAGAGGACAAGTGCCCAAAAATAATAACAATTGTAAACCGCTTTGTGACTCTGGTCTGTGAAAGGCGGTATATAAATAAAGATTACTTACTTACTTACTTACTTATTATATTTTAATTTTCTGAGATGTTTTCATTTGAGGTTTTTACAAGCTGCGAGCCAATTTTCAACTTTATAACAAGTAAAGGCTAGATCTATGTCACTTTGCGTGTAACAAAGCCCATCTGGCTTTATACCCATTTTAAAAAGTTTATTAGTCTAAACCAAGAATTTTTTTAGTGCCATAAGTGAAGCGATACCCTTTTTGGACCAAATTCTTTCAAATGTAGTGCCTATAACAAAACTTTTTATGATTGTAGCTAGAGGAATATAACTTTTTGCATAATAATAAAAAAGAAAAGTTTAAAATGTTAAATTATCATGAAAAACGTTTGATGTGTAATTATAAGGTTCCATGCTTTGGGCTGTCAAAATGAATACACACCTTACCGTGCCTGCACTGTAATTAACAAAGCGCAATATGGGAAACTACACTTATTTTTTTAACACAGTAATATTCCACTGAAAACAGGCTAAAAATGTAGGCCTATTAAAAATACTGATTAAAATAATTAGATTAGAATAAAAATCCCAAAGGAAAGTCAGCTGCGAAAAACATTCATCAACTTATTGCTAATGTAAAATGGTCTCATGGCAAAATTAACCACCGATCAACTTGATCTCCCGTAGGAGAATCAGGTGTCATTTCTAACTAACAATAGTGCACATGTTTAACTCAGACAGATCTGTTGTACAGTCTGACAGCTGAGTGAACAAAGGACCTTTTTAAACGTTCTGTTCCATACTGTTTGATATAAATCTATTTAAGCATTGTGTATTCCCAAGTTTGCATACACTCACTATTTGAAAAAAGGACAACAAAACAGACAAAAAACACTCACATAAACATTTAGCATAAACACAAAAACTCACATCCCAAACATAACACACATGACAAGACAAAAACTAAAAAACAATAACAACTAGAAACTTGCAATGGCTGAAGCCATTGCGATTGACTGCGGAACAGATCTAATGTGGAAATCTGCTAAAAAAAATCCTTGAAATCCTTTAAAAGGCCTTGAAACTGTTAAAATACTTGATAGATATTTGAAACTCCTGAAGTCCTTGAAATTGTTGAAACCTTTAAACTCCTGAAATCCTTGAAACTGTTGAAACATTGAAACTCCTGAAATCCTTGAAACTTTTTTTAAACCTGGAAACTGTTGAAAGTGTGGAAACTCCTGAAATCCTTGAACCTCCTGATATCCTTGAAACTGGTTAAATTCTTAAACAGTTGAAATCCTTGAAACTACTGAATGTATTGAAAGTGTCCTTGAAACTGAAAAATCCCCTCACCGCTGAAACAATTTGGTTCCTGTAACTAAGGAAACCTGGTCTGTGGTCATTATCTGGTGGTGGTCTGAGTCTTCGTTTGGGTCTTGGTCTGGTGGTATAATGCAACCTATTAGGTTGCATTATACTGGTTTACATGGAAAAATCCCTATTAGGTTGCATTATACTGGTTTACATGGAAAAATCCCTATTAGGTTGCATTATACTGGTTTACATGGAAAAATCCCTATTAAGTTGCATTATACTGGTTTACATGGAAAAATCTCTATTAAGTTGCATTATACTGGTTTACATGGAAAAATCCCTATTAGGTTGCATTATACTGGTTTACATGTACAAATCCCTATTAAGTTGCTTTATACTGGTTTACATGTAAAAACCCCTATTAGGTTACATTATAGTGGTTTACATGTAAAAATCCTTATTAAGTTGCATTATACTGGTTTACATGTAAAAACCCCTATTAAGTTCCATTATACTGGTTTACATGTAAAAACCCCTATTAAGTTCCATTATACTGGTTTACATGTAAAAACCCTATTAAGTTGCATTATACTGGTTTACATGGAAAAATCCCTATTAAGTTGCATAATACTGGTTTACATGGAAAAATCCCCATTAAGTTGCATTATACTGGTTTACATGAAAAAAACCCTATTAAGTTGCATTATACTGGTTTACAAGGAAAAATCCCTATTAAGTTGCATTATACTGGTTTACATGGAAAAATCCCTATTAAGTTGCATAATACTGGTTTACATGGAAAAATCCCCATTAAGTTGCATTATACTGCTTTACATGTAAAAAACCCTATTAAGTTGCATTATACTGGTTTACATGGAAAAATCCCTATTAAGTTGCATTGTACTGGTTTACATGGAAAAAACCCTATTAAGTTGCATTATACTGGTTTACATGGAAAAAACCCTATTAAGTTGCATTATACTGGTTTACATGGAAAAAACCCTATTAAGTTGCATTATACTGGTTTACATGTAAAAACCCCTATTAAGTTGCATTATACTGGTTTACATGGAAAAATCCCCATTAAGTTGCATTATACTGGTTTACATGAAAAAAAACCCTATTAAGTTGCATTATACTGGTTTACATGAAAAAACCCTATTAAGTTGCATTATACTGGTTTACATGGAAAAATCCCTATTAAGTTGCATAATACTGGTTTACATGGAAAAATCCCCATTAAGTTGCATTATACTGGTTTACATGTAAAAAACCCTATTAAGTTGCATTATACTGGTTTACATGGAAAAATCCCTATTAAGTTGCATTGTACTGGTTTACATGGAAAAAACCCTATTAAGTTGCATTATACTGGTTTACATGGAAAAAACCCTATTAAGTTGCATTATACTGGTTTACATGGAAAAAACCCTATTAAGTTGCATTATACTGGTTTACATGTAAAAACCCCTATTAAGTTGCATTATACTGGTTTACATGGAAAAATCCCCATTAAGTTGCATTATACTGGTTTACATGAAAAAAAACCCTATTAAGTTGCATTATACTGGTTTACATGAAAAAACCCTATTAAGTTGCATTATACTGGTTTACATGGAAAAATCCCTATTAAGTTGCATTATACTGGTTTACATGGAAAAATCCCTATTAGGTTGCATGATTACACTGAAGTCCTTGAAACTGCTGAAGTCCTTGAAACTGCTGAAGTCCTTGAAACTGCTGAAGTCCTTGAAACTGTTGAAGTCCTTGAAACTCTTGAAATCTTGAAACTGCTGAAATCCTTGAAACTGTTGAATCCTTGAAACTGTTGAATCATTGAAACTGTAGAAATGTCTGAAAGAGCTGAAGTCCTATTAAAATGCATGGGCCTATTAAAATGCATTGCAGAATTCTCAATGCAGATTTTTGTCCGATTGCGGAAAAACCGGAAATCGCTGAAGTCCCAAAAGTAATAGCAATAATCTCCCAAACATGTGGAACGTTTTGATGTATAACTTGTGGAAATTGTTGAAAATGTGAAAGCTGTGAAACGTGTCAAAAAAAATGACGGAATAAAGAAATACAAAACCAATGGTTGACTGCGGAAGGTTCCGCAGTCAATCAAATATAAACTTACAAAGCATGCATGTGAATGACACAGCCTGACTGTTTGTGTGTGTGGTCAGATTACTGGTGCCTGGAGGACTTGTACCGGGAGTTGGTCCGTCTCTATGTGGAAGCCATGGTCTGTCTCCAAGGCCGCGCCCCGGACCCCTTCACCGTGGAGGGCTGCGTGCACCTCAAGCCACACAACTACCTGCTGGCCTGGCACACACCCTTCAACGAGAAAGGTTACAGCTGATCAACTATAGAACTCTCAGACCACTCTATCTGAAGTGTACTCACTCAGCGTCTGTGCATTTGTGGTCTTCATACATTTCTATCTCTAACTATATGTAGTTTGTCATTCTTTTTTTAATGAAATTCTTTTTTGTTTTTGTAATACAAGAAATAATCTTACATTCTAGGGCAGTTAAACCTCTTTTCTCAAGGTGCTGGTCCTGGACTGGTAACTGATTCTGAGCCGAGTTGGTATAGTGTGGCAACAAGAAGATCAAATGCTAGTTACCATAGCAACACACTGTTTACCTTTTGACAAACTGTTATTCTGTATTTCTATGTAGTATTTCATGTAGTAAAAAGGTGACAAAAGGTAAAATACATTTCTTACTATTAATAAAACTAGTGGAGAAGTTTTCAGAATCCCATTGATTTGAATGGGAGCCGTCAAAATGACTGTTCTGGGAGTTCTAGTGTTAATGAGTATTGGTATTTTTAAATCTAAGTGTGCGGAGTGAAAACAGCGTGTTAAAAATACCCGTCTTATCTGCAGGGTCTGGGTTCGGGGCAGCTGCCAAGGCCATGTGCGTGGGAATGAGGTACTGGCAACCAGAGAGATTAGACAACCTGGTGGAGGTCAGCATCGAGAGCGGCAGGATGACACACAACCATCCAACAGGTGGCGCTGCTGATGAGATTACCATTTTGTGTCAGATGCTATTCACTTTTGTTGAGAGGAGGAATGTTAGAGCCATACCAGATATAGGCCTACATATCGGAAAGATGAAAGATGTCTTTAGAAAGTTCATGTCATAAGTGTCTTTAAAAACTGTAATATGTTTAATAGACTACATACAATGGCTGGGTGTGTGGGCCCACATTCACCCAGAAGGTTGTGGGTTCGATTCCCATGCAAGTCTTTCTCTGTGGAGTTTGTATCTTTCTACCTATGTCTGGGTGTGGTTCCTCCAGGCGCTCCGGTTCCCCCCACCACCCAAAACATGCACCATAGGTTGAATACTCCAGCTATAGGAGATAGGTCCCAAAGTGCAGCTCTGTACTAGCTGCTCCTGAAAAAAAGTGGCATGATGGGTCAAATGCCAAGGACATATTTCCAAATGCGGACATATAGATTACCTTGGCTTTAGTAATGTACAGTGCAAAATAAAACATTTGAGATTTCTCTTTACTCTTTGCCACCAACGCATTGCCAAAAGACCTTTCAAATCCTGAGTCTGACTCTACACACTACAATACAAAAACCTTATCTTGATTCCGGTCAATTTGACTTTGACCAATCCCATTATCTGCCAATGGAACAAGTCTGTTTATACCTCAGAATAACACATATCTTATTCTATTGGCTGATTTAACCTGGTTAGTCTGAGTGACTTATAGTTTAAACCTATTTTAATAGTTTATATTCACCAAGCTATCACTTTTTTTGGCTGTGGAGGTGGGTATACAGTAGTTCACTTTTTATAATCTGCTAACTTTGTGCTGTATTCTACGGGCTAAGCTAAGACCTCCCGCATCAGTGAGCAGGCAGGTACACATCATGGAAATGTTTTTTCTCCCAGTTTGTAGTTATTGCTTGCAGTTTAAGGAAATTCTGTTCATGTTTCTGTCAAAGAAAAACCATTAGTTTGTCAACAAAATATTATATGGTTTTCATTCTTTAAGTAAAGATGATACAATCTATTGCCCTTTATGACCTGTTTTCATCCGGGCCTTTGCTCCAGGCTTCTTGGGCTCTCTGGCCACAGCGCTGTTTGCGTCATATGCAATCCAGGGGAAACCTGTGGTGAGTTGGGGCCGTGAGCTGATGGCAGTCATTCCCAAAGCTGAGGACTACTGCAGGAAGACCATCCGGCACATGGCAGGTCAGCTTCATGATGACAAAAGACAAAACAACACAGTCCTTGTTGATGTTGGTATACTGTACGTGGTGTAATGCAATGTGCCTGACAATTATTGGTATTGTTAACACTGGAGCACTTAACTTGCAAACCACACAAATATCAATGATGCAATGACATCATCTAACTGGTTTTTACATGCATTTATGTTATGGCCTCTGTCTCATCTTTAGATCAGTCTTTATAAAATAAAGAAGCCACTCAACTGGACTCAAAGCCTCAAATAGTCTCACACGGCCCTTTCTTGCCATTTTACAAAAGCTGATATGTTCTCTGATAAGAAGAAAAACCACATTATTTGGTCTGATTTGTTCACAACACTGGTCTTTTACAAGAAAATTATTACTATTAATGAGAAAGAATATTTTTTCTTCTTGGGTTTTTCATTGGATTTAAAAATACAGGTGTTTCACAGTATGGAATTAAATGGGTTATTCATGTAGAACGCTTATACTCATCACCTGTGATGGAAGTTGCAATAAAAAACTCCTGTGTGATGCTTCAAAGACACACACTGTAAAACTGTTTTGCATACTGAGTGATAATGGTCCAGTGATCCATAATGTTCTGTACTTTTTGCAGAGTATCAAGAAAACTGGTTCTACTTTGAGGCTAAGTGGCAGTTTTATCTGGAGGAGAGAGAAATAGAGACTGAGGGACAGAACAAACCAGTATTCCCAAACCCATACGACGCAGATGAGACGGACAAAGTAAGGTTTTTTTTTTTTAAAGCCAAGTTAGTATAGTATACTATAGTTAGTTTCTATATTTTATTATGGCCGGTCACACTTGTTGGCCTGGTTCACTTTAACTGGCTCAATTCTGGGTCAATTGAGGCCAAATTTCTTTGGTAGTTTTATATCCACAAGTGTCCACTTGTCACTCAAGTCCATTTACATTTAGAACAGATCTGTGAATCATTTTTTCCAATGACCCAGACTCGGTCCAAGTGTGAATGCGGCCTTCATTTTTCCCAAATCAGATTTACATACATTGTGTATGTTACGTCATATCTTAGCTTAGCCCCAGGGCCCAGACCAATACCATGATTTTATTGGCAATTGTTAATTTATACTATCTTTTTTTTATTATTATAGGTTTGCAATCATTGAAAATGAACCATTTTCTGTGTGCAAAAAGAAAATACGTCTTAAGTCTGAAATCATTGTCCTTGGTTGAAAAAGCAACTGACAGGTGATAACAGTCATATGTCCTCACAGATGTATAAGCGGTGGAGCTCAGAGGGGCGAGCGGGACGCAGGGGTCATGACGCCCCCATGATCGCCTATGACGCTCTGTTAGCTGCAGGGAGCGACTGGAGCGAACTGTGCAGAAGAGCCATGTTCCACGGAGGTGAGGCCCTTTGGTACAAATATACAGTATATACTTGATCACAGCTGTTTTGTTTACCAAAGGTTTGTACTTAGATTATGTTGATAATTTTTTCACTTAAAAGACTACCACTTATAACCTTTAGATGTTTGCTTGTACTGTACCACAATCTTTACTTGGGTTTGTGACAGTACGTAGTACAAGCACAGTGAAACAGTAAAAAGAAAAAGAATAAAATGTTGAAGTATAAATAAATACATATAGATATTTTTTACATGTCTCATTAAATTCTTATATTCGGAACAATGAAACATTATGAAAAGGTAAGACTATTGACAAACTCAAATCACTTGAATTTTCCTAATTCCAAAAATGCTAGTTATTTTTGGTTTGCAAAGAATTGAAACATTTTTAGTATTTGTGAGTTGCAAATATATTGGACCCTTTTTGAACTGATTCATACATCAGATATTGGCAGTTAATGAGGCAATGAATTACTAGATTGGTACAATTTCAATGTACTAGATCGGTACATTCCTACTTATGTTCCCCACTAATGTGTATACTGTTCAGAAACTATATTCACTTTGGATAACAGGTTATAGTTACACTCTGTAACTGTGTTTTTGTGACAGGGGAGAGTCCTGGGACCGGTCTCATCGCAGGCTGTCTGTTTGGACTGATGCACGGCTTCAGCTCGGTGCCGTCAGCGCTCTATGAGGTCCTGGACAAACGAGAGAGACTGGAGGAGCTCGGAGAAGCACTTTACAAAGCAGCCTCCACCATGGCCTCCACAGACAAGTGCATAGACAAGTAAATGCTATCCCCCACTTCACTGGCCTGCCCCCTACTGCCCGAATGAAGAACTGCACTTAACTTTGGCTTGTCCTTTTTTTTTACCCCTGGTCCTCCTCCCCAAAGTGACTCAACATCCATAGATATTGGGTATTATAAGTTACCTGCCTCCTTCCAACAATATCATACATGTTCTTACACCAAGCAACTGGACATATCTACAGAAACTCTAGATAATTTAGTGGAAAACATACCTGTATAATGACTGTTTCTTTACTGTGAATAAAAACCTGTGCAAAATTATGTGCAGTGTTCGGTCTTCAGTGAGATGTCAGTACATGAAATACACCTTTTATACTCTTAGGGTAACAAGTCTAGCCTTCAGCCGTCATACTAAAGGTGTGGTAACTAACTTTTCTCTCTCCAAAATAAAACATTTTCCTCATATTAACCGAATGGGTTTTGTAAAATCAAGATATCATGAACAAACCACAACAAGCTGTCTTTACCTTTTTAGAAAGCATGTTATCTTTTGCATGATTGTAAGAATGTATTTGACACTTTGGACTGAGAGCTGATTGGCTGAGTGAGAGTGGTCCTCTTTTTCACTTTCAGTATGAAAAAGCTAATCTAAAGACGGAGACCAAAAACACATGCATGTGAAAACTGGTTCTGTTTACATAGATTTTTTTTATATTTAGTCCAATTATTGTGGTTTAAAGTTATAGTAGGTACCCAGCTTTGACCGTACCTTCACCATACACGCTAATTTCTTGTTTTAACATCAGTTTTTGCTGTATGAATATAGAAGTAACCTCTGCTGGACATGACTAATAGTGGAAATGCTAAAATAAAATATAGCATGTCTCTAATTTTCTACGAATCATGTAAAATCCTGCTTTAAAACATTCATGCAAACCCACTGAGCTTATTTGTGGACTGGATGCCACCACTTTCATTGATCATACATTTTGCATGTGTTTTACTCTCTATAGACCAATTTTACAGAAAACTACGAGCCCAAACCTCACTGCCACTTTAATCAAGAAGTTGATCAGAAGTCACGGCCATCCCCCAGTCGTCCAGGACCTCCTGCAGAGCCTGCTCCTCTACCTGACCAAGGAACTGCCCAACTTGGAAAACATTTTAAGAACCATTAATAAAACTAACTCAAGGGAATGTCCTCATCAAATTAACAGCATGAATCATAAATGTAAAGTGACAAAAACAGTCAAAGAATCAAATACGGATGAAAAAATACCCAGACGTATCAGCTCTTTCCAACTTCTTCAGTCTAAATTCAGCCGAACGACACCCAGACCTCCCATAACCCACCAGAGAGTAGTCGGAACCTTGTTAATAAATAGAACCACGAGCAACAATGTGCACTGTAACAAGGACTTGGAAACTGATCAATTGAAAAAGGACCAAACAATACGCACAAAAGCAAGAAGCAAAGTCAAAGACGTTTTGGCCAAATTCGTCCAGGCCGAAGGTAAACAAGGGAAGGACACGCAGACGCCAAACAAGCCGAGAAATGTGAAGAAAGACGGGCTGTTTTCTTCTATCATGAAGAGATTTGAGGGTGTGGCAACTGTGCGGAAGGCTGTTGATCTGACGCGGCCGGTTTCAAGGGGACGTATGCAAGTAAATAATGTTAAAGACATTATTGCAAGCCGCGAAAAACTGACGCATACAAAAACAGTTGGAAAGATGACACCCAAAGGAGATACAAATTTTAAATATGAGGGCTTTTCATTAAAAGTTAGCGACACACTATGCATTTTGACAAAAGATCAAGGGATAAAACATACGGATCCAAACGTTCAAAAGAATCCTGTTGAATATGTGGATAAAGTTGAGGGTATATATGATGCAGAAAATCCCTGTTTGTTAACAAATCAAAAATGTAGTAGTGAAGTTGAAATAAGCAAAACTTCTTTTCAAAAGGTCATTACTGAAAATCCTCATTGTGCATTTATTTGCTTGAACTACGGCTTACAACAGGTTTTTTCTTCGGGTTGTGTCTCCGAATGGTCATTGCCCCAGTCCTATGAAGCTGCATTGCAATTAGAGCCATTGCTTGTTGTCAATAAAGCAACTATTTTGCCCTGCAGTCTAGTCCTGTCCGCATATGAAATATTTTGCCCAATGACACTCGACAAAAGCTTGACTGGATTAGATGAGGAAAAATTGAATTCAAATCCAAAAATTAAGGCAGAGCAAAATTTGTGTTTACACAATGACATTACAAAAAGACACATCAGTGAATATTTAAAATGTGAAAATAACGTAACGGACACACAGTTATCAAATGAGAGCTTGGCTGGATTAGGTGAATATGCAGCTAATTGTGCAGAAAATTTGACTTTGAATCAAAAAATGAAGTCTGATGAAAAGCCAAGTTTACAAAAAGACTTTTACAGTGACGAAGCAACGTTTCTTATACCACGAGCAAATCATAGGGATCTCCACCAATCAAATTCCAAACCAGAAATGACCAGTGTTGAATCGGTCAAATCAAACACAGAATCTTTGGAGCCCTTAACAAACCCGACTGACATCCCCATTGAAGAGAGCATTCCACCTTTTAGCTTTCATATAAATGAGCCACAAAGTCTCACAACAGATATGAACAAGGTCCTAATTGAAAAAGAGGAAAGCAATGAAGACGAGACAAAGACGAGGAAAGAACGAAGGCCCTTTGAAAAGAAAGATGGAGAAAATGATCAGTCTGTGGTTGATATCAAGAAGGACTGGCGAGTAGCGAAAGATGTCCAGGCTCTAGTCAACAAAGAAGACCGACCCAAGTACAAAACCATAAACTATGGAGATTCATCCGTGAAGCAGGTGTATAAACCAAAAACAATACGATTTACAGACACCTTCACTTTTTGAGACTTAAGTTTAGTGATACACATTTAGATTTACATTTCAATTCAACCTGTTTTTTGTAGCGCCCTAAATCACAACAGCAGTCATCTCGGAGGACTTTACAAAGTTGTCAATTCCTCAATAACTGATCAGAAAATCAAACAGTTCTAACACAGAAGATGCAATAATAACAAACACATAGGAGACATTGGTCCATGGTGAGCAGGGTGAAAAACAGCGGAATGGCCATAAACGTGAAAAAAATTCAATGTTTAAGTTATTTGATGAAAAAAATATATACTCCACAACACACATGCAGGTTAGGTTAGCCGGTACAGTTGGTAGAGCTCCCTACCATGCTCCCATTCTTGGCAGGGAAGTGTATTGCTAAACCCATGGCCCATTGGCACTCATTCCAACACAATGTTTTTTTTGTTGTTTCAGAAATTAATTGAGACTGTTATGTAGGAAAAAGTTGTTGTAATGCTATGTGCTGTATACAATATATATTTCTTAAGTTATAGTGAAATGTGTGGTCAGGTGAAAGGGCAAAGAAACACATAATCTACAACCACTTCTAGTAACAGTTTCTCACACAACATACGGATATTGCAACTGGAGCAACAAAGCCTGAAATAATGGGTTTACTACATAGATGACACAAAGACAATTTTATTTAAATTTGTGCATTTGGATTAGTTCAGTTATATAAAACCTTCTATGGGACAACAACATGCAAGTTTCAGACTGAAATCCTCATGAATGACCACAACATCTCATCATCCCACACCATTCCTCAACATAAAAAGTCATATGGCTGGGATTAGTGAAATCAGTGTTGGATTTACTCTAATAATTCTCAAACGATAAGAAACCAGGCCACCTCGTGTGGTACTAGCTTTCCGGCTTATCTCACGAGAGCTTCACTGGTGATCGTCCCGTTCCCGTTTGTCCTGTGAAAATATAGTTTATATAAAGTGGGCTATAATATACTGTAACTGTAATCATGTTTGACTAACTACATGTGACATTAAGCATGAGGAATTCAGGGAAAATATGCCGTCTGAGAATGAATCTGTATGTGAACATGAGATTGCCCTGACAACAATGTCAATGTCAGCTTTATTTGTGTAGCACATTAACAAGATCAGCTGCCCAAATTGCTTCACAAGCACAAAAGAAAAAAAGCAATACACAAATGAAATATTCTGGATTCCTGTGGCTCAAAGAATAGATTTCAAAGTTGCTCTGCTTGTGTACAAGTCCTTGAACCAAAGTACATTTGTGACATTTTAGTCCCATATGAACCAACTCGGACTCTGAGGAGCACAGGGACTGGCGTCCTGCCAGTGCCCAGGGTCAGGACTAGACATGGGGAGGCAGCGTTTCAGATAAAATCTGGAACAGTCTTCCTCAAAATGTGAGGCAGGCTTCAACTCTGACAATGTTCAAATCCATGTTAAAACAATTCTGTTTAGCCTTTGAATGTACTGTGATTATTAATGATTTTAACGCCTTGTTTGATTTGAATGGTTTTGGGTTTTGAGTTTCCTTGTGTATGAACTTTATACAAATAAACTTGCCTTGCCTTGTTTTACCTAAAACACTTGTGTTAAAAGCCACACAAGCAACACATAGCATTACCGACAGAATCACATGTGACAGAACAGAAGATACAGTATTGAAATGATGGCGCAACAATGGCCACACATATTTTAGCAATTCCTGACTTGTCTAATTTTTTACTATTTGGTCATCTGTCTCCTTTGTTGGTGAAATTTCGCAATATCAATTACTGTGAGATATTATACAATAATAAGACCAGACAGCTCTAAACAAAATGGTGAAGTGTTGTTCTTGTACTAATGCCACATTTCATTCTCAATGGGCAATTTAGGACATCAGTATTATTTAAACAAGACAATATTCTAGCTCCTGACAATATGGCCTATGAGGGTGGGCAATAAACAGCATGCAGCAGGTTAGAGGGACAAATGGCGCCCAAATTACTGAAATTTACAGACTCTGCAGGTTCTATATAGGGCAAAGCATAATGATTTACCTCAAAATATACAGAAGTGATTTACTCTGAACTGAGGGGAAGAAAGGCACGTGCTGAGAGGAAAACAACATTTCATATCACCATCTGCACACAGTGAGGAGAAAAGTGTTTGTGTTTCTGTACAAGGGGTGGAACAGCTGACCAGTATAAGGAATGAGGAATAAATATAAAACAATTTACAAAGAGATTCAAAGAAATTACACAAATGAAAGAATGACATTGTCTATGTTGCTAACGCATTGTAAATGTGTTGGAAAATATATGTGACTGTGTTTTGCAAGAAAGTGGGTAAAGCCAAAATATAGCCACTACTAATATCAAGACATTGAAAGAGGGGGTGGGAATCAAAAAGTAACTTCATTCCACTCTATTCTAAGATGGATTGCTTTTAACGCCTGTTATTATGACAACTATTGTGTTGTATATGGTGTACACGTTTTGAAATAAAACTATAAACTATTAGAGAAAATGGTCCCACAAACTTGTTCCTGTTGAAATATTACACTAAAGACCAGCTCTGGGTTTAAAGATCACAACAGATCCAAACAGGTCTGAGCTCACCTGTGCTACGTGTCGAGCTTTGCGGAGGCGTGGATTGTCTCCATTAGTGATGCGTTTACTTACCTCAAGAAACAACACAATAGTATTATAACATTTGCACCAAACCTAACCATATTATATAATCTCTATATGTATTATGATACTATGGTGTATAAAGAATAAAATAAATCAAGGGAGAACAATATTGAGAAAAATAAACAAGAAAACTACTAATACACTAATGGCGTGATGTTTGTATGTTTGTTTGAACTATAGGTTGTAACATTTCAAACAATATGGATTAATCTTTGACACTTTCCCCTTTACATCGTATGCGTACATTAATATTTACAGTCTGTACATGCCACATGGGTATGAACACTGTAATTTACGAGAGTTCTATGAATGCGCCATTAGCTCCAGTAGCCGTGTCCCGGGGCAGACCTTACAACTGTGAAATCTTCAAAGGATTTCAGTGGAGAAAAGTCCAGTGGATCTGTTTGTGGACCACACCTCGGACACAGGCCTCCCCCTCTGGATGTTTTGAGTTTTTTGGGCGTAATCGAGGCTGTATTTACTTTATTTCAACCGGAGAACAGACTCAGAGCAGGTGCAATTTGATGTCGAACGACGCACAAACTCCTCACTAAGCAGATTTTAACTCGTGCATGATTTCAGAGTTGTTTAATTAAAGAAATAATTAACAAGACGCGATGTTATCTTGAAATCTACGCTTTCCCCAATTCCTTATCCACGCTGGATCTGAAGTAGCAGCAGCGCTCAGGAGAGGAGCAGATCCCACTTACTGTAGCCGAGTTTGTGCAGAGGCAAGCGGCCATGGATAAGAAGACTTACCGGGCTCAGGTCGACAACAACCAGGCTAAAGAACGAATTGGATGGTAAGGCTTTACGAGACTAACGCAATATTTATAGTAGTTTACTTTACTTTTACTTTAGGTAGACATGGTTGCAGTTTGAATACTGCTAAATATATCATGTTCAAAACTTTGAAACACAAAAAGAAACTCTTATGTTTCAACCAGTACCTGCGTATAACACTTAGTGACAACTGAATACTTCAATAAACGAACCTATAATGTACACACTTGCACCAGTTTCAATTGAAGAAAGATCAGAGAGAATGGACTTATTTTAGTCGACACCCTTTGATCACACACCACCAAACACAAATAGATCTTTTAAAGTGATTTTAAATGTAAAATTTGACTTGCAATTGTAATTACAGTGTTGCCCACCTGATCAAAGGGAACATATGGTATAATTTGACAAACAACTTAAACAAAAACTGTTGGTTACATCCCTGAAAATGTCATAAAGTGATTGGATCTATATTGCTAACAATAACCAAATATACATACGCATTTTACAAATACGTGCATTCCCATTTAATTGTTCCCTCTTGATTAGTGAACAGATAAAGTGGAAGCGGACCCAAGACTTCTTTTTAGCATTTTCATTTTAGAACATTTTGATGGTTAACTGTAACATCAGATTTGACAATATTCATAGTTTTGTGTATTATTATTCTATTGAAAAATTAGTACTTATGATTATGAAATGGTTTGTGTGAGGGGTTAACTGTGCTAGTATAGTTCCAGTTAATGGCTACAGTAGTAACTGTAGCCTTTGTTTTGCCATCATCAGTGTAATATAATAATATTTGCTGATGACAATGTCCCTGAAGGCCACACTGAAACAGCAGCTCTGTGTTTACTTTTAACGTCTGTTTGTACACTGCTCTGTCTCAGGTGAGCTGCATGTCTCCGCTGGTGAAGACATAAGCTGCTCTCAGATTATCATGTTACCTAAGATTCTTTAGGGCACTGCACACAACGTCTGCCTTTTTTATTTAAATTAGAACCAAGAAAATGGAAAGTCAAGGATCCACGGTGTGAGTCATTATGGCATTGTGAAAGATAGTAACATAATTCAGGTCAACATGGAGCCACAAGAGTGGAATAATACAGGCTACAGTAGAAAGGGTAAATGGGGTAACATGTATGTGGTCACATGTACCGTAAATTCCGGACTATATGCGGCTTCTTTCCTGCATTTTGATGGCTGCGGCCTATAGTAAGGGATGGCTTGATTTTTTTTTTTCTCCTCTGGCCCCAAAATCATTTTGCCAAGTAACTGTAGACCAAGAGAATTGATGAGTAGTTCACAGGGATCCAATTAAATTAGTATGATATGTAAATCAGTCATTTGTACTCACCATGGAAAATACTAGAAGATACACTAGATGTTATATTTAAAGGTTACAGGCACTGTTAGAGAAAAAAAAAGTTAAATATATTTGTTGTTACCAAGCACATTAAATATAGTTTAAAAGTCGTCACTTTTAATATCTTTGTGTAAATATCTCATAAAATAAATAGTCTAATCTTTCATAAACTGTGCTATTGGTGATGGCCATTTTTTGGCGATAGACTTGCGCCTTCGAAGAACCCTAAGCCTTAAACAGAAAGTAGAGATAATGGAGTTTAAATAAAGAATTTAAATCTACTCTGTTTAACTGTCTTCAGTGTGGATCCCTATGGCTTCGAGCGCTCGAAAGACTTTGACTACAGCTCGTATGAGGAGATCATGTCCCAGTACCTTGGTGTCCTCACCCGCAGGTCCATAAAGTGGTCTAAACTCCTCAAAGGAAAAAACCGAGTCCAGAAGAATGTGAAATGTAAGTGAAAAATCAGCATTTGAGCCTGTCTCTGTGTGGTGTTCTATCCAAACTGCTCCACTCTGTGCCGCAGTGAAACGTTATGTCCGTAAAGGCATTCCCAACGAGCACCGCACTCTGATCTGGATGATGGCCAGTGGAGCACAGAACCAACTGGAGAAGAACCCGGGGTTTTACCAGACTCTGCTCTCCGCTCAGCAAGACTCCAAACTTCTGGAGACCATTCGCACAGGTCTAACTAATAATGCATACGTATGTTTCTGGCATTATGATGAGTTATACAGTGGATTTTATGACAACTGTCACTACTCAATCTTGTGCTATTTGTAGTCATCCATCTATTTTCTTCTGCTTTATCTGTTGCTCGGTCTCTGGGGCAGCAGTCTTAAGTAGAGGTGCCTAGACCTCCCTATCCACACACACTTCCTCCAGCTCGTCTACTGGACGCCTCCCCAGGGAGTGCATTTGATCCAGATGCCCGAGCCATTGGGTCCTCTTAACTTGGAGAAGCAGCGGCTCTACTCTGAGCTCCTCCCATGTGACTGAGCTCACACAGCCACCGTGTGGAGGAAATTTTGATCTGCAATCTCGTCTCGTTCTCTCATGTTTATTTGGTTCACCTCGTGTCCGTCCAAACCAAAATGATGCTTTGTGTGCTAATCAAAATCTGTGTTGAGTTCATTAGTCTTTGCTAAATGTTGGGATTTCTATGCTGTCATTTTCACAAAACATTTCTTTTAAAGTTGGCCTGCTTGCATATTTATGTTTTTCAGACCTGAACAGAACATTTCCAGATAACATAAGTTTCCGTAAGACGTCGGACCATTGCCTTCTGAAGTCCCTGTACAACGTGCTGCGGGCCTACGGCCATCACAACCCGGCTGTGGGATACTGTCAGGTATTGTTTTCTGTGTGATAAAAATACTACGCAAATGTAAAAGACTCAGCTGGTATTTGTTAGTCAAATATCAAGATTCATGTGAAAGGAGTGACGACTTTAGTTTTACATATTTCCAGATAAAAACATGCATTAATATTATTTTTTTGAGTTGTCTGTTCATACCGCACAGAAAATGCAAATTTTCAGAAATGTAAAACAGACAAAAGGTGGGGCTCTGAAATGCTATAGGAGATGGGCTACTATAATCAATATCAGAAATGAGTTAAAATAAAAATATGTATGTAGGGAAACGTTTGTGTGAGGCCACATCGCTGTATAGAAAGTGTTCTGGATTCCAGAGCTCATGTAGAAAATATGCTATTTTGGCATCTGAAGGGTTAATGTATAGCAGCACCTGGACACAATTGTTAATATTTACAGATGTAGTAAAGAAATTGGGAAAAAGTGAAATTCTGAAAGCCATTTCAGAAAGTGAAAAATGTCAGAAGTTCAGAAGCTCCTCCATAAAGACCAATCAGTGATTAAATCTTTTGGAATGTTTGAGAAACAGTAAGAACATGATTTGAAATGGAACACTGTAGCTGAAAGAATAGCATTTCTGTGGAAAAGTTTACAGTTTTTTTTAATTACTTCATGCTGAAACCTGGCGCAGCGTGGGCTTGAAAAGTATTGTTTGTTTCCAGGGAATGAACTTTATTGCTGGGTATCTACTAATCATCACAAAAGATGAAGAAAAGTCCTTCTGGCTCATGGATGCTCTGATCGGCAGAATATTGCCTGGTGCGTTTTACTGCAAGTTCTTGATACAACTTGATAATACTTTTATTGTTATGATCTCACCTACAGTGGGGCAAAAAAGTATTTAGTCAGCCACCGATTGTGCAAGTTCTCCCACTTAAAATAATGACAGAGGTCTGTAATTTTCATTATAGGTACACTTCAACTGTGAGAGACAGAATGTGAAAAAAAATCCAGGAATTCACATTGTAGGATTTTTTAAGAATTTATTTGTAAATTATGATGGAAAATAAGTATTTGGTCACTTTAAACAAGAAAGATCTCTGGCTCTCACAGACCTGTAACTTCTTCTTTAAGAAGCTCTTCTGTCCTCCACTCGTTACCTGTATTAATGGCACCTGTTTGAACTCCTTATCTGTATAAAAGACACCTGTCCACAGCCTCAAACAGTCAGAATCCAAACTCCACTATGGCCAAGACCAAAGAGCTGTCAAAGGACACCAGGAAAAGAATTGTAGACCTGCACCAGACTGGGAAGAGTTAATCTACAATAGGCAAGCAGCTTGGTGTGAACAAATCAACTGTGGGAGCAATTATCAGAAAATGGAAGACATACAAGACCACTGATAATCTCCCTCGATCGCAAGATCTCATCCCGTGGGGTCAAAATGATCATGAGAACGGTGATCAAAAATCCCAGTTCCGTGTTAAGGAAAGAATGAATGGGGCCATGTATCGTGAGATTTTGAGCCAAAACCTCCTTCCATCAGTGAGAGCTTTGAAGATGAAACGTGGCTGGGTCTTCCAACATGACAATGATCCCAAACACACCGCCCGCGCAACGAAGGAGTGGCTCCGTAAGAAGCATTTGAAAGTCCTGGAGTGGCCTAGCCAGTCTCCAGACCTCCACCTCATTGATAATCTGTGGAGGGAGTTGAAAGTCCGTGTTGCTCTCGAGAAGATCTGCATGGAGGAATGGGCCAAAATACCAGCTACTATGTGCGCAAACCTGGTAAAGACCTATAGTAGTCGTTTGACCTCTGTTATTGCCTACAAAGTATTGAGTGGAATTTTTGTTATTGATCAAATACTTATTTTCCACCATAATTTACAAATAAATTCTTTAAAAATCCTACAATGTGAATTCTTGGATTTTTTTTTCACATTTTGGCTCTCACAGTTGAAGTGTACCTATGATGAAAATTAGACCCCCTGTCATTATTTTAAGTGGGAGAACTTGCACAATCGGTGGCTGACTACTTTTTTGCCCCAATGTATAAACTACTACTATATTAAAGATAAAATGCCTTAGTTTCTCATTCTCACAAAAGAGGTTTCACTTTGCACATTTTTTCATGTAGCGTTGTAGCCTTGTGCATTACAGGCTTTTATTTTATGTATGATTTTTTTTTTCCTCCAGAAATATCTCTTACCATAGAATAGAATATGGATGTTTATTTCCATACAAGCTGTATTTCATTACCTCACAAGCTCCAGGACATGTCTGTGTGTGTGCAGACTACTACTCTCCTGCCATGTTGGGCTTGAAGACGGACCAGGAGGTCTTGGGAGAGCTGGTCCGACTGAAGGCACCTGGAGTCTGGAAAACAATGACTGAGAACAACGTGATGTGGACGCTGGTCGTGTCGCGCTGGTTCATCTGCCTGTACATAGACGTCCTGCCGGTAGAGGTCAGCGTCCACTGACCAATGAGAGCAGTTAAAGTACCACAGTCTATTGTTTTATCCCACAAAAGATATAAGAAATAATAATAAAAATAATTTCAAAGGGTATAAAAGTTTGAGATTAGACATTAATGAACATTCAAGGTTTATTTTATGGACTACGTAACAAACATACATCTGGTGTGTTTCCCAAGGTTACAATCTTGTTCTAGATGTATATTTCAAATGTTGGACTGGTCCTAATACAGTTCAATAGAAAATTATCAAATTTGAATAAACTGGGAATTTTTTTTTTTTCCCAGACCATTATTTGATAGTGATAATATGGAGGGTTAGTAAATCTTATGTTTGAAAAGCTTATTGGCCTACATCATTCATGTTTTATTTCATAGTGTTTCCACTTTTTTTTTTTTTTTTGAGAAAATGGTCGGACCATAGTTGATATGTACTGACAAAGAAGATGTTGAACTCTGTGAATGTAATTGTAATTCCTGGGCAATCCACTTGAAACAGAAGTACTTTACTGTCAACTTTGACAGAACCTAAGTCACCAGGAGACATTTGTCAGCTTCCATCTGCCACAAAACTTTAGGCTCTTTGTAATGTTGACGGCCTTGTTTGTGTTTTAGTCTTAGTTTTTTTTTTCAACATTTTTCATCTTTGTTGCCTCCTTACAGTGGTGGGTGAATTTTCATGCCCGAATGATCCAGCAGGTAATACTATAACTCTACAGCCTGGTAATTCACTGTGTTCTGCCCCTCAGACCGTCTTAAGGATTTGGGACTGTCTGTTTTACGAAGGCTCAAAGATCCTTTTCCGGGTGGCTCTGACTCTGATTCACCAGTACCAGGCTGAGATCCAGACGGCCCAGTCCCTGCCTGACATCTGTGAGGTCTTCAAACGCATCACGCACGGGCCCTTTGTGGACGAGTGCCACCCCTTCATGCAGGTATGCTATATTTTGAACCATTCAATAACAAAGACAAATGCAATAACGTACCTGTGATTGTCGAGAGCTACTAAAGATCTCTTTACTATTTCTCAGAATAGCTATGCCAATGTTATAAGATAAGGGTGTTTAGTGTTGCCTTAGAAATGGTAATAAAAACTGTGGCTACTTTTATTTTTACAGAAAATCTTCACTGAAACAGGAAGTCTTTCTATGACCACGTTGACCAAACTGAGGACCAAATGCAGAGCCCAGTTTACTCAAGAGTCCTGATCCAAGCCACTGTGAAAAGCACATTCCAAATGACACTTTGCACCTTTTACATCCAGCTGTCCAATGTCTGGGAGCTAATAATGTAGAATATCTGAATGACCATGTAGCCAGTCTCACATTAGTAGGATTTTCTAACATGCACTTTATGTAAAACACTGTAGAGAAAAGAAACTGATCATTTGAATGTTTTTGATGACTTAATGTTTTGTACATGTGAAGTTTGGTTGGTCCTTAATCATTTCAAAACTTTATATGAAGGTTTGCAATTGGTTTAAAAAAAGTGGAATACAAATCCATGGGGTGCTATCTTCTTTGTGCCAAGTGTCATTATTCGTGTTTGAAAACTTTAACCATTTTACAAGTTACTTATGTAGATTATTGACTCGCTATGTGATGGTTATAAGTACAAGAAAACAGTCCAGTCCATAAACAACTTAGTCACAACTTTAATGTTTCAAATATATGGAAATTTTCAGCAATTTCAAAAAGTAGCCATTTTACCTCAAAGGGATTTTTCTGTACCACCGAGTAGATCTCTCGATAGTCAATTGTGCTTATCCCCCCATGTTGTAATCCTTTTGAGCTAAAATGAAATGAGTCAAAAGCAGTTGGAATCACTAAAACATCTGACTTTACATCCAACACATTCCCTTTTCTGCTAAAAACAAACCAGGGAATTAAGGTCATGATTGAAATGTTCAGGGGTTTCACTGTGGACACATGCAGAATTTAGCTGTGACAAAAGGGCTGAATTATATCTCAGTGGTGGAAATTAAAGGGGCGCTACAATGGTGGCAAAAGATATAAAATACATGTGAGGGAAATTGAAAAGAATGTCAACATCTTCTATAGTCTATGAATATCAGGAAAATGGTGACAAGATAATTTGCATTTATCTAAATGAGTGTTTAGCCAAATTGTCAACGTTTTGTCAAGGGAGAAAATGGATTTAGGGGTACATGGCATAACTTATGGTGAAGGGAAGGTCTTTGAGCTGACCTCGCCGCTCAAAGACATTCCTCAGATGACTGAAAATACATGAAACTGAACAGGACACTTAAGTTGTTACTTTAGTTGCAACACAGTGCAGCAAGAAGGACAAAGTTTGACATGCATGGATTTTGCATGTTCTCCATGTCTGAAGGTTTCCTCCGGGTGCTCCTGTATCCCATACCACTAAAACATGCACAATGGGTACAAATCTCATTTCAGACAGTGCAGCATATTGACTAGAGTGCATGGAAAATACACCAAAGATCAAAGCGCTTTGAGTGACCCTGGTCTGAATATATGACTTACTTTGCCTTAAACCTCTTAGAATGACAAAAAGCAGATTTTTGGTTTATCTTGAACCTGTTAATCAGGGGTGTCAAACCGGACATCAACCTGAGCAGGAGCACACCAGACTCAAATCTTCAGGTTAAAACTGGACTCACCGGAGGAAATGGGTAGAGTCTGGTGTGCTCCTGCCCTGGTTGGAACTATAACTGCAGCCGGCCCATTAAGGACCGGTTTGACACCCTGCTGTAAATAAATAAATGCAATATGATTTTAATGCCAAACTATAGAAGGAACTTCCTGGAACTTAAACCCCATCAGAAAAAGAACTACACAGTGTGCAGTCAATTGAATTCAGGATTGTTCTCTGCTAAAGAAAGATGAAATCTGAAATGATCAGACTTAAGGTGCATTCACACTTGGATGAGTTATCTAAAGTGTTGTTTGATGTGAAAGCAGCAAACAATTGAAGCTGGGCCCTCAGTTGTTACCCAAGTTCCAAGTGTGAACACACCTAGTTTGCATGTGTAGAATCAAATACAGCAACCAAAAACACAACATTGCAAACTGTTGATTAAGTAGAAGTTCTTTTGAGTGTTTTCCAAAACATCCTTACACACAAGCAAAAGTCAGCCAGCTTGTGTCGAGGGCGAGGAGCCACTCAAACCGCAGAGACAACTGATCTTTAAACCTCAGTCCTTAAGGCCTTCTGCATGTTGCTCGTTTTGAGGTTTCAATCTTTTGTGTGTGCAAACGCCTAGATGGTTTGATATCCGGCGTGACTCCTCTTGCGGCCGATTAGGTAAGCAATAAGTACAATCAGAACCAGGCCGGCTAAAGCAGCGCCTACGATGATCGGGATGAGCATCTGGTCCTGGTCAATCTGACATTCCTCCGCTGCAACAGAATCACACAAGAGAGTTTGATTATTACAAGTGAAATAATGAATTACCCAATGTGAAACCCGGAGGATGAGCTGAAGATGGGATAGAACGGCTGCAGCAGTTCAGGTCAGGTGTACAGGTGAAAGCTGGAAAACTAGATTTATTTACCGTAATTTATTTCTGGAAGGAAACTACTATGAGACAGACTCATTACATAGAAAGTGACATATGCCAGACCTTTGTTATAACTGAGCCAATTCTCACAAATGAAGCCTGATTTATCTCAGTTGGTGCATAATGAGTCTGTCATATTGGATTACATTTTAAAATTAATTACAGAATTATATTGACAATATTCTAATTATTTTACCAAATCTGCAGGAAAAAATATAAAATAAAAGGACATACTAGTATTTCAATAAAAAGGTTCCTCTGGGGGCCATGTTCATGTTCTTACCACAACAAACAACAGGTCTGGCAATCGCCTCCTGTATGGCGACCCGCTGAAAAGGCGTTATATATAAATAAAAAATGTTTTTCTTAAACTAACATTTGATTGTGTCTGGGAGTCATGAGCACAAGAACAGATTATGCGACTTTGGCACCACATGGGAAAATAACATTTTCCCCACTATGCAATATATTTGTGGGGCAAAGCCCAGTTCAACCGCAAGTTACAATGATAATATACATGTAGGTTCCCAGTACCAGAGAAAACGGGTGGACAGGAAAGATTGTCATACATAAATCTTGTCCAGTACAATGGGGATGTTACCTGAAGCGAACTGTGTGGTTGTCACTCCAAAAGGCTGGACCTGCAGCTTGAAAGTGTTGATAGAAAATATCTGCAGAATGTTCAGAGTCTGCTCAGCGTTGCACATGTACGAGTGTCCGTACGAACTGCGCAGGTAGTCCAGACTGGAGTTCACTGCAGTAAAGTTTGCTGAGGACAGAGCAGAGTGAAAATGGAAATAGTTTATTTAACAGCAGTAATAAAGTAGTCATCGAGTTTGAATGAGACTATACCAGGCAAATCAGGCCAGTTCGCCACCAGGCCGACCGTGCTGAGGCGATACCGGTTTGACGTAGAGTTCTGTGGGCACAGGAAAAGATTGTGTTTAAACAACCAAAAGTTAGAACTAGAGCTTATTAAATGACTATAATATTGAATCGCATTAACGTATATTTTACCTCAGGATTTGGTTTGAAAAGGGATTGAATGAAGCAAAATGCAAAATTAATCCAATCTCCCCCCCCCCCCCCCCCAAAAAAAAGTATTTGGATTGTGTTACTCAATCTCTTTTGTTGTTGGTTTTTACAGTGTATAGAACTATTTAACAAAGTAGAAATGTCTTTAATATTCAAGTTCAGATTCAGACTACTTTATTAATCCCACCAGGGGCATTTATAAGGCTACCTACCCATTTGTATCAGACGCAAGAAACCATGGTCTGAATGTTGCCGCTGCTGCTGTACATCAGTCCTCTGCTCTGTACCGTCCTCTACACGTCTACTACAGGGACATGAGCAGCTGTGCTTTTGCGCTTGCGTTAAATCGCCCAAAAACTGACGACGGCGCCATTAAAATGGATTTGCTTATCAACACGTTTAACTGAAATCACTAATAAGAACAGCTTTGATTTTAGACAAACATTGTGCTGTTATGTCTTGACATTGACACGTTCATTAACATCTTCAGTGTAATCAACCAAAATATTTGCCATCATTTGTGTCAACCATTTTAGTTGACTGAAACGACATTTAAAAAGTGATCGTCAACCTCATTCTTTGTTGGTAAAATAAATTCAACATAACAGTAAAAAGGAATAGCTGAACCCTACCCCCAAGTTGCACACCCACTGTATACACCAACAAACACCAAAAGCACTGACCAGAGTGAAGGCGAAGGTCAGTGTAGTGCTCTGGTCTTGAGTGAGCACCAGAGTCGCTGTGTTGGCTTCACAGGATCCAGATGACGTGGTCTGTTCTGGGTTCACATTCACCACTTTCTGAAATGTCTGGAGGGGAGGGAATACATTTGTTATAAGAAATAACACACACCTAACTCGCTAGCCGGTTAATAGTCTGAACTAAAGTGTTTATATTCCAATCTTTGTAAATCAAGATTTGACCAATAATAGCTGAACAAGTAGATTCCTTGTTTCCTCTAATTCGGCTTTGGATGGCAATTTGTTTGAGCAGGACTGGACCAGACTCTCTCCTGATTGGCTCTCTGGTTGTTATGATGGTCACCGCTCATGAAGCTTGTTCTAATCTAAGTCTTCACTTCATTTTAACCCTATATACAATCAAAATAATGAACTAATTTGCTGAACCATGTCCGCTCACAATGTTTATATGGTAAATTTGGAGTTTGCTTCGATTGGACCAAGTTTGTTGATATCTTTACCTTATTCAGCGCGTCTGTGTACGTGACGTTGAGCTGTAGCCCCATGTGAGCGAGCAGACAGACCGTGTTGTTCACATTGGTCACATTGTAGATGCCTTGTTCTGGGGGCCCTGCAGGGGTGGGCACAGGCACTGGGGCTGAGGTGGTGGTCTGTGGGGGTGCTGGAGTGGTGGTCTGATCCGCCGCGCAAGCACTCGCTGACAAGAACAGAAGGAAAAAGTTATTCCTGACTATTGATCTACAGAGAAGGGGGTTTGGTTTCTACTCTAAGAATTAAAAATAAAATGTACTAACAAGTTTATCTGTACAGCACAGTTCATACATAAAAGGCAACTCAAAGTGCTTAACAAAACAAGAAAAAAACATTAAAATCACAGTACATTAAGAAGAGTGAAAACTGTTTTAACATTTGAAAATTGTCTCGAGGCCAGTCTCACATTTTCCTGAAGACTGTTTTTGCTGCATAAATCTGAAATGCTGCCTCCAGATGTCTAGTTCTGACTCTGGACTCAAATTCTGACTATTGAGGTTTTTGAATCCTGTTTAATGTATTTGGATATGTAAGCTACTCCTAATACTTGACAACTTGACTAATACTACTGACTGATATTAAGACAAGACAATAGACCTTTTCAAACTAATATATAAACTTATTTTTTAGAATATATATTATATAACAATGTGCAGCTAAAAGTTTGGACAAAGTTACACCTGTACAGGAGTATATAGAAAAATAGGCTATTATTTAATACATTCCGTCATTCAACTGCAGTCTTGTTATGAAATAGTCACCACTTTATGAGGATAATTTGAGAAGGTTTCTTTGGCAGTCAGAGAAATTCAGCTTTGGGTCACTTTCAGTTTCATTATGACAGTTGAAAGACACATCAGCTTTTGAGTTACCATTTATAGCTTTATAATGCTTTTGAGACTAAAACTGACCAAACTTTTATTTCCGCAACATCTTTAAGCACACAGCATATGGTTTTAAATCACAAGCTAGAAATCATTATTCATGCCTTTGTATCCTCACGTAGGACTATTATAAACAGCCCGCTTACTGGAGAGCGCACATTACTCCTATTCTAAGGTCTATACGTTCTGTCACACACAGAATCAAAAACCTGGTGCTATCGTTCAGGCCTCTTCATGGTCAGGCGCCTGAAGACAAAGGACCGATCCTGCCTCATATCTCCAAGCAGGAGCCCAAAGAACCTTCACTCTGAACTTGCTGATGGTCCCTTGCACTTGTTTGGGCAGGCTGTCCCACCTCACCCTACATAGACCCATAAGTACTGTGCCCGTGTTTTTCCATTTTGTACTTCTGACATTTTTACTGTTTTTGATTTTTTTAGTCGTATGTATTTGAAGCGCCACAAGTCTGTGAAAGGCACTTAAATATATTGACAAGTAAATGAAGGTCTATTGTTTGGTTATTGTGCTAAAAATAACTGACTTAAATGTGATACTACGACTCCTTACTCCCTATTACGACATTTTACATTTGAGCTTTCCAAGTGATGATTGCAAACTTGCTAAAGCTGGAAACACATTGCAGTTTCGTGAATACATTTGGCATTTAGCTAGTCACATGTAATCGATAAAGGACTTGCTCTTAATATCCGCCTCAAACCTCCGTCTCGCTGTGCTTCGTACCGTTGGGACTGAGCTCGTCTCCGCTCATGTACGCCTGCAGCCTCATGTCCGAGAAGGTGACGTCGGCTGTGTCCAGTTTGAATGTCATTCTGCTCATACAGAGATACGTGGAGTTCATGGGGGCCCAGATCCCCACTGAGGCCGACACCACTGTCACCACATCTGAAACACAGCAACATGTAAACACACGCAAGTATGACCAGAGAGACACAGAGCAGTAGCATTTCAACATGTCTTGTGTGTGTCAACATTACTACTTTAATACATACAGGCTTTAGACTCAAAACTCATTATAAACAGTATTTTAGAAGTAGTGTACAACTACTCAAACGTCCACAAATGTGTTAGTTCCGTTTGTCTTCACTGAGGCCGACAGTGTCACCACGTTTGAAATAAAGCTACATTTTCACACACAAAAAAAAAAAAAAAAAAAAAAAAGAGACAGTAAAGTGTAGTTCATTTCTACACTGATCTTACATTTTACTACACTATCTGATCATGTTTTAATTCAGCCTATGTATTTTATTTGGATATTAATCTAAAAGAGCAAACTGAATGATACTAGACAAAAACCTAAATATTCCCCCAAAGATTAATCTGTATACACAATAAAGTAAAATAGCAGTAACATCCATCCATCCATTTTCTTCCCCTTAATCCATTTCTGGGTTGGGGGGGTGTCAGTCAGAGCTGCACCTAGTACACTGAGCACCAGCCCCTCACTGATCCTCCTGCAGGTGGTGAGTCCACAGGAGCTGACTAGTAGTAACATACTGCTGTCTAAAGGAGCCTCCGGTGGTGAGAAATGCAAGTGCAGCTAAATATTCACCTGAGGTTGCACCATGGGTTGCACAAAGTAAAATCATGATGGGGTTATCTCTTTACCAGAGAGGGCCAAACGTCCCTGACTCGGAAGTTCAAGTTTCTAACCCTAGAGTCCAAGTCAATTCCAAATCTCTGGACCCGCAAGTAGTCAGGTACAAGTCTCAAAGTTTTAAACAGTTTGAAATGAAAACAATAAAACTTAAAAATCAGTCACAATGTTAAAGGGGCACACAGGCTCCAGCTCCCGAGTCCAGCGTCTGTGGTCTGGTCTCGCGGACACCACATAGAGCTGCTGTTTTTATGCTTTTGTCAGCAACTAAAAGTGTTAGGATCACGTCAACTTGAATGAAGTGTGTTATGGGTGTAAATATGTGACACACTATTTGGCCCTAAGAGGAAGAAAGCAGCTCGACTTTTTTCATCTGTTCATCTCATGGATCTATTATAATACCGGTTCATCTGCGACACTTCACTGAGACTGTTCCAGAACTACAGGGACAATGGAACTGGACTTACTCAAAAGCTGATCTGGAAACACAGCAAAGGAAGGTTTCTCACCCATCATCTGTACTTCTAAGCAAGTTTTCCCGACGTTTCGTCCTCAAACCAGCGGACTTCTTCAGGGAATGAATTCTCAGAATTCATGCGTTGGAGATTTATAACCTATGTGGTTAGCCACACCCTAATCCTGATACTGTATCAGGTTTAGGGTGTGGCTAACCACACCCATAGGTTATAAATATCCAACGCGCAGTCTGAGAATTCATTCCCTGAAGAAGTCCGCTGGTTTGAGGACAAAACGTCAGGAAAACTTGCTAAGAAGTACAGATGATGGGTGAGAAACCTTCCTTTGCTTTGACTAATCCCTGTACGACAGAGTTTACACAAACTGATCTGGAAACACGTTATTCCCACGGTAAAAGACGTAACTCTGACCCCCTCGATCTGTTATATAGTGACGCTAACTCGCTGTATACTTCTGTAAACTAAATAACTAGGGTCTGATTGTGCATCGAGGACATAGGGATCGATGTGACGGATTGTCATTGTTGGAAAAAGTTTATTCTTATGTATGAAATTACTAAGTACAGGTGATAAACGACAAAAGCGTGATGCTACGTAACCGTGCGGGCGGGGGGAGGCGGGCTCACAGGCGAAGGAGCAGACTCTTCTTTGGATCAGCTCGTTTGAGTCGAGGTGACGTCACTATACAAGAGATGGCTCTAATCTCACAAGCTTTGATTATTGTGTGGTGTATCATACACATTATTATCACACATGTGCATAGGATTGAGTGTGAAACATGAAGAAAAGCGTGATATAGGACCTTTAATGTAAATAGGAGTTTCTAAAAATCCAGGCTTGATGGAGGGTAACTATCCATCAAATTATAACAGTTTATACTTCATCTAATTATTGTCGTTTTGCCTAAATGTGTATACAGTTTGCCCTTTACATTGGAAATGAAGATGTGACTTAACTCTGCTAAGTTACAAGTTATAGCTGTGGAAAGGCATGTCTTAAAATCAGCCAATAATTGAGTAAAATGTACATGTTCAAACCAAACTTGGTGACAAAACAATTGCACATCTATTGCGAGAAGCTGGTATCAAACCACTTCATAATAAGCGGGCTACCACCAGGACAGTTGAGGAATGATTTATTACAATAGCAGTAGGGAGTTTGGTAATTCATAAAGATCCCACTAAAAAAGTTCTAACTCTGCATTCAATTGGTCACCTGAGCTGTTGGCCTCTGGGAAAACCGTGCTGTCGCTGAGGTTGTACTGAAGCGTGAGGTTGGTGACGCTGTACAGGCTGCCGTTAGAGGAGAAGCTGAGGCCCAGAGCGTGTCCAGAGCCAAACACTGCCACCAACCACGGGGCGCTGCCTTCAGAGCCACACGAGCTGCTCTCAGGGTCCACTGTGGCAGAGTCCGGCAGAGCAACCACGGCCGTCCGCTGAGGGGAAATATAGTGTAATATTGTTATCGAAAACAAAAATAGAGTCTGTCTGAGAACCTTTGGGAGCATAAACAAAGGTCTGAACTCTATGCAAAGCTGTAGTTTTGGCTTCAGATGACTAATTAACTAATTACAAGTAGGAAAAATCTCCACAGAGAAAGATCCAAATCCAAAGTCTGTCTACATGTTCCATAACTATAGAAGGAGGGTGACTCTAGATTAAAACACATTGAGTCTTAACAGTTCCCTTTTCACAACAGGAGGAAAATATCACTGAAAATTATTATTTAGAATATTTAATACTAATTATCTGTCATAACTATACAGCAGTTAAGGTTAGGTGATCCTTTAATGGCCCGACAGTGAGAACAAATACACATTTAAAGCTGGAGTATGTTACTTGGGAAAGACGAAATGTTCAAAGAATTAAGGCTTGAGTCACATTTTGTGAACAAATAAGACACTCCTATGCTATCTTTATTAGAAAAAAAATGTCTTTCTTTATATACTGAGAGCTGATTGGGTGAAGGCTTGTACTCCCTTTTCACTGAAAAAGTTGAAAGATTTGACAGAGGCCAAAAACACATGTATGTAAAAATTAGTGACAGAACCAAACAGAAAAAGGGTGGGGAAATAGTTACATGAAGTTGTTCATTTTTTGTAGCTTCAGACTAATCCAGATTCAATATTCTTTTATGAAAACAAACCCAGGCAATAGTCATTATTCAGTTTAAGTCAGCGACATATACCGTGCTGCTGGAGGCGTTGTATGTGATGGAGAAAAGTGCAGAAAGTTCAGCCTTGATACAAGTGGAGTTTCCTTCTCTCACTTCAAGAGTCACTGCCTGAGAGACATCTGAAAGTACATTAGGGATCAATAAATTATTACCTAGAAAAGGAAACTAGCGAGTGCGTCACACATTTTAGAATCAACCAAAACGTATTGAACTAAATAAAAAATATCAAAGTTGTTTAGATCTCAAAAGACAGCTGAATATAAAATTATAACAAAACTTTTTCCAGCTAAAGTGGAGCTGCTTGACGCCTTTGTGATGACAGAGTTAAATATAAAAATCAAAGAAAATCAGCAAACTCAAAACACACAAATGCCACTTTCTTTTATTCTGGATTACTAGAATTCCTGCACAATCAGAAGCAACAGGCTAAATGTTGAAAATGTTCACAACTTTTTAATAATAGTATTAACTATTAGTTAGCACTGCCCAAGAGGTAAAGTGAAAGAAGGCGAAGGTTTGCACTCTACAAGATTTTTTTTTAAAATAAAATTTATTTTTATAGCCCTAGATCACAACAGCTGTCTTCAGAGGACTTTACAAGATTGTCGATTCACCAGCAACAAATCAGAGAATCCAACCGTTCAAAAAAGTGTTTTTCAAATTAGACTTCTTAAGTAATCTTGTAAATGCCGATCTTAAAAACTGTCACAGGAACTTATCGGTCATTGTTTCGATGTGAATAAGCAGCTGCTGCATGAACACTTCCTCTGCTGTGGTGAAACTTGTCCTGAGCCTCATCTGGTTTAAGACACAGCTCACACCAGATACATGCAGCTATTAGACTGTTCAATGACCATTATAATGCATTTTGACATATGCAACCTTTGTTTAGAATTAATGTCCAGTGAAATGAATGTGGATCAGAGTTAGTAAACTAAATTTAACTACCAACTAATACATAGAAGCTTTGGAGTCAAAGCTCAAATTACTGTCACATTTATAATACTAATGCTTTTAATTTTAAAAACGGGCTATAACATCTGCATTTGACACATGTTGGACATTTATTAATTGCGCAAGTTTCAATTCAGCCAATGTGAGTTTTGTTTGGATACAGTTCTTGTTTTGAAGAAACAGCAAACAATTGGTTGCTGTCTCTCATTACCGGAATGAGCCGAATAAATATTAAATAGTTCCTCTTAAGCCAAGTAATGCATGTGCAATGAATAAATTGTGTGAAAAATAAACTAGCTTTATTCTTAACCAACCTAACATTTTGTTTCCCTTTATAAGAGATTGAAGACTAAAATCAAAACCAGAAATAAATAAAAAAAATTGGCGCTGATTTAAGCCGACTTAAATATCTAAACCCGGACAGCATTTCTGGCTCCATGGAGTTAGTTGAACTAAAGAACATACATGTTTTTGAAGATATCAATGGACAATAAAAAAAAACGAATGGTGTTATAATTTTGTCATTGTATTCGATTAAATGTGTCACAATAAGTCTTTAATGTCACAATGCGATACCAGTTGCAGCAGCGAGCCACATTGTCAGCACCCCTCATGTGGCTGCATTGATGACCTGAAGCCAATGGCTCTTTGTGACGTCCACAAAACAGCTCAACAATAAAAGAGGCCAAGGTGCTGCTCTTCAACTACATTAATAAAACACACCTACATTTAACAGTATGGAAACCACAACAGAAAGAAAGACTTATCTCTGCAGAATGCATAAGTTCCCATCTAACCTTATGACTGCACGGTCATGTGAAACTTTACTACCGGTTCGACATAGTTTGTCACAGAACAAGGTACGCAGGTTGGTCCCATGGAGAATAGGAAACCTCACCTTATCTATCACTAAAAGGAGAAAGAACATGAGATTCCAAAAGGGAGATTTAAACACTGTAAATGACCAATTACTAAACTAGTTGTAGTTGAGGACAGATATTTAGATTATGGAATGTGGAGGCATGAAGGGAATACCTGAAGGGGCAAGAATAACACCACCACAGTTGGAGAACCACCGTCCCATGTTAAACCCCATACCACAAAACAACAAAACAAGCTGATGTGTCCTTAAAAATGTTCAAGCAAAATACAGTGAGCACAAGTTTGTGGCTTTTGACAGAGAACAAACTGCAAATAAAACTATACATCATCATTATAATTGACAGATGGGCTTTAGGTCATGATGGTCACAATAAAAAGTTTCTATGTTGTTCAGTATTGGCAATGCAACATAAATGGCCCATAAAGAACGATAGTATACAATATATGGCTAAAAATACCGGAAATTGTGCTATATTAATTGAGGTAACAGTGAACTTATTATGAAATATCAACTGTGTTAATGTGACAAAATTCCAAAGAGCCTATATTTTAAAATTATGGTGGAGAGCATCTGGTAACTGTCAAAGGAAGACTTCTAGTCATAGTTTTTACACTGTCTACAAGTTCCACATCTTCTTTGTCATGAACATTACAACTATGGTCTAAAAGGTGATGAGAATATTGAAAAGAGCGCTACATAAAACCGATGCATTATTATTATTTATTATTATTATTATTATTGTGAGTTTGTGAATCAAGCCACGATCACGAAAAAATCTTTTATCCCATAGAGGTGTATTGGCATATGCCCTCTAACTGAACATTGGAGGACAGGATATAAAAGCAACCCATTGGTATATCGCACATTTATTTTATTTAAATGTTTGAGAATGACAATTATACATGATTTATATTCTACATGACTAGGCACAGTATAAGCTATAGAATAACTCAAAACAAATGAACCAATGTTTTGCGTTATTTTTTAGGCCAACTGTTATAAAACACACTTAATTATTGCTATGCCCATGACACAGTTATTTCGCACTACGCAGTAAACTAACCAGGGCACGCTCCGTGGTACGGCTGTAAACAACATGACAATACAAATACTAAACAGCTGAAATACTCACCAAACACCGTGAGCAAGGCCACCACAAGCGCAGCGAAGGCGTGAAGGGTCCTCATGGTTTAAACAAAATCGTGTCTGTGTTTATTGATGGTGTTGTTCTGAGGAGCAGGTGTGATCACAAACGCACTTGACTTTATTACGGAACTACGGCGAGCGACGCGGCCCGAATTACATACCGCGCTGCTGATGTTGTTTACGCTCGCTCGGTGGTTGAAATAACAAATTAATGTCCTTTGCAGTGGTGAAAATGCGCAGTTCTGGTTGTTTGGATGCTGGGAGGCATAGGCAGCAGACAGCTCTGTGAGTTAAGCCGAGAGTCTGTGTGTATGTGTGTTTAAGCGTGCGTGTGAGTGTGCGTGGTGGGATCATGTGAACGAGGCGCAAGCAAGCTGGGGCCGTCACGTGCCTTCAACCCCCCCCCCCCCCCCCCCCCCCCGTGGGTCGTTTTGACTTGAGAAAACTGTTCACGGATTGGTGTAGTGACATTTAAACTACAATAATTCCGTTTTATTTATAACATTCTAAGACTAAGAGATCCTTTTTTGTCCCACTATGGGGATATTTTGTGTTGCATCATAAGTTACAGAACAGTAGGAATCAGCATGCAACACAAGATAAGTGAATATTAAGAATAGCACAACTCTATAATAATAGAGGTTTCAAAATCTCTATCTTTATCTTAATGAAGAAACAAATTATAAAAGGTATACACGAGGTATAAACCTGTATACTGTAGTACAAAATATATATGCTTTACGTTTTGTTGTGTATCTTTTGAAGCAATAAAGACACATAACATTAAATGTATGTGTTGTAGACTCATTCTCTCCTTTAAAAAATATATAGTTGTGGATTGAACTACACTTCTTTTGAAAGTGTTTATTTATTATAGTTACTTTATTATTATCTAAACTTTAAAGAGTTATTAGTTCTCAACAAGGTGCTAATGGACCTGGACTTCCTCGAGCACAAGTGAGATCTGCATTTCAGGGAAGGTACAAGTGTTGTGTGAGACTTCTCTTTTTAAAATACAATGTAACAGATAAGTCAGCGCCATTAACCACAAAGAAGAAATGAATGAAAATGAATAAAGGAATTAATTTAAAAGGTCCAAGTAAACAGAAACGGGATGATGCCATTACACTATAATTGGTTCTTCCTTGAGTTGTAAGTGTGTGATGCTTTGAAAATATGTAATTGTGATTGCTTTGCCTGTAGATTGAATAAAATTGTAGCATCCTGCAAATTCAATAGGGTAACCTGACAAGAGCAGTGGTCTATACAGCTGTGGGGACCCATCTCCTAATGTCAATGCTTCTCTGGGAAGATTTTACCCATGGAGCATGTGTTGGATGGGGGAGGAAACCCACCCAGACACAAGCATACAACGCACTACACAGGAAGACCCAGGCCGGCACAGGAATCAACTCCTGCTGTCTTCTTGCTGTGAGGCAGAAGCGCTGCTCACTAAATACTCCTGAATTACAAATAAGGTGTAATTTCTTACAAAGTGATATTTATGCACCCAGACAAAGGCAGGACAGACAAGCGGCACGGTGGCTGAGTGGACAGCACTCTCGCCTCTCAGCAAGAAGGTCCTGGGTTCGAATCCCGGTCGGACCAGGGCCTTTCTGAGTGGAGTTTGCATGTTCTCCCCGTGTCTGCGTAGGTTTCCTCCGGGTACTCCGGTTTCCCTTACCACTAAAAATATGTCCAATAGTTCAGGCATGTGCCTCCTGTACTGGCCCCGCTCCCATCTCTGTGTGGAGTGAGAGACAAATGCCCAAAATTAACGATTGTAAACCGCTTTGAGACTCAGATCTGCAGTGAAAAGGCGGTATATAAATAAAAACTTACTTACAAGTAAAGTGGCATAAAGTGCAATTCAAATAGTGAGCTGAAATAGGACGTTTGATAGACCAAAACGGAGTAATTTGATACAAGAAGCTACAGAGGAACGATGGAGTGACACTGGACAACATGGGAATATCAACTAAATGGCAGAAGTCCAAGTCGAGTCTTCTCTTAAAGGCACTCCCACTTCTCTCTGGTACAAATGCATGTGTTGTGGTGGAGTCAGCTGACACTTCCCCTGCGTTCACGAGGGAGTGCAAAACCCTCAAAGGAACGCAGAGCAGTTCTTAAGCGGCTGTCCAAAGTTCTACCACTGCCCCGAGACATTCTGCTGCCACTTCTACACTTATTACACAAATTGTGGATACACTTTTGATTCCTAATGACAACCAATTCCAGGACAATGATTGCTCTACAAATCAATAACACGGGCCATTATCTTTACACTGGTGGCTTAAAAATAATATGCATGGACTTTCTATTGTGCTTTTCTTGATTCTCAATAATCTTTTACATTGTCCTCCTGCTGTAAAAACTTGTACAACAATCATTGTTAAAAGGCCCCATGCTGCTTTTCTTGAGACCTGAATAGACAAGCTTGAACATGGAAGACACAAATTATGTCCAATAGTGTAGTTTTTCTAAAAATATATATTTGTTGAATTTACAATCAATTTCTCCTATTATCTGATCTACACTTTTATGTATAATTAGACACAGCATGTGTCAAATTATACTGGACACTTTCTTGCTACAATGTTGTCAGTGGAGATATTACTGGATTGTTGTAAAGCTTTTTCATAATTTGCCCCAAAAGAAAAATCTTGAACGTAAAATTCCGTAGACTAAAATCAGGTCACCTTATGTCATCATTATCTTATTAGAAATCATTTGCATACTTAGTTACTCACAGGTCTCTTTCTAACCATCTCTATATTACACTTTGGGCTGAGAGCTGAGTCTTTTTTGCTTTTCTGATTTGAGGCAAAGAATTCAAGCATGTCAAAAATTGAAAATATTCTATAGACAGGAACTAGTTACATTGATTTTTATTGTTTAAAGTTAGGTACCCTTGCTATAATTTGGAATTTTTCATCATTCCGACCAACACCTCTCTATCTCTCCCTCTAAAAAGATACATAAAAGAATGAAAATATTTTGTATTATTAAATATTTATTCACTCTATACAATCTCTTATACAAAACGCTGGGTGTTGACATTAAACATTTTGGTCAAAAACAACAAAGAATCCAAAGAAAGTAGTTTACCTGAATAAAATGTTGACTATTTTCAGACACAAAACATCTAAACCTCAATTCATTTTTGTTTCATCAACCCCTAGACAAGCGTTCAAAACTCAGCAGTTAATGCAGCCGTCTGTTTCATTTACGAGAACTCTTGAACATAAATTAAAACCAAATGTGTCGCTAAACAAACCGACTGAAGTAGAAAATGTTTGATCAGACGGACATGATTAAGAAAATCCTAACACCAAGGAAATAAGAGAAACAAAAAGGGAAAAGTGCTATTTTTTAATTGAGCTTTGCATTAGCAGAAAGTCTTTGTGGAGCGACCCTTACGAGCAAAGTAGACCACTTCCACAGCAGGTTGTATTCTGATCTCACTACAGTTTACGCACAGTGAGAATGCAGCGTTGGGTCTGGAGGCGATGGCTGAAGGGCTGTGGTGCTTTTGGAAGCTACTTGCTGTGATCGAGTCATAATGGTGTCGCTCCATCAGGCAACATAGTGGTACTGGTTTGGGGTCTCTTTGTCCCGCTCCATGTAGTCTCTGTCGATGAGAGACTCAATCCTCTTCTTCAGATCCCCCGGCTGCAGAATCATGAGAAGAAATTTGTTATAATTCAGGCTGTTAAAGTCGATTAATCGCAATCGCAATAGTTAAATGTAAAAAGTTCATTACGTCTTCTTTACATTTAGGGCTGAATGTTCTAATAATAAAGACAAGAGCGTATTCATTCTCTACCCCTTTATCAGTCCATTTCTGGGTCGGGGGATTGCAATCAGAGCTGCCACCAATGCTCAAAGAAGCAAGTAGTTGTATTAGCAGCAAGTGGAGAATAGAACTTTATTGTCTGTTCAATTGAGCAGAAATTTGTCTTTCAACACAGCACATTTAAAAGGTCAGTTCATAATGTATGCAGAGCAATGACTGCAGATCGGCTGTACAGGTCACAGGGCAGAGTTTGAGGTGTTCGGTTGATTTTGCTGGCCTGTTTTGCTACATTATTGAGTTTTGTCCTGTGTTTGAGAGGGAGAAAAATAAGTATGTGAGGATGGATTCAATGAGTGAAATATACACAATTGATAAAATGCCTTTGCCAACATTAAAAGATCTTCTGAAGAGATGGAGACGCTGTTGTGACTTTTTAAAAACAGAGTCTGCATGGTGCCCAAAGGACAAGCTACTGTATATTTTTGTCACAAGGTATTCGAAACAGCCCACCTGCTCCACCTGCTGGCCATGGATGACTAGGGGTTGGATAAGAGCCAGAGTCTGTTTTTCTAGCAACTCCAAAGCACAACTTATTGGTTTTGGAGTTTCAGCTCCAGGGAGTTCCGAGCAAATCCACAAACTAGCGTGTGGACCTCCTGATGATATTGCGCTAGATCCTGTGCATCAGTGAGGTGTGCCACCAGAGCCATGTCGCCTGCTTTCTTTATGTCGCCCGTATGCCAGTTTTTAAAGTAAACGAGTGACACGAGTCAAGCGCACTGTACGTTGTGTCCAAAATACTTTTGCATAATGTTTTACTTATATTTTTTTTAAACCTATAAAGCTTGCAAACCTTTAAATGTGTGAATTTTATCTCTGTGCAGCACTTTGGAAACTTGTTTTATAAAACGTGCCTAATAAATAAAGTTTATTGGATTGGAATCTAACACTAGTGCTTGAAGATGAAATATATAGATAATAAACAAGTTTGTTATCTTTGTTTAAGTTTATTGTAAAGTTATTGAATGTATAATTATCAATTACCATTGTTCAATTTGTACAATTTAAATTAAGACCTGAATTATCACAAGTCTTGATGACCTAATAATATTTACATCCCTAAATGACAAATTGAAATCTAAATGATAGTTTTATACCAATAAAGAAAAAAAAGTTAATATTTATTGAAATGTCAAATAATCAAAGTAAATAATTGTACATTCTGTAGTCCAATTGTGATGGTGCAGGTTCATAGGGTTTTATGGTGAATCAGTTTTTACCTTGACAGGAAACTTGAGCTGGTTGTAGAGCTCAGAGACGAGGAGGTTGTGGCTCAGAGTCTTTCTCATCTTCATGATTCGAACGACAGCCGCATCAATCTGATATTGTCTGTCCTGAAACACGCGCTCTGTGGTGCTGACCTGCTCCTCCACCTGAGACAAAACACATTCGATTTGACTCAATTCAGTACATCAATAGTTATCTGTAAAATCTACTGGCTTCAAAGAGTTGAAAGTGAAAAGTCACTAAAAGTTACGGTTCAAGGACTAGGCCAAGCAACACTAGACTGGCATGCAAGTAGAAAAAAAAAACTGAATAATACGTGTAGTAGAGGCTAATCTTGTGTTCACTTCAGTAGGTTTTCAAACTTACTCTCTTCTGTTAATGATGACACAAACCTGTTTTTACACGTTACATGCAGTAGCACGTTTTTGCTAGTTTTGCTCTCACTATTTTTCAGTTATTTGAAATGCTAACAACTGTTATAACATTTCTTCGCCGTGTATCAACATGTAACAACATAGGACCATAAGCGCCCCTCGCGTCAAAATGTACTCAAATTTTAGCTCTTCACAATCATGTCGTCATAAATAATTACAGTATAATATTAATGACAGTTTATATATTTTAAATTATGTCTAATACTGCAAACATAAATGTTGGCGCTTAAAGTACGATCAAAAATGGATGTTACCTAGCGAGTCTTTTGTTGGAACATGGATAAGAAAATGTTCCAGTGCATTTTAAACCAGTAGATCCTCAAAGTAATAACTTCATGAGAGGCTTTTCGTACCGTTTCTTTCATCTGAATCTGGTTAATCTTGATGCGGAAAAGTTTATGCTTAAAATCACTGTTGAAGTTGAATCGATCTCCATCTTCCACATCTTTCCCTCTGGGGATTTTGTTGAGGACTCTGGCTTTTCCACAAGCCAACGACTGCAGCGTGCGTCTGAGCTCTCCCTCCTCTGAGACAAAATCAAACAGATGCAAGTATATTTACCATCAGAGCACATACACACAAGTTACATTCAACTTCTTACCTATGCCTGTAGCTGTGCGGATTTCCTCAATACTGAATTCCTCTCCCTCATTGAACATCAGCAGAACCAGTGTTTGGAACAGAGAAACCTGGACCTCCTTCTTCCCCTGAAGTAAAAGGATGTTGACTCAAGATAAACGGTATTGTTCCATGGGTGATATTACTAAGACTCAAGGCTGTGTCATACAATAGCAAAAATAGGAATCTCAAAAAGGTAGATTTAAACGTGTGAATGTCAAAAAATAATGATTTATGTAACATAATATAAGCTGTAGTAAATATCGAGACAAGTAAGGAAAAAGAAAATTGGTGTGAAAAATAAACATGCTCCAAATAATGGCCAATTATAAAATAAATGTGTTTGTACCTCTTTAAACTCTGCCTTGAGGACAGCATGACCCAGCGTGGGCTGCCACTGCAGTTTCCTCCCACTGTGCTTGCCCAAATAAAAGAGCTTAAAAACCTCCTGGAGTTTCACCATCTACAAAGAAAATGATTTATAAATACATTTTAAAATTACTTTAAAAAAGGAACACAATATGCAAATATTGTCCTATATTTGCAGACAAACAGTTACAAATCAATGTGTATTTTCTACCTCAAAAAACATAGCATAACTACAGAAAGAATGAGTGAAAGGGCCCTACAATTCAATTCAATTCAATTCATACTTGTATAGTCCTAAATCACAACAGTATTTATCTCACTTAACAAAACCGTTGAAATCGCCAACACAGATCAGAGAATCAAACACAAAAAATATAGAACACATGGTACTGGGCCATAAGGGGGAGTTGACAAATGATCATGAGTGTTGACAGTGGCTCACGAGCCTGAAGGTCGTGGGTTCGAGCCCACCACAAGACTTTCTCCATCGACTCCCATTGATGTCTGCTGTTGTTGTGTCCTTGGCAAGACACTTCACCTCCATTGCCCCGAATGAGCCTGGTGTGTGTGTGTGTGTGTGTGTGAATGGTGGGTGGTGATCAGAGGGGCCGATGGCACATACTGGTTGCCTCGCTTCTGTCAGTGTGCCCCAGGGCAGCTGTGGCTACAATAGTAGTTTATCACCACCGTGTATGGAGTGAATGAATAATGACATGTGAAGAGCGCTATATAAAACCGATACATTATCATTATAAAAGTCCATAAATGTTGTAGAATGTTGAGTTTCCTGGATCAACCTCATAGTTCTTTTTGTTAAACCCACTAACAGTGTAAAAAACCCTCCAGCATCGGCAAGGAAAAACTCTAAAACCCAGTGGGAGAAAGGTGAGAAATCTCGAAGAGGTCCACATTGAGAGGGGGATCCGGATCAAATTCACACAATGAATCATCTAAGAAGATACTTGGTGTCCGGGGGACAGATATAACAAAACTAGGTCTAAACCTGGGGGTTGAAACCCTTGTCAAAACCCTTTTGTACCTCAGTGGGCAGGTGCACGTCCATGGGGGTGTACGAAGGCCAATAACCCATCGTGAGAATGTTCACAGTGAGCTCGATGTTGCTGGGTTCACTCTGGTTCTGAATATACTGTAAACAGCAGATCACAGTTAAATCTAATCATAAAACACTTTCTTTTAGATTCTGATGTTAGCCTAAGAGTGTTTCCTGCTAGGACTGGTGCTTCAACATTATCCTTAAATAATTTCAGCTATGGAGCCAACTAGTGCATCTACGCCATTGCATCTACGCCATTGCATCTACGCCATTGCATCTACGCCATTGCATCTACGCCATCGCATCTACGCCATCGCATCTACGCCATCGCATCTACGCCATCGCATCTACGCCATCGCATCTACGCCATCGCATCTACGCCATCGCATCTACGCCATCGCATCTACGCCATCGCATCTACGCCATCGCAAGAAAGCCTTCATTAGCATTCCACCATTAGTTTCAAGGTTCAAGTTGCCGAACAATTTTAGCTCATTAAAAAAGGTCCTTATCAGGATTGTTTTCACAATTAGCTGCACATACAACAGTAAGCGGCCAGATTTACTAAGAGAAGTACATTCATTTAATCTTACCTGTTTAAATTGAATCATTATATCTTTAGACAGCTCCATATCTTTAAACATGCCCTCTAATTTACTTGTAAAAGCGGCTCCGCACTCTGTAAAAGATCAAAAAGACATTAACTCATGGTTAACTGTGCATGTTTCAACAATGAAGGCATGAATGTATAACCTATATTAGTACGCAATAGTATTTACCATGTTTAAGCTTGGAGAGCATGGACTTCTCTGCATCTACAGATGCACTCTTCCCAACCAGCAGTCGCTTGGCAAGGTCTTTCTTGTAAAAAGCCTCAAACACATCCTTTCCTGTGGACCAAAAGATAATGAGCCCATGCCATGACAGTTTAAAAACAATAGCTGTTATTTTAAAACAAACAAATGTGCCTTTGTTATTTAATTTGTTGCATATGTCAGCACAATTCACAGTTTGAGTAGTATGTAACTAACCATGAATAAAGCGAAATATTATCATTATCTTGTCCAGGATTCGCTCCAGCTCTTCTTCAGTCGCCTCCTTGTTTCCTGCCCTTAGCTTTGAGTCGACATACTTTGCTAAAAAAAAAACATTGATAAATCAATTGACTCATCACAGAAATAATATAGAAGAAAGGGATAATGTCTCACCGATAAGTTCAGCGGGTTTGTTGGGCCTTTTGTTGATGAAAGTTTCAAAGGCTTCTTTCATTGCATTGATGAAACCCTCGCTGCGAGAAAAACAATTTTGGGCCACATTGTCCATTTTGTCTTTAAAGTCGAGCAGCTCCTGCACCATGTCTTTGTCCTTCTCTGGCGTACAGACAATCTCACTGCCAAACAACTATTAAAAAAACATGCAAAGAATTACAATCATGCTTTGATAAGCATCAGATTCTAATGTGTGCTATTACCTTGATGTACTCGCGCCAAAACTGCAGCAGTGTGGGAAGTCCTCCTTTGACTTTACTGAAGAGCTGGTATAAAAGAGCCAGCTCAGTGACACGGTTTTCATCCAACAATATGCTCAAGCCTGAAAAACATACATTTAGTAACTAATGCTGCATATGATACAATTCTAACGAAGGTTATGTATGTAACCACGGTTCTGTGAATCCCAGATGACCGCCAGAGGGTGGTGCATAGCACTGAATGTTCCCTGTGCATGTGCGAAGGGAACATTTAGTGCTATGCACCGCCCTCTGGCAGTCAGGAGGGATGAAATAGAACTTACCTTTCTGAAGTATTGCGGTCATATGTTCTCCTAGTAGCTGCTTTTCAACACAGCTAACAAGTGGTTTCCTGCAAAGAAATGTTACAACTGAATAAATCTATCAAATATTAGCTAAAACTCTTAAAATCAAGAATAGTGACATACTGGGTGCTTTGATCAAGGTAGCTCACAATACGATCATTCTCCTCCTCAAGCCGCCGAGCCACGTGATGCAAATACTCTGGCACCTGGGAACATTCAATAAATGACTAATTTAATGAAAATTACTTGGAACAGTCAGCTTTAAAGGTTTGAAAGTCAGGACTTCACTCACATCTCTTTCCTGCATCAATCGTTGTCCCTCCGCTGCATACAGACGGTTGGTCTCAGTCAAAAACTGCTCCTCAAATGCTTCTTTATAAACCTGTGCAAGAAGCTCAGGATAAACACTTGTTCATAGTACATCATTTTAATTCTTACAATTACAGAAAAATAAGTTACCTGCAGGTCGGACAGCATGCCCAACAGACTCCTGAGGAGACTGCGGTCTATAGTTTCTCCATTTCGCTCAAGCTCAATTTGCTCCAAAATACAATCCACTGTACGTTTCTGAACAGCTATATCACTCACAATGTGTGTGCGGAACAACTCTAGGCCTGTATCCCTAAAGAAAATACACACACACGTTTATGTAAGCAATGAAAGTACGTCAACAAAGTGAACATCAACATAGAAAAATAATGGCCATTACCAAATTGAAGGGAGCAGAGAATTCTGAAGAACATAGGTACGATCAAGGAACAGAAAAATACTGCGGATCATTATCTGCAAGTAGCAGAAAATACAAGAATAAATACAAATAGGTGAGCAATCTGGATGTGCCTCAAGGGAATACTAAACCTTACAGTTTGCCTGCAGTGGTCCTGCCAGCAGTGATTCATTCGCTTCAGGAAAGAGAGGTTGTCTAAAGACTCTGTGAGCTCATTGTTAAGGCCAATCAACTTATAATATACTGATAATTAGTACAGTACTATTGAAGACTCATTATATTACTATTTCCACAATGTTACATAATTTACATTAGTTTAGAAAGGATATTCCCTGAACTGGAGAATCTGAGCCTGCACATGGTCTTCACAGACCTGACGAAGCTGCTTGTACAGTGTTGGAGACACTTTGTAGGAACACAGGTTTTCCACTGCCTGAATAGACAATTACATGTTTTATGTAATTGCATTACATTTGTAATTGAAACTGTAAATTTGCGCCTCATGCAATTTCTCACTAGTGTGAATTACTTCCAAATGATCATGTTTAACACCATACCTGATAAAGCTCCTCTAGATTGTACTTGATCGAAGTGCTGTTTTGGATCGCATTCACCGCTTCTCGTAGTTTAAGCCATGTGTCTTCAGTGTAATTCTCTGACAGTTTTGGCCGATCTAATACAAGTGGGAATAAGAGAAGAGTGAAAAAATATCATCTAGGTAACGTCGTAAGTGTAATAGTAAATAGAAACAGTCAATTTGTTCACGGTCTAGTAGTTTGTGCTACTACCATTAACATAACAGATAAAGGTGAATCACGAATCAAGAATCAAAGGAAGAAGCAGGAAGTTATCAGATTCTTGCAAGGATTGAAAAGAACAAAAAAGGAAGTTCGTACCTTTGAAATTTTTAATAACTATTTTCTTGGAGGCTCCTGCTTTGCCCGAGGCCACAGAGGTCCTGGGCATCATCCCGTTGGAGAAACTGGCTCTCTTCTCCTGTCGAGTGTCTTCTGCCATTATCAGATTAGCGCTTGGACTGATCACTTTGATGCTGTAATTTGTTGCCAAGTTCAGCAGTTTGTTTACGCTCAACAATGCAACCACCTATTGTGGGACCAGAACATTAAGAGTCTAATTAAAATCAAGTAAAACAGATCACCCCGTTACGTATTTAACCCGCAAACATTACTGCTGACAGCTAGGTAAACAGATAGCAGCACACATTAGCACTGGCTCACACTTGTTTTCATAGCACTTTAGCGACAGCCTACGGCGCTAGTCCATACCTTTTCTGGGTACTAAAACATAATAGAGAATTTGTTCTTGGGGTGTTTAGACAGTTTACAAAAACGTAAAGGCGACATTGTTAGCGTGAGTGTAACAAGCGCTTGTTACTAGAGTCTTTCTTTACCCGACAGGGCTATGCTAACCATGATGCTAACAAAATGGCTTTTCTGCACAGTTCTGCTGGACAGGTGCATCCTGGGTGACCGGGATACGTTCACTGACATTCTGTAATCGAAACACTTTGTCAAACTCGTTGTTTTCTTTATATCGTTTCGTTATGTTCCAAGGTGTTAAATAGTTAGTAGCGAATCACGTAGTTTGCTAATTAAGGTGTTTGCTTTGACAGCCGGTGGTTTCGTTCCATCACGTAATTGTCAATATATAGCGTATTTTTCCTGATTCTTTAAACACACCAGAGAATCACCTGCGTTCATTGGAGTTTATTTTCCATTATATAAAATCTAGAGAAATAAGACACCGATTGCGACCATCTTGTGATTTCAAGAGCGGTATTATTGTCAGTTTCAACAATTTAAAGCTAAAACATAACTTTCAAACCACAACAAATCTATGCAATATAATCCATCTAACTTGTTCTGAGATCTAATGGTTCAATCATTAGTTAGTGGTCATATTTGTTCACAAAAGTTACATGTACAAAACTCGTAGGTACCCCAACTGTAAATTGTATGATGGTTGTAGTTTTTATGGGGAACTCTGTATCTATGTAAGCATTAAAACAACTTTAGACTTTACAAGTTTATCAATTTATTTTTATTCATTTAACGACGTTTCCCCACAATAATAATAATAATAATAATAATAATAATAGGAAGAGTAGTCAAAACATGGCTGCTGAAAGCTGGATTTTCATGGTGATGAACGCTCTAGAATTTAATATAGGACATTGGGATTTATCGAAAGGGTGGCACTGGGTACCAGGAAAACTAGGGAAAGCACACTTGTTCTTGTGAGCGCACATCTTTGCAGGCACTTTCTTCTAACCCAGCGGCATGGACAAGCCTTGGCTGCGGGCGCTGAAGTAGGGTTTGGCGGCGTCCTGACCCCCGCCTGTCTTCGTAGCTGTGTAGTGTGAGAGAGAGAGGTATGTTTGAGGCTAATGCTCCTGGAGGAAAAACTAGCACCCGGCTCAGAATGATGGGATCAGATAGCATTAAATGACAAGTGGAAATGGTAGACTGATAAAAAAAAATCCATATTCTAGTTCGTCACACAGACCGGGTTTAAGTGAAAGAAGCACAATTGTATGTTAATGGTGCGTAGTCCATGTTTAGTCAAGTCATTAGCAGGCTAGCACACAACACAGCTGACTGGTCATGCTAGTCTTTTAAATGTGCCTGTCATTTTTGACCACAGCTCTGAGAAGAATGGCAATAACGAAAACATATGCGTTAACTACGCAGTTACTCAATATTTCTTGAAGCTATTTAATGATTGCTGAGTTTTGTAACTTGTTTGTTTTGAAGCTAGCTCGCTACTTGAGTTGGATAATGATAGACCAACTTCATTGTTACAAACTAACTTTGAGATAAGATATCAAATCGTAAATGGATTTGATATTAAGATTAAGAGTTCCTTTTTCGCCCCACAGTTGGGAAATGTCAGTGTAAATATAATGCCTTGTAATAATGTATTATTAACATGTAATTGAACTTATTGATGATGGCACTAGCACTGACTTACACTAAATGGATTTCGTGTTGACACTTTATAGATCAGACTTTAAAGACAAATCAAAATGTTCTTGTTGAAAATGTTTAACTCTACCTTGTTTTGTCATGCAGTGTAAATGCTGCTGTCGAGATGAGTGTGAAGGCCTTTGAGCTGGTCCCTGCTGTGGAGCGAGAGCTCCTCATGGGAGACAAGGCTCGAATCAACATTGAATGCATCGAATGTTGTGGAAAGCACCTGTACATTGGAACAAATGACTGCTTCATCCACCATTTCCTTCTAGAAGAGGTCCCTTCCTCTAAAGGAAAACTAACTTTCTTGGCACAAAAACTACTTCACAAATATCTGGGACTCAAGAAACCAGTGGCTGAGCTGCGGGCTGCATCAGCTTTGGAGCGATTGATGGTGCTCTGTGATGGAGTGCTATTTCTTGTTGACATGTTGACTTTAGAAACTCCCTCTGGAGCTGGAGGGGCCAAAATCAGAGGTGTCACTACATTCTGCATTAATGAGAACCCAGTTAATGGAGATCCATTCTGTGTGGAGATGGGAATACTTTCTTCTAAACGGCGGACAGTGCAGATTTTTATGGTGTATGAAGACCGAGTTCAGTTAGTGAAAGAAGTGAACACACCAGAACAGCCCTGCGCTGTTTCTCTGGATGGATACTTTTTGTGTTTGGCTCTAACCACACAATACTTAATCTTAAACTACAACACTGGAGCCAACCAGGACTTATTTCCATACAACAGTGAGGAGAGGAAGCCTATTGTGAAGAGGATTGGCCGAGAGGAGTTTCTGCTGGCAGCACCAGGCGGTCTTGGTAAGAAAATAATATTTTGCTGCAAAAATTATGGAACATTTTATCTGTTATCTATTTAGATTTTCCATCCTTAGGAATGTTTGCTAATGCAGAGGGCGTCTCCCAGCGTGCTCCAGTGAATTGGTCTGAGAATGTGATTGGAGCTGCGGTTTGCTTTCCTTATGTTGTGGCATTAGACGAAAGCTTCATCACTGTCCACAGCATGCTCGACCAACAGCTCAAACAAACTCTGCCTTTCAGGAATGGACACGTTCTCCAGGACTTTGAAGGTAAAATATTTATTTACACCAACTCTCTGTATTTCATTTATGAATACACTTTTGTTTGTGTTGTGTAGGGAAAGTCATTCTAGCTTCTACTAAAGCGGTGTATGTACTTGTGCCATTGCCTCTTGAGAGACAAATCCAGGATTTATTAGCCAGTCACAGAGTGGAAGAAGCTCTCATCCTCACTGAAGGAGCCCAGAGGAATATTCCCAAAGAAAAGTTTCAGGTACATTTTCAATTGTAAATGTTCTGGTCAAATATTGGTTACTTAAACAGCTTATTGTTGTTTTTCCACAGATTTTGCACAAAAAGATCCTTCAGCAGGCAGGTTTTATACAGTTTGGTCAACTTCAATTTCTAGACGCAAAGGAGCATTTTAGGTAAGCTTTAAGGAAATTGTTTTTATTTTTTAAAGTTGATGCACACATATACATGTGTCCATATCATAACTTTTAAACACAACTCATTTATCAGATTAACAGACTGATTGGTTCAGTCTCTGCATCTGTTGAGATGAAGGGGAAGCTGAGTCAAAAAGCAAAACTCTCGATTCAGTTTCTGGTCACTTTACGTTTCCTCCCACTGTCATGAGCTTTGGGTAATGACAGGACAAAATCATGGAAACAAGTGGCCAAAAAGAGTTTTCTCCAGAGTGGCTTGGCACGATGGGGTGAAGAGTTCAGTCTTACAGGAGAAGCTCAAGCTGCTGCTGCTCCTCCTCCAAGTCAAGAGTAGCCAGCCAAGGCTCAGGCATCTATAGGATAATTGATAATAATAGATATGTTTTGATTGTATTATAGAAAAGGACACCTGGACGTCCGGGAGCTCATCTCTCTTTACCCGCTGCTGCTGCCTTCCTCATCCACATTCACGCGCTGCCATCCTCCTCTTCACGAGTTTGCTGATCTGAACCACTTGGCTCAAGGCGACCAGGAAAAGGTCCAGAGGTGCAAGCAGTTTCTAATCAGCTACTTGGCAGAGGTATGTTTTGGTTAATCCAAGTCTTTGGTAAATTATTGAAATGAATGAAACAAATTTCCCTAATCTCAGATGCGAAGTACAGAAGTCGCCAATGGCTGCAGGGAGGACGTGGACACTGCTCTACTGAAACTCTATGCTGAACAAGATCACGAAAGCCTCCTCGATCTGCTCGCCTCAGAAAACTTCTGTGTTTTAGCCGACTGTGTGCCATGGCTAGAAAAGTATCATAAGTGAGTACCACATGTCAAGGGTTAAGTACAGTAAACATCAACGTAACAGAAATGTATTGTTCTTGAGCTTTTAACCATCTTAAAACGTTTCAAAAACAGAGTTGTTTTTATCTACATCCATGAAAATTATAGGAATTTATCACAATCACATCCCTTCAACCTTTTTTGAGAGACCTGGATGCAGGATTTCTTTGCTAGTTCCAAAAGTTAGGGGAACATTTGGATGACATTTTCAGGACAGCTTTCTGATGGAACAAGTAACACGTGATAAAAATGTTGGCGGTGATTGGGATGACCATGTGGATGCAGTCATGTTGTGTTCTCTTGCATTGTCTCTGTTAAGCTGTGTTCAGACCGCCGATGCATGGATGTGCGTAGATCGAGGCATGGACGCACGTTCACTAAATATCAGCTACATGAGTTTAGTCAATCTAATGTCCTGCCCTGTGTTGGGGAATAACGCAGGGCGGAAGTGGTGGGCACTTCCGTATCAGGGAACTTGTTAGCAGCATTTTTTTACAGTGAGAGTAGAATGTCAACTCAGGGTGAAGACATATGTTCATAGGCACCGTGTCCCCCATTCTCAGTCCTGGTTTGATCCTGGTTTAATACTGGTTTAGCTCCTGTTTTGGTTGTCTTCGAGTGTATTGATATGCCGGTCCAAAACAGTATAATGTCCTGTGACCACTTTGCTGCTCTCTGATTGGTTCTCACACGTGTGTGGAGCGAGGATGTTCATCTCCTGCTTTTGCAGAATGCATCTAGCCGCTGTACCCACCGCCTCTGCCTCGCCGCATCAAGGTGACTGCTGTACGGGATTAACGTGCGTCACCATTGACTTTGCATTGAAACTAGACCGAAACGCATGATCCTTTCTGAACACGACTTCAAGCACATTGAGCTGCAGTTCATGTTTGAAATATGTTAAATACCGCCGTTATTTTCTATTAAAATTATAGATCTATTTTGTATGCTGTCATTTATAGCCCTGATCATCACCACTCTCCTTAGACCCATCTTGATCATCCGCCTATGAACCAATGGCTCTTATCTGTTTGTTACTTTTGCAATTCTCTGATCTGTGTTGGCGAATGGACAACTTTGTAAAGTCCTCAGAGACAATTGAGTAGCCCATTCTAATGTACATCACCATTGTTCAGTTATTCACTTGTTTTTCTTTTTTATTCAGATATTTTGCACTAGGTTTACTTTACCAGTATCAGGGTCAGGATTCAGCCGCTTTGCAGGTGCGTCTTCATAATATCTGTAGATAATAATTGTTACAACATTTATGGTGATCATAATCTTTTTTGACATTCTCAGTTGTGGATGCGTGTGGCTGATGGAGATCTTCAGGACGGGACACGGTCTGATCTGGACGACTACATCACAGACTTTCTCTGCTCCTGCTCCAGTCTGGATCTCGTGTGGAAGTACGCCGACTGGGCCTTACGCAAAAACCCCACTGTAAGTTATGGCTTTAAATACTTTGAAGTCAAATGCAGTCGTCCCACCTTTTGCACAATAATCAACTTTATTGATTGTCGTACATTTTAGATTGTATGTCATATCTATGTGGAATGTTTTTTTCTGTGGTAACATTATAGAGGCAATTTGGTAAATTGTAATATTGTTCAAAAGTTCTTTTACTTCTGAAATTCCATTCCCATTCTTCCTCTGATATTTCATACAATTTATAAAAATATTGTTCTTCATGTCATTTTATTGAGTATTCTTAAGTATTACTTTATCTAATATTGTTTCAGTACTATTTTTAGTATATTCTAAATACTTTGGACTGCTCTCTTTGACAGTAGTGTGGCCATGTCTTTCTTTAGTCTTCACCATTTATATCACAAAAAAGACTGGATGGAAGGTCTTACAGATTGAGTAAAAACTTGACTCATTGATTCAGATTTATTCATTTTGACTACAAATAATTGGGATACAGATTGATTTATGTTATGTTACTAAAGATTTTTCACTTTCATGGGGTTTTAACAATATTGCAATACACAATAATCTAGTCTTTTAACAAAAATATTTTTACTGCATTGCAACTGTTGAATAACCCCATAAAGGGAAATTACTTGGACGTATTTTTCTCTTTCAGACAGGAGTTCAAATATTCACTAAAAGAATTCCCACTAAAAACCAGCCGGAGCTGAAGCCTGACGATGTCGTGACGTATTTAACGGCGCATCGTGAGGCCCTTCTACTCTACCTGGAGCACCTGGTCCTGCAGCAGCACATTCAGGTCAGAATTCCTCGTTTATTTTTTTCAGGGGCAGTGCATTGCAACTTTCCTCTGGATTAGTATTTTGTGTTGATGGTTTGGTCAGAAAAGGATAATATTTGCTTTAGCCGATAATATTGTAATAAGCTTTTGTAGTGACTGAATTTTTCCTCAGAACCTGTTGGTGAATATGAAATCAAATGCTACATGTTACAATTTTATATGCACTCTATTTTTACTTTTCTTTATGTATTTAAGTAAGTTTATGGCCTGAAAGAAGTTCTCTCAGGTTTAATGTAGTTTTACCTAATCTAATCTAATCTAATCTTTGCAGAAGGAGACGTTCCACACGCACTTGGCTGTCTTATACCTCGAGAGAGTCCTGGCGTTGCTATCGGAAACGCCGGTGGACGAGGCGCAGCTGTCGAAAGCTCGAGAGAGACTCCAGGCCATGTTACGAGAGTCTAACCTTTATCGAGCACAATATCTTTTAGGTACAACAATGACAACAATGACGACAGAATAGCAAATCAGTCTGGCTGTTTGTAATCTATTAATTTCCCCTTAATGTTCATAATGTTTGAGATCATAACAAATCATTTCATTAATAATTTAAATTTTAAAGTGAAATAACCATAATCAAAAAATTGTTACAAAAATTTAAGCTGTGAGAAGTTTGTTTTATTTAAGGGAAAGTGTGTAGATACATTTAAAAGATGGCGTCACCAGATTTAGCATTATGCTATTTTCCATCCATTGTCCCTGCCACGGCACCACCTTCCAGCGCCAGATAATAATAGTTTTCACATGCATGTATTATTGTCCTGTCACAGTTATAGCTTTTTCAGACAGAAACATGAAAAAGAGAGGACCGGCCCTAAGCGTTAAATGGTGACTCACGAGGCAATTTCTTACCAGTCTGCAGAATATGACATGTTTGCTAATATGATGGGAACAGAATGTTGTGGTCATGATTTTTGCAATTTTTACTTTTATAAGATTCATTCTTTTGGGATTATTAGTGTATAATGAAAAAAGGGTATCCCACCTTTAATTGTAGGTGAGAGTTATGCTATTAGCAAAAATGGTAAATGTGTTTCTATTTCGTTCTTTTTAGGAAAGATAAATGCTTGTGAAAAGCTGCTGCTTGAGCGTGCAACACTACACGGCAAACTGGAGGAGCACAACGAGGCCCTGCACATTCTAGTTCATGAACTCAAGGATTTCCCATCTGCTGAGGCCTACTGCATTTGGGCGTCTGAGTCACGGAACGCTGCTTACAGACAGAAACTCTTCCACCTTTTATTAGGGGTTTATTTAGACTCTCAGTCCAAGCCTGAGGCAGCAAGGAGCAGTGGTGAGATGGAGATGGCGGCTGTGGACCTATTGAATCGCTATGGAGAGGTGTTTGACGCGGTGCAGGTACTAAACATGCTTCCCGAAGGATGGTCCCTGCAGCTGCTCAGGCCGTTCCTGGGACGAGCCATCCGGGCCAGTGTCCACGCCTGTCGCACCTCCCAGATCGCCTTGGGACTCGCGCACTCGGAAAATCTACAGCTGCTGCATGACCGGGTGAGGGACTTTTAAAAAATATTTTATTAGTATCATAATTTTTGGGTGAATTCATTTTACCATTAATCTCTATCAAATCTTCAAAGTTATTTTCTAACAAAAAGGGATTCAAGAGAAGGAAAAACATATTGTGATTTGGGGATTTTTGAGTCTGTGGAAGCTCACAACACAAGATAAGTGATTATATATTGGGCTAAACTTAATAAACTAAAATCTCTACCTTTTTATAGATAAAAGAAGCAGAGTATAAAAGCCTGTGTACTCTCCTGCCAGAAATGTATACTTGTATGTGTACATCTGTAGATTAATCTGTTACAGAATCTCTAATCGTTATTAGTTATATTGTCTTGCTGTCAGGCAGAACCATTATTTTCTCTCAAAATTAACCATCTGTTGCACAACCCAGATCTGATAATAAGGCTTGAGTAAAACTACTGAAAGCGTTTATGTAGATCTAAGATTTTTGCATTGAATATTTTTATATTTATAATTTTAACTTGGTTCCTCCAGCATTTTAAAGTACCTAAATTCTACTTCAGTTCAATTCAGTTCTTTTTTGCATTTAACGCCAAATTTAACTGCTGGCATAGTTGAGAACTAATGTATTCTGGGTATTTAAGCGTTATGTAGATGCTTCCCCTCTGCCTCATTAACCCTTCATCCCGTCTGCGTTGCCTACAGTTGAAGGAGAGGAAGAAGCCCATCATGGTGTCGGACAAGAAAGGCTGCTTTATGTGTCACAATACGTTCAGTGAACCGGAGGTGGTGTGTCTGCCCGGAGGAGTGCCCGTCCATACTCACTGTGTCCAAGACCGGATCCAACACTCCCCCTCCAAAAAACATTTATCTAATAGCACCAACCACACGTGAAACTTCAAAACTTGACATTGTTTGAGGAGCACCAAGCGTAAAAAAGCGGTTTTTCGGATCACAGAAGCACAGAAAGTCGCAGAAGTTGGTTTGAATGACTCAGAGTACGAGAAGACTTGAAAGCTGTTTTACTTGCCTTGAAGATAGTAGTGCGATCCATCCAGTGTGTAAAACAGGTTAAGGTGTGCTAAAAACGATGCAAAATGATAAAAAAAAGAAAAGAAAATCATAATGTTTCCAGTTACTAATTTTGCATGGACTTCGCAGTACACTTTTAAACCCTCAGTCTTGTTAATTACCAATGCATTTTAACATTTTGACTGGCCAATGATGAGCTGCTATGAAATCATTCTGTTTAGTCTGGGGCCTGCTATTTGCTGCTTTTGTATTTTGTCTCAATTCATACTATTTTGATTCATGATTTCTGAACAACATATTTGGAGCTATACAAGTAGTTTTGGAATACTGGGCAAATGTTGTAGCCATAGACTGTATATCAATAGACATTGCTAACCCCCACTCTTTGCTCCAACTCGCTCTGGCTTCTATTGACTGACATTGAAAAGTAGCCGTTTGTGTCACACTCACCATTTTGGGCTGAAAAATCTGTAGTTTAGCACTCTCTGTGATCCTGGTGTTTATAGTTTGATAATGTCTATTACGTGTCTCCCCTGTTACTGTGCATATAGCTAACCCCGTCGGAACAAAAGCCCATATAAGAAAAATTGGCTCCTACTAGCTTATGTTCAAATCGGCTTCCTCCTCATTCGGAAAACGCTATGGGGGACATCAGCACTATGTCTAGTCCTAATATACAGTCTATGGTTAACTCTCAGAGACCACTTTTTGCATTATTATGGTTCATTTTTTTTTTTTTTTTTTAGTAATTTCTATCTAGACATCTTTGTCTCAAACTTACGTATATTTATTTAACAAAATAATTAACAGGAACAGTTGTTGAACAGGACACAAACACTCAATCCCATCACATGTAATTTGATCCATGAATACCTATATGTAATTGAATGTAAAAAGGAAAAAAAACGTTCAAGATCAGACATTTTGTATTAGTGTAGTGTTTAGACTGAATCATGACCTATTGATTTTGTTTGGTTACACTTCATAACGTTTTTAACAATGTATCTCCAGATGCATCCACTTTTACGTTTGAACAACCTGTATCCGTGTCTATGGGTTAAATAACAGAAAGTCAAGCTCCACACGACTTTGTTAGAACAATTTGAATTCAGAAAAGTTGTATTTGATGTTTACTCTGTAATGCTTTGGTCGTTTAACTCCTACAAATCAACTGATCTCTATGGCACTAAAATCATTTATGTTCATTATAATCTCATGGTCAAATTAAAGTATATGGGATATTTTCTAAATAAACCTTTTACAGGAAAAGGCTCATCTGCACATTCTTGGTCTGTTTTTTATGAACATAAATAAATAATAATTGGGTGTCATGAACATACATAATATTGGAGAATATGTCAACCATTCATATGTTGAGTTTTATAACAAATGTGCCTTTCTCTCCACATTTACACAAAAGTTGCCAACTAGTGCAGTTTCTTTGTTGGTATAGAATTTGTGTAAAGACAGAATCATTCAATTTAAGTGCAATTTTATTTGAAAGGAAACAATCTTCTACAGGCTTGAGGTACGTTACAATATATTTGCTACAGTAATATTGGCTTTTCAAACTCATTAGCTGAACATCTTCTGAAACTTGGGCTTCATCATCTCCAGAGCTTTTTTATCGATGGTCTGAGGCAAATCGTTGATCTTCATGATGACCTCATTTGCCTCTTTGAACAGTTGCTCCCCGAGCTGTACTTTGACACGGTCTCTCCAGGTGCTAAGCTTGGGACGTCCCACAAACACGTCCACTCCTGTTGCGACAGGCTGAAGAGAAAGAAAGAGTTAAAATGATTCACAGGGAGTGAAGGATGGAGCGTGATATTGACAGATTTGTGTAATGACAGATACAATAGGAGAGTCGCAGAGCACACAAAAGTAACACTGCTGCATTAATACTGAAAGTTTATTGATCATCTCCTGATACCTGCATGATCTCAGCGATCGCCACCACGTCAGCCACAGAGATCTTCTCTCCACAGATGAACGCTTTGTTTTGGAGAAAGTAGTTTTCCAGCAGAGACAGAGAGTCATTCATGTCCTGCACCGCAGGGTCCATCTTCTCAGGCGGTGCCTCACAGCCCATCATCATGGGAAACACCGTCTGTGAGGAGAAAGGAGGAAACAGAGAAATGTTTATAAAGGTTTATAACGATACATATCAACCTGTCATCCACCACACTGTCGACAGACACTTAAAACGTCCCTCACTAATATAAATCATTTAACAAGCTACGATATCTTAATCATTCAGTATTTAACCACGCAGCACAGGGAAGAACAAGCTCGAGTCCTTCATACGTAAAGGAAACATGGTACACAAGTTTGTGTGCTCAAAGGAGTCATGATGAGGATGACCATCAACATACTTTAGGGTAACGATAACTCTTAAGTGAGCATAGATTCCCTTTGAGAGAAGTTGATTAATTGTCTTACCCGGAGCAGGAAAACCTTGGAGCAGGTGGAGCGCAGTGAGGTGTGTTGCCAGGACAGATATTCATTGATTCTTGCTCTGGACTGAAGATTGGAGGGAAACCAGTGATCTGGGCCGCCATTTTTATGCACCATGTATTCCAGTATGGCAGTGCTGAGAATGACAGGGGAATAAAGGACTGTTTTGTCTTCTTTTGGTTTAGTTTAGGGTTTAGTTTGTACAGAAATAACAATGGTTTATAAGACTATGTTTGCCCTTAATTTAGATTCAGAACCAAACAACAAATTTGTGACCAATTCATCAGTCCTATCACAACTACACCGGCGACACTCAATTTATAGTATAATACTATTAACATAATATTGCACAATACAATTGTAATAATTTATTATTTAAATATTACTGAATAAGAAAACATTTATATTTTACCACCAAACTGAAGCATTTTAATTTGTTTAATTTATATACAAAACATTTTTTCCCAAGTAATTTCTTTCAGACTGACTGCAGGAAAACATGGACCAGTGGACTTCACTGCATCCAACCGATCAGTGAATGAATGCAAAACTACTTCCTCCACATAAACTCTGACAAAATCAAGGTCAGAAATCGGGGAGTAATAATGAACTGAGATTATTTATGATTTCATCGTCTTGTATGTTTCTCTATGTATCACTTTGAGTTTCTTGTGGATGAACTATTTGCCTTACATTTGTCGATCTCATCAATATCAGAGTTTTATTAGTTGAATTGGTTGTTGGGGTGTAAGCAAAACATTCCAGCAGCCCAAACAATAAATAAAAAATTGTGAGATGAAAGAAAGAAATAAGACAAATAGAGGAGCTCCTTGTACACAAGCTGAACACACACATCGTGTACCTCTCAGTGAGAATAAAATCTCCATCTTTCATTACGGGGACTTTCCTCATCGTGCTGATTTTCCCGAACTCTTCGCTGTAATGTTGTCCTGGAATGAACCACAAAAACACAGCTGCAGACAGAGTATGTTCCCGGGAAGAAAACATTAGAGAAGGGATGGTTCCACAAGACTTATGACTAAACATTGAAAAGACATTTCAATTTACAACAAAAGAATCCAAAAGTAGTGTACTACATTTGGATTACTTTTGTTGTAACAGAAACATTTAATGCCTTAATGTTTTGTAAAAGATGTTTGAACAGCAGTAAAGAACATGTAGATTATTTAATCTATTGGAAATGTACATTGGAGACAACATAATAATGCTGCTGCTGATGATGATGTCGGCCTGATGTGTGCTTTACAGGACTTGTTCATCAATTATAACTACCAAAAAGCCTTTTCAACAAGGCTAAAAATCATAATTTTGGCTGTATTAAATTTACCGACAATTTATTACTATTACACAAAGTTGTTTGCATATTTTATGTATGTACATAATGATTAATTAGACTAATTAGACGACTGATCACAGATGTGTTAAAGATCACTTATTTACTATTGTTCATTCCTTTAATTTCACTCTCTACACATTGTGTTCATATCCTTCAGGAGCAATGCAGTGATTATCGCCCTTTGTACTGAGTGACCAGCCAGAACCACACAGCGTACAATGTAAGTTTGATCACAGGTGTGAGAATGCACTAGGACTGGCTGGAGAGGCGAGTTTTTGTTATGTCCTGGTTTTCCTCCCGCTGCGTTTCTCAAGTGTCACCTCAGAGGGATGGGGCTGTTTTGTCTGTGCCTTTCTGAACCTTGATCTCATGTCGCCCACTTATTGTTTGTTTTTACCACGCTGCTATCTGAAGGTAATGCAACTCCAACCACTGACCCCAAAGGAAGCTCCGGTTTCAGTGAGAAAATAAATACAACCAATTTTCCCAATAGGGCTTTACACAAGAAAGCAGAAAAGAACCCATTAGATTCCACTGCTATTGCATACGTTTAAAAGTCCTAAATGTGTGTAGTACACATTTTCACTGGAGATGCCTCTAATTATTTCATTAAATCGATTGAAAATGCCCAATAAAAGTCTTTAATAACAGAGATTTTGTCACTTTGATGCTGTGTTGTTCTGATTTTCTAATTAAAGTAGCCGCTCTATGAGTTTCATAGGAATGTTGCTTTAAACAGTAACCATACTCTTCCTCAATGGGAAAAGGGGCTCAGCATATTGCAAAACAACTTGACAATTAAAACCCAAAAGGATAAATATTTTTATATAGAGCTATGGGCGTGCAAAAAAAAGATAATATAAATAAACTTTATTGATCTCACAATGGAGTAATTTAAATAGGACTATATAAATACAACTCCCCCATTCCCCTACATGCCCTTCATTTCCTAAAAACAACTTACAGTTGTAACAACATTTTTAATTTCTGTTGAAACCACAAATTCAACACAAATTGTATTGCCACACTTTCAAAAAATAACAACAAAACAAAGCTGATTAATAGACTTCTGATGGTTGAGGATAGTGGATGGAAATGGTAATATGATACATTTCACCAACTATTTAGCAAAAGAGATAATGTGTAATAGGCAAAATGGAAATAACAGTGCTTTACCTGCAGCCAGGTCCACATGTTTAAACTCAAAGGGGATGTTGAGGGCTTTGGCCATGAGGAACACAGACCTGCAGGGCTGAGAGCAGAGGTCCAGGTACAGCTCCATCTTTGTCCACTATTCTGGTCCACTATCCCACTGCAAAAAGCACTGTCCAATGTCCACTGCAAACAGAAAAGCTACTGCAGTTTTGTGAATGGTCCCGCTGAGTCCTAGTCCCCGCCTTCTCTGGGTCAAAGCCTGTGTCTGATAAATGCTGGTGACAGATCAAAGACAGAGCAGTGTTGTGGTTCAGCAATTAAACCTTTGACCCTAACGAAGCTCAATATTTTGTAAACATTTCCAAGATGATCACATCTGTATCTACTTATGATTAAGTGTTTGACTAAATGATGGTGGGAAAAGTTACTCACAAGACTTGAAAGCAACATCTTCCGAAAGGTATGTAAACATGCTCGAAAGGCTGTATGTCTAGGTTAATTATGGGCTAAACAGAAGGCTGAGTTTTTCTAATGAGTTGGTACAAAAACCTGGCAACAAACTTGTATGTTTGTATGTGTTATGCTAGAAATTAAATTATAAAACACCAGTGATGACATGCCTGATTAAAGTAGTTTAAGCAGTTTGTGGTCTTTGATTGAGGATAATACGTCACTTTACTTCACTGCACTGCTGTCACCTTACATTGTGTGCACCATGTGCACTTGTATATTGTAAATAGTAACTGTAACTCTATTTTAAATTTATATGTATTCCTTAGAAGTGTTTTTTAATCTTTATTTTTTATTATCTCTCTCTGACTGTTGCACTGAGCCAAAGCAATTTCCAAGTCTGTGACTTCCTGTTACTTAAGTGGCAATAAAAATGATTATGATTCTGATTCTGATAATATTGTCTTTTCATTAAGTAGAATGGAAGTAGGAACAAGCAAAAAGAATTCATTTCCCACTGAGAAAAAGTTAGGACTGGTTGGAAGGCCTTATAAGTTTATGTGTACCAGTGTGTGTTCCCAGAATGTAGAAAGGATCACTTTAATCAAATGTCATGTGCTGACTTTATGTTTTGTGTGTCTTTTGTAGTATATGAAGTACTATTTATTGAAATGGGATTTAAATGTATGTAGATTTTTCTTTTCATTTTTCATGAGGTAACTTTTATGTCTTGCTGTACATTTAGTAGTATTCACTCACTCACCATGGCTCATAGTTCAACTTTTTGTTTACGCTTGTCTTGCCTTAGCTTGAGTTTGGCGGCCTCTGGTGGCGAGTCCTTGTTATTGCAGCGCACGATTCGCTCCCTCGACACAAAATCATGCGCCATCTTTGGCAGTCAGCGAACTACTGAAGCAGAGTTGTGACGGGAATCTAGGTCAGGCGCCACAGGACGAAAACAGCCACTAAACCGACATTTACTGCTGTTTTTTGTTGGATTTTCCACCTCCCGGACACACCGAGCTGTTGTATGGCCCAATGAGTGAGATCGTTGCGCCAGTTTTTGCGCAGTTTTCGTGTGTGGGTCCCGGCTAAACCAAGTCATCGGGTAATTGTGTAATTTACAAATCGCTGACGAAGATTTCTTAACAGGTGAGAAACGAAACTTAAAACGCTAGATAATTTATTTATTTAAAATAGACAACCGATTTATGTTTGGTGTTGGAGCATTACGCACAGACTCGTTCTTCTACTGAAATAACTTGGCTTTAGCGAGTATGTGTGGTTAGTTTCTGTAGGCCACGTTTAAAATCTAGTAAAACTTAATACATTCATGCACCTCTCTGTTCGGAATACCATAAGTAACACGTTTCTGTTTCATTGTGTTAAGTGTTTATAAAGCTGTCTGTTCACTGCAGGAGGTGTGTCCCCTGTACGATCTCATAGGGCATAATAGTGAAAAGACTAGATTAAGAACAATTTAATCTGAATTACATTTTATTTAATCTCATTAGTTTGCCATTGAGAGTAAATAAACACTTATATTCCATGTTAATAATTATTAGAACCAATAATTCTATATTGTGCAACCAGTGTTGATACTGTAGTGGGTTTACATAATTCACCCATGGATGAAATGCTGGTTCGTTTTGTGAAGTGCAAAATTGCTAACTAATTGCTGTCTGGTAATAAAGTTACAACAGTTATTACTATGATGTCGCTACTCACTAATTTGTTATATCTTGGTTTTCATTCTCATCTTTCGTTTCTTTACTGCTCATGGCCATATATGTGGAATGAAGCACAAGTTACAAAACAAGACAGCAAAGCTATACATCATTTTAACAAAAGAAGGGCCTTATTAAAAAATGCACTACGTTTAAAGATGATTTTGTGGATTCTATGTTGCATAAGTATGCCCAGTGGTAGACCATATGTTGTGATATGTCATGTCATTAACATGTTCTCAGTTTCAGAATTAGTTTACATTATTTGTCATTTTCAGTTTAGAACCACATTGGAAGATTTGTGCAAAAATACCCACTGTGTACAATAGACAACATACTATTTTAATAAATCCTGTTTTACTTCTTAGTGCATGTTTGAACAGGTTTCAGTGCTTTGTATGTGGACGTGTCTTGTCACAATCGTAAGCATAGTTATCTAAGCATGATTTCTGCATCTATTTTCCAGGATGAAACGTGGCGTGGAGCCGAGTGAGCAGCAGGACGGGGGCGGTACGAGTGATGCCGTGAAGAAGAAAAGCCTGAAAAAGTCTCAAAAACAGAGGAGGGACGTACACCCCGAGGAAGAAGGAGCGTTGTACTGGGAGTGTCTGCCTCAGGAGATCCTACTGCACATCTTTCAGTATTTACCTCTGCTGGACCGGGCCTATGCCTCTCAGGTATCCCACTGTGACCCTTATGGAGCATATGGAGGCTAACTATAACTACTGCTATTTGTCAAACAGTTTATAATACAGCTGGTGCAATTTATGATTTGTTGCGTTATTATAAATGAAAGCACACTAAAACATTCTCATTCCTACATGGTAATAATTCATCATGCTGTTTAGATTATCTGAAATACATTTCCATCTGGTTGGCAGACTTGCTACCTGAATCACCATTGTTTGTGAATACATGATATAATGATATAATATGTGCTTATTATAATATTATATGCCTTTACACCACCAACATAACAGTCTCCAATGAAATGTTATTGCTGAAATGTTGTACAGTATGACTTTAAAACTACCCATCTTGAATCATTTCATTAGAGATTCTTTTTTTATGCTAAAGAATGTTGAGATTTGATCTTGCAACTTGCTATAGCAGCGTCAATTTTGGTTGGAGATAAGATAGAGAATAAAAAACTATATAAGAAATGGTTTAACTATCTATTATACAACTCTTTACTTGATATTTTTTATATTTGAGAGTGAGCAGCATGGTAGAATATGCAACATTATAAACTTGTTTTTTCACATAAATAGTTGCGTAAAGCACCTTTAAGCAGTACAGAGCTCTCTGGAAGTTGCTTACCTGAACGAGTCCTTGGAAATAGAAAGTTTACTTCAGAAGATTCGGGTTAGGGTTAGCAAACATAACTAAGGCCACACAAAAATACATTTAAAGCTAAAGTAACCACAGTATTCATGGCAACAAGCCTGGGCTGTGGAGCGGCCCAGGCTCCATGCCCGGGATTTTCATCCAAGTTATGCACTGGTGTTTTAAAATAAAGCAGTAGGTTAGACTTTATCTGAAGAACTGAAGAAGCCACTATTGCCAGCACAGTATAAAACCATGCTTGTATTTTTATTTATGTCTTGTTTGGCTGTAGGTGTGCCGCAGGTGGAACCAAGCCTTCCACATGCCGGAGCTGTGGCGCTGCTTCGAGTTTGAGTTGAACCAGCCGGCGAGTTCGTACCTGAAGGCCACACACCCAGACCTCATCAAGCAGATCATCAAACGCCACTCCAACCACCTGCAATACGTCAGCTTCAAGGTAGTGGCAGTGGTAGTTCAAGTCATTCATTTGTAGTAGTAGTAGTTGTTGTAGTAATAGTAGTAGTAGTTCAATTCATGCAGAAGTAGCAACAGTAGTAGTAGCAGGACTAATAGTTGTACTCGGTTTATGTTGTTTTCATCAGTTTCATAACTTTTTTCTCGTTACATACACAACAAAGTAAAACCCTTTTTCTATTTTTTTAATCTTCTTCACCCACTATCTTCCCCTGGTTTTGAAACATATTCAGATAAAAGGCAAATCATAAATTATACTAGTAATACTAATGATACTAGTAATAAAGTATTAAACAAAAACCCACAAAGAGAAAATAAGAATAACAAGAACTAGAACAATAGATGATGATAGATGATATTTCTATTATTATATATGTCTCAATAAAACAATAACATTTGATGGATGAGATATATTGCCGTATTCTACATCAGTAAGTTTGAAAGATCTTTGTATGATCCTGTTGTACCCAGGCCCTCACTCCCTGGGGTCGCTCGCACTTGTGTAAATCTACCTGCCCAGGGAAGCGGGGTGGGATTCTCAAGTAACAAAATCTTGCTAAAGTCACAGAGGCACAGCTATTTTTTTTACTGTGTAACTCTTGGTAATAAATAAGAAAGACAAATTTATTTACATAGCAAATTTTGAAGCGCTTTTCAATTTTGTTAGTAGTAGTTCTAATAGTTGTGTAGAATAAACATGATGGAATCTACAAATAAACGTTGATTGATTGATAAACTGGTTAAGTTGCAACAAGATGTAAATGTCTATGAAGATTTAAACTTCAGCTACATTGTGCACGATGCAAAATGCATGGATCATTTTATACGTTTTACATCTTGATATTGAACAGTATCAATAACATAAACCAAGCAGTAGCAAAGTAGAACAGGGCGTGGCAGATCCTCGGAGTAATGGAATCTGAATGCAGTTGAATAGGTCATTCAATAGGTCGATCTATTCTAGATCGTAAAGGTCGCAATTATTAATTCAGCAGTAGTTTCTTTACAAATATAAAATGATCTGGTTGAATACGAGAAAGAACGCTGTGTTTATAACTCCTGAACCTGTTTAAAAATACAAGAATCACTGCAAATATCTAATGCCTGATTGAAGTAGCATTTCAGCTAAATGGCTCACGAAATTGGTCAGGCTTTGTTTTAAACACAGTTGTTTTTTTATTCTAGAATTAAGTTTGTAAATTCAAATTTTTAGACAAGAATTCTAGTTTAAGACTTCCTGTTACTCACAATGGCAATAAAAATAATTCTGATTTTACGAACAGTTTTCAGATCAATACTATTTACTTCAAGCACTGAAACATGAACAAATATTTAACTGAAATCACGAATTGAATTAAAATTATTTTGATGTTTCCCTATGCATTCATGAGTCGGATTATAACTTATTCAGAGCCATTTCAAAACAAATGTGTTTATTAATTCCATACCTCTGTTAATAGTGTATTAAGTGCTATTTTCCGGATTTTCTTGGTCATGGTGAACGTTGTAACACATCAAATATCTCAAACTATATAAGTAAATAAAATTGTATATATAATCTGCTTTTGCATTGTTCAGGTGGACAGCAGCCGGGAGTCAGCAGAGGCGGCCTGCGATATTCTCTCCCAACTCGTGAACTGTTCTCTGAAAACTCTGGGACTCATCTCCACAGCTCGACCCAGCTTCATGGAGCTGCCCAAGGTAGCATTATATCTCCTCTACATTTATGTATATTTCAGAGTCACAATTATTTAAATTGCCATTGTTAATGACGGAATTGGAATTTGCTTTGGTATATGTTGTAAACAAGGTGTAAAAAAGAGATATAAAGACCTGCATAAAGAAAAAAGTTTGATAAATAATGTTATATCTAAATACAAACAATAGACTTTCAACAGTGGAGATGATCAATAAGTGACAAGAGGTATGATATCATAAAGGGACAAAAGTGGAGGTGACGATTGTAATGGGCTGGGATCGAGTGATGATAGTGCACGTATCATCACTAAAAGTCAAAACTAAAAGTTATTGTGAGAAGATTTCTGTGTCATTTTGTGCCATTTTTGTGTCTGTTCCAAGTCAAAGTTGTAAAACAAACAAGTCCAACCAATATCAATGTGTGTTTATGATTTGAAGTCTTCAGGTCAGGGACGGGTTTGTCTGGAGATTATGCAAATCTAGTTTTGATTTATGTTTATCATGAATAAGAGTAACAACAACAACAACAGCAAAAAGAATCCAGAACTAAAAACAATCCAATCTTTTATATTATTTTTTTCCAAATCCCAAGGAGTAATTATATTTTATAGTGATGTCAAAATAATAAATTTCTTGTAACCCCAATTTCAATACCCTACTAAAAGGTAAGATAAGATATCTTTATTCATCTCTCAGTGGTGAAATTTCAGTGTCATAATTTGCACAAATAAAACAAAAAAATACAGGAGAAATAAGAGTCCTCATCAATCACATTTCTTATTTAGGATAATAGATCATATATACATAATAAACAGGTTATAAACTTGTGAGCTATAAGTACACTTGTGGAGTATACATACTGTAGTTAGCAGCCAGGAAGTTTCAAATGTACAGATGACAGCAGAGAATGTGACCAAAATAAATGATAATAATAATAATGAGTGGCAAATGTACACTCTCAGCAGTTGTCGTTTGTGTAGCCATTCTCCTGAACAACAGCAATAACCGTTTCCTCTTCTGACTTTTTCCCCAGTCTCACTTTATCTCTGCGCTGACCGTGGTTTTCGTAAATTCCAAGTCGCTCTCCTCCCTTAAGATCGATGACACTCCGGTGGACGACCCCTCGCTCAAAGTCCTGGTGGCGAACAACAGTGACACGCTCAAGCTGCTGAAGATGAGCAGCTGTCCACACGTGTCTCCTGCAGGTATCACAACCGCACGACTCTAATCCTGAAACGAGTAACGGGAGAGGAGGAGGCTAGAGTTCCACAGGTTAACCAGCGTTCAACAGCAACATGCCTTATTTTACACACATACACAGGTTCTATCATACACAACAAATTATTTGTCTCTAAACAAGGGTTAGGTTGAGTTGAGTTTTGATTTGTTTTTGTTTCTTGTTATTTATGCTTTCTGAATCTAATAAACTACTATCTTCTAGTCTCAGATGATTTTTTTTCCCAGCAATCAATAATGAGAGTAATAATAAAAGTAATATAATCACATTTACAGTTTCACACATGAAGACGTCACAATACCTCTTTTGTTGCCAGGGTAATAACTAGAGAAGCACTCGTGAAGTGGTGCTGTCACATTCCATCAGAATGTAGTCACACTCGGAGACACACACTCATTCACCTGGAACTATTGGACATGTTTTTAGTGGTAGGTGAACCCACTCTGTGGGGTAGATGCTGGAGCATACACAGGGAGAACATACAAACTCACATAGGAAGGCCTGGAAGGTGAAAGACCTTCTGGTTGTGATGCACGGGCAGTAAACGCCGTGCTGCAGAACTGTTTAAAAGCACCCTGTTAAAGCACCCTGTAAATAACTCTTGTGTCAATCACAGGCATCCTGTGTGTGGCCGACCAGTGCCACGGGCTCCGAGAGCTGGCTCTGAACTACCACCTGCTGAGTGACGAGCTGCTCATCGCTCTGTCCTCCGAAAAACACGTCCATCTGGAACACCTGCGCATCGACGTCGTGAGCGAGAACCCCGGGCAACAGTTTCACACCATTAAGAAGAGCAGCTGGGACGCCATGGTTCGCCACTCCCCCAAGTTCAACTTGGTCATGTACTTTTTCCTCTACGAGGACGAATTTGGGCCCTTCTTCCGTGACGAGATCCCGGTCACGCACCTGTACTTCGGCCGCTCTGTGAGTAAGGACGTCCTGGGCAGGGTGGGACTGACCTGCCCACGCCTGGTGGAGCTGGTGGTGTGCGCGAACGGCCTGAGACCCCTGGACGAAGAGCTGATCCGCATCGCCCAGCGCTGCACCCAGCTGTCGGCCATCGGGCTGGGCGAGTGCGAGGTGTCGTGCAGCGCCTTTGTGGAGTTTGTGAAGATGTGTGGGGACAGACTGACGCAGCTGTCTATCATGGAGGAGGTGCTGGTGCCCGATCACCGCTACGGGCTCGATGACATTCATTGGGAGGTGTCCAAGCATCTGGGCCGCGTGTGGTTCCCAGACATGATGCCCACGTGGTAGAGCGATAGATAATTATTATTGTAATAATAAATATTATTACAATAATTATTATTATTATTATGTTCATACCCTGGCTAAACCTTCCGCCGAAAGAGCCTGTACCTGATAGTAGTTTTGCCACAGTAAAGATAAGTTCTGAAAGCAGTTCTTGAAGTTATAAGTGATGGATTTCTACTTTCAAAAAGGGAATAGATTTTCTGAGAAGCTGGAAGTACATTGCTAATGTGGCTAGCTCGTTAGAATGCCGCTAGAGTCTGACAGTTGTGTGATTGTGGTGATTAATTTTTTTTATGTGAAAGTGTGGAACTTTGGACTGCTGATAATTATTCCAGCAATTTGTCCGTAAAACTAGGGTACAGGCCCTTAGGTGAGACAGTGGAAGCTTGTTTTACAAAAATGCAAGGAGACATTTAAATCTGAACATACACTTTAGTTGCTTAAAAGTCATATTTGGTGTATAAATCAGAGAAATGTATAAAGCTATGCTTTAATTTCTTTCTAGTCTTGGGTCTTGCGGCTTCTACAGTTGTCTTGGTCTTTCAGAGCCAGGGTTTGACTACATTTACGCCTGAACAGTAGAAAGGACAATTGCTTCGCCCGGCCCGTCTCCCGTATGTAAATCTTCAGTATGTAAGAAGTCTTGGCTTAGTGTTGATTTAGTATTGATTTCTGCTTTGTGTAAATATTTGTATCAATTAAATCTATTTGTTTTTGTTTATCACTACTTAGAGAATTCAGCACTTTTTCTTTGCTTTCTAAACGTCTTGGCTTAGGAGCAATGTTCCTGCATTGTCTTTGTGACCATAATACTGTACGCACAAGTATTTACCAACCAAATCTCAACTAAACACTAAAGTTCAAGGAAATGATTATTTCTTTATTACATATAAGACACGGTTAGATTCAGAGGCGTGATCACCAAAATAAGCTAGTATGTAAAGTTTTGATTTCTATTGATTTTTTCCCCCACTTTTATTCAATATTTTTTGTCGCTACTATGGATTGAAATTCACTATTAACTGTGGATACATCTGTAAACACAGATAAGGGGAAAAGTGCAACAATATTTCATTCCATTTCAAATATGCCTTCAAGTTAGAATGCTTTTATTCCTTTATTCAAGGATTTTATTTTCTGTCCTTGTCTGAGTCTTGTTTTGGCTTTGAGTGACTTAACTGCAGTGACAAATAACACGTCTTTAGTATATTTTAATACATATATTTTTTGTATATATGAGTATATATATTGCTGCTTTCTGCTCGGTGTGGCCCATGATTTGGTTTTCAAGCATCAAAGGGGGCCGTGTTGTGGTGGCTTTGTTTTTACTAATGCACTTTGTTCCATGTTGAAGGATATGGATTCAAGATTTCTTCATAGTAATATACTGTATCTCCCCAAGAGCGCAACTTTTGTAAAATGTTTAGATCAATTCATTTTCATTTTTACAACAACAAGACCAAAGCTTTCACTGCAAGACAATATATTTGAATAGTTCATTTGCAAAAACAGATGATGCCATTAAAGGCTTACCATTTGCCCTTTACCAAGTTTTTTTGTTTGTTGAAAAGCCAGATATACGAAACAAAAAAAGTTTCACCCCTTTTGAACAAAAAGTACCAACCTTTAAAATAACAAAAACATGTTGACAATCGTAGCTAGAACACATGTCCAAACTAAGGCTAAACTAATTGTGGCGCTTTGTTTCAGTTATGTGGCCTCTGCGTTGCTGAGTTCAGTGTCATCCAACCAACTTCAGCTCCGCCAGTATACTCACACAGTATACTTCGCTGAAAAGCTCAGATCCAGTCATTAGTGACATTTGTTTTTATCGTGTCAAATTTTTTTTTGAGATATACAGTCGTCATCCAGCCATCTCCTGTCAAATTTAAATTGATATGGAAATGATGTCATAACTCATTTTAAAGTTTGAATCCAGTCACAGTTTTACAGTCCAGTGTCTGGTGAACTTATATGGGACTCTGACTAAAAGGTTTGCACGCCCCTGAGCAAGAGGAATACAGCTTTTTGACACTTTTCAAAAGGGAGACATCTGTTTTTGTAAATTAACTTTTAATTTGTTTATTGAGTAGGGAAACTTAACAATGTGTAAAATATTTAAGTATCTAATCTATTTTAAACTTCACTGATACTTACTATAGAAAGCTTTATGAATATGGTGGAAAATGAAAAATATAATGTTTGATTGTATCATAACTCTTTTCTGTCTATTGTTTTGTCACAAATTCAAACGGTATACTTTGTGTGAAGTTGTACAGAAATTTGTAAGATTTCTTTATAAACGTTATTTCCTTCATAATTGTGTCATAAATAAGTATAATCCAAGGTTATTCTGTGATGTGTTGTAAGTGCAAGGCGAGAGAGGCAGCTGAATGTTGATCCAAATGAATGTGTAACACATGAAATATTAATTAAATGTTGTTGCTTTGGACCTGAGTAAGATAAAGGTGGAGTTTGAGGACGTTGTTCAAAGTTCCCCCTGTTTGTGCAATGAGACTTTAAATATTTAAACAAAAATGCGATTCAAACATTGACAATCATCTGTTTAAGGCAAACATTAAAGATAACATCTATTACCACATTGTCTTATATACCTCTGCTAAAAGCCTGGCAAATAATATATCATGTATATTTATGAGTTAACTTATTCATATAATCACATCTGTACTTACTTTCTGATAGGTAATGATAGACATTAGGCCATGAAGTGCAGTTATAATTGTATCAAATCGTGTTTAACTACTTTGACAAGTTCTAGTAAATTCAATGCTTATTTTCAATTGTCGAATTGATTTATTGAATCAGTCTGGTGTTTTTGCTCATGTCTCAAATAAAAAACTACACAGGTTGATATATGTGTGAGTGTTTTATTCATTACAATCATAAATAATAAACAAGAGATATGATCATTTCAATGATTAAAGGTGTATATTGTAACATTGCTGCAGCTTGCCTTTGCCAAGGCATTACTTTTGGATGGTAGAACATTCCAGACCAACTACCAACCTTTCTTCATATAATGTGTAGATTTGTATTTTATAAAATTATGTATTTATATGTATATTTTTGGTGACATCTATATCTGCTGTCGTGTCCTTGGGCAAGACACTTAACCCCACTTTGTCTGAAGCCCCCGCTGAAAGATCAAGGCATGACCATATACTGAATGACAGGCTTGATCTTGATCCTCCTGGACCCACCACCTGCAGGAGGATCAGTGAGGGGCTGGTGCTCTGTGGTTTGAGTGCAGCTCTGACTGCCACCCCCGACCCAGGAATGGATTAAGGGGAAGAAGATGGATGGATACATAGATCTATATCTTTCAGGCAAATTGTCTTCATGAACCCAAAATAAAAAGTAAAGAAAGTAAAAACACACACTGCAAAAGATACAACTCCTTTTCTATATATTTCTGAACAGTAGGTGGCGACACAAACGTCTAAAATACCCGTGGTTTTCATCAATCTAAATCTCCAGAGTCAGACTGTTTAAAATTGCTGTCTTGTGTTGGCTGTTGTCTGTAAAAGAAGATTATTATGCATTAGTATTGAATTAATGAATTAATGTTCTTATTACATGTATGAAAACACAAGTTATAAATGATGTCGTCCATGTCAAAGACTCACGGATCAAAGCAGATTAATTGTAGACCAGTAACCAATGCAAAATAAAGGAGTGTAAATTATGCCATACGTGGATAGCCAGACCTCATGGATGTAGGCGGTCATGTATCTATTATAGCGCAGGTGTCAAAGTCAAGGCCCGGGGGCCAGATCCAGCCCGCGAGACCATTTCCAGTGGCCCTTGAGATGATTTTAAAATGTTATATTAAATAGCAGCATTAATGGTAATGGGCGACAATGGCATGTTATCCATTACTAAGAAAACAACCATAACATTTACTTCCATAAGAAATGTTAAGCCAACATATAATTACAAGTTAGTATTATTATGTTATGGTTTTTACGAGTCTTCAATTACTTTTCCTCTTAAAGATATAAAGTAGGATTTCACAATTTGCTTAGGAAAGAACTACCCTCTCCACTTTTTGAACAAAACTCTCTGGTCTTATTTGACTAGCACAAATCACCAGAATTATTGAAAATTTGGGGGACCAATAGTCTTGATGATCCACCCGGAAGTAGAAAATCTTCTTATACACGTGCAACATTTGGTCCAGTTTTGGTTCAGTCCACAGGAACTGAACTAATTATAATCATAAAAGAATGTCTTATCTAACTAATGTGAAACAAGTCATTTATTTAGATACCTTCATATTCCAAAAAATGAAATCAATGAAACCCACAATAAGTTTTACACCCCTGTATTATAGTAACCGCCTATCCCTTCCCAATACTTTTATTTTGAAAAGCCAGGGCGGACGTGTATCAGCATAAACCACGCTCCACTCCCTCCGCAGCCTCTTGAGTCCCGTTATCCCGGACTGTGATGAGAACACGGAGAAAAGTTCGTGAGCAGCTCCGGGTAACTTTATCCAAACCTGAGCGCTGGAAGTGGGACATGTTTTTAATACCACGATGTTGGATTGTAGCTGTTTGTTTATACGGTAAGTCCGATAAATCAGTGTTTAATGTGAGCCGGAGGTGCAGCGGCAACAGGTTGTTTTTGCACAGATTAGAGACGCGCACTCATTTTCTTAGTTGTATGATTGTATTAATATCAAACTGAACAAACTATCGCTGTTTGAGATTGTATTACACTTTCTATTGACTGATGTTGTGCCACAAACTATAGCTAAAAGAACCTAATTACTGGGTGCCTTTGTTATAATTAAACTACTAATCTTTTGTGATGGCAGTGTACGCAGTAATGCATTGACCTGCTAAACCTGGTCATGTGTTAAACTAAATGTACAGTCTATGGTTAAACTGCGAAATCAGCTGCATCCAGAATAGTAGAGAAACTAAACTAATATTGTAAAGTATGTACAGTCATAAGTAAGATGGAATTATGTGTATAAACATGGCATACTATTAGTGGCGTTTTCTCACTGTGTTGTAGCCGTCCAGAAAGAAAATCATGAATCCTAGTGTTTCTAGCGTCTCTTCTCTCTTGTTTTTGTTTCTTTGGTCTTTTCAGAAAACTAATAAAGCTTGGATTCCTCCTAAGACTGTAAAGCCCCAGACGTACTACTTACTGCTGCGGCTGCTGCTGCTTTGTCCTGGAAAGTCATTTCTGTTAAACCCCTTTTGAGGCCCCAATATTTAATTAACTGTTCAAAAAATATTATTGTATATAACTGTATTGTCGGGCCTATAAAAGGTTCCCATTCCCAGGCTTTTATTCGGTTTACTAAATGTGAAAGATTTTGATGTGTATTCATTAATAGCAATGGAATTGACAGAATTGAATATGAACAAGAATTTGCTTCAGGACTCCATCTGGATTGAAAGTGGACTGTTGAGCCTCATTTTTCTGTGTTTGCTCTGGTCCCTCCTTGACAGTAAAACAAACATCTCCAAATCCAGCCCTGTTATCACTAGTGCTGCCTGGCCCCTGTCTTCACATGTTCTTCATTCAACTTGAACTCAAATCTTAATTCCTTGTGACCTGTGCGGGTTTCAACTGTTTGTGTGGCGAGTGTTCAAGTGTTGTCTTAACTCTGAGACTCTGTTGTACTCATCTCCTGTTGATGAAGAGGGTTTGCCTTATCTTTGGAACAAGAAGACTTTCTGTACTTCATTGTACTTTATGTACTAGTTTGTTGATTATTTTCTAACTCTTCTCAAAAAGATAACTTGATCTTTCTTTAGTCACTTTGACTAATGAAGAATAATAATACAAAAATTGTGTACGAATACATAGAAACTTCAACTGATAGTCATCTCGGATTCAGGAGGAGCAGTGGAGATTTTGTCCTAGCCATTGATCATGAGACTGTGATTCTTGGGGAATGAAATATAATTAAATTTACTCCTTTTACTTACTTATTCCCCTAATTTTAAGTTTATAACGGATGTTCATCTGCTTGGGTTTCAGAGATTGTGACAGATTTCTTTGTTGTGTTGTTGTTTGTTTAATGTTTTGATTTTTTTTACATGCTGTTTGTGTTACTATGCTACATATAAACCAGATACCTACAATCAAAACTGACTATTTTTTAGGCTACTCACTCATAATCCCATTAATTAATGTCCAACAGCTTGTGTTTAACTCTTCTCTCCTTGAGTCTTGAAACGGTCTATTCTGCTGACCAGTCTTTGTTAATAATCTTCTAGTTTTGGTGTAATCTCTGTACTACTTGGCTGCCTTCACTAATAGCCTTTCCTCCTCCACAGCTGTCCTCCCTTGCTGCTCTTCGGTGCATGTGTTTGTGCGTGACGAGAAGCGATATGCCGTGCTGTTCCAGTCGGTGGTCCTGCCCTGTCAATACAACAGCGTCTCCACCCAGACCCCAGTGGTGCAGTGGGTCTACAAGTCCTACTGCCGCGACCGCACCAGGGACTCCTTCAGCTTTTCTGACACTTTAGGAGGGGGCGTGGCTGGGGGGGTCAGCAGCACCGGGATGGGGTACAATGGACATGGCGGATATGGGACACATGGGACACACGGGACACATGGGGGAAGCTATGAGACTGGGACGGCGAGTTACCTGGACTGTGCAGACAGCAGCAGGACGGTGCGCACTGTGGCCTCGGTGTCGGGGTCGTCCATTACTCTGTCGGAGTACTACAAGAACAGAGATATCTCCATCACCAACAGTAAGTTTGGTGAATGTTTTCGGCTATATTGCAATGTATTAGTGTAGTGCTTAGGTGAATATATACGGCTCCTGATTTGCTCTTTGGTTGCTAGGCCGTTGCCACCCTCGTCATTTGGCCCCATGGAGTCTATTTGAGTAATCTACTTTGCCTTATTGTGGCTTTTTCCGCAATAACACAATCCCTGTGGGTGATGTGACATCAGTTCATGTCAGCTTGTCCAAAATAACAAACCCCAAAAGTCTTTACACTTTATATCAGGGTAATTTTGATATTTTCTAATATAGTATAATTCAAAGTAGTGTTTTGTGTCATCATTTTTATTATCTGAGAAATGGCCTTTCTATCATGTCTCAAATTCCTTGAAGTTTTCAGATAAATATTCAGTGTCAAACTTGAAAGTCCACATAAAACAAAATAAAACTTCAAAACAAAGGCCTTTGACATGCACAGTAGTTTTGTGGGGACAGCAAGGGAGCATCACATTCATGGTGCATGAATGTGGGCCTGTTCTTAGCAGCTGGATTTATGTGGCTTTAAGGCTAAATGTCCCTTTCTCCAGGAACAGGGACAAAGGACCTCTCACTCTCTGATACTTCAATGTCTCACTTTTACGTTCCTTCAAATATTTGGTCCGTGTCGCAGGAAAACACTGTCTTTCTGTTTGGAGTTGCTTCCCTCTTGTCATCCCTCTCCACCTTTGGCTCAGAAACAGAGCAGTGATGGTGTGAATGCACAAAACCAAAGCTTTGAGTATGTTTCTCCTTTGAGACGCGCAGTCATCCATACTCATGTAATCCTATTCATGGTCACGGGGAGACTGGCGTTGGTGCCATGCGGGCAGAAGGAAGAGGGTAAAGTGAAGTTTACCATAGAAAAGCCTTGTTTCTTTCCGGATCAATTATACTCAATTATATAATTAGACCAATGTCTAAACTACAGTCCCTTAACTTTTATCATTACTGAAACAAAACCTTTAAACTCCGCATAAAATTTCCTGTCTCCATGAGGTCACAGGTATTAGATCTGCAAACACTGCCAATTTTAACCTCTGATATGCCTCATAATGTAATCTACGTTTTCTGCATTTTGTGGAAGCTGTCTGCTGAGTGGGAGCTCACCTCATTCTTCCATAGAAAATCGGAAAAGGAAGTGTATTACTCTGATCAGCCCATTTCCTGTGCATGCACAGCAATTCTATAGCCAAACCATTTAGCCAAACAAAATGTTAAAGTATCTACATAACTCTCACATGAACTAAGATTTGTGCATATGAAAATGGTTACAGAATGAATTATACTATAATGTGCATTATTGCATGGGTTTATTTGTAATTAATCCTTCTGTATTTACACTCTTTTTCAGAGGCTGACCTGCGCATTGGAGAGGTGCAGTGGGGGGACAGTGGTGTGTACATTTGTAAAGTGATTATTTCGGACGATCTGGAGGGACAAAATGAAGCGTCTGTGGAGCTACTTGTGCTCGGTAAGTTTTCAGTTCTGCGGTTGTGTAGGAAAAAAAAGAATATTTATGTTGTGGTCACATCAGTATTACATCCCACACTGTCATTACAGAACCGGAGTTCAGTAAAGTAACACAACTACTATTACATTTAATAAGGATAACTTATTCAGAGTCTCAAGTTATTTTTTTGGGAGCCTTTTGAAGTTCATAGAAGTAGAGCCCAGTCCTTGAGTGTTGGTAAATCTAATTTGAGACTACTTTCTCCATGTGGTTCCTTTAGTTCAGTCAGGGGCGAAAGTTGGTCTCCATAGTTTTTTTGTGTGGAAACTTTGTTAAAGCTCACTTTTTGTAATTGCGTTATTACCCCACCAGTAGGGGAGGTATTGTTATTGTTTATCTCTGTTTGCCTCCAGGAAGGATAGCTCGAAAACAATTGTTGTGTGTGGATGGCATGTGATGGTAGGACGACCCCATTATAACTCCACTTGCACTGTTGATATATTTTTCCTTCGCTGGGCATTGGAGGCTAAATAGTAATACTAGAACAAGCGTAGTCACCATAGACTGTATATTAATAGTCGTAGTCACCCTCTCAATCCATTTTTTTTATCAGTTTTTAAACATTATTACAGTCTGGTAAATTTACTGGACTCCAGAGTAGCATGCAGGCGGAGTAGTGAATGCGTTATATAGCCACTATTTCTCAAAAAACATTTGGTATGGTAAGGTATGAGTTTGGGGGAAAACCTGCTAAGAAGTACAGATGATGGGTGAGAAACCTTCCATTGCTATGTAAGGTATGTTTAGGTACAGTTTATTTATCCGCTTAGGGAACTTTGTCCTCTGCATTTGACCCATCCTGCTACTACAAAGTATTACTACCCAATACTAAGAATTCTGGCTGTATTGTTAACTTTGATTTACTGTAAATGGCCTGTTTCGTGTTATGTTTCTTTGGCTCACTACACCTATTTATCACATGTCCAACAAGGCCCTTCAATGGTCAGATTTACTACTGGAGCTGTGGTATTTCTCAGAGACACTGTGGCCCCTGTGACCATGGAAACGGTTCTATTCTGCTGTGCATGTGCTGCTATTCGTACCGTAGCTGATGTTGCAGAATCTGAGATATACCGAGAGACCCACTCCCTGTTTAAACACTTTCATGTACAATGTTTACACTGTTTACACACTTTTTTAAAAGAATGAATACGCCGCTATAGTAACATCTATTGGACGATATGATTGGTTTGGTTGGCATTGTGCAGCATGTGTGTGGCATGAGTGTTACCCTTAATATAATGTTGAACTGATACAAATTGCTTATTGTTAATTAAAGCTGGGGTACGTAACTTTTTTCATAGGGTTCGTCCCAACAGAGTGACAACAATTATAGTTATAAAAAATGTTCCCTGGGCAAGTATATCTTAAGCATTTCCAGCGAGGCCACAGTTCACCATGTTCCCTCCTTTGTGGTATATTGTTGCCACTGTAGACTCACTGCACTAAATTATCAGCACTTGTTCCCTTCTTGTTTCGTAACTGATTCATCGCTGCTGTGGCAAGACACATTCTTGAGCCTGCTTCCCATCTACGTTTATCTAGTTCAGTCTAAAGTCTTGTCTAAACTCTTTAGACAAGGATTTTTGAAACAAGGGATTCTATTTGGAATTCTAGGTGATTACATGAAATATGGACAATATGTATGATACTGTGGAAGGGGTAAATACATTAATGATATTATTATAAGAATAATAGATCAAATACATCAATCACTAACACTACTGGAGAAAAGAGGGCCCAGAGGAAACCACCAGCAACTCCACTCAGAAACCAGGATTCCAGCCCAGGACCTTCTTGCAAAAGTCCTAACCACTCCTTTTCCTTTTGATTTAGATACATAAAAATGTCAACCGTTACAATGTATTTGTATTAATCGCCCATTTTGAACTAATATTGTCAAGGTTTAGCTACACACGCAAATCATATTCTTGACAATAATATTCTGTAACTATTTCTATATATTTTATAGTCTTAATTTAAGGTGGTTGTATGTCCACAGGGGAGTAAACTGAGCACCTGCTGTTTTCATTGTTTTGTGAGTAAGAATTTTGATGGAGAGTATTGGACACATTTCTCTGCGGCTTTAGTTTGCTCACCACATGCAGCCGGTGATTTGGGCATGTGCTTCTACTTACACCTGTTTGACAAATATCCTGAGATGATTCATGTTCCAGTTTGTCCTCCTCGGGACAGTATAACATCAGACTTTTAAGCACTGCAAAATCTATTGACAATGAATCAAAATAGCAATATTAAAGCCATTTCCAACTTCCAAGCACTAAAACATCTGGTCTTATTCTTCAGTGTTTTTCTGAATGCAGGGGCTCCTTGTACATAATTATTCTTATTATCTGCAAAGTGCCAATAATTAAATATCTTGTCATATTTAACATATTTGAAATAGCTTGAATTCAGGTCATATAGGTATTCTTGACGAGGATAAATTTATTTGTGTATGTGGCGTAGAATATTTGACTGCAGTTCAATTCAATTTATTTGTGTATAGCCCAACAGCAGTCGTCTTCAGTTGTCGATTCATCAGAAGATCAAACAGTTTGAACTCAGAATATGCAGTAATAACAAACACATTGGAGCCATTAGTTCAATAGGGAGCGGGATGACCAATGGTCATTAATGTCCCGGGTCATCACTGTCCTTTCCTACATCTGATAGGAAAGAACAATTAAAAAAAAAAACCCCAAAAAAACGGTGGGGTACAAAATTAGAAACCTCAGGGAGGCTCGTGTTGAGAGAGGGATCCACTACTAGCAATTTCCTCCACTAGGCCAAGTTATAGGTCATATCTGCGGAGAGGAGAGCCAACACCTGTTATCAAAAAACATTCCAATAATTTCCAGAAATAACTATAAAAAGCAACAAATCCTGAATTCAAGTCATTTTAAACCTCTCAGAAATATTTAAACATAAATTGCCCAAATGAAAAAAAACAGCCCAGCTTTTCGCTGATCTTAAAGTGGATCATCTGAAACATGCCTTTTACCCTCTTTGCATGCCGCTGTGGACCTGTCCTGTGCTCTTTTTAACCTCTTCACTTCTGTCTGCTTCACCTTCTTTCTCTGTCTGTTTTCCAGGGCTCTCAGCCGTACCTGAGGATCTCCTGCCAGGCTTTGATTTGAAGATTATGCCAGGTAGGGAACTAGAGCTTTAGTCCTTACCTGGCTTCTTCCCTCATACTAACACACTGCTTTTGCAAATAATACAGCAAAATACTACTTCTAGTACTTCTTCTTTGTACTGATAATTATGACAATGTGCTATTGTTTCAATCTACATCAATATTCAGTCATTTCTAGTTGCGAATGATACACTCTTTTTTGTTGGGAGGTTTGTTTGGAGTAGTTTTCAGACTTCAGAGATTTGTATGTGCATTTTATGTGCATCTTAGTCTAGCGCAATGTACTGCATGTAGGTTATGTAAGACAACAAAATAACATTGAGAGAAAAAAAAAATATATATATATAAGTAGTGGTGTGCTCCTAAAAGGTCTTTTGTTACAGTTTATTACGGTTTAATTTACCCATCTTTTGTTTGCTGCATTATGTCAAAAAATCACTCCAAATACATTGATCCATTATGTCAAAATACTTTAGCATATAATGTTTCAAGCCCGTCACCAATTCGAGAGGACCCACTTTGACAAGACAACAAATAGTGTTGTGTTTTTGTTCAAATGTAGTGTTTGATAAGGGTATGGATAAGGATATGTTTTACTGAATTGTATTGTTTAGTTTTTAAATATATAGTATTGAATTCTTTGCCAAGATACCCATGTGTATAGAGATATACGTATTGCCAGGCTTTGAAAGATACGAAACGTATGATAAGAGCTACAACATTCAGGTTTAAAATGTTCTTATTGTAATCATCACAGAGAGTTCCTATGTTTGATTCGGTCCAGAATAATATGTGTGATTTATGTGAATGCAAAACTGTGTATTAATGAATTTATTTTTTACTTTATTTAAAACTTTATTAATTATATAGTATATAGAGTATACAGTCCAAATGTTCTAATTATACATTTGACTATTTCTTTCATGAAAAAGTTGACTGATCTTTTGGTTGCTCCAAATATTTTTTGAAGCTTTCACAACCTGCAGACCTCAGTCCTCACATTATAATCTGCCTCTTACTCACTGGGATGAGCCGCTCTGGTAAACAGCTATTATGATCATTATAGTTATTTATGGCAGCGATTAGCTCATAGCCCCGAGTCTTTGGATAGCGGCCCATGGACACCACTCAACAGTTGTTCTAGTCTCATTTTAACCACAAAAGAGTTAAGTTCATAGAATGTCTGGAATTCAAAGAATGAGTGACAAATCATGTACTCCCAGATTATGAATCTAAACATTTATATACTTTGTTGCTGATTCTGCTCAGTGGTTTGCATACACTCATATACACTGTATACTCATACTTATCACAAACAACCAGGTTTGTCCTGGCTGCTATTCCAGTGTTCAAAGTCTGTGGGTGTTTGTGAAGAAGAGAAACTTTATACTTGTTACTATGCATCAGCAATGAGCTGAAACATGCCTCCCTTTGCTGATTCTTATTACCTTTTTTCTTATTTTCAGGTTTTGACTTTTGTTCTGATCTAGTGTTGCTTAATACAGGTTTAGTTACAAATTTGAAATTGTCCAATATCCGTGAATCTCCTCTTTCAAAACCAAACTTTTTTTTAGCTTGGTTGAGCTCCGGTTGCACTTTCTGTGACGGCCAAATCCGGGGTATCGTTCTGAACCACTAAACTGTCCCTTCCTTCCTGAAGCGAGGACCGGTTTCCTGCAGATCTCTGTGTCTAAGCCGTGAAAAGATTGTGTGGAGGTCTGACATTGTTAAACATTTCCTCTTTGGCCTGCTCTTTCTTCTGACTGCTGAGTCCTATAGACTTTAACATTTGGCTTATCTCTAACAGCAGCCATAAGATACAGCTATCTCATATTCTGTCTTCACTCTCTGGCGTTTACAGCCATTACAGATCTACTGTTCATAATTAAACTAGTTTAAATATGAAATTATCTCATGGATATAAACAAATATGTGTACTAGTATCACAGGGGATTTTTACAGTGAGTTATTTGTGCAAATAAAAAGGACTGAACAAGAGTAAATCTCAACTAAACTAAATTAAAATACCCTGATTGTTCTGATGCTGCACTTTATTCCGTACACCAGCAATTTGTGACCAAATATTCGCTTGCAGTAATTCTTATAAAGTGGCTCAATTCTTGCTAAATTTACTTACTCAATTTTAAGTTTTGAGTGAAATATCATACTTCACTTAAAAAATAGATAATTCCCTTTCTGTGAACAATAATTGACACCTGCAGGAACCTTTTAAAAGGTGTATGAAAGCAGCGCACCTGGTAAGTGTGTTCCCCAGTGTTAGTGTTTGACGCTCCTGCTGGTCACTCTACAGAGTGGGTGTTTGTGGCGGCCGTGGCGCTGGGCTCTGTGCTCTTCTTGTTGCTGGTGGGGATCTGCTGGTGCCAGTGCTGTCCTCACTCCTGCTGCTGCTACGTCAGCTGCTGGTGCTGCCCGGATACATGCTGCTGCCCCCGCCACTGTAAGACCACATACACAAACACAAAGTCACACACACACACACACAAACAGACACACACACACATACACATTGACACGCGTACACACACACACACACGCATGGACACGCATACACACACACATACAGCAAATTTGAGGTGACCATTGTGATTACAATGCAATGAAGGGACGTAGTGTTTTTTTAAAGTTTAAACTATAGTACAAACAATTGTATTTGCGTCATAAAAATGCATTGCAAAAAATATAAAACACTATAGTTAAGAAATGCTTGATTTAAGCAGTTTTTAGCTGTCTTTATGTGTCCTAAAGCAGATTGGGAGCAAGCAAAAAGAAGCAATTTCCCACAGAAAAGGAGTTGAACAATTGCAGTCTTTGTGATTTGTTAATTGCATCCACTAAAATGGCAGTCTCGATTTGATTGCGATGAATTGTGTAGTCCTACTCTATAGTAAGTCAGTGCTATATACATTAATAGAGAGCATTGATCTATTTATGTATCAATTTGAACTGAGCAGTCCTGGACTTAATCCAGGACTAATATATCTCTGTAATATGAAAAAACCTATACGACTCACAGAAGTGACTAACCTAACCTAACTCACCTAAGACTAACCTAATATGACTGAAACCTGAAGTATGAATGCCTTCTGTTGAACTTCACTTTAGACATAGATACATATGAATGACTACTAAATAATAATAAAATGCGTTTGTGCTTTAGTGTATGAAGCAGGTAAAGGCATAAAGACTGCCCCCTCGTCTCCAATCTACCCTCCATATTTTGTCACTGGGGTCCCGGCCATGGTCCCGATCGCTCCCCCGTCTCTGGTTGATAAGGCGTCTGTGTCAGTTCCTCCATCAGATGCCACTCTTGTCACAGGTAAAACATTACAGTTTTGAAACCTTTTTCACACATTTTCTCCTGTTCCAAGTTTTCATGTTTTGATTAAAAACAAAAATGAATCTGACTTATTCATTTCACTCTTATCATAATAAATGAAATTATTGGGTTCATGACCATGGTAAACAAAATAATATAAACATACAGTTTCAGCCATAGACAAGTATCCAATGTTTATGTTCCAGTGGCCATGGAATGTATAATCCTACTGAAGATAATTTATGAAAGTAGAAACTAATGCATTAAGGTGAAACTAATGAATAGTAAATGGAAACAGTGGCGACCATATGGTATATTGAAACAGATTCAGCATGACATGTAGTATGTAATATCATATGTAATACCATGACAGAATGGATACAGGTATATTTTCATGCATCTTATTGGCCACAGACAAATCATTATATGTCCATACGATAAAAACTTAAGGGTTTATGTCCCTGTTTTTTCAACATATATTTTATTTAATAGAATAATCCATGCTATCTTGCTGCTTGTGAATGCTAATGGTAAGTGTGTATGTCCAGTGCCGGTCCACACGCTGAACGCCTCGTACAGTGTGGATCAGAACTCTCTCAGGGTGCTGCAGTATGTAGAGAAACAACTGGCTCATTTCAACCCCGCCAGGTCAACGAGCCTCCACTGTAAGCCTCGAAACTCTGCACAATATCTGGATCAATCTACTGCAGCATGCCCTTTCTATCTGTCACCGTCTGATCTCATTAACTCTCTCTGTGATTGGAGTCTTTGCATGTGTCTCTACCCTGAAGTGCTACTGGTTTCTCACACTTGTCAGTTGGGTTCACCTGGATCAATTCTCGTTCACTTGAGGCAAAATTTGTGGATAATAAAACAATGAACATGTTCCCACTAGTCACTAAAGTCAGGAGCTTGTGGAAGGTTACTGACAACATTTTCGGCTCAAGTTAAACAGCTTAAAGGCAAATCTACTAAATATTAAATTGTATGTTTGTAAACTTTCATCCCTGATGATAAAATACATACATTTTACTTTTCTCCTAATATTGTGACTTTTCACGTTATGTAAATACTGCGTTGATCGTCCTATAATTGCACAGAAACTTTTCAGGAATTTTGAAAAACTTCCTGATCCTGACTTCCTTTTTCCTAGGATGTAAACAAGGGTATAGATTCGGTTATGAGAGTGTGTCTTCATTTTATCATGACTTACATGTCTGCTGCCTTTTAAAAATGCCTGTTTTATTCCTAATGTGTTTGAATGAGGCTTTGATTGCATGAAAACAGAAATCTGTATTGTAATTATTTAATTTATATATTTATTCTTTGTCCAGCGAGCAGCGCCTCTGAGCTCAGTTCTCTCCACGAAGGCAAAAACAACTTCAGAAAAACCTTCAGAAATGTACAGAAGAAAGCTCTGCCGGCAATTCTTGATGTGGACTCGCGGCTGGAACCCGAGCAACAGCGGCCTCATGGCAACCCACCATCACCTCAGCGCTACCAAGACGACACGCCGTCACTGACACGTCACCGAGACAGCCCCGCTGCGCCGTTGTCACCTCAGCACTACCGTCACAGGCCTCCGTCGCCACAGCGATACCACAACAACCATCAGAACCCGCCTTCACTGGAAAGACACCGAGACAGTCCTGCCTCTTCACACCGTTTCCATGACAACCCACCACGGTTGGCCCCCTATTGGCATTTTTGACTGATTGTTAAAGTGTTCTAATGTTGACCTTCATTGGTGGGATTGAACCTTTTACACTAAATAGTTGAAAATGCAAATGCAAGCACAAGCTATAGATCTGTCCATGTTTGGACAAAATTAATACAAATCTTGCCATTGGTAAAACTAAGCAAATCTTGCTGGAGGTTGTTATGCCAAGAAGAGGGGCTATTTTAGATGTATTATTTCTAAAATATATTAACTCTGTGGTTTGGTGTGCTTTCTGTAGAATGAAACACCAAAATCTCAGCCCCTGCTCATGATCCTATGACACGCCTGGAACACCTCCCCAGGGAGGCGTCCAGGAGGCCTCAGAAACAGATGCCTCCTCTGGCCCCTCTCGACTTTTTATTAGTTTCATCAAAGGGGATTTAATCGAACATCCTTGATGTAACATTTAGTGTAATAATATTAATATTTGTCAAACATGCAGCGTTTAAAAAATATATATAATTGCTTTACATTTTGCTAAAAGTTGTATTTCTGTCAAACACTCTCAAGCATACAGGATGTATTTTTCTCTTCCCACATAATCCATAACACTTTACTCAGGCTGTTTTTGTATCGGTTGGCTTTATAATACTGAAAATTTTAAAATGTATATTTATTATTGTTGAGTTAGACTTTTCTTTATTACATAAAGAGAAGTCTTCTGTTAAGTTGTCAGTGCTTTGACGCTGATGGACTCTGTGGTTATCATCACCCGAGCTATAGCTCTGGAGACGACAGCTTCATGTTAATTACAAAAGATAAGATAAGAGAACCTTTATTCATCCCACGGTGTGAAAATGTCTGTGTTACACGACATTACAGTGGGAGTAAAGAGCACACAAAAACAAAATACTACTTTCTTGCCAGCTATATTTGCGCCATAGACAGAATTTTGTGACACAATCAAAAACAAATGGGAGTATATACAAATAAAGTCAACGACTGGATTCCAATGACTATGTGTGAAGAGCTGAAGTTGGCTGGATGACATTTTGAACTTTATGATCGCAATTGTATTTTGGGTCACCAAGAAAAGCGTCACATAAAAGGACACAGAGGGCCGTTGTTGACCCGCGGGCCTAAGTGTGGACATGCCTGACATAAAAATTTGCTATAACTGTATGTTTGGTATCCAGTGACTGACGGATGCACTTTTACGTTTGTGTTAGTAGCTCATTTGTTAAACTAATTTTAATATATTTGTGGTTTCATTATATGTTCTACTAATAATATAATGGTCTTATATGGTCTGTATTGTGACAGGCGCTACCAAAACAGGCCGCCCTCACCACAGCGCTGTCGGAAAGACCCTCCGTCACCGCAGAGGTTCACAAAGGATCCACCGTCTCCAAAGCGGTTCAGGGGTGAACCGGTCTCCGAAACAATCTTCAAACAGGACAAGCCCCTGGTGCAGCGACGCTACAGTGACGACCCCCCGGCCCCGGCACACAGCCGCAAAGCAGGGCCCAAAGTGCAGCCGGAGCCCAGAGAGGCGGAGCACAGGTGGAGACTTCAGTGTTGTAGCCGCAGTCCACGGGCACTTTGAATGTAGTGACTTTCTATGTCAATCATTAAGTAACTGAATTTTTTCAAATCAAAAGCAGCTAGCATAGCAACACACATACATTGGCCAGATGCATACATGCACTAAACAGCCAAAGCAAACAGTCAACAAAACAAATATGGCTGTCATATTTAAATGCACCCGGCATGCCACCAGAGCTTACGTGACTTTATGGATTGGATGAATAATTTAAAATCTATGATTTTTTAAATTTGCCCCACAGTTTTGAAATCACCCATCTTCTGTCAAAGAAATAAACATATAGGTTAAGTTTTAATGCTGGAAGCCAATGCATTTTGATCTTGCTGTCTATCCTTTCAAAACGTTAATTGTGTAATCTTTGCAGGTGGAATCCACGCTCAGAGCATCTCCAGAGGAAGACGTACCGCTCTGGGGAACGGACTGTGTCGTTGGACGAGCTGGAGGAGTTTGCCTTTTCATATTCACAGAGACGAGGCCGAGGAATGGAGAAGGGGGCAGAGGAGCAGGAAAACTACCAAGAGACTGACGAACGCAATGCTTACGACAGCAGACTCACACAGCGTTATCACACCGATGAAACCCATATGGAACTCACCAATGCCCGAGAGGACTATCCCAGGGGAAAGAACAGGCGGGACATCAGCCCTCTGGCATCACCCAAAAAAAGGAGAGGGACTTGGGACACTGATTGCCCTGTACCCCATCCTCCCCCAAGAGTCAGCCCGCCTTCATCATCCTCCCAAGAAAAAGACTATGACCCAGCTTTTCTCAACAACTTTTTGGACCGAAAAACAAAGTTACGAGGATTAGGCCTAGAGAAGAGCATGTTGAGAGGGGATGGAGGGTCAGATGCACCCTCCAAAAGCAGCTGCACCCCAGGTAGCGGGGAGGGGCACAGGCACTCCCCCAATAACAGACCGGACGGAGACTCGTTGCTGTACTCAGATACGGAGCGGAAGAGGAGTCAAAGTCCGCCCTGGAGACATGTCCCGGTGAACTGTGGGTCCCCTCAGCCCTCAGCTCTGGTCCAGCCCGGACGCAGAGATGACACAAGGGAAAAGCCAAGAAAAATGGTATGTTTGTCAAATCTAAAGCAAAAAGTTGATTTGAAAATAAGAGAATAGAGTTTAAATACTTGATTGGGTTGAGTGTATTTTGACCCTCTTGAAGATGCAGATGCAGTTTGAAGTAGGAGGGTCCAAAACGTCTAACTGTATTCTCTAAAGAGGCGCTATTGTTTTGCCTGGATCCTTTAACAAAATTACGTAGAACTTATCTTTAAAAAAACAAAACAAAACCTTTCAGTATTGAATAAATAAAAGAGGGACCTTACTGTTGGACATTATTGACAATGCAATATCATTTTCAGGAAAGCTAACCGGCAGTTTTCACATTTTGGAAGAGTAGTTTCAATTTCTTTAATTGTATTGCTTTGTCAAATTAGGCATTTTGTGCTATTGGCAGATTTTGTCAGTCAAAATACACTCAAATTAATATAAATGCTACTTAAAGGGCACATAACATGCAAAAAAGACCTTGGACCTGGTCATCACTGAATACAGATTTTCACAAATCTATTTATTTCAGGACATTGCTTTCGATCAGGGATGTCAAACCGATCCTCAAAGGGCCTGTGTGGTTGCAGGATTTCATTCCAACCAAGCAGGAGCACACCAAACTCTACCCATTTCCTCAAGTGAGTCCAGACTTAACTTGGGAAATGAGTGGAGTCTGGTATACTTCTGCTTGGTTGGAATGAAATCTCGCAGCCAACCGGCCCTTTCTGAGACCAGTTTGACGCCCACAAAATTTCTAATGACATTTTTAATAATAAACCATGGGTGTCCTGTTCTATCTCTAGATAGTAGCAGGCCTAAGCATGTTATGTCTTCTTTAGCATAAAAATAAAATTTATATTTGCCATTGGGGGAATATATGTCGAGTAAATTGAATTCAATTGGTTGTTGTTGCTGTACTTTTAACAGGTTAGGTTCAGGAGCTATGAGGATGAAATCTTTGACCTCTAGGTAGACTGCTGTGTCGTGTGACCCACCAACATTTAACATTATAACTGGTTAAACTCATTGCTTACCACCCACCAGAAAGAAAAAATCTGGGACAAAATGTGCAGTGGCTTCAGAAAAACAATAGTGATAAATATTTGCACGGTTATATTTAGATTACAAGGATTTTGAAGGAGTCAAAGTGGAAAGTAAAGGGATGGATTGGGATAGCTCGGTTAAAGCTGGGGGGTTCCTAACTTTGAAACCATATACAAAATGGAACTATGTTCAGTAATTGCAGGACTATTAAGCGCACCTGTATATAAACAGCACAACTTTTAATGATGAGGTGTTTAATGCAGTGTGGAATTGTTATGGACAAACTCTCAAATTGCGTCTTTTAGTCCAAAAGGTACTGTAAAAAATGTATTCTAACTAGTTCCTGGCTAAAACAGTGGCCTTTTATCACTAGTTTTCATGCATTTATTATTGGCACACATCTTTAGATCAGCTTTTTCAGACAGAGAAGTGAAGAACAGACAACCATCCTCACACAGCCAATCAGCTCTGTGCCCAAAGACTGGCACTCACAGGGATCTTTCTTAGTATTCAAAAGATATAATAAAATAAAGACATTATATTGTGATCTGATTTTACTTTTCTTGGACGAACAACATGTGTTATTTATGAAAGAAGTAAGTTATGTACCTACTGTAAATACCTAAAAAGCAGCATATGAAAAACAGCTCAAAGCCATCTTGCCTCAGATTTTGTTAAGTCATCCAGTTTATTTTATATTTCTCTAACATCTTTTTTTTTTGTTAAAATCATGTTTTCCCTTTGTATACATCTTGTATGGTTGTGTGTATGCTAAATATTATGTCTTTTAATGACCTTTTCTCTTGCAGAACACCCTTCTCAGCCGGGACTCGCTCATCGTCTGAATAACTACGACTTGACAATGACACTTTGACTTTTGAATGAGGCTTTTACATGCGTCCACAGAGTGTAAAGATGAAGTCATTGGTGTTAAGTGGGGTCCTATGTGACCTGGACAGAGGACAGCAGTGGGACCAGACAATAAGTGTTTTGTGTGCTCGAAGACGATTCTACGCAGCGATGGGAAACACAGCGCATGTTTTGTTCTACTCCACGTTTTTAAACATGTCAAGTTACTCTTTGGCTCCGGTAAAACTATGGGAGCAATAAATGCAGCCCGCAGAGCAAATTGGACTCAACATTTACAGAAAATTACCATTATAATTGAAGAAAATGACAAATTGTGTTACAGCAAAGTTGTTTTACTGTTGGGACAAAGCGTAAACGACACTGATACCAAGACAAAAATACAATAGCTCTCTCAGCATTTGCCTCGTCACCAGTTGATATGTTTGCTTTAGCCTTCAGATAAACAAAACATCAAGTGACTTCTGCATTCTGGTGTAATTGCAAAAGAGTCTGGTGTGAAACTGACCTGGTGTTAAGGTTGTAAGACAAATGTAATTTGAGTTGCACAGATAAAAAAAAAGCATTTTGGGAATTATACTGTTACCACTGCTCTGTGGGCCACCGTGGTACGTTTGTGCTTCCATAACACAGCTGTCCTTGAATCCAGTGTGGACAGCCCTGCTCTGCGCTCTAGTGACAAGCAGCTAAATAAAGTTTGTATTTTTGTATTTTGTAGTAGCTTATTGTTTATTATACTGTATATTTGTTACTAATTTGAATGATGTGTTTGCACTAAAGAATAATTTCCCATACAGTCAATATTATGGTGTAAGTTTAGTCTTATTTCTGCATTAGGACACTGCACTGTTCCTGTGCTGAGTGCAGCTCGTTTGCTGCTGATCGTGAAGCGTCCAAACTGCTGCTGTTGAGGAGCGTTTTATTCTTTGCTAAATGCAGAATACTTTCAAGTTTTAAACATAGATAAAACCTTGTTTTGTGTGTATTTATACTTGTATTTTAAAATAAACAATGGCCTATATGTATTTGTCCTTAAGAGGGTATAAATTCTGTCTTGATTTCCTTACATTTTTAAACTAAATGTTTTACCACACTCTGTGCACTGAAGTTTTTTTAAATTTAACCTTTGTTTTCCTAGGTCACTTTCTTATTTACAGATTGAGTTCCTTATCTTTTATATAAACAGTCTGTGTATAACATGTTTGCTTTTGGAGATAAGGTAGGTTTTTATTGAGATATGTGTTGATAAACATCACCCAGCATTGTGTGGACTATAAAATTAACTAAAGTCAGAGCTGTCGCTGGATTCAGAAACTTCTGAGGTCTGATTTATAGCAGCAGTAAAATGTTAAAATGACTAAAGCCAACTTGATCAACTACTATCACAAGCAATGGACCTCAATGCCGCACACTCAAATGATACTAAACTGCTCAAATAACCCATTTCCCTATATGGGACTTCTTTCAGACTGACAGGTCCCAGTCCCACCTGTTGAAAACCACGGTCTTTCCACTCTTATCTCCTCTCGGGCGACTCATCAGTGTTTCGTTTCACTTTTGTTGAACAAGACTTTCTGTAAATGGCCCAGTGTCACTGTGACTCATGACTCTTTGTCTATTGTTTCCACAGATTGGAGAGTGACGAACCTCTTCTGTTTTTATACTTAACAAACATGGAATTAGGGGTTTTACTTTTATCTTGCTCTACTCATTTTCTAGATAGTAATTTTCATTAGCTACAAAAATAGCTGGAGACGGAACCATTCAGCTCAAGACTATCTCAGGAATGTGGTCAGGCGATTACCTCATCAGGTGAACCATGTGTCATGTTCTGTGTAGATACTGGAGTCAGACTCACTGTTCAGAGTTTTAACCAATTTTAACTTCTGCTGAAATTTTAATGAAACCAACATCCAGAACATCCAGTGAAGAGCAGTGATGTTGCATGCTTGAGAGGGTCTGGGGGGAGTATGGCTGAATATTTTGAAATGTACTGGAATTTTAGGAGTCAAACATTGAATCCACCATTAATGGCCTGATCGGTTTCTGCAGAATTACTTTTTTAATTACAGCTTGTATGACTGTCTCATGAAACCTTTATCCGGGTTTGAAATTTTGAACAAATGTTTCCTGTATTCCTGTATGTATTTTGGGGTTAGAGGTTTTCAATGAATACAGGTATGAAACTCAAAAACACACAATGTAATGATGGAAATTGTAAATCTGTTTTAGCCTTGCCAACACCAGACAAAATATCACTTTCTTTTTACAATATTTATGTTGTGCAGTCCTAAATGATTTGAGTGCAAGGGTACTCAGGCCAAATAATTTCCGTACTCTTATTCCAAAAGATGTGTTTGTTTACTGAAGAAACGGGGTCCTCAGAATTTGTTATTACTGTTTCATAGATTTTGTATGTCATCTGAAGTTACTACAATAATTGCATGGATTTTTACAGTGCCGCTCATTATAGTGTAGGGAACATAATCATTCAGGAAAACAATTAATAATATACCTAATAAAAACGTTGTAGAATGATGCATGTGTGGAGAGTGTTGTTCTGGATCTCCAAGCTTCATAATCTGAAGCAGTAAGAGGAAATGAGATTGTGCTGCTGTGTTTTGTGAGAAAACAGCCAGAGCTCTGCAGGTGATGTGGGTGTGCTGCAGAGACACATTCAGGAATCTGAAGCCGTCTGGGATTACAACTATGTGAGAAATAACATAATTATTAGTATAGTGTCATTCAACTTTTCTTATCAATTTACATAAACGTATATATATTCAATTTTTGTACTATATTAGCAATAAGTTACTACTCTTTATTGTTTTGTTTTTACACACAGGGTTGGAAAAAATACAGGTAAAAATGGGCATTATTTTCAGGCAAAGCAATGAAAACTTGATCACAAAAAAGAATACAGCAGACGGCCCAGGGTTTTAAATAAGATAGTTATAAATTCGAGAAAAATATAAAAAGCAATGACATGAATCATGGAATGGTCTTCAGGAAGTATAAAAAAAATAGATTCCTGAAATAGAATAGACAAATGGCAAATCAACATAAAATAAAATCAACAAATCTTACTAAACTATACAGGTGCTGGATTTTTCTTTATTTTGTGTATAACCATCAAACTGAAATGTGAGACATTCATGTAATAAAGTGTGTTATGTTTCTTATTGTCAAATCAAACATTCTATGATGAACCTGGGTCAGTCGTATCTCCAAACTCACAAATAAAGTTAAGTCCAGAAGTTTTCAACAAAGTGGATTTTGTGTCCCGCCTGGAGCTTTAGAACTTGATCATGAGTCCTGTTGGTCATTCAGATCCAATGCCCACACACCAGTTGCCCTTCTTAATGTCCATAAAATTGTTCCCACATATGATATGATTGTATTGTTTTTAACCAGTAATATTGTGATATCTTATTTTGACGGTGTTGGATCATGAGGAGTCGTGAGGCCCTCTTGTGGTCATTCAGACTGGTGCACACACTTCCAAGTTCATCCACCTATTCATTTCCAGATTTATTGGAGCCCTTGAGTGATAAAGATATAAATACAAAAAAGAGCTCAGTGAACCACAACCTTACTATTGTTGTGGGGGGTTGTTGAGGAGCAATTGGAGAAGTGACCAGACCAAGAGAGGTCCATTGATTTACAGCCACCGGACCTTAGATTAGAATATAGAGAATGAATGCAACATGAATGTTTATCTTGAGATTCTTATGCTGTTAGGTTGGGCTAATAGTATAGAAACATGGTGCTGTGGTCCCACGACTATTACGCTGCAATGACAATTCGATTGTACAACATTTACACAAACCTGAGCAGCACAAAGGTATTACATGTTCTGTGGAGGTACAACTATGTCTTAACATTTCAAGAACATGACCATCTATGGTTTTCTAAGTACACTGTGCTATCTAACATACAACAGAAACATATATAACAAGAGTGCCATAATGTGCTTCATGTAACACGGCTCCTTTATTATACATTATAATCTTTGTTCTTGAATGGATGAATTGTGCACTCACATTACATTGAATATTTGTAATGGCTTCATACCACAGATCATAATATAAAACAACCAAAATACAACACATCCATGACTCATACAGACAATCTGTCTTCCTTGACCATATTAAGAATGATGATTTCATCACTATTGCCAGGTACAAATATGCTATCAGGTTTATCTGACATGAACAAAGAAAGAGGTCGGATTCATCTTGCTGTATTCAGCACAAGTCTCAAGTCTAGTATGGTGTAGATTTAAATATATATTGAATATATTGCAAGCGATAATGTTGTGTATAATACAGACCAAAAGTTTGGAGACACTTTCTCATTCAGTGAGTTTCCTTTCTTTTCATGACCATTGACTGTAGATTCACACCCAGGCTGTGTAAGGGCTATTTGACCAATAAGGAGAGTGGTGGGTGCTGGTCCAGATGACCTGGCCTCCACAGTCCCCGGACCTGAACCCAATCCAGATGGTTTTGGGGTGAGCTGGACCACAGAGTGAGTGACTGCGAAAGGGCCAACAAATGCTAAGCATCTCTGGGAACTCCTTCAAGACCATTTCAGATCACTTTGTTTTTAAGTTGAACCAATGAAGAACGGGTAAAAAACAAAAGCGCAGTATTTTTGTGAGTTGAGTGTTGCGTGTGCGGTGCGTCGTTGGTGCTGGTGCGTGTTTCGGGGTGTGGCCTCTGGCACAGGAGCCTCTTGTGGGAAACGCACTCGGAAACAAACAATGAGCAGTGCTTCTTGATTCACCTGCATCGAGCTGTGTCCCGGATAAGCGTCTTTTGTGTTGTATTTTCCTCGGAGTTAGAATTTGTCAATTTCAACCAGTAGTGTGTCCGTGTGGCGGTGTGACCATGTGGACGGCGGCTGCGGGTCTGCTTCTGCTGCTGTCGCTGATCAAAGGTAAGTGTTCCCTCTGCCGTGGACTGAGCCATGTCTCAACCATGGACTGTAAATGTGTCTCAACACGGTGTATTTAAAGATCCCTTTACTCGAGCCATTTGTTTGATTGTTTTGAAAACAAAACATGCTGTTCAAACTGATGCTGTTCAAACTGATGCGGATCAGCTGCAGGTATCGATCACGTGATGGTGTAACTTCTGTTTGGAATGTAATGAAACATGCAGCGGATTGATTCAACAATTCACTCCCAAGTCTGTGACACACCTGTGGTCCCGATGTGGTCCTTTCATCTTCTTACATGTTTTATTGGCAAGTGTAATTAGTAGCGGTTGGGGGCACAATTCCCACTGCCCTGCCTACTGCTGTGCCAAATGACAAAGATTAAGGATTTCGAGTACTTTTCTGACATTTCCCTGTTTTTATTTGGCGTCGGTGAGTTTCACTGGTGAGACTTCCTGTATCATATCCAGTTCTTCTGGTTTGTCCGCTTTGACACGAGCTCCACAAACAAGTTGAATGAAAAAGTGACCAAGTTTCATTCAAGGCCTGTAGTTTCAGGCAATGACCCACTGTACAAAAATGAGGAAGATTTTCAGGAGTCATATGTGTCCTGTTTGGATAGTTTTCTAAAACAAATGAAACTGTTCTTAAATGAAAATCCTACTACAATAAATAGTTTATATCCTTTACAACATCAACAAGGAGTGTTTACATGTGCAACACAGGCAAAGCATTATCTATATCAGATGTTGTAACTTGTAATCAGAAATGTTTAATTAATGTGTAATTTACCCCACATGTGGTTCGTCTTGATTGATGTTGTGACAGCCTAATACCCGATTGGTGCTTATGTTTAGTAATATCAAGAAATATGTATGGATAGTGAAAAAAACTCACAAAGAGTCAATGTGAGATTCTCTGAGCAGTTTTTGAATGATTTTTACCACAATTCATGCAGTACCATATATTTGTTGTAATTTGATCCATTAGATTTTCACTGTGATATGAACATTGGTTTAATGAGTGAAGTTCATATTGTGACCACACTGACTGAGCTGTCTGTCTCCAGAGTCGGTCAGTATCCAGGTGATCGTCCCCGAGACAAAGCGCACCACTGCTCTGTTCGCTTCCATCACTCTGCGATGTGATTATTCCACTTCCGCCAGCAATCAGGAGATCCTGGTCACATGGAAGTACAAGTCCTTCTGCAAAGATCCCGTTATTGAGTTCTACTCCACAGGTAATTCATACTGAAATTAATACCATTTATCAATTAAATTACATTTATTGGTGTGTCAGAACATTATCGTCTATATATATATATATATATATATATATATATATATATATATATATATATATATAATTAGATTATAATTCCCAATTGTTCCTCATCAGCAGTGTTGGGCACGTTACTCTCTCTGTGCTGTAAGCACTAAACACCAACACCCGCCACTGTGAATGTGGAAACACCGGTGAAGCACTGACTTCAGTCCAATCAGATGAACATATATATCATAGAAATCAAGTGGACAATTTGTTTGGCTGCAGCAGAATGTTTCATGCCCGCATTGTTTGTTCATACAAAACGCAAAACTATGAGTTATGGGTCTTACCTTATAAATGACCTGCACAGGCCACTTCGGTTCAGACCAGTTCCTTGTTTATCCATCCATCCATCCATCCATCAATTTTCTACCCTTTAATCCATTTCTGGGTCAGGGGGGTGGCAGTCAGAGATGCCACCCAAGTCTCATAGCACCAGCCCCTCACTGACCCTCTGCAGGTGGTGAGTCCACAGGAGGACGGCTGCTCTCTGAGTGTGAGCATAGCCTTGATCTTTCAGTGGGGGCTTTGGGCAAAGTGGGGTTAAGTGTCTTGCCCAAGGACACAACGACAGCAGTCATCAGTGGGAGTCGGTGGAGAAGGTGCAGAGGCGACAGTAGCTCAGTTGGTAGAGCATTGGCCTTTAGGCCAGAAGGTCGTGGGTTCCATTTCCACGACCTTCTGGCCTAAAGGCCAATGCTCTACCAACTGAGCTACTGTCGCCCACTATTATCTGTTTAAGTCCAGATAATAGTTTGAGCGTAGATATGTAATCCTCCAATTGGAAATGAGTCCAATGAGTTTTAAAAAGTAAAACAAAACGCGTGTGTCCTCCATAAACTCCTCTGTTTTGCTGCAGCCGGCTGCATCCAATTTCTAAAATCAACCGTCTTACATTTCACCTTTATTTCTTATTATTCCTATAGTCATTAAAAAATTACCCTAAGTGCATTTTAAATTATCTTAAAATGTGTTATATGTATGTTAGTCAAACCTGTTGCTGCCCGTAGCAGATAAACCAGGAAGAGAAAGGAGCCTTTCGATGGAATTGTATGCAACCGACTTCTGCGCTCACATGCGCTCCTCTGAGGCTGGCCTCACGGTGATACAAGCCGTGGTTGAGCGCGATTAAGACCCATATTTGTTTCAAAAACACAATTTATGAGCCATCCTCTCAACTGTAGACATGTAGATTGTAAAGGAAATATGTTTTACATCAGCCAATAATTGCTGAGAGGTTTTCTCATCCTCCCTTCTCTCATGACAACACGCACACGAGTCCTATCACGAAGTAAAAAGAGAAGTTCATTGTGCTTCTTGAGTAACGCGCAGTAACGGGATGTCGGAAATGATAACGGCGTTATAGTTACAGTCAAAGTAATTAGTTAGATTACTCGTTACTGAAAAAAGTAACGGCGTTAGTAACGTCGTTACTAGTAACGGCGTTATTCCCATCACTGCTCATCAGTTGCCGAGAATTATGTGTATTCCATACAGTTGCGATTAAAATGGATCCAAATTCAAGTCCTTAAAAGCGTAACAAGCTTGTCAAAAAGAAAATTTCATTTGGAACATTGTGGCATTAAATGTTTTCCCTGTTTCACTGAGGTCTGATAACATACCTGATACCATATTTTTTCCAGTAAATTACCTTCGAGTATTTCAGGAGAGTAGGCTCTGGGAGGTTCTTTATAGAAGTATTGGATATGACATTTGTGTACATTTTCCCCCTCCTTAATGGTAATAAATTGTTCTTAAAAAAATGTAAAAGGTCCGGACCAAACTGGGTGTCATCTTTTTCAACTAATGATGTTGTCTTATTTGAGAATGTTCCTTGTGTTGTGCAGCCTACCAGTCCGCTCAGCAGCTGGGCCAGGATCCCGCCAACGACTGCCCCGACAGCCAGCGCACCTTGCGCACTGTGGCCCAGAAGAGAGGAAGCAATGAGCCCAATTTAGGGACTGAATACAGTCAACGCAAAATCACCATCATAAACAGTAAGACTTTAGAAATGAAGGACTATCAGCTGTTGATAAAATGATTGCAGCATGATTCTGTGCTTGCAGAAGCGGATCTGCAGATCACAGAAGTGATGTGGTGGGACAACGGAATGTATTTTTGTCAAGTGGATGCCCCCGGAGACACAGTCGGCGACAATGACAAAGAAATCCAACTAATTGTTTATCGTAAGTTACGTGTTTGTAATCTACTTTCTGATGTAATTTTAGAATCATGTTAGTAGAACATATATAGGATAATTGCCAATATTCAGTGTCATACGTTTTAAGTTTTGTTTTCCCTCAATGTTGGTTTATTCAGATGCACATCTTTCAGTAAAAAACAACCAAACAACATCTGTATAGTTTGGTTTTGGTTACATTTGAGTGGGAGATCTATCCCACCATAAAGACTGCTATTTACGCTTGTTTAAGAGTTGGATTTTGTATTATTCAAAAACTGCAAATTAGTATCTGCTCAATACATTGGTTATCAGCCTCCTTGATTGCTACGTATTGGTATCTGTTCTAAAGAAACAAATCTGTTGACCTCTAGCAGCAGGTACACAATCTGCAATCTTATAAAGAAAGCAAACCTTCATTTAAAAATGTCAAATAAGTACAGTATTCCTTAAGTTGTTCCTGTGTTGTGTGTAGACTGGCTGACTGTGCTGGGGATCGTCATCGGGGCTCTGCTCCTGCTGCTGCTTTTCTTCATCTGCTGCTGTCAGTGTTGTCCACAGGCCTGCTGCTGCTACGTCCGCTGCCCCTGCTGTCCACAGCAATGCTGCTGCCCCGAGAAAAGTCTGTCTCATGACGAATGCATAACCACCTGGATGGAGACATTCTTTATATGATTATCCCTTACATTTCTTGGTTTGTTTCAGTGGTGATGCAGCATCGTATGATGAAGGAGGCACAGCGGGCCATGGCTCCCTGGATGGGAGGGCAGCCGGTCTATGCTCCAATGAGCCAAATGTCGTCTCAGATGAACCCAGCTCTTTATCCTGGTACAACCACTTTTACGTTCAAAACCATGGAAATATATTTGATGATTAAATTTAGATATCACATGTAAAGTTATTACTTTACTCTTTCATTGAAGATAAGTTAAGATTTGTTTTTGTGTGTAGGATCTGTTTCGGGGAAGAGCATCCCTCTGAAGCCCATACCTTTGCCCCATCCTCATTCCTCGGCTTACAGCATGCCTCCACCCAGTGCTCACAGCAACAACACAAACCACATGCTGGACTACCTGGAGAGCCAAGTGAGGGGGATGGATGTGAACACCCCTCTAATGCAGGTGAGCATCTGTTTGCTTAGTTTTTTTTTGTTTTTTTTTTTTTTTTTTATGTTTCAAACCTTGATTTCTAAAAGTATTTCAGTGCAAAAATCGATGTCTAATAGTTATGTGAAATGGGAACATTACATTTCCTTTTTTGTATTATTGTAACTTGTCTGTCCTTTTCCCACTAGGCACCGTCAGCACCCCCTCCCCACATGCAGCAGATGCCCCCTCCTCAGCAAATGCCCAACCGCATCCCCTTCTCCCCTGGACCTCCCAGCATGCTCTCTGCTCTGGATGATGTCCCAAATGAGCGTCGGGTAATAACCCTCCCACCAATCAGAGAGCCAGGCAGGGTCCCACCACCGGGTCCCAAGACGCGGCCCCCAAGCTCTAGTGAAAGCAGCCGCAGCGGTTTTGGACGTCGCGATGACCGTGGTGCTGGGGGCAGGCGGCACCCCTCTCCGACCCGCTCCAGGGGTATACCCCGGAGTTACAGTGAGGAGTCTTTGGATGGAAGAGGCCGCTCGGGCCCCAGAGGAGGCATGGACCGGCCTCAGTCCAGATCCAGAGATGATCTTTTTGACAACAGATCCCGAAGCAACTACTCCCCTCCTGCGGCCCGCAGGTCCCGAGGCTCCTGGAGCTCTGAAGAGGACAGTCGCAGAGGAGGCCGAAGGACTGGAGCCTATGGTGACCACCCACCCAGCTACACAGAGTATGAGCCGGGCCAGAAGCCAGGGGCACGGAGGAATGAGCGCTATAATGTAAGGCAATCTCTGCTGTAGACATCGCACATCAATTTCTTCTGTTCCTCATGGAGGACTGAGATATCCTTTTCCAAAAGTATAACTCAGATGTGTTATACTTTTTGAAATAACTGAAGTTTTTATGCAACACAATATATGGTTCTTTACTAAAAAGGGTGACTATTTATATTTCTATCAATTTTCCACGGTTGCTCTAGCTAAAACGTTAAAATTAGTCTTTTTACAAATAATAGTGTCCATGAAAGTCACATACTTTTGAAGTGAGTATGTTGGACTTCAATTTGTCATGGTTACTTGGTAACATCTACAAAGTAGAAAGGTTTCTTAACATAACTAACCACCTGTGTTCAGTATCTTCTTTTTCTGTAAATGCAAGATTAAAGTGACTAAAGTTAGTGTATTTTTCTTAGGACAACCGCTCTCGAACTGGCACCAGTGTCGTCATCTGAGTCGTCGAGCTGTGAATATGAAGTTTTTGTTTTTAAAAACAACAACCAACTGGGAGCTGTGATCGGCTGTAAATAAGTGTGTAATACTGTAGCAGTAATAACAGTTTTTAATGTGTATTTTATCTAAATATTCAAGCTCTTTTGTCAAGTTATTACCTCAATGCCAAGGACTTTCTCAGGACTATTTTTTAGCCATCAAAATACTACGATTTGCTAATAAATGTTGCTGTACATTTAATGGTTTTTGTTTTGTATATAGTATTTTACAAACATTTTAAATGAATGTTTATTAATTTAACATTTAATACATATGCCATTTACATTATGCCTAAGTGCTTTGAAATTGCTACTATGTACAAATTCACTGTTCCATACAGTTTGTAGTTTTTTTTTTTTATTTGAGCAAATAATCAAGCATTAAAAGTAGTTGAAACAATTTGATGCATCTGATATCGAGTTCTTGTACATACACACACACACACGCTATTGAATATATTTTTTAAAACACTTATTTAAAACATTGCACTGAGAGCTGTGTATGAATAAATGGAATTCATTTTCATTCTCATTGTGTTTTTTTCCCCCCGGATAATTTCCTTGTAGAGTTTTTAATTGATCAAGGATATTCCTCTTCTGTAGTACAGGTGCACTTTATATTGTATTATAGGAGGGTGAGAACAATTCTATTCTCTTTAATATAATAATTATCATAATATTGCTTCTGGAAAAATCCTGGAATGTAATTAATGAAAGTTAAAGCACATTGTTTACTCACAACACCTTTCAGATTTATGCAGCTACAGTTTCAGTGTCTTCCTGAAAATTTGAGACCGGATAGACCCCGTGCACTAGAAAATGCTAACTTCCGGGTTTGAGACCGGATGTACGTTCGCGCATTTCCGGTTGCGTTTGTTTGCTGCTTAGGATGGACTCCAAGAAACCCAGGATTTGTAACAGAAACGATGGCTTTACTTTTCAAAAAGCGCACGGTAGTAATAGACAACACTGTTGCGTGCCCTTGTGCACTGCTTCAGGCAGATTTAACAAACTGCTCAGTTTTCACAGCTTCCCGAAAGACCCGGATTTGCGTGCTCAATGGCTGGTGAAAATCAGAAGGGAAGGCTTCACTGTTCAGACGAGCTCAAGAGTGTGTAGTCGGCATTTTGAGACTGGAGAAATCTTCGTAGCTAAGTCAGGGAAACGGTTCCTTCAGCCGAAGTCAGTTCCATGTTTATTCCACTGGAATAATTATTTGAAAAAGACCCAGCGACCCGGAGTTTGGGAGCGCCGTCCACGTGTTTCCCAGACCGCGGTCGCAGCTGCAGAGGATGATGTCAACGCCAATGTGGACATAGTGACGGACGATGAGCCCTCCTCTGGTTGTATTGAGCTGGCTCCAGACTCTACCCCCATCATTGAGGACCACGACTATGCTGCAAGTTCATTCATTGTGGTGGACCGTATGAAATATGAAAACATGACGAGGGAGATTGAGGAGCTCAGGCAGCAGCTAGAGTCGCATCATTTGACTCATAGATTTGGACTGCAGCGGTTTGCCTCATCACCTGAAGACATTCGGTACTACACAAGGTAAGAGATTATGTGCACGTGTGTTAAGAATGTATATGTATAATGTATTCTCAGATTAACAGTTAAATGTGTGGATTGATTGATATTTGTGTTATTGAGCGTGGCTAGCTCCGTTAGCTTCTCTGCAGACAGTAGTGACGTAGCCCGTTGTGACAAAGTGTACGAACTACTGTCAGAGTAATCTTATCCTAAATTACAAGCAGAGACTGTGTTGCCAAATGGCAGCGGCCATTCTTGGTTTGCGAGGTCCTTTTTAAATAATAATTGGTAGAACGTTATTAAAATTACATTCAAATCAATGGAACGTTCTACTGCTGCTGTGAGAAACTGTATCATAAATTATGATTAAATATTTGAATACATTTTAAATTTTTAATTGATAAACAAACGCGAACTTAGAATATGTTTGTGCAAAAGTCGAAGCCCTATAGGTCACTACATCATTACAACAAGATCCAAGAATTTATTTTACTTGCCATTTGCCGTAAAACCACATTATATGCTTGTTAAGGTTTTCTACTTTTAATCCATAGCCCTTAGCACATAATTATGTATGTTAAGAATATTCATTTTACTCATATTCCCATTAAATGGGCCTATAGACTCTTGTGCAGTCAAGAAAAACTAATAACATCAACTTTTTACATGCAGATTTCCATCATACGGACATTTGATGGCCTTTTGGAATCTAATCAAAGAGGCAACAAGCAGAATGGTGAGGGTCACTAGTGGTCAGAAGAACCTTTCCGACAGCACATCCACCGAGACTCCTGTGACTCGAACAACTGTAAGTTCTCCCTAAAACTTCCTTCTCTATTGCTCTTGTTGTTTGTGCAGGTGCTACCTGTTTTCCTGCTTTCTGTCTCTCTTTCAGTTTTTTAATTATTTAATCAAATTCACTCACTAAATATCCACAATTTCTACACTACATCACACTGATTATTGTAATCCCCTTAGTTTGTGTATTGTAACTTTATTGTCATCTATTAATTTATGTTTATTTTTTGTTTTCCAGAAATTACTGCCAATTGACGAGTTATTCTTGTTCCTCAATTATCTGGCTACTGGATGTACACAAAGGGACCTGAGTCATAAATTTAATATCCACAGAGCTACAGTGAGTAGGATAATTGTGACATGGTCCAACTTTTTGTACAGTTTGCTTGGATCCATCTCCATCTGGATGACAGCTGAGAAAGTGAGCGCAACCTGCCCCACAGATTTTAATGGGACCTATAGAAACACGCAAGTAATTCTGGACTGTACTGAAATGAGGTGCCAAACACCCTCCTCCCTTCTGCTCCAGAGTGAGGTGTTTTCTACGTACAAGTCACACTGTACATTCAAGGCCCTTATTGGCATGTCCCCCCATGGAGCGTTGACATTTGTGTCAGCACTGTTTGAAGGCTCCATCAGCGACAAGGAGATTTTCCGTCACTCTGGCATTGCCTCCCTCCTAACACCAGAGATGGAGATTATGGTGGATAAAGGGTTTCTGGTTGAGGAGCTTGTGTCCGGGAAAGTCCATCGCCCAGCCTTTTTGTCCAAACAGGCTCAAATATCTGAGGTGGATGTCCTTAGTACCCAGTCCATTGCACGTCTGAGGGTCCACGTAGAGAGGCTCATTAGGAGGGTTAAAGAGAACAAACTGTTTGACACTGTCATTCCTCTATCCATTTCAGGCAGTATCAACCAAATTTTCACTGTAGCATGTCTCCTGACAAATTATCAATACGGACCCCTGGTGAAAAAATGGATGGTTGATTAAAATGACAATTTAACAATAATACGACCCATTATTTTCATGTTTATTGTAATCAAAATGTAAATCTGTTTAATGTTAGGTATGGTGAAGTGTTCAGACTAGTTGTTTACCTTAATGTCTAATCTTTGTGTACTAATCAAATTTTTTTTTGTATTTGTTGAGCAATGAGATTGAGTTCAAAGAAATACCAGCAGTGCCTTGTGTTTGAAATCTAGCATTGTTTTAAAAGAATAATTTTTTCTGTATTGTATGTTAATATGAATATTTGCATCCTACATTTGACAGGGCAGTGACACCCTGATATGTATGCTATTAAAGTATGTTAAATATAATTTCTTCTGACATCTATGCTTTTTGCTTTCAGAATTGCAGTGAAAGTCTTTAGCATCTTTACACAATCTATTGCTGTCTGCATATAACACAAAACTGTAGACAATGCTGTTATAGTAGGACCGCTGTATTTGTAAAGCAACAGCAAATCACTTCCAATTTTTATACATGTTTATTTAAAAATGAAAAGGTGAGCTCCAAACAATTACAATAAAATGTATTCATGTATAGCCCTAAATCACAGTCATCTCAGAGACTTAACAAAACCATTAAACAAGTCAGAATCAACAATATAAAAAACACATTTAGGACAGTGCTATGTATTTGTCCATGTACACATGAAAATAGAACATGTCTATCTTTCGCTTCATGGTCTCCATCACACTCTCATCTCTTTGTATTCTTTGTATGAACACATCTTCTTGAGTGGAGACAACAAAATCGCACCAACTCATTCCTGAAGTAAGCAGCTGGCCCTGAACTTGCCAATAGTAGGCATGTGTGGATTTAAGCTGCAGAGTCCCACTGATGTTTTTAAGGTAAGGTGCGTCGACATAATTTTTTATGTTGGGACATTTTATTTCTAATAGGCCAAATTGAGGTATCTCTAAGGGGTCAAAAATGACTCCATCTGGTGATGCACCAATCCATGGTGCATCTGGGTGCACCACAAACCCACATTTGTAGTGGTTCACCCGCTTTATTCGAGTGTACTCCCAAATCGCATCCGCCTCTAACTCCAAGCCTCTCTTCATTGGGCCTGTCTGGTGAGTACCTTTTAAGATGCGTTCGGCCAGCAGCTCTTCAGAGGCCTTGCCCACAAAACATATTTCTCTGAAGCGGGATGCAGTCACCCGTGGCCTCCGTACATTATGCCAATCTATATTACAACTCTGCTCCCGTGTAGAACACTCAATTTTATGAGACATCTCTAGGCTAACCTCCAGACTTCTCATGTGCAGCTGTTGTTTCCTGGAACAGACAAATGTGCACTCTGATGGCTTCAGTCTGTAATCTTGCAGTGGTAATGGTGGAGAAGGTGGAGCATGATGGAGAGTCTGAGCTTTCTCTTTGGCTGGGTGCTGATAAGAAAGTGGACTTCCTTTCTGCACTTTGCCAAACAGTGACTCCACAAGTGGGACGTCGTCTGTTATTCCCATGCTGCAGATCATAGGTCGGTCAGCTTCAGGGAAAGTATGGTAAACTTCAGATACCCGAAGAACCGAAAGGTCAGGAAGTTCCCCATGAAGGCCTCTGTACAATTTGCTCCTGGTTGTTGACAAAGAAGAAAAAAAAAAAACACAATTTAAATTTGTGTCACTTTAAAAAATAAAAATAAAAAAATAATCTAATGATACATCAAGCACTTACCGCACTCCCTCTGTGGTCTTTGTTTTGGGTTTGGCTGAGAGCACAGCCATCTTCTCAACAGGCCCAGGCTTAATCCCCTATTACAGTAGAAAATATATATGATACATAAAACATGTTTTATTTATGTTGATGTTATCATGTACATGTTGCTTGATCTGATGTGTGTCCCCTGCACTCTTATTGCGATTTGATGTATGAAATGCGGTTGAACTCACCATAACTCTAGGCTTATGCCATTGTTGTTCTCCTTCAGTGCAGCTTAACATCGGGGGGACAACTTGGAGTTTCAATTGAGAATAATGAGCAGATTGAAACAGAAGGGCAACACAGTGATTGCATAAAGCTTTTCCAGCCTTGCATGTGCATGCAAAGTGCAGCAGTTGCACAGGCTGCGAATCTGTTAGGACCACCTAAAAAGTACAAGATTTGTATTTAATGTTATGTAATCAAATAATATTCCTAGAACGTATTTTACATTAAAAAAATACATAATGATTATCCAACAAAACGCCTAGAACCTGTAACATCACAATTCATTATATACACAACCATTTCATACTGCTTCTTTCTGTAATCATACTCTGAGTTTGTGAGCTTTCTCGGATTTCCTCATCGACCTGAAGCACTCTGCCCTGACCACCACCTCTCCTGAGCCCTGATCTTTATCAGATACTGCCAAAAACAAGAATTTTAGTATGGTTAGTAATAGAATAACATGTTAGTATTCATTAGTATAGGAACTGTAACAGAAACAAAATGTATTAGGATTTATATAATATACAAATGTTATATAAATCCTAGAAGGACAGAACGTATAATGTAGCTTTAATGTAGGTTCAATGCTAAACAGACACAAATACATTGTATTAACATTGCTTAGCCTTTATATTAATAGTTAGGCCTGCATGTTTATTACATAATAAATATGTTAGCCCCTTGCTATTGAGATGCCTCACCAATATTATTTTTCAGATGTATTATTGTGGAATTGTAGCGCAGCTGGCAAAATACGACTGCATTGTTGTTAGCAACTATGCTAATTTTGCAAATAATGCTACGTTAACAATCTTGAGGGGCGGTTCTGCTAGTGATGTTGTTTCCAAATGGTGTTTTTGGTGTTATTGGCATGTAGTAGAGAGGTTCTTAGTTGACAAAATAGTTTGATAGTTTACTATGTTTGGAGTAACCTAGTTGCTGAAAATGCACTTGCTAACACAGTATATCTGCTCAGATAACACCCTTTCTTTAGTATAGTTACATAATATTGCTACTTATAGTTAGAAATGCTGTGTTGTTGTCACTTACCTTCGAAATTATGCAAGTACTGGGAGATATAAAATTTAAATCCTTTTTCGCGTTTACTCTGAGGAGCAGGAGAAAAAGATTCTATAATGCGATGGACATCATTGATGGATATGTCTGGTAAATTTCCAAGTGACCTAGAAAAATTAAAATCTGCGTTTGCTTGAGCCATTTTAAACACCAAACAAGACCTTGAACTGAGACTCCCACCAAATTTAAACGCAGCGCCGATGTCACCGGAAATGAAGAACCGAACAGGAGTTTTCAGACCGGAAGTAGCATATGCTAACGTGCACGGGGTCTATTCAACTCTGTTGACTGTTAATTTGAAGGTTTAATCAAGGTTAAAAAGTTAGTTTTTTTATCTGTTTTTTCTTGTTTTGTGAACCATTTTGATTTGCCTTGAACTGTGCTGTACAAATAAACTTGTCTTTCCTTGAATAAACGTGAATAAAGCTGATGAATCCCTCACATCATCATAATCATAGAAAAGATGGACTTTATTGATCTCACACAGGAGAAATGTATGTGGATGATATAAATGTTATTCTTAGATGTATTTGAAATTTATATACATCTCGTTGGAGCCTGGAAAAAATACAGCTATTTTAAAACATGTTGCATTACAAATTAATTATTCTAAAATCTCGCTTTTGTTTGTTTTGTTTTTTTTAAAAGTGCGCCCCGAGTCGCTTGTTGATGACGTAGGAGCAGAGGAGGTGCGTTTGCCACGTCGGTCTCTGTGGTCTCTGTGCACTGTTGCTTCTCCAGCTTTGGACGAACTTTTACTACGCTATTTCTGCACACAGCTGAACGCGTAAGAAACTCTCAGTGAAGCGGCTGTCGTACGAGCAGTTTGTGTAAGCAGAAGCGAAACATGCATGGGATAGCTGGTACTGGAAGACCCACATCAGACTGATGCATCCTCGCTTAGCTCACCCCCTGGATTTGATGTGAGTAAACCGTGTAATGAACTGCTTGCATTGAATCCCACTGCCTAACTCTTGCCAAGGGTGTTGTATGAAAACGTACACCGAAACGCTTACGTTTAAGTCAAGAAGTTTTTAACTGGTAAAAAATGACTGCGCTCCCTGATGGCTGCCCCTTTGCATGTCATAGCAAGTCTGTGCAATAACCTCTCACGTCGTTTCCTAAACATACAGACAAGAGTCGGTCCAACAGAATGCTTCATGTCTCCATTACAAGTTTTCATTGCACTTCCACAAAATGTCATCCACTAGTGTCCATTCAATGACAATTCTTTGCATGATTGTTCCTGATTTCACTTGCTACCCAACTACTTTTCAATAATTAGATTTGCTTGTTGGTTCTCTACGGACGTGCTCAAACTAAGCCACGTAGTTAATTCATGTGTAGATACAATGATGAGGTGAAGAATATTTTGGATAATTAGGCAAGGCAAGTCTATTTGTAAAGCATAGTTCATACACGAGGCAACTCAAAGTGCTTAAAAAACAAGATAAAAGCAATAAAACATGGCGTTAAAATCACTATTAATCACAATACATTAAATAGAGTGAAGATTCTTCAGTTGTATGCACAGCTAAACAGAAATGTTTTCGATCTAGATTCTCAGAACAGACCTGAGAACTGGACTAATGCTCAATGGTTCTGTTGGACCAACTGTAACTATTACACATGTCTTTCTTATTATTATAACTGGCATTTATCTCAGAACTTAACTAGATTCCATTGCATTTGTCTTGTACATCGAAAAATGAAATGCCAGCATCAGCATGGGGGCAAAACTAGATCATGTCGAAGTTTTTTATTTTTACATGAATAATTTTCCAAACCAAAATAAGAAATGGTTGTCACTATACATGAGAGGAACTGGTGACACCTGTGTAGGATCTCGGGGAGTTTGCAGCTTCATGGGGGTTGAAGTGACACAGTTATGTCAAGATAAACTTGTTGTTTCAAATTTGACCTGATAAAACTGCCCTTTGAAGCAAAATATTTGTGTGTTTATCATGCAGTAGACCCATTTGCTAGTTGCTGCATTATAAACAGACACACACGGTCAAGAAATATATACAAATGTATACAAGTATCTTCTGAATGTGGTTTACATAGGATTTATGGACTGAGGACATTATTAATTGAGTGATTATTTAAATTTGTTCCTGAATAGTGAACAATAGTGAAAAAGCTTTCAATTGATTTTTATCATTTTTATGCCGAAAAATAAACAACTTAATATAGTGTCATCATATCAATATTTGCGATTTTTCTTTTAATGTGTTTTTTTTCTCTTTCAGTTTCCCTGGTGTTTATGGTGACTCAGTGAGGACAGAGGGGCGTGTCCCTAAGGCTGTGTGGTTGGGCGTGGTTGCCGCGGTAACTGGCGACCATGCCCGGGGGTCGCAGGGGTCCCAGCAGACAGCAGCTCAGCCGCTCTGCTCTGCCCTCTCTGCAGACTCTGGTCGGGGGCAACGTGGGGAACGGCACTGGCGTCAGGAACAGGTACACCAGATTAACATGCACTTGAGCATACGTTTAAATACCCTGTCCGATTTAGATTTCATGGCCATTTTTCCACTCTTAGATGAAGCCATTTATAAAGGGTTTAATGCCAACTGCAATTACCCAAAGGTGCCTTCTTAGTTATTTCAGATTCATTTATTTGCCATTTGCAGTATACATTTTAAAAGTCTCCAGTGTGCACAAGTGAAGTACTACATAAAACTACATTAATCAACTCTCTTTCTGAGAGTTGTGCCTGAAATTATCTCCTCCCTCCTATTCTTCTAGAAACTACAAGAAAATCACATTACTGAGAAACCGTGCCATTCTTCCTTGTTCAGATAAATATATATAATTAAGTATAAATGAATGAAGTGTTGATCTGCTCATTAAAGAGCTGAACACTATTATGCGTCTAGATCATAGACTGTATGCGAGAACTAATGCAGCTGAGGAGCGGCTTCCTCTACGACCTCGTGGGCATGGTCCAGTCTGGTAGAGCAGGAGCGCAAATCCTGTGCCGTCTGTGCTGCTCCAAAATGCCATGCGGTCTGTTAGCCTTGTTAGCAAGTCACATTGCAGTTCACATTCAGATTCATTTTATCTTCTCTTTGCAGTAAAACCACATTGGAATACATTTGCAAAAGTCCCCTGTGTGCACCAGACAAGTACATAAAAATAAAACTATTTTGAAAAGTACATAAAAAAGCAAGGTAAAAAGTACAGGAATAAAACAAGCTAAAAAGTGAAGATCATTTGTTTGCAGGTCTAATCTGTAGTTTGAAGATATAACCTTATTAAATGGTGGGTGTATGTAGATTATGTAGAATGCAGTATGTGATGGTTTTTTGTCTTCAGGAGCAGTAGCGCTCTGGGGCTGTCGGCACCGCCTCTCTCCGCCCTCATTACTCCGGAGCCGGTGCGACACTCGAGGATCCCAGACCTTCCACTGGACAGCAGCCTCCTGTTTGAGTTTCTCCTGTTTCTGTATTTGCTCGTGGCCTTGTTTGTCCAGTACATCAACATCTACAGAACTGTGTGGTGGTATCCCTACAGCCATCCTGCGGCTTCTACTTCACTGGTAAGAGTACAGGGAAGCTATTCAATCATTAGAAAATATATTTCATTTGTCAAAGCCAAGATCTTTTAAAAACTTTACATTTCACAAAATTAGCATTACAGTTGATGCATTAAATTTGGTCCTTACAAGATTCAATTAAAATACTGTATTGTGTCCCTGCTTGTGTTTTTCTCTTCCATTTTATCCTTTGTTGCCAAACCTTGACAAGATTGTTTGCTTCATAGCATTAGCAGTTTACAAAATGACAAGGTTAATTCTTCTTCATTGTTAACAATGGGCCTCATTCACGAACGGTTCTTAGGAACAGATTTGTACGTAAATCCTGGCATTCACGAATTTTTCTCGTAACCAGAATTTCTCTTGGGCAAGTACAAATCCTACGAGTCCTCAGGAGCACTCGTACGCATTCAGTGCCGACATGTTCACACGCCGGGGTTGTCCTCTTTGGTGAAGTTTAATAAAAATACAACATTCCAGTGATATGTCCGTCATATCGATGTATGTATTTATTTATTTGTAGTAATCTTTATTAGTAATCTTTATTTATATACCGCCTTTTTCACTGCAGATCTGGCCTACTTTTTAATTCATTTTGAAATGAAATGTGCCAACGCTTTATCAAATACATTGGAAATCTTGCCGTGTATTAGTGACCTCTTCCTATTTATAGGGGGCATTTCTTTATCCACGGGCCACAGAACAACGGCATATATACTGCTGCTGCAGGAGGTTACTGGGTCCGCGCTGAGTCTCTGCGTTGGTCTCTCCTATGGATCTATACGGGTCTGCGCTGGTCTCTCCTATGGATCTATACGGGTCTGCGCTGGTCTCTCCTATGGATCTATACGGGTCTGCACTGGTCTCTCCCATGGATCTATACGGGTCTGCACTGGTCTCTCAAGTCTGGTCTATGCGGTCTCTCTTCGGTCCGCGCTGGTCTCTGCGCACCGGTCTCTCCAGTCAGGTCACTACAGTCTTGCGGTCTCTCCTGTCCGCTCTGGTTTCTGTGTGCTGGTCACTCCAGTCTCTCCTCGGGTCTGCATTGGTCTCAGCGCTGGTCCGCGCTGGATCTCCTCCCAGGGTCCAAAATATTTTGAGATTAATCTCAAAACATTTTGAGATTCATCTTTAAAATAATACATAATATATTTTTAAATTAAGCTCATAACATTTTGAGATTAATCTCATCATATTCTTAGATTAATCTCATAATTTTGCTACTTTGACTTTATTCTCATAATATTTCAACTTTTAAGTCAACATTTTATAACTTTATTCTCAGTCTGGCAAAAGAAGAAAAAAGGGTGACTCTTTTGCTCCGTGTAACTCTTTTCTTTAGGCCTGTTGCTGTTTCCTCTGCCGTCTGCACACGGCCCTGCAGTCCCTTATATGGGCATTAATGGGCGGTTACTTATGCTAAGTACCTATGCTAATGAAGCACCTGGCACGCGCGCTCTACTTACGAGGAAATGGGATTCATCAATCTGAGAGAACAGCTGCGAACAATTCAGCGGCTTACGAGTGCGTTGATGAATCCCACGTAGGGACTTCTTAGAAATCTACTTATGGACAACTTGAGAAGAAATTTTGAGAAGTTTCTTACGAAGTTATTCGTGAATGAGGCCCATTATGAGGAAGATGGTGGCAAGGTGTCTCTTGGGAAATTTTCATCATTTGAGTATGTTTCTTTTAAAATAGAACAAAAGAAATCTTCTTCCATTCTTATTATTGTTGTGTACAAGCCGCCACAGTCATGCCATAGTTTCACTGATCATTTCACTGAGTTGCTTTCAGTTGTGTGCACAGATTTTGATGGTTTAGTCATTATAGGCGATTTTAATATTCATGTGGATAATGTTAATGACAGATACGCAAAAGAGCTGAGTTCCATACTTGAATCCTTTGGCCTCACTCAGCATGTGAGTGGCCCCACCCATAGCAGAGGACACACCTTGGACCTGCTTATCACGAAAGGGGTGAATATTTCAAAAGTTAATGTAGTTGATGTTGCTCTGTCGGATCATTTCTGTGTATTTTTTAACATGTGTTTTGCTACCAGACCACCCGCTAAATATGAAATTGTTAGAAGTAGACACTTAAATGAAAACACAGGTGAACTATTTATGGGAATGATCCATTTTGAGAACGCATCATGTTCTACTGTAGATGAACTGCTTAACTCTGTCACCTCTAGTGTGTTGAATGTTCTGGACGCCATTGCCCCTGTGAAGGTAAAAATGGTCACAAATAAGCAAAAAGCCCCATGGATAAAAGCAGGCCCGGTCAGGGCACAGAAGCAAGAGTGCCGGAGAGCAGAGAGAAAGTGGAGAAAGTCCAACCTCCAGGGTGATTATAGACTCTTAAAAGAGAAGTTGTGTGAGTTTAACAGAGTACTACGTAGAACAAGAGAATTATACTTTTCTGAAACTATTGAAGGCTGCAGCAACAATCTGCGTGTTCTATTTTCAACAATCAATAGATTAACGAATCCCCCTGTTGAGTTGCCATTAGAACACTACTCCAAATCCAGGTGTAATGAGTTTGCACAGTTCTTCAGAGACAAGGTTCAGGGTATCAGAAATGCCATCACCTCTACAACACAAGTAACAATGCAACATCCAGTGAGGCTTTGTGAGCTAGCTCAATTTGCACCTGTCAATGATGAAACTGTTAAAAAGATAATCACAGGTCTTAGTTCCTCTACCTGCAGTCTGGATGTACTACCTCCTAGATTTCTGAAGTCTGTTATGTGTAGTCTATTACCCTCATTGACACAAATAGTAAACATGTCTTTTTTATCTGGAACATTTTCAATGGCCCTGAAAAAGGCAGTCATTAGGCCCCTCCTAAAAAAGAGCAGTTTGGATGCTGCGGTACTTGAAAATTACCGTCCCATCTCAAATCTGCCTTTCATGGGAAAAATTCTTGAAAAAGTTGCCTACCAACAACTTACTGAATTTTTAATATCTAATGACTCATTTGACATGTTTCAGTCTGGCTTTAGACCACACCACAGTACTGAGACCGCTCTAGTCAAGGTAACAAATGATATTCGGCTTAACACTGATGCAGGAAAAGTCTCTGTTTTAGTCATGTTAGATCTGAGTGCCGCTTTCGACACCGTTGACCATGAGATTCTCATGCAGAGACTGGAGGACTGGGTTGGTGTTGCTGGTACCGCCCTAAGCTGGTTTAGGTCCTATCTAGAAGAAAGGAAGTATTGTGTGGAGATTGGAAACTATGTCTCAGATAATATGGCCCTGACCTGCGGAGTGCCACAGGGGTCGATTCTGGGACCTCTCCTGTTCAATATTTACATGCTGCCATTAGGTCAGTTAATTCAAAGTATGAAAGTGTCCTACCACAATTACGCTGATGACACTCAGATCTATGTCTCACTGACTGCAGGAGAGCATGGGCCGGTGGACTCACTCCTTCGCTGTATCCAGCGGATCAGTGAGTGGATGCAATGCAATTTTCTCCAGCTAAATGCGGACAAAACCGAAATGATTGTCTTTGGTCCCGAGAAACAAAGAGAGACCGTCATTTGTCACCTTCAGTCTCTCTCCCTAAGGCCCTTAAATAAGGTCAGAAATCTGGGAGTAATAATGGACTCTGACTTAAACTTCAATAGCCACATTGGATCGGTAACATCAGCAGCTTTTTATCATCTGAAAAATATTGCCAAAATTAAAAATATTGTGTCCAGGGCAGACTTGGAGATTCTTATCCATTCTTTTGTTTCCAGTAGGCTGGATTACTGCAATGGCCTGCTCACAGGTATCTCCAAACATGCAGTAAGACAGTTGCAGTATATTCAAAATGCTGCAGCCCGAGTCCTGACTAGAACCAGGAAGTACGACCACATTAGTCCGGTCCTCAGGTCTCTGCACTGGCTTCCCGTGGCCCAGAGGATAGACTTTAAAGCAGCTCTCCTGGTGTACAAGTCTCTCCATGGCCTTGCACCAAAGTACATCCATGATATGCTAGTCCCATATGAACCAGCCCGGACTCTGAGGAGCGCAGGGACGGGACTCCTGTTAGTGCCCAGAGTCAGGACTAGACAGGGGGAGGCTGCTTTTCAGATTTATGCAGCTGGAGTCTGGAACGGTCTTCCTGAGGATGTGAGACTGGCTGCCTCTCTGTCAATGTTCAAATCCATGTAAAGACTTTTCTTTTTTCCCGTGCATACAACTAGAGAATTTTATCTTTTTAACACACCTTGTTATTTATTGTTGTAACTTTTTGTGTTTTTAACTATTTTATTGTTTTTAATTACTTGTGTGATTTTTATGTTTTTAAATTACTTATGTGATTTTAATGCTTTTTAATTACATATGTGTTTTTAATTGTATTTTAATGGTGATGATTTGTGCATTGTGTGGTGTGGACTGTGAGGCGCTTTGTGTTGCCCTGTGCAGGAAAAGCGCCCTATAAATAAAGATTGATTGATTGATTACACTTTCCCTAAACGACATTAAATGTGTCTTGACCAAGAGAAATGGATGCAGCAACGTGGAAAGACTGCAGTTGTTGTAAATTACCTGTTTGGTTCTTTTGGATGAAGTGGTTTTTCCTGAAGAAGAAAATATTTGGATTCATAAAATTCTTGAATTGTATTTTGAGTAATTGTCCATTGAATGACATCATGTATCGCTGTTGAATGTTTTGCTAAAACAAGTCAATAAACAAAATTACGGCGCTGGAAGTGCGCTGTGTCAATGGAGGAAGGAAGAAGGAATTAGGAACCAATTTCATCTCATGAATTTTCATTGTGGATTTTATTGTAAGATTAAATGACCAGTAAGCAAATGGAAATCTGTCCCAGAACATCCCTTTATTAGCCATGTTTGGTTTTATTAAGAACCTGATACGGTCCATATACATTAAAAAGACATACAGAGATGGACAAAACCAAGATTAGACCCTCATTGTCTTCGTTAAACTTTATTCCAGAGCGATAGAGAGAAAACCTCTCTAATGTCTGTCTTATTCTACATTTATTTCTTTTCTTGCAGAACTTCCATTTGATGGATTACCACCTGGCAATCTTCATCACGGTTATGTTGGCCCGCAGACTGGTGTGGACCATAGTGTCAGAGGTGAGTGTTCTGTCTCCACCTGTCACACTTCACATGCGTTTCTTGTGTTGAATTTGGAGTCCAGACTCCTCATGGACACTTAATTTAGTAAGCATGTTTGCGCCTGTGTGTGTGTCAGGAACATGTTGTGACAATGTATTGAGAATATGAGGATGGTTACACTTTCATAAAGTCAAGACATTTGCCTGTTGTTTCATACTGACCACCGTGCTCTGAGCCCACACACACGTGCACACGCACACACATAGCAGAGAGTATGAACTGTTTGTTGATTCTTCATCCTTGAACCAGGAATCACACACAAGCTTCAATTTTATAAACTATTATCAGTTTCAATTTAGTTTAGTTTTACTTATAGAGCAGAGCATCAACCTAAATGAATTTATACAAAGAAATTCACAATTTCCATCCTTCCCTCAGAAGGAGATACTTGAACTCCTCCACTTGAGGAAGGACCTCTCCACCCACCTGGCAGTAAGGGCAGGCTCCTTTTGTGGCACCGGCACCTGCCACAGCTGATTAGTGGCATGTACACAACAAATGGCGTTTAAAACGGCATGTGGACAAGTGGCGTTTAAAACGGCATGTGGACAACAAGTGGCGTTTAAAACGGCATGTGGGGAATAAATGGCGTGTAAAGCGGCATGTGGACAACAAGTGGCGTTTAAAACGGCATGTGGGGAATAAATGGCGTGTAAAGCGGCATGTGGGCAATAAATGGCGTTTACAACGGCATGTGGGGAATAAATGGCGTGTAAAGCGGCATGTGGACAACAAGTGGCGTTTAAAACGGCATGTGGGGAATAAATGGCGTGTAAAGCGGCATGTGGGCAATAAATGGCGTTTAAAACGGCATGTGGGGAATAAATGGCGTGTAAAGCGGCATGTGGACAACAAATGGCGTTGTACAAAAGACAACAAGCAGCATTACTGGAGCTAGTGGTCCAGTGGCTCAGATGGAAAAGCATAGGTCTACGGTGTTGATGGTTGCTAGTTCAAATCCCCAGTGACCACCAATGACATTTGCTGATGTTGGGTCCTTGGGCATAACACTTCATGAAGAATGTCAGAAATGCCATACATTGTTTGAAAAATGTTGTTTGAGTAATAATAATATGTTATTGCATACATTTGTTGAAAGACTTAATTTCATGTATCATATATAGTTTAAATTCCACATGAGCTGCGTCATCCAGTGGCGCACTTGGTTTATAACTGCCTCTCATGCGGAAGATACCTGGTTCAATTCCAGGATAGGTCCTTATTTTTTCTTTGTCAGATTCAATAAATTAAATTTTCTTTGTCAGATTAAATACAAATTGACAAAATGTTTTTTTCTTTTGTTATATATATATATATATATATATATATAACAAAAGAAAAAAACATTTTATTTCTCTCTTCTTTAATAAAACCACATCAGAAACATGGAACAATAAGAAAGAGCATTAATACATATATTTTTTTATAAAAAGAATACAAAGTATAAGACACAGCTCCTATGTGAGATAAATAAAGCAACTCTTATCTTATCTTATGTATAAAGAAATAACCGTCATAAAAAAGTGTTTGATCTTGGCTGGATTTGAATCTGCGAACTCTTGCATGATTGGCGGGCACACACCAGCTATACCACACACCAGCTATACCACTCACCAGCTATACCACTCACCAGGTGGTTTTAAGTAAAATTGTGTCTTGAGTGTTTTACACATGATTTAGTTTTACCCTAACGATGATGCAATATTAATCCTAATGCAAGATTACTATTGCAACAACACATAACCATATGTATGAAATATATATTCATACATATTCAATTTGTATTTAATTTGACAAAAAAATAAAGACCAGACCTGGAATTGAACCAGGTATCTTCTGCATGAGAGACAGTTATAAACCAAGTGCGCCACAGCAATATACATTTCTTCAGAATCTAAACCACTATAATACATGAAATTAAGTCTTTCAATAAATTTTAAATTTGATTTATTATAACTCAAACTACATTTTTCAAACAACTTATGGCACTTCTGACATTCTCCATGAAGTGTTATGCCCAAGGACCCAACATCAGCAAATGTCATTGGTGGTCACTGGGGATTTGAACTAGCAACCATCAACACCATAGACCTGTGCTTTTCCATCTGAGCCACTGGACCACTATCTCTAATGATGCTGTTTGTTGTCTTTTGTACAGGCTGCTTTCAACTGTATTTGTTTTACACGCCATTTATTCCCCACATGCCGTTTTAAACGCCATTTGTTGCCCACATGCCGCTTTACACGCCATTTATTCCCCACATGCCGTTTTAAACGCCACTTGTTGTCCACATGCCGCTTTACACGCCATTTATTCCCCACATGCCGTTTTAAACGCCACTTGTTGTCCACATGCCGCTTTACACGCCATTTATTCCCCACATGCCGTTTTAAATGCCACTTGTTGTCCACATGCCGCTTTACACGCCATTTATTCCCCACATGCCGTTTTAAACGCCACTTGTTGTCCACATGCCGCTTTACACGCCACTTGTTGTCCACATGCCGTTTTAAACGCCACTTGTTGTCCACATGCTGCTTTACACGCCATTTATTCCCCACATGCCGCTTTACACGCCACTTGTTGTCCACATGCCGCTTTACACGCCACTTGTTGTCCACATGCCGTTTTAAACGCCACTTGCTGTCCACATGCCGTTTTAAACGCCATTTGTTGTGTACATGCCACTGATCAGCTGTGGCAGGTGCCGGTGCCACAAAAGGAGCTTGCCCTTTCTCCCACCTGGAGAGGCCAAAGCACCTTTTTCCAGTCGAGCACCATGGCCTCGGATTTAGAGGTGCTAATTCTCATCCCAGCCGTTTTACACTCTGCTGAGAAGCGTCCCAGTGCATGTTGCAGGTCCTGGTTCGTTGGAGCCAACAGGACAACATCGTCTGCAAACAGCAGAGATGAAATAATAATAATAATAATAATGCATCGGTTTTGCATAGCACTTTTTTGGACACTCAAAGACGCTTCACATGTCATTATTCATTCACCTCATACACAGTGATAAACTACCACTGTAGCCACAGCTGCCCTGGGGCACACTGATAGAAGAGTTGCAACCAGTATGTGCCATCGGCCCCTCTGACCGCCACCAACCATGCACGCACACTTAATCCTGTGGTCTCCAAACCGGACCCCCTCCGGCACTTGGCTGCGCCTAGAAAATCTGTCCATAAAGACGCTTTATTATTGGTGTCTTGTCCTGTAAAATGTTTTGTAGATAATTTTTAGTTTAAAGGGAAGTGTACCTTAATCCACATTTCAATAAATGGCCAAAAGTCATCCCTCGACACAAAACAGTGTAATCATCTCAATTTGATAAGCTCTGAAAATATATCATGAAATACACACAGCGCATAAAGGCAGACAAAAATATTTACATAATAGCGCTAGCAGCGAAAACATACAGAAGAATGAAAAGCACCTTCAGTAATTGGCCGAAGAGTACAACCCAGTTTGTGCTTATAATATTCTCATAACAAGAATGACTGAATATACTGAAAAACTTTTGACGGAGCATTCTGTGTCAAGAGCACAACCATTCACCTCAATGTGTGACGATGGCAGAAGTCTCATCAACTGGAACAAATGAGGTTGACTCTAAACATGAGAGTGTGGTAAAAGCTAAAAAAAAGTGCTATATTTTGCTACAAAGCTAGTTTTCAACTGTTGTCCCACTTAACATGCAGAGACACAAGCTAATTAGTCATATTTAAGATTCAGCATGCTTTCGTCTGCAGATATGACATAGAGGCTGTTGCCATACCAACCACGGCGGTTAAGGAGATAAGATCTCTTTATCTTGTTGAATTTTTTTATTTTCATTTCAACCAGACAGTCAATTAATATTGAATGGGAGAACTCTGAGTTAATTCTTGTTTTTTGTCATAAACTGAGAATATTTTGAGGGACATGTAAAAAAAAAAAAAAAAGAATTATATTAAAATGAAATGCTTTTTAAGTTACTGTCATAACCTTTAATGTGATCTATAAATCCATTGAATAATAACTCCTCTTTTGCAGGTGTCCCAGAGTATCGGAGGGTCCCTGGTCCGATACGTGGTCCTGATCACAGCTCGCCTCTGCCTCTTGACTCTGTGTGGATGTGTTCTGTGCTGGACCCTCGTCAACCTCTGCAGAAACCACTCTGTGCTTAACCTGCTCTTCCTGGGATATCCGTAAGTCTGTGTGTTTCAGCTCATGCCACGGATAGTGTGTATGGTTTACTTTATGTAATCTATACTATAAACTGAAATGGCCTCATCCTAACTATTCCTCAAAAGTTGTACTTTGTCCAAAAATTCACTTGACTGCTCTATACTGTGTGTTGCTATGGTGATACTGTAAGCAGAGTTGTATGGATTGTTTAATTTAACAAACAGTATAAAGTGTGAGTGGTTGAACTCTCGCTTCTCAGCAAGAAGGTCCTGAGTTTGAATCTCGTTTGGAGCATGGCGTTTCTGGGTGCTTTATGAGTTTGCATGTTCTCTTGTCCTGACCAAGCCAAGCATCAAAATCTGGAGATGGGTCCCTGGGCACTGTACTGTGGCGACTACTGCTCTTGAAAGAGGCACTAGTGGCAATGAAGGATGGGTCAAATGCAGAGAGCACATTTCTCTTCAGGGATATTTAAAGTATATCTGAAATGAATGAATCAACAAAAGTGTGCGTTGGAATCCTCACTGGTCAGGGGATAAACTGCATTTAAATATGTTGTGTTATGTGCTCATGTGGGCTGAGCACTTTTGTGCATGACACTTAAACAAAACTCAAACTAATTAAGGATAATTTAGAAGGCATGTATGTAGATGTAATTTCAAATTGAAAAAAATATAAATTGTATTATGTGTAAAATAACTCACAAAAAACTGACGTTTAATCTACTTTTGGAGGTCACCACACTAGTGTTTGTATTTATTGGCCCTGACCAAATGAAACCCTGAACACTTGGTGCTTTTAAAGTGCATTTCTTATAGACGCTGCCACAACAATGTTGATACTCTTTCACTACTGTGGTATCATCCATATCATTACAGCCCTTGTGCTTTGGGAAGTTCTCACTAGTCTGTATAATTCTGTACATATCAGTGCGTTAATAAAATATAGGAAATTGACAATACGGTATAAAGGCGAGGTGCAGTCATCTCAAAGTTGGAAAAGTCATGAATGAGCCATTTTTCCAAGAACAGGGAATGTTTTGGATTTTGATGAAAGCATTGAGAAAGATGGTGGCATTACCAAAAAACACAAGGTGTGTGCACTGCCTTGTGTCTGGTGTTACGATACGCATCACTATGCATAGGTCACTCTGTCCAAAATAAAATAAATAAATAAAAAAGAATTGCGGTGTATCGCTGGATAATTTCATTAGTTCATTCATTTCCGTTTCATTTTTTTAACACCCCAGTAAACAACATGGTGTTCTCCTTCCCCCTGTGTTCAGGTTCGGAGTGTATGTCCCGTTATGCTGTTTCCACCAGGAGGGCGCCAAAGCCCAGTCACCCTCCGCAGACTGCGACTTCTCTGATGAGCATCCGCAGAGCGAGCTTGCCGAGACGCCGTTCTTCCGGCCGCGGGACTTCCTCTTCCTGCTGCGTGAAAACCTCCGCGAGCAGTTCTCCAGCCCCCCGCTCATGCCCACCCACAAATGCCCGCCCCCCATGCACTCGCACACCCCCGACATGATCCGCGCCGAGGTGGAGGAGCTCAAGAGCGACTTCAACAGACGGATCAAGGAAGTGCTGTTCAACTCGCTCTTCAGTGCCTACTACGTGGCCTTCCTCCCGCTCTGCTTTGTCAAGGTCTGTTCACATAAACGCTGTCATATCTGCCCTTTTTACTTTCAATGTACGCATTCTCTATCACGGCTGGAGTATCACAGGATGTTAGGTGTCTCGGTGTTAAATGTATTTAGTTGATAGTGACCAGTGTACACAATCAATATATGAAATAGTACAAGTCAGGCCCTTTTTCATTTTAACACATTATATTAGAATAGGTGCTGGAAGGATTTTTAGGTGATCTTATGTGCACTTGTGCTTGTCCCACTCTACAGCTTGGGGCAAAGATCCAGAATCCCTCTTGTTTGCAAATGTTTATTTAAGTATAATATGCTGGTTCTGTCTGGTCAGACAAGCTTGCCTTCACATTTTGATTAAAAAGTTAAAGCATGCTAAGGGTCTTGACACATTGTTTTTGTTTTGGCTAATTCTACATAGAGAATGATTGGAACGACTGAATCTGCAGATGTAACACAAACCAGAACAGTCTGAGTATCAGAGAGAAAAGGGCCTATTGTGTCATGACATCTATAGGGTCTATATGACATGCTATGATAATTCCAGAGGGCATGTAAGGGTGTGTGGGTTTTAATTGATTTTCTATTAGAACTATCAATTCTAAATGCATAACATGTTTGTGCCATGTTTGCATTTTCTCTCACTTAAAATGGATAATAATGATATAACCACATTCATAATATTATAGTAGTTACTGAATCATCACACGGTGAATGACCTCTCTCCTGCTGTTGTCCCCAGAGCACTCAGTACTATGACATGCGCTGGTCGTGTGAGCACCTCATCATGGTGTGGATCAATGCGTTTGTGATGCTCATGAGTCAGTTACTGCCTCCGAGATACTGCGACCTGCTGCACCGCTCAGCCGCTCACCTGGGACGATGGCAGAAACTGGAGCACGGCTCCTACAGCAACGCTCCGCAGCACATGTGAGTGAAACAAACTCTGACAATTAGAATAACGTTCAAGAGTTCATTTATTTTTTTATTCAACTTAAAATATTAAACCCATACATTATATAGACCTATTACATGTTAAGTATACTAAGCTTTTGTTTGTTATAGTTCTGATGATTAGGACTTAAAATGTACATGTCACATTTGGTATAAATAGAATCACTCAGATTGTGCAAAAGACAGAAGTGTGCAAATATGTTAAGGTTAAACGTTCATTCTCAAAATTATTAATTTATAGAACATTTATTTGGGATTTTTAACAATCTTGAAAGATCTTCTAGTTTTCCAAGTTTCACCTGTACATGTCTAAAGTATAAGGGATAAAAAATTGGATATACAGTGGCTAATTCTACTTAAAACTTTGCACATCACAAACATGTATGTTTAGGACTTTTGAAAGACCACAACAAAATGACACACCTCAAGCCAGCATCAACACAAAAGTTGTTTGTTGACTCCTTCAAAAGTTAGGTTAAGACCTACTTTATTGTACAGGCTTCTTGTTTATCTTGTTACTTGCTGCTATGATCTTGACCTCCTTAGTTGCTAATGCTTACATGTACCGTGGTTCTTTTGCAGGTGGTCGGATAGCACCATCTGGCCACAAGGGGTGCTAGTGCGCCACAGCAGGTCTTTGTATAAAGCAGTTGGGACTTATAACGTTGCTCTGCCCTCTGATGTGTCGCATTCAAGATTTTATGTGAGTATTGTGCCTTATATTATATAATATTTAACATTTATTTGAAGATACCGGACATAATAAAAAGCAATAAAAGTTCTGACTCTTATTTGATGTGTATTTTGTCTGTGTTTGAGTAACACGGGATTGAACTTGTGTGTCTTCAGTTCCTGTTCCATCAGCCCTTGCGGATCCTGAACCTGCTGATCTGGATTGAGTCCACTGTGGTCTTGTACCAGCTCTACTCTCTGCTGAGGTCTGAGCGCTGGAACCACACCCTGTCTTTGGGCCTCATCCTCTTCTGTAACTATTATGTCCTGTTCAAACTACTGCGTGACAGGATTGTTTTGGGAAAGGCGTATTCCTACCCCGTGCCCCCCAGCAGCCTCGGACTCAAGTCTCAGTGAGAGTCCTGCTTTTGGACCGCCGCATGTGGAGGTTGGGGACAATGTGAACTCTTAATCGTGTTTTGATACGGTTATATTTTTAATGTTTATATATATATATATATATAAACCTATTTAAATGAATATTTTATTTTGTATACTGTTTCGAGTTACTCTGGGCATTTCGATGTTTATGACATGAGCATGTTGCATTAAAGTGTTGGTCACATACACATTGGGAAATGCCAGGAGGAGACTCTCAGCAAAGAGAAGTGCAGGTGGCCAATCAGAGCAGAGAGAAATCATCCATAACTGTTCAAGGTCCTTCAGTACTCCTTACTAGGGTTGCATACTGTAAAATACTATCAAAGGTGAAAAATATCCATGGTCTTTTTATGGGAATTGATCTATTAGGATTATTATTGAGAATAAATAGAATATAACTTGATAATAATAGTAATTTGTAAATCTCTTTCAAGATTTGTTCTAGCTTCTCTCTTATTTGTGTCGACAAAAAAAAATTAAAAGTAGGAACAACTTCACATCCATAGATGGCAGTTTATACCTGAAAAAACCCACTAGAGCCGATCATTAGAGCTTTATGATCTATGTCTAAACGTCATTGTGATGGATCAGCCTGAACACAATAGAACATTTTGACTTTTGGAAACGGTCCCCTAAAGAAGGCTGAGGGGGTTTGGTGGAAGAAATACACATATTGTTTTAATTTTAAGAGATTCCTGATCATAAATGTTAGATTTGGAAATGAATTGTTCTATAAAAGGTCAGTAACTGAAATTGAAAAGAAATCGGCTGAATATTTTCTTTTAAAGTGGATTCTCAACAATCCCCCATATTTCAGGGTGTTCAATTCCATGTGTATCTTACTGAGAATGTTATTTTTGCAACCCTACTCCTGACATTTTCCTGTGTTGGGATCATTGCATTGTGCTCCATGTATTATTGCTTCCAGTGCCTGCCTAGTCCACGCCCTAAGTTACACCGACACAGTCCAGTCACACTATCTGCTTCTTCAGTTGCCTTAACTTCAGTCTGATTGTTCCATTCACTGCTGCTCTGGTCAAACCAGGAAAAAGTGCTTTTTATTTTTTTACATGCCTTCAGCTATGGTTTTTGTTTTGTGGCATTTCCTGAAGAAATTCTATGGTATTGAAAGACACACTCTAGTCCGCATGTATTTTTTTTTTTCAAATCTTGAATTTAGATTGAACCAGACCGACAGTGGATAAAGATTTCAGTTGTAACCAGGTGTTCAATGTGAATGTTACCTTTTTATTTGTACATTGGCAATGAATTGTGACATGCCGTGTTACCAAAATGGTGTTACAGACAGGTGTTCCAAGTCGCTCTGCATGTTGTTGCCTTCTGTTTAACCACATTTAAAAAGGTTGTTTGAAGGGAATATTTTGTTTTTATGATCAATTTATTTCAGCCATTTCCTTCTGCAGTATTGCTCTCAAACAAATGTCCATATTTCAAACAGCCTCTCATCTTTCAAATGAGTAACTTGACTTGTAACAGGGATTGTTTATACTACTCCATCAATGCTAAAAATTTCCCCATTATTCAACTTAATTCTGGGTGCTTTTGTATTGTTTTGGTAATTTCATGTTGAATGCCGGTTTACTCTTATACAGTTGACGGTGCTGATGACTTGGCATGTTTATTTCCTTTTGTGTTAAACTTGAGTTGAGCACCTTAACGTAAGTGTGTCTTTGAAAACCGTGTCGACTGTGTCCAGTTCACAATAAAACTCTTAATGTGGATGACAAACTGTGTGCCCTTTGCTACAGTGTAGTTCTAAATACTTTTGTTTGTTTTGTTTTCCCAACTGCACTTAATGAAAAAATGCATCATAATGGTTGATATAGTTTATTGTCAGATTCACGTCTTGTAATGCTCTGCATGGGCAATAGAGGGAGCCAAATTTTTCTAGTTATGTTCAACCTCAACCAAGCTCCTGTGTGAACATGCAAAGCCCACAAACATTTGAAACTCAAGGCACCTTTGGTTTCTCTCATACATTCAAAGGCCTCAGTAGAAAAAATATTACAGCGCAATCTCTGTATACAGTTTAAATGTGCCACAAACCCTTCAGGAGTACATCTGATACTTGTGCAGATTGTGTTTAATGTCTTCCAGAATGGAAACGAAGAAATTTTAGATAGTTGGTGGTGGTTTTGAAGTTTAATGAAGGTGTTGCAAGTTCATAAAGGTGCACATCTCTCCAGAATGTCCCAGATCTTGGCTTCTCATTGTATAGTAAACCAAATATTTATATAAACAAATCTATTTTTGGATAACATTATTTTCTTGTGTGTATATATAACAACTTTATATAATATACTGAGTTAGGACTGGTCCTGATCTCAGGATGTGACAAGAGGCCGAACACACAGGCATGTGAAAACTAGTGAACCAAAAGAGAGCGAAGAACAAGAAAAATGGATTGTAGAGTCCATGTTAACAGATGTCTATAAGAATGAATTATCCCATTTGTTTTGTATTGTCTGAAATGGTACAATGGTTGCATTCAGCCAAAATACTTTCTTTTCTTTCCTTGTGCTTTACATGGGGGCAGCTCCAGATTTGGCTAAGTGAAAGTAGTGAATTGTAACTCATTTTTAGTATGTTTTAATCCCATATTATGTCAAATATTATGTTACTTTTATTCATTTGAATGCAGCCAAGTGTTTCTTGATTTCTTTGTTGAAATTGTTGTGAAAAGGTCAGTTTTCTAAGAAGAGTGATATCAGTGCTTGTTCTGCGGCTGGTGTTAAAGGGGCAGCAAATTCTACGTCCTCATCCTCCATGGTCTGATATACACTTATCTCTTTTATTCATTGCCACTGGTTTGATTGACAACAGTTTATGTTGTGGCTTGTTTTCATTACTAGATTACTAGACGCATGGTGTTTTGTCAGATTCACAGTGAAAGAATAACGTTTTGATGGAGTTGTTCCAGGGCTTTCTGTCTATCTCTCATCCTTCCCTACAGTCTACAAAGTTCCCCTTGATCCAGTAACAGATCTGTGCGTATTTTAGTGGCGTGATTCTGACCGCCACGTTGTAATCCTTGGAAGCCCCTTGTTTCTCCACCCACTGATGCCCTGAGAAAACACCTATGATTTTGCGCTCCCATCCACGGTGGCGGGGGTCCCACATGCGTGCATAGACCCCAGACCCGCTGGCTCCAGGCTGGGCATCACAGTGCTGGTACAACAAGTCAGGCGTCTCCTCTCCGGCAGGGCAGAAGCGGTACACCAGTCGCCCCGGACGGTCGTTGTCAAATCCAGAGAAATGCACTCTCCTTCCAGGAAGTCTCTGTGCAGGGGGGCTCACTCCTAACTTCATGTGACGCCGTTTGTGAGCTTTTTTCAGTTCAAGAAGAGCGTAGTCATAGTCCATGCCGATGTCATTAGCGTTGGCTTTAATCCAACCTTTGGGGACGTGAGTGCGCCTGGCTCGAATCCACTGAAACTTCATTTTGTCATTAGCTGGCGGGGCGTGAGGTGAGGCGGCTCTTTCGACATGGTTGGTCAAGTTTAAAAAGAGATTTGGTGAGTGCGTGTCACGATATTTGGGTTTTAAGAAGCCAACGCGGAGTCTTTGAGCTCCTTTCACATAGTTCTTTCCATCATGGACGCAGTGTGCAGCGGTGAGCACATGCCGGTCCCCCACCAGAGTCCCAGAGCAGCCTGTGGAGAGCTTGACCGCCACAGAAAAGGGAAATTTGAGCAAATAATTCTGGCCTGCTATACAGAACCTTGCATCATGTCCGAAAATCTGTCTTTTCCTTCTAACACGCGCCTCCCTCCTCCCACGAGGCCGGCCCTTGTAGACCACAGATGTATCAGGATTTGGAGCGTAGCCATAAATCCCAACAGAAGTCGTGGTCAGACTCCCGTTTGAGTGAAGCGTCTCATAGGATAAAATGTCTCGGAGGTCCCAGTAAGTCGGTTTGGGGGCTTTCCTGTGGCAGTCCGGGTCACAAGAGGAGCTGACGTTCAATCGGGCTTGGGACAGGAAGTGAGGGGAGGGACTGGGCTCAGTCTGTTGCGGGAGGACCACAGGGATGCGCTGGAGGACCCACTGCTGTCGAGACCAGCACCCGGGCTGCCACAGCAGCAGCAGGAGGCAGAGCACGGGACCGAGGGATGGAGCTCTGAGGATAGACAAACACTCTGCTCTGTTATTCAGGAATTATAGCCTACATAAGGACTGTGAAGGCTGCAGACTGTAAACATGTGTTCTTCATCTGTTACAGGAATTATATGACCACTGACAAGTCACTTAAATCACATGTTCTTATTCATAGGCAGCACTGAGCATCTACACAGAGCCATTATTGTGCATAACAAATTGAAGCTGATACTTGCTGTGAGGCTTCAGAAGAAAAAAAAAAAGAAATAAAATATGGATGAGGTTGTGCTACAAAGACAGACTACTTTGTCACAATACTGTAATTATTGTTTGTTTATGCTTTTACATAAGTCTATTCCAAGTTTAACAACTCACAGATGTATAAACACTGGAATCATCAACTCTTCTGATTATTATTATTTTTGTATAATTTAAATCTTCTGAATAATATATTACACTGACAGCTGTTTACCCTTATGAGAAAGGCCTCTTTTTGAGGATTTTATATACATGTTTTGTTTAGTTCTGCTTTTTGCATGTATGTGTGTATGTATGTATGGCTCGCCGGATAAAAGGTCAACATTTACAAATCATTTATGACCGGTTTTACAGTTTAAACCGCAGTTATACTTGTCCATAATATTTACAATGTTCAAGCACATTATCCAAGCAGAGAGCAGAATGAGGCCTTCATTTGGGTTGCCAGTTTATTTGGTGAAATTGGCTCTATCTTTTAAATGTATATAACATCATAAACACCAATATTTACAAAAATAAATAGTCATACGATACACACAGTTTTTAACAATTCTAGCTAAACCCCAGCAGGTGGATTGCATCTGTAACCAGTGCATAGGTCCTATCCATGTGTCACAGACCGGAAGATCCTTGCAACAAAGTCCTATATGTGTAATGACTTTTGTTAGACCTAGAAAGAGAATATTACATTCTGTAGCTTTAAATTCTATTTCATTATTTCACTTTATTGGTCAAGTTGTCAAATAACTTTATCAAAACTCAATAGCCGTGTGATTGGCTACAGGGGAATTACATTATTAATTAAAGTAACACTATTTGATTTTTGCTTGAGTACATCATTAAGTCTGCTTTCAATTTTCCCTCAAACATAATTCAATATTACATGACACAAGGAGAGATTTGGGGGAGTATTTTTGTTGCATCGTGAAAGGAATTTGGCAAACTCTAAACTTCCTCTGTTTTTAAGAGTGCACTTTTAGACAGGGCAAAGACTGAGCTTTAGGCGCTGATGGAAAATTCCTGTGTGACCCGAGGGATTTTTATACTGCATCAGAGAAGTATAATACTAACTATGTCTTTAAATGTCTGCAGGGATCAGCAGTGAAGCCATTAGGGATTGAACGGATCAAGTAAAAAATCTGGATCTGAACCACATATGTAGATGTTTTTAAATATGCCGCTGGAGATACAACAAGATGACAAACCTATAGACGTATGGATTAGGTTGAGTTAATGGTTTCGATTCTGGGGGTAATAACTTTCCTATCAGGTATCAATATACATTTCGCTGGAAAATGTGTATTTATTTAACCATTATTTAAATACAACAGCCTACAAAAAATCTTTTCTCTTGTCTGAGGTGCACTGTGCAAGTTTTGAGCTCCATCAACAACGAGATACTATGGGGATGTTATTTATACTTCCTTGTAATTATCTTGATTATGATATGAACTGGTTCAATATGTAATTACAGAGGTTTTTCTCTGCTCACAAACTTTTGTATTTTTACAGTGACTCTCCACAGATATGACCTTAACTGTGACTTTTGTCTCTAATGTCGATGGAAATGATTCAGTGGCATCTGGAACATTCCAGGCAAAATTATGGAACTGCCTCCATTATTTTGGAATGCCGAGAACTATTAAAGAGGGATGCTGGCATTATTACTTGCAAGGCAGATTTGTTTTTATACAAATCTTAAAAGGGCAGGCAACAAAAGATTTGTTTTAATTCTTTTTGCTCCTTTACTTGTGAAAGTACTACAATTATTTCAAATGTAATAAATGGTAGTCCTATTATTTTTTGTATTGTAATGTCTACAATTTAAATAAATAATAACCGCAAAAAAAAATTCAGATATTCTCAGCAAGTTGTTCGCTTAGCTATAAAGGAGCATTACACAACTTTTAGTGGAGGGTCCGCTTTTTGCTCGGATCCATCTAAATTGCGTTGTTTTGTCCATAAGGTTCCACAGTGTGGCATTACACTTGCAATGTACATCCAGGACAAGCAAGTGACTTCTCTATGATACGTTATAAGACACATATGTGAAGAGGAGAGCCAATAATAGCAATTAAACTACAAACACATATCCAGGCAGCAGCTACGGGGCACCCACACAAAACTTACAATTTGCACTTTTATTTTTACACACAACCGAGTAAAGCACCGACGCATTGAAACTAAATGCGAAACAAATAAAGGGTTTCCCCACATTTTGTACAACAACAAAATCAGGACTTACGCAGAGACACGCATGGCTGCAGCAGGTGAGGCGCCGAAAACACGGATCCTGTGGTAAAAGTTTTCACCCGTGAACTTCCTCTGTTTGACTGGTGCGTGCTCCTGTTCGGTCCTGGCAGTTTCCCTTCGGATGTGGAGCGGAGGCGCGCAGTGGAGACGCGTCGGTCATGGTGCGCGTGTGGAACAAGTCTCGGATGAAAACAGCGGAACGAGAGGCGGTCACGTGACACCTGGGCTGGTGATGGAGCGTCACATTTTCAACAGGAATATACTCTCGATGATTGTTGCTGATTCAACTGCTATAGGTGAGAAAACGAACCATGCAAACTCCTGGAAGCATTTTGCCTAAATAACTCATGCTGGTGGCAGAATTAACACGGGGCCATATTGTGTGGTGTTTGTTTTTACTGTTTGTGAATTTGCGAACCTTTGCATAGTATTAAAGGTTTTATACAGTTAAAGGTGAAGACAGTAGATTGAATCTATTTCTATTTAGACCAGCATCTGTCCAAACTATGGCCCAAGCTCAGCCATTATAGACATTCAGTTCAGTTACATTAGCGCCATTAAGTAACTGGTGAGATGGTCATCATTAATTCAACTCCAGCTCATCAAGCTCAGAACAGTCCGAATCCAACCAAAACTGTTTTATAATTCACATTATGTCTATTTGCGAGAGGAAAATAAGATATTAAGAATTTAGATTTAGTTCTTATTCGGTCTCTTTTTCTCCTATCTTCATATTTTGAAGTATAACATTAGTTATTCACTTTAGTTAAAAGTAAGTTTGGAAATCTCCATAGGCTTAAAACAATAACAAAGGTTGACCAAAGAGAATATTGACCGTTAGTGGAAGTCTTTGATTGTGGCCAAAATTTAGAAGATTAGATGAAGAAAGAATAAATGAATTTATCTGTGTACTAGTCTAATTGTATAATATCAGTGAAATAAAAGTAGGATAATACTATTAGTGTGGGGATAGTGGTTATATAATATAGTCAAAATCTTAATGGCTGATATTTTTTGAAAATCCTTCAACTCCAATAATTCCTCTTCATTCCTTCAGATCGTGTATGTTTTCAACAAGCATGGCCTGTTTGCGTGATGTGTTGTTGTGAAAGGAATACAGACAACAGCTGAAACAGGACTGAGCCAAGAGGACAGATGTGCGTCCCTTCTGATGTCCAAATGGATAAAAAACTGATTTGTGTTTGCTTTTTGAGGCTTTGACCATGACCTGCTCTTCCTGCCTCTCCGCTGACCCTCTCCCACTTTTTATGTTGGCAGCGCATGCATTTTCCATCTCTGTCCAATGCCAGTGCTGGACTGTTTTCTGACATTGTTTTGCCGACTATTTACAGATTTTTGTGCAGGGTATGTTCAACACTATCGTATAAAACTCAAAATTCCCACAAAGGGACGAATGAAGGTTATCTCATCTGATTTAGAGATCAGCGATACAATGTGCTAAAACAAAATAGGATTCCATAATGACCCTAATCCTAATTCTAACCCAAGCAATCATTTTAAAACAAAATGTGATCTTGGGTTGACTCTAAGAATTACTTTTAGAATATTGCCTCCTCAAACAGAGACCTTCATCACAATAATAATGCAGGAATGTTTTTAATATGCCTCCTCTAATTGAATCTATGACAGATGAGTTTATGGCAAAACTGCGAACATTCCAGTGAAAGCATGATATTGCACTGAAAAGTCTGAATAGTGTGGTTATGGGGGAGGACTCCAGGGCTGCCACGTCTCCGTCAGACTGTCACAGGGCATCAGACTAAAGTTCCAGAATCCGCTATAAGTCGCTTCTTTCTTCAAGGTATTTTAACCCTGCAGCCTGTATAGTAGTGCGGTAAATGAATGTTTTTCTATGGTATGATTTGGACACAGCTCTATCTGTGTTATGTTTATGTGAACAGCAGAGAGAGCCGACATGAGGAGATGCACATGGGACTTGTTTATGTGATTAGGGAGTAAAAAAGTTTATGGACTTATTATTTTGACTCCATCCAGGTTTAGTAGCTATAGTCATGCTTAAGTCATGTTGCGACGTCTTTGTTTTATCACATCATAAAAACCTACAGCTTATATTCAACTATGTTTACAAAAATTACTTTATTTTTTGCTGTTTAAAACACTATATACACTTAATAGTCCAACAAGAACTGTAAGGAGTTTCCCAAGCTTATGGCTGAAGGCACTCATAATGACCAAAGATCAAGTTGTTGCTAAAAAATACTGTAACAGCAGATCTGCAAGAATCTGAACAATCCCTGTGGATGTTTTTATCTTGTCATTATTCTTTCAGGAACGACCTTCTTTGTGTCCAGAGGCTGTCTGATTACCATGCATCATCACAAATACAAATGCTGTTGGCATGGTGAGATCTGAGTGGGTAAGTCGGGGACAAACGCACAAAGAGGCAAAAGAAAAATTAAATGGTGACTCATCTGTCCTGCAGAAATTCGCTCATGGATAAAACACTCACATGATTCTCAAATCTGTTCACAAAGCGTTTGTTGAAGGTCTGCTGCTTCTGATTATAGAGGTTATAGTTTGCCAGGATGCAGGGTGGACCCACTGGCTCATCACACAGTCCACACCCATCCCCAAACACACAGGAACAATTAGCCCCGAAAGTCACGGAGAAAAAAACGTACACAGCAATGCTTATATACTGTACCAGCTCGTGCACTTTATTGAATATGATGGGAAAGTTTGGGACTCAAGCCCTGAAAAAGTTACATTGAATTGTAAAACAGTTTATGCAATCTTTTGTATGGTTGAGGTTTGCATGGAACTGTGCAGACATAAGGAATATTATTGCTTTTGGCACGGTTGTCTCTCTCCCTAAAACAGGTCAGAAATCTATGGGTAATAATGGACTCAGAATTACATTTTTCAGTCTTGTAACAGCCATATAGTAAAATCAGCAGCTTTTTACAATCTGAAAATATTTCCTCAATCAAAACTATTGTGTCTAAAGCTGACTTAGAGAATCTTGCATTTGACTCCATTATGTTAGACTACTGTAATGGCTGCTCACTGCTCCCTTCAAACGAGCTGTAAAACAGCTGTAGTATGTTCAAAACGCTGCAGGTTTTTTGCAGAGTTCTGACTAAAACCAGGAAATTGTCTCACATTAGTCCAGTATTCAGGTCTCTGCACTGGCTTCTTGTGGCTCAGAGAATAGACTTTATAACAGCTCTGCTTGTGTGCAAGTCTCTGCATGGCCTCGCACCAAAGTACATCTGTGACATGTTAGTGGCATATGAACCAACTCAGACTCTGAGGAGGACGGGGACAAACCTCTAGCTGGGACTTTGAGGAGCAAAGGGACCGGTCTCCGGCTGGGACTCTGAGGAGAACAGGGACCGGTCTCCTGCTGGGACTCTGAGGAGCACAGGGACCGGTCTCCTGCTGGGACTCTGAGGAGCACAGGGACCGGTCTCCTGCTGGGACTCTGAGGAGCACAGGGACCGGTCTCCTGCTGGGACTCTGAGGAGCACAGGGACCGGTCTCCTGTTGGGACTCTGAGGAGCACAGGGACCGGTCTCTTGCCAGCCCACACAACTTGTTTCTCTGTTTATTCTAACTGCTTTGAAGTATGTTGTATGCTATTATTGGTGCTATTTTTAGGTACTTTTTGCCTGGACTTCAAAAGGAGTCATATTTTGTGTGAATTGCTGCCAACAACAGAGGGTGTATCATCAGACCTCATGGGTCAGACTTAAGCGAACCCTGATGAGAAATATCCTGGACATGATGTGCTAGCAGAACTCACATACACACAGATCTAAATGAAATAGTAACCAGGCAATGTCGATAAAAGTCATAAGCCACTGTTGGTGAGACAGTGAGTGAGGAGGCAGCCATCTCTTTGGGGGCTGTAAGCCCCATGCACCAAGAGACTTCTTTGTTCCCCTTGTTTTCTCAGTCTGAGCTGAGAAAAGTCATTCAGAAGAAGAATCAGAGGAGAACAGGGAATCCAGAGAATATTGTGTGAATGATTGTTGGTGGTTGGCCAAAAGATAATTCTGACTCAACACAACCATAGATTGGTTGTTGTGAAATGTGCAAACATGTTAAATGCAGGATATATTATGTACAATAAAAAGTGTCAATTTAAAAAGTGACAATCAGAAACAGTGTCAATAGTAGTGCAGGGTTTTCAGTCTTAATACAGTGACTTAAAGTGACTTGTTGTACAGTCTGACAGCAGTGGGGATAAAGGCCCTGCGGTAGCGCTCCCTCTTGCACTGAGGGTGTCTCAGTCTTCCACTGAAGGAGCTCCTCAGCTCCTCTACAGTCCTGTGCAGTGGGAGGTGTTGTTCATGATGGAGGTGACTTTGACAAGCACCCTCCTGCCCCTCACCTCCTCCACAGAGTCCAGGTGGCAGTCAGTGGAGCTGGCTCTCCTGAAATAGAGCCAGCTCTCCTCTCTGCAGATATGTCTTCCTTGTGTGTGGATGGAAAAGTTTAAGGCCCTATGAAGTAAAACATTGACCTCCATCAGGAAATTTACTCTGTGCACCTTTTTTTGTGCATTTATTTGTTTATGATTAAAGTAATTTGACCTCACATTCTGGTCAGACTAACAATTAATCGAACGCGTTGTTGCAGAACTGCTCTGTGGCCTTGGCTGAAGGTGATGCCTCTTCCCCTTCCCCTCTGTCTCCATAACTTGAACTTGTTTGGAGTTTTTTTCGATAAAAGGCTGTTTGTTTGGCCGTGCCCGCTGTTGTCTGGGAGACCCACATTCCCTGGATACTGCTCTTGTTAATTGTTTTATTCCTCCCACTCTGTGCACTCGGCTTCAGCAAAGACACAATCAAACAAGTGTGGAGTGCCTCACTAGTGTCTGGCGTCCACTTTTGAATCAGATATCAGTTCATTACACCCGATAGTTCACGGTGCAACACACTTATATCAAATCATACACAGAAAAGAGGGGAAAATGCAGTTGTAGAAGGTATACTTTTGTGATTCATGTTCTTCCCAGT